GGGGGGGAGATTCTTTGCTCTTTTGTGTGTGTGTGTGTGTGTGTGTGTGTGACACGCGGGTAGGAAGAGATAAGTGGAGATAGGGTTTTATTTTTCTTGATAGAGGTGAGGTGAGATGAGGTGAGGTTTTCCTGTTCGGCTGTAAATAATAAGAAATTTGTGCTTTTGGTGATCTGATTTCCCCAGTGAATATGTTTCTATGGTTGGTAGCTGAATGATGGGTCGTCTACTGATTGAAATACATGTACCTAGGTAAGGTTTTTTTTGTTTTGTTGGAGTGTACCTTCGTTGAGGAAAAGACATGGCATGGGGTGTCACACACACAGACACAGACACAGACACCCACCATGCACACGCACGTACAAGAGCTACCATGTATTCGACTACTGCAGGTACAGGCGGAGGAAGAGACAAAAGGTGGTGTACCCGTAAGTATGCATGCATGCTCTGTACCACTTGAGGTATATTCATTCTTATCTCTGTTAGCTTCTGTGGGTGGCGAAATATCTCTAGGTGCGATAGACACTGTTCTGGCGCGGCTTTTTCTCTCTCTCTCTTCATCCACTGTTCATCAATTCAACATTTGAAAAGTGCCTCAATCTCCTGCGGATGTCGTACCGAAAGACTTGGGAGAATTGCAAGCAATTTGGGAGTACTTTTGCCACTAATCTCCATTCGATTGCTGCAAGTACAGCCGCACAGTCCAGTCAAAGACGTTGTCGTATTCAATCTCTTCCTTGCTCGCGAGTTCTCGAAAGAGTCGCCTGAGCATAGCGTAGTCGGGCATTGCTCCGTACGAGAGCGTCTTCGCGTACCTCATGTAGTCCGCGAACTCGCTAGGCAGTCCCGCGCACAGCTCTTCCACCGTCAAAGCAGCCTTTTTCTCCATGACCAGCCGCTCTTTCTCGTTTGTAGAGTACGCTTTCAAGCCTTGCCACGGGAGCTTACCTCGCAGGAAATATATCATCATATACCCGAGTGATTCGAGATCATCTCGGGGCGACTGTGCTAAAGTGAGAATTAGTGCAGTTTCTTCTGGCCACACGACAATTGTGCGTACGCACCGCGTCCTTCGTGTCCTCTCACGCTCGCATATCTCGTCGTGCCAATGAGCTGAGGATGCCGAGGTACGGACTCATCAGCATCGTCGCGGGTCTTTTCAAATCCATTCATCACGCCAAAATCTGTCATGTAGATAGTATTGCCATTCTTCCCCGTCCCAGCCAAGAAGTTTTCCGGTTTAATATCGCGATGGACAAATTCTCTCACGTGGAGGTCTTCCAGTCGGACAAGAAGCTGATCTGCAAGCAGGAGCACGGTCTTGAGGGAGAAAAGACGTTCGCAGTACTCAAACAAGTCCTCCAGGCTGGGTCCGAGGAGCTCGACGACCATGACTCTGTAATCATCGTGCCAGCCATACCAGTACAGCTTGGGAAATCCCGCAAGGCCCTGGAATTCCTGGTAATTATTGGCTTCATCTCTCAATATTGACGGCTCGCGTGACTTGTGTTCCAACTTCAGTGCTACTTCCTCGCCAGTGTTGAAGTCTCGGCCTAGAAGGAGAAGAAGAGGAAGAATAAGTCAGAGGACGAGATCTCGCAGCGCTCACAAGGCAGTGCGCACGCACCGAGATAAACGGCGCCATGGCCGCCCTCGCCGAGCTTCTTGATCAGGGAGTGTTTCCCGTTGATTGGCCTATCCTGGATCTTCTTGATGAAGACGTCGGTGGATGCCATCGATGTTGACCTGAGGATGATTTTGAGAGCAGCTTCGGAACTTCGGAAGTCGGCCTGAATGACGGGACGGCTCTCGGACGGCACGCCCCGCTTAGAACTAGTTCTCTACAGGTAGAATCACATCTATCACCAGGCAGCCGGCGCGTAGAGACAGCCATCCACCAACCACCAACCACCGCTATGCACTGCCATACTCTTCGATCCACTCTCTCACCTCTAGAGCCGCCGTCTGTCGCTCAAATACGTCGCCAACCCTCCCTACCTCTCCATGCTGCTCAACGGGGAGCAGTGTCGGCGGAAACGACATCGAGAAGAGGAAGAAGAACAAGAAGAACAACACGAAGAGGCCTTAGCCCTACCAGCCGATAACCAGCAGCAGCATCCCACGAAGAGGAGGAAGAAGGCACACACTCCCAATTATCCTCCACGGTTCTGGGACACGCTGTCCAGAGTGCATCTGACTCGCAGAGCACTGCAAGAATTCGACCGTCGAACGGAAACAGCTCGCCTCGTGTTGAGCGCGGAAACAATCAAGTCTTCGACCCGACGCCTGCTGAGATCCGATACTCATCGCCTTTTGCATTTCGCAAGCAACGGCGGGCCAGACCTGAACGCGCTTCAAGGTGTAAGTGTAATGGTTGCCATGGAAACAGAGCAGAGGTATCGAAACGGGGCTGATCTTGATGCTAGTTTTCTGCTCTTCCTGCTGTTGAGGCAAGTATGAGCCAATCGAGCACCCAAAGCCGCAAAAGAGACTTCTCGTCGAGCACGGCGAGGAGCAGTGGTGCAAGAAAGACGAAGACTACAACGCCCTACAGTCCCGAGTTCGAGCAGAAGCTTGCCGATCGGGGCGTCTTCTCTGTTGCATATTGCTTCGCAGATGGACGCAGTCCACCAAATCCGAATAACATACAGGAGCTTATGGACGCATTGTCGCGCCGAAGGTCTTCCCTGTCATCGACTGCTTTCTCCGAAGAAGCGTTTCAAGAGTTTCGACGTAACGATACGAGAGCATCGGAGTCTGCCGCGATGGCCGACTTACTCCCAGTCATAGCAGGGCCGAAGGACAAGGATTATAATCCTAATGGCGAGGTCCCTTTCCTCCGCTTAGAGAAATTTGATCCATATATTTCGGTTCCGAAACCAGACAGGTACTATGGAGCAATGCCAGCACAAATTGATGGCAGTGTGCGCAGTGACCTCACCAACTACATCATTCCATCCAATCGCACCAATCTGCCAGCGGCCCCGAATTTCTTTGTCGAAATGAAAGGCATTTCCGGGAGGGGGAACATAGCAGCGCTGCAGGCTATGTACGATGGCGCGGTCGGGGCTAAAGGCATCTTGCATTTGCAGAACTACGGCAATGCCGTGCCAGTGCATGACGCCAATGCATATACGATAACGGTCACCTATTGTAATAGCACGCTAAAGATCTATGCTACTCACCCACGAGAATCTGAAAGAGGAGGAGAAACAGAGTATTTCATGACTGAACTCAAGGCTTATGGAATGACAAGCGATCCGGAGACTTTTCGTAAGGGTGCAGCCGCGTACCGTAACGCTAGGGAATGGGCTCAGGAACAGCGTGACAATTTTATTACCAATGCGAACGCTGCTGCACTACGAATGTCTGCTGATCGAGTCTCAGTCAGCCGAACTGAAGTCACTGCGGATGCTTCATCTACTGCAGCTGGAGGGTCTTTCGTGTCGGAAACGTCTGCAGACGAGCTCGCGTCGGACACCCATACTGTCAAGCGACGAAGGGCATAACCATCACGAGAACTTCGCGGAGGAGCCTTGTCTTCCGATTCATGGTTCTAGCGTCATGTGAAACGAGTACGGGACAGGGCCGAGAGTGTTCAGTTACATGAATGATTGTTTTTGAGATGTATTCGCCATGTTCGAATCAGGGTGTATTTCAGTCGTTTCGGTATGTACGTGGGATATTCGCCGCAAAGCATCTGCACTGTGGGCGGATTTAGACAGCATTAGATACAGACAAATGTTAGATACAGAATCTGAATCTAGACAGGACAACAGTCAAGTCAGGACGCGATTTCACATGTTCCATACAACCAATCAACCTAGTGCACACACACGTGTCATCATGCTCGCTCGCTGCTGTTCTGGAAAAGGAAGTACTTGCAAGTAGGTTAGGGAGGTTAGTTGTGTACCTTTGTATCGCAAGTACGGTAAAGTACCCAAGGCAACAGCTCCAGATAGGTCATCCGTTCTTATGATGATGATGAAGGAAGACGGAGATTTTCCACAGCAGTCTGAATCAGGTCTTCATAAATCTTGTTTTCCTTTTCCTCCTCCTCTTTCCTCTTCCGTATCCGTATCGCAACGGGAAATGGTGCTTCTGAGTTCCAGGAATTGACTTTTTTGTCGTCGAAGTCGGATGTCTAGATAGATGATGAGATTAGACGAGATCACGAGAAGATGGATATGGAAGTGGATGGATGAAGACTGGGGGAAAAAGAGAGAGAGAGAGGAAGGAGAGAGCAAAAAAAGAATTACCTTTTCAAAATCAAAACACTGCACCAATCTCGCAAAAGGCAAAAATAACGCCGTCTGCGCTGCTTTGTACCCAATACAAATTCTCCTTCCACCTCCAAATCCCCAGAAATCTCGTGTGAGACGCGTGGGATCTCCACTGACTTCTTTTTCATCATTATGCCCATTATTACCACCTTCGTCATAATCGTTTTCATTGCCATCATGATTGGAGGAAGACAACCATCGCTCGGGCAAAAACGCGTCCGGTGAGGGATAATCTCGACATAGTGCGGGGACATTCAATAAGAAATTTGTTCCCTTGGGGAAGATGTAGTCTTCGAAAGTGAAATCTTCTGCGGCGGTGTGGGGTGGGACCATGGGGACGGTGGGTCTCCAGCGGAGAGTTTCTTTGATGAAGGCGCATGTGTAGGGCATATGAGGGATATCCGCGACGGTGGGGAGGCGGCATGGTGATGAGGATGATGGGGATTCTGGGTTGGTTGTACTGTTGCAGACGCTTTCGATTTCTTGAAGGCATTTTTGAAAAGCGTCGGGATGGATGATGCTCGCCATGATGCAGGTGTTGAGTGCGATTCGAGGGTTGTCGCCACCTGCGGATATGACGGTGTTGGTGAGATAGGCAGCTTCGTCTTCGTTGCCTTTGAAAGGGGCGTTGCTGTGGAGGAGGACATCTTTGACCCAGTATGTATTATCGCCGTCGTTGCTGCTGCTGTGGGATTTCTCGTTTGTGGCTTTGGCGACGAGAGGATTCCACCACGATTTGAACACGCGATGATGGTTGTCTCCCATGACCTGCCATCGATGTCGCCAGAATTGAAGACAGTGCGGAAGACACTCCAGCCATGGGAAGAAATCTACCACAGTCGACAGTAAAGTGCCGAGAAATTCCATAGTGGTCTTGCGATAGTCTTGCATTTCCTCATCAGTCTTGGGCAACCGTTCGCCTGCAATGACCCCATACATGACACCAGTAGCATATCGTGAGTTGTGCAAGTACCATTCCGAAGGATTCTCCAGATACGATTGAAGCATATGTATGCTCTCCGAGTCCTGCCATGCTTCAAACTTCTTCGTCCATGTATCGTTCAGCAATGGCCTCATCATCCTGCGCAACTCGCCCCATATACGAGTCGGCTGGGTGACAGATCGCATACCCTTACTGACCAGCGTGCCAGAGATGGGCATATGAGGTCTTTCGTGCGTGATCTTCGCTCGTTTGTCGATGATTTCTCTAGTGACGCGGTTCGTGTTGAGCAGGACGTACAGCATAGAGCCCATATGCAACGTCGTCATCTCTCCATATTCTTGTAATTCCATGAATGTCTTGCCGAGGGTTCCAGCAGACCGACTTCTCCAGAACTGTAGCAGATTGCCGACGACTGGAGGACCGTTGGGACCTGGCGGCAGCTTGTACTTTTTGAACGATGTCCATTTCTTGTCGACAGGCTGGACAAGCTCATGTGCAGCGATGAGAGATAGAACGAGCGCAAAGATGAGCAGGATCCATTGCATTGTTGGCGATTTGCTAGAGGTCCTCTCAGACAGCAAGTGAAAGTCGATAAGTAAACCAATAAGTGAAGACTGGAATACACCCTTACATCATGAACGTTTCCTCGTCGCTGCTCGCTTACATTGCGTATTGCCGGTATGCTGCAAGGCCCCGGGGGCAGAGGCAGTTAGTTGCCGCGCATGGTTGTAGTCACTATCCTGGCGTCCAACCTCAAGCGTGGCAAACGCCCACTGGCTACCTGATGAAGAGTTTCATGGGACTGCTGCAAATCTCGCATGGAATTGTCGCATATGCTTCAGCTTCCCTATCAACATGCAGCGTACTCATTTGGACTTGCCCAGCAAGTGAAATTGAATTTTGTCATGTCAATGACAACTCCCGCGCCAATGCTATGATGAGGAGTGCTTGCTGCATGCATGGCAGCATGGGTACATGTAGCTTGGCAACCAGGCAAGGTTCGTATGGACGATATGCAGCTGCTTCTTGTTAGTTTGCGGGCCCTCCCAATCAGGAGAGTCTAGATGGCCCGCTAGATATGCACGACACGGAGGCATTTCATCGGGCCCAGCGGCATGGAGAGATAGGAGACCATAGAAGGCTACCTAGTCCCGACCATATGAGTGTCGACAGCAGTGCATGAGCAATGTCCCTCGTTGCTGGATCGATACCAGTTCCTGGGGACTTTGCGAATGGGGTGGCCGGGTGGTGGTATTGTCCTTAAGCGAGCCTATCTAGCTTTTCGTGTACCGCACGTTTGAAGTCGGGGCAGCCTTGCTCAAGTTCCGAGATATGAAGCGCAGTATGTGTGTTGTCAACAGTCCAGACTAAATAGGTGATACGTCAGGAAAAGAGGAGCCCGTTTCCGCGGCTCTTCCTGATGGTGTGGACGACAGTTGCTAGCGTCCCAGCTGAGAAGATCGGCAAACCAGCCCTGTGCGAAACCAGCCTCAATTAGAAGACAAGTGCTCGAGGACTTCGAAATCCCGCGGTTATAGATGCGGTGTAGGTTCTCGAGGTCCATGATAGATTCTTCCCTCTGAGTCACTCCTCTTCCCTGTGATCACTATCGTATTCGTTTCATGTTACAAGCCATCGAAACCTCCTCAAAGATCTGACTTGATCGTGCTCTTCAAATACTATCGCACATTCTTTAGAGTCCTGAACCTTTGTCCAGGTGCTCAAGTCAAGCACAGAGAGCTGCACCAGAATATAACAATCCGCAGTCTCACCGAGAACCAGCGTGGGCGAGGAGGCAGTCGTCGAGCCTCAAAGCATATTACGCTACCCAGATTCTCCCGGTCCAGAAGTCATCCAGCTTGAAAGTCGACACCCAGCTTTAGAGTCACATAACAGAGAAATCTGATCGAGCTTGTTATAGCCACCGAGCTTCATCCAAGTCCTGCGAGATCGAGTTGTCAATTGCCCAGTTTTCTCAAGATTAGACTCAAGTCGAGACTCCGATACAACCAACACCCACGCACCAAGAAGGAGTCCGTAAAGGCGCCACCATGGCCGACTCCGAACCAGTTCCTCCACGGGAAAAGCCCACTAGCACCAGCACTACCGCCACCACAGCAACACCAGGAGTACCAGCCCCGCAACAATACACTCCACCATCAACCCTCCTCTTCCGCCTTCTTCCCCAGTCCTGGATTCCATACGCCGAACTAATGCGCCTTGACCGTCCTTCCGGCTACTATGCCTTCTACTGGCACTATCTCATCGGGCTGGCCTTCTCTGCATGCATCACCACGACACCCCCACCACCAGCCCAACTCCTCGGCCTGGCCATCTACCTGGCCATCTGGGTCATGTTCTTCCGCGGAGTCACGTGCACCTGGAACGACAACATAGACCAGGATCTCGATCGGCAGGTTGCGAGGTGCGCGAATAGGCCCATCGCGAGGAGGGCCGTGGGAACGGTTGCGGGTCATGCATTTACAGCTTTGTTGACTGTGATCTGCGGGGCTATGTTTTTAGTATTTGAAAACAGAATGGTCCTCGTTTACGCGGCGATTATGACTATTGTATTGTTTATATATCCCTTTGGTAAACGGATCACAGATTTTCCGCAGGTGATTTTGGGATTTGCCTTTGCGATTCCTGTTGTGATGTGTCCGGCGACCTTGGGGGCGGATCCCCTACTCATTACAGAGGGGTCTGGGGTTACGGAGGCTGTAAGGTGGGGAGCGTTGTGTTTGTATGGTGCAAACACGCTATGGACCATCATCTTCGATACAGTGTATGCGCACCAGGATATCAAAGACGATATCAAGGCGGGTGTGAAATCTTTGGCTGTTAGGCTCGGCGAGAGGACAAAGTTGGGGCTTGGAGTGCTGAGCACCATTCAGGTTGGTTTGCTTGTGGCCACTGGGTATCTCTGTGACCTCAGCTGGTCATACTTTTCGAACGGGTGCGGTGGTGCTGCGTTGTCGCTGTTTGGAATGCTCTATCTGGTGGATCTCGAGCGACCGGAGAGCTGCGCGTGGTGGTTTGGTCCCGGCTCGAAATTGGTAGGAGCAAGTGTGGTCCTTGGGTTTCTCGGGCACTACTTTATGCTTACTGGCTTTTGAAAAGCTAGGCGTCGAGCGGCAGACGGGGTTCCCTCTGGTCTGTTCTGTTTTTGTTCAATGGCGAGATTGGCGGGCCTGGAAAAACTTTTTGGGAATTCTCTCTTGCGATTCAGTCTCCGCGAAGCTCCGCTGTCATCGACTCGGGCGGCAGTTCCCTCGTGCCCTCGTTGGCCCAACAATCTCCCCTCCACCTCCGCATTCACCGATACCGTTCCCATCGCATGCGATCCACCTCCCTGGCTAAAACATTCCGTAGCCTGCTTGATCTATAATTTTCATAGTCTCCCGTATTCAACAATCGTTTCCAGACATTATCACCTTCATTCATCATCGTCGTCTTCGCTATCACTCATCCACCCCTCTTCATATTCATCAGCCATAGCAGCCAAACCATCACAAAGAGCCTCACGCTCATCAACAGATGTCATTCGGGACGCAACATTACCAATGGCACGCAGTCTTTCAGATATCTGGCTCGAAGTTTGGAGTGCAGTCTTGACCGCGACTTTCTGCGGCCTACCGGGAAAGTGTAAGACGCTCGTGGGGTAAGAAGATAGCATCGGAAAGAGAAGAGCGGTCATAAACTTGGACGTTCGGGGACCACCATACTGACGGCGTCGTGTCTCTGTTGTATCTTGGCCGTCGTCGTGGTCACTTGCTGTCTCACTTCGTATTGTGGATACTTTGCTGAAGATCTGGGGATTTGAAGTTCTGGATTGTCGCCGAGATTCGGATGCAGAAGATGCGGATACATGCGGGAAGAAGTCGATGTCGAGGATTTCTTCGGGTTCGTTACTTTGATCTTCTCCATGTTCTGTGATGCCGTTTGACATTCGTTCGTCGCCATTGGTTCTGTGGTTAGCCGCTCTCGGACCGCTCGTAAGAGAAGTGACGCTCGCTGACAAAGATAGGCCGGCGATACGACGGTTTCCGTCGCCATTCAAAGTCGTTTCGAGAGTATCGAACGTTGCTCGTCCTGACTGTGCAGACCGTAAACGAGTTGGCAAAGTTGTTGATTCAATGGCCGCCGCCTGTAAAGCCGATGTGCTCCATTGACTGAACGCGTCCAGCGAGACATAACTCGGTAGGTGTGGCGGTAGGTTATGCACGGGAATGTGTATCGATGCGGAGGGATCGAGGGCATACAAAGATTGCGCAGTATTGGCCAGTCGCTGTGACTGTCGGTCCCGCGTGGTACGCTGAGAGTCGGAAAGGCCAAAGAGCCATCGGCAGCCTTTGCCAAGCTCATCATTGACGCGCTCGAGATATTTGGACGCAAAGCCACCCCAAGCGTCATCTGTAGTAGAGAAGAGCTGAATACCTTGCAACTGGTCGCATTCTTCCAAGAAGGGTCGCAGGTCACGGTCTAGTAGATCATGCTCTCGATCGAGATTGGCAAAGAGCTCCTCACCTTTCGACCACAGTTCGAACGGCATGAGATCGCTGTTAAGCTCATATTCGCTCAGCTGAATGATGCTTCGAGGGTGGTAGAAGATGTGATTATAATCAGACCAGAAGCGAACGGAGTCGGTACTCAAGCTGGGGGGCGGCACTCCAGCATCCAGTGCGGTTTGATACGGACTCGCAGCGATACGTGGTAAGTGAAGAGCTTCTCTGACCCCGGTCCATTGGCCTTGACGAGCTGGATCCTCTTGATTCTGCAGTTCGTAGAGTGCATTCTCGCGTCGGAGAGTGCCGAAGGCGCCCTTCAGATCGTACAGCAGTGTGCGAGGAGTGTAGGTTTCTGCCCCATCAGCACCGATGCCCGCGCGGAAGGAGATGTCATGATCTACAGGAGACTCGTCCTCGCCGGAGTAAGTGAAGTAGGATTCCTGGTAGTCACATGGCAGTAGTTAGGGGGGATGTGGACAAATAGCCTGCGCACATATGCCCAGATAGTGTTGCCCACCTGAGTGTTCCAGTAGTGCGTGCCAAGGTAGTTAGCCTGCTGGCCAAACTGCAGCGTCACGATTTCTCGCATTGCTTTGATGATGGGAGCGAGAACACAAGGTCGGTGTTGGCCAAGTTCGAATTTGGGTTGGATGGGATATGGAGAAAGAAGCTTCACGGGACGGGAGGTTCCGGACCGTCGGCATCCGTCTCCCGAAGTCCCGAGTCTTCCGACTGCCCCCCTGGCATTCCATGTATCTGTTGTGCATTGATGTATTGCATGTGACGATGATCTACAACGCCCTCATTATTATCGACAGTTCGACACTTGCAACCATCCACGCTTATACACCTACCTCCTACACCTTGAAGTAGCTCATCTTGGAGCCAACGACGGACCACGACCGCCAGCCGCGCATGGTTCATCGCTGCGCTTTCGGCGGCGCGAGACGGATCTCCACTGTCGTCAAACCTACCTTGAGCCTTACGGTAGCTCTGGGCAGCGCATACCTCCTACCGACCACTGCTACGATCCCCTCCCCGCGACTGCCGCATCGCATTACTCGCACTCCGCTCTGTTAGCACCACCATCCGTGCCTACCGGTCGAGCTTGTTCGTCTTACATCATGGCGACTGCTGCCGTTGCACGGCCGGGACAAGCTCTGCGCACACGACGCGACAACATCGCGCCTATTGGCGACCGGAAGCGCGAACGAGACCGCACTGGCGGCATGGACAACAATGGAGGACAAGCGCTGCCGCCACCGCCGCCGACGAAGAAGCGACGACTCGATGAGCCTCATGTCATCACCAAAGACTACATCCTGCGCAAGTTTGCCGGCCGGCCGCCGTCGCTGGTGTTGCATCTGCACACCAACTACTTCCGCCTGGGCTCGCAGGAAGGCAGCTGGCCATACGACTCGCCCATGAAGTTCCTGCTGGCGGACATCCGGAGAGAGCGCGTGCCGGATCAGATGCTGGAGGAGCTGCTGGCCAACAATGTGCCCTTCTACGACGGCTGTCTCATTGTCGAGGTCCACAACCACCGCGGTGCGTCGACAGGGAAGAGCAAGCGGAACGATTCGGCGACGAGTGGGACGCGCTATTCGATGCACAACTACAACAGCTATGTGACGCCGTCTCCCTTGGTGGAATATCCTAAGCAGGCCCAGCAAGAGGCGGCAGAGAAGGCCGAAGCGGAGAAGGCGCGCGCCTCGAACGATAAGGGCAAGCAACAGCAGCAGCAGGATGGCCCAAATATCGCGACGCTGGTCCTATTTCCCACCGAGTTGACCCGACACCAGGAGATGTTGATTTTGGCAAAAACGCCCGCCTCACAAATGCCGCGTAGGAAAATGGGTACCGACGAGCCTACCACCCCGCAGCTTTCACTACCTCCCACCCCCATGGCCGCCACCGCCGGTCGCGCGACTCCCGAAGATAACAAGATGTGCCTGGAGCCAGAAGACTTGTACGACTTTCAAGCCGAAGTTTTGCTAGCAACACAACCGCCCCTCCTCTTGGATACTGTGGATGGGCCAGAAGCTGCACAAAAGCTTCTCGAGTCACTGGCCCATCCTCTCCATCAAGCAGCGCCGCCCTCGCCCAAGACTCGTAAGAGAACCACAGCAGAGTTGGCGGCGGACGATGAGAAGGCGGCCGAGGCGGAGCGTCGTATGCTTGTGATGGACGAGCGAATCAAGGTTGGAGGAAGCGCGGGTGCTACGGAGAATGCAGGCACTGCGGCAGCGGCCTTCAGCAGATTCAAGACGCTACAAGTCGTGCGCGAGAAGTTGGAGCAACAAGCGCGAGAAAAGGAGGAGCAGGACAAGCAGGCACAGAAGCAAAAAGATGAAGCCGCGGCGACCGCTGCACGGCAACAGAAGGCGGCGCAAGAGCTGGCCGAGGCAAATGCTGCCGCCATGAAGCAGCGGCAGCAGCAGGCGATGCTGAGGCAGAGACAACAACAACAAGCACAAGCACAGCAACAGGCATATCAGCAACAGCAAGCCGCCCATGCCCATCCGCAGCAGAACCTCATGGCTCAGCAGCAGCAAGCCATGCATGCAGCAGCCATCGCACAGGCGAGCCCCGTCGTCAGGCAACAGACGCCTATGATGAACTCTTCACCAATGATGAATGGAAATGGATTCACCATGCAACCCACAACGACAACTCAAGGCGCTGGTAGTCCTCCTCGGCCGACGTCCGCTACGGTGCCGAATGCAAACACAGCAATGCAACGCCAAGTCAGCCAGCAGCAGCACGCGAGCCGTAACGCGACACCGCAGATGCCGCAAGCCACCCCTAACATGGGTGGCCTACCGAACAGACAAATGAGCCAGACTCCTCGTATGCCGCAAGCAAGTCCCGCGCCTGGCACGCCTGCTTCTAATGGCATGGGCGGGTTGCCCATGCAACTTCCAGCAGGTATGAGTCAAGAGCAGTACCAGATGCTGCGAGCACAACAGATGGCCAACCAACAAAATGCTATGGCCATGCAGTCTGGCTCCCCTGGGCAGCATAACCTGACCGCCGAGCAAATTTCAAACATTGCTCAGCAGAGGGCTCAGGCGCATTTCAACCACCAAATGACTATAGCTCGAAACGCGAACAACCCGGCTATGGCACAGGCCATTCAACAGCGTCAAGCGGCAATGATCCGACAACAAAATCTGGTGCAACAGCAACGCATGCAAATGGCACAAAATGGTCAAAGTCAGAGTCCCCACGCTAGCATGCAGGGCACGCCGCAGATGAATCACGCTCATCCTCAGCAAAGTGACGGCACACAAATGCAGATGACACCCCAGCAATTGCAACAGAGGCAACTGATGCAGCAACAACAGATTCGTCAAGCCACGGCGACCTTGACTCAACTGCAACAACAGTATGGCAGTATAAACGCCATTCCACAGCAGATTCTTCAGTCGCTCCCACCCACGGCACAGATGATGGTCAGAAACCACCACCAGAAACAGAATGCGGCTCGAGCACAGCAAATGGCAGCAAGAGCTCAACAAGCTCAACAGCACGGACAGCCAGTGGCAGGCAGCAGTGGCGGGGATCCTGAATACATGCAGACTTTACGTGCCCATCAGGAAATGCTACGGCAACAGACTGCGGCAGCAGCAGCAGCAGCACAAGGAAATGGCGGGATGGCTGGAAATATGGGCATGAATATGGGCATGAACAATCAGCAGCAGCAACAGCAGCAGCAGCAGCAGCAGCAGCAATTCAACAATCAGCAAGGTGGCGGCGGCGGTGGAGGCGGGGGTAACGTTGATCCGCTGAACCATCATTTACAGGCTATGCACAGGGCGTTACAGCAGCCGCCGAGTAATAGTCAAAACGGACAGATGTAGCAAGAGTTTCTTGAGGACTGGATTGTGGGGGCCGAGGGCTTGGAGCGCAAGATAGATGGCACATCGGACCGATTGGAAAGAAATCTGAGGGTTTGGAGGCCGAATAAATAGGCACGCGTGCGCAAAGAATATTCCCTACACAATCAAGCAGCAATCGAGGGGCTTGACAGCGGGGTGCCAGCATGTTATTGGTATGGATACGTATGGTTGAAAAAGGGCTGATGAGTTCGTTCCCAGTGCATGGGAAGAACAGGGCTACTAGGTAGCCATTGGGAGAGGGGTTGGAAGCTCCTGGCTATGACCTACATCTTGGCAATGGAAATAAATAGCTGACTACAGTATAACAGCTATAAGCAGCATAAAGTCTCGCGAGTTGGACAGCCAAGGCCCAAGGGCCCAAGAGCTCTGCTAACCTAGTAAACGCATTGTTCCGTGCTGCAGTGGGGTTACTGGGGTGAAGAGGATCGGTTCGAGTGTGGTCGACTCGAGCGGTTGAATATTCAGGCAAAGAGAAGCCAATGGGAATTCTCCCGAGCGTTGGCCAAGAACGAGACCACATCAAACATGCCTAACACCGACACTTGCGCAGGCATTATTATAGTCCCCTAACCTGGCTAATGGCCTAATGCTACAACAGGCGGGATGTGGAGAACATGGAGCCGTACGCAGCTATCCCAGCACAGCACCGTGTCCACGCACAGGCACAGCTCTCTCCAGCTCCCATCGACATTTAAGCACAATAACGACCTCGAACTCACCTTCGTCCTTCTCCTCAGCCTATACCAGGAGCGACTTCGCCGTCCACATCATCTGCAAGAATGGGCGACATGGGCATTGACAAGGACAGAAGACCGGACTGGGCCAATCTGTCTGTTCTTCACCGCAACACATTACAGCCACGCTCCTCGTTCTTGGGCTACAGCAACGAACAAGATGCTCTGGCGAGAGACGCATCGAAAGCAAAGGCAATTTCGCTCTCTGGGCTGTGGAAGCTCCAACTCAGTAACTCGCCCTTAGAGGCGCCAGCAGGCTTTGAGTTGGACGACTTTGACAGCTCCGAATGGGCTGACGTAGCAGTGCCTGGCATGTGGCAGCTCCAGGGCTTTGGACGAGGACCTCACTATACCAATGTCCAGTTTCCTTTCTTCGTGGACCCTCCCTACCCGCCATATACCGACAATGAAACGGGCTCATACCTGACAAGATTTCAGGTGCCCAAAGAGCTCGAGGATCATCAGCTTCGGCTCCGATTTGAGGGTGTAGACTCTGGATTTCATGTGTACGTCAATGGCAAAGAGGTCGGATACAGCCAGGGGGCTCGGAATCCTTCCGAGTTTGATGTTACCTCATTCGTGAAGTTGGGACAAGACAACAGCCTGGCAGTGCGCGTCTATCAGTTCACAGACGGCAGTTATATCGAAGATCAAGATCAATGGTGGTTGTCAGGCATATTTCGCGACGTCTTCTTGCTTGGTTTTCCGCAGGACAACCGTGTGGAAGACTTATCGGTGCAAACCCTGCTCGACGACGAGTATCGTGACGCTACCCTGGAGGTTCAAGCGATCATCACTGGCATAGGAGAAGTCTACTTCAAGCTCATAGATGCTGCGGGAAATGAAATTGCCACTTACCAAACCGTGAAGAGAGAAAAGACGACGGACGTGATCTCCATTTCCATGCCTGTGAAGGACCCTCACAAGTGGACTGCTGAGACGCCATATCTTTACAGTCTGGTTGTCTCACTTGCTGGCCATCATATATCCCATCGCGTAGGCTTCAGGCAGGTCGAGCTCAAGGATGGTCTGATCCAGGTCAACGGCAAGAGGGTGGTCTTCAAAGGTGCCAATAGACACGAGCATCATCCCATCTCAGGTCGCACTGTGCCGTACGAATTCATGAAACAAGATCTGCTTCTGATGAAGAGACACAATCTGAATGCTATCAGAACATGCCATCAACCCAGTGATGTGAGATTGTACGATCTATGTGATGAGCTGGGTCTGTGGGTAATGGATGAGGCGGACCTCGAGTGTCACGGATTCGAAACCATCGCAGACGCTGCTCTCAGCCCTGCTGACCAAGCCTTGCCCTTTTTCGAGAGACAGAAACTCACGAGATCCGAAGCTGCAAAGTGGACCTCTGACAATGCTCTTTGGAGAGACGCATACCTCGATCGTGCACAACAGCTTGTGCATCGGGACAAGCTCCATCCTTCTGTGATCATCTGGAGTCTGGGCAACGAGGCGTTCTATGGTCAGAACCACACCGCCATGACAGAGTGGATTCATGAGTACGATCCTACGAGGCTTGTACACTACGAGCCTGATCTCCAAGCAGAGCATGTCGACATGCACTCTCGCATGTATCCGAACATCTCGGATATCGTCAAATTTGCCGGTAGCGAGTCAAAGAAGCCATTAGTGCTCTGCGAGTACATTCATGCCATGGGTACGGGTCCTGGTAATATCAAAGAATACATCGATGCTTTCTACAAATACCCTACGCTGCAAGGAGGTTGGGTCTGGGAATGGGCCAACCATGGGCTTCTGACCAAAACGAAGGATGGGAAATCTTTCTTTGGATATGGCGGTGACTTCAAGGACATTCCAAACGACTACAACTTTGTCATGGATGGCGTGCTGAACTCTGATCATTCCGTGCGTAGCGCCCTAGCTGAGTACAAGAAAGCGGTCGAGCCCGTACAGGTGATTTCCGCAGACCCTGAAGGAATTACGATCGTTAATCGCTTGGATTTCGGCACTCTGGATGACTTTGAAGTGACATGGTCTACAATTGACGATACTGGGAACAACCAGCAGTCCGGCTCGCTTGAGCTGCCAAAGGGCATCCAGCCTGGATCTGAGGCAATGCTCCCTTGGCCCGGCAGTAGAGGTCTCGCCTCGAAGGAGATCCTATTGAACCTTCGATTTGTGCTCAAGGAGTCTACGACTTGGGCTGACAAAGGACACGAGGTAGCGGTACTGCAGGTACAATCGACTGATCCCCAGCCCGTGATTCTCAGCACCGTTGGTGCCAGCCATAAGGCCCTCGAGACCTCAGCTTCTGCGACTCGGTTGTCACTGAAAAGTGGCGATGCGGAGTGGCAGTTCGACCTTGTTCAGGGCCATTTGAAATCCTGGAAGAAGAATGGGACCGAGCTGGTTGCTCAGCCGCTGGAACCCACCTTCTACAGAGCACCGACCGACAACGACGCCCCTCGTGATGGTAAGGATTGGAAGGACCGGTTTCTTCACCTAGCCCGAATTCATACAAGAGAAGCGAAGTGGCAGAAAAGTGATGAGGGCAACGTGGTCGTGCAACTCGAGCAAAAGTTTGCCCCTCCTGTCCTCTCCTGGTCTCTCGATCTCCAGACCACATACACGTTCTGTGCCTCTGGGACGGTCAAGATTGACATCAAGGGCACCCCGCGTGGTCAGAACCTCCCTCAGACTTTACCGCGCATCGGTCTCACTATGGGCTTGCCAAAGACATTCGACAACGTCGAATGGTTCGGTCGCGGACCCGGCGAAAGCTACAAAGACATGAAACTCTCACAACTCGTAGGCCACTATACATCCACCGTCGATCAACTCTGGGTGCAACCCGAATTTCCGCAAGAGAGCTCGAATCGTACGGATACCCGATGGGTCAAATTATCCTCTTCTGCAGCACAGACGAGCTTGACCGCACAATTTACCAAGCCGCAGTCGGTCGATATGCCGGATGCTGCTGCCCCGAGGCACCTTTTCGATTTCATGGCGAGTTATTACGATGTGAAGGATGTTGATGAAGCGCAACATCCTTTTGCACTCGAGGAAATGCGGAAGGATTATGTGGTTTTGAGATTGGATGCTGATCATCATGGGTTGGGAACGGGCTCGTGTGGGCCGAAGACTCTTGAGGAGTATGCTCTGAAAACGAAGGAGTTTGAGTTTACTGCTGTTCTGAGTTGATAAGCGAGGATGTGAATATCTCTTTCTTTCTTTCTCTCTTTCTCTCTCTCTCTCTCTGTGTGTGTCTGTGTGTGTGGCTTCGTTCTTGATCAAGATGTGGCAGTACCATCCATGCGTTAGCGAGCAAAAAAGAAAGAAAGAAAGAAAGAAAAATTCTTGACCTATTTTGTCGTTTTACCCAACTTCGGGAAAGGACGTCAGGAACTGAACGAAATATAATGAATGGCTTTGCTGTGAACTTAACAACGGGAAAATTCCCCAGTCTCTGTTTTTATTTTTCCCCCCTCTTTCTGGCAACCTCCCGCTACCACAACTCCACTAACAAACAGACTACCATATTCTTCTCCCTTCCTTACTTCCTCTTATTATTATTCACCTCTATCTATCCACCACTCGACCTCGACCCTAGCCGGCCGCAACATTCCATCTTTCCTCTCGCCAATGCCACCAGATATTTTCGGATTTGCCGTTTTCGTTGTCCTTATTATCATAATCTACTACTACTCCTCCTCCTACTACTACTGCTACTACTGCTGATCGTCGGTTACTCGTCCAGTAGTACTCTGAGCCTGTGAGGCAATAGATAGGGGAGGTGGAAGAGGATGGAGTGGAGGTAAAGCTCGCAGTGCAAGGATCTCGAGAGGGATATGTCTTTTGTCCTCTGATGTTACGAGAAGAAGATTTGATTGGGTTGAGGGGTGGGTGGTTGATATATTGAGTCTGTGGGGTAGGTGATAATGTGCTGTCTGTAGAAGGAAATTTGGGGTAGAGTTGTTGTTGTTGTTGTTGTTGTTGTTGTTGTTGTCTGGTGGTGATAGACGAGATTTTGAGAATTTGATAAGGAGGAGGAAGTGGAGGTTTTTTCTGTAAGATGAAGATGGAAGAGATTCCATTTCGAGAGGTCATGTTGTGGTTGGATAAGAGCTGATGTTTTGGCTACCTACCCCGAGGTGTTTTAATTGGGTTGCTGCTACGAGGAAATACTTACTTGGTTGTTAAGTATGCTTTTCTTTGTTGTGTGTCTTGTGGTATAAGGTTAGCAGCTGCATTCGGGTTTGCATTGTGAATGTTCTCCTTTGATGTTCTCCTTTGTTTCTCCTATACTATGCAAAATGGTTTGATAGGCTACAGGACTGCTTCACTACTACATGGAATTACCGCACCCGGAATTATTCTATTACGCTCCAAGATCCGGCAGTGCTGTTGGGCTCGGCTTGCTCAGCTGTCTGTTAAGCATACATTCCTCACTTTGAACTTGCTGATCTCGAAGTCATCGATAACATCTCCTATTGGAATGTTTGACTCTTCCTTCATTTTCGATTACGGCGCGCACTTGTCCAAGATAGTTGGCTTTTGTGCTACTCTTGGAATCCGCTCCGGGCCCGCTGCACTCTTAGTAGATATAGATCTTTGTAGCAAGTCGTTGTATTGTGCATAACTGCAAAAGATTTCTTCCCGAGAGAAGATTTCAATCTAACACCTTGAGGCTTCCTGAGCGAACCTCGTTGTCTTAGCCATATTTCAAGAGCCGCTCAAATGTGTAGTATTCGCCTTTTGGAATCCAAATCTGATGCTTTGGGGCCCTCCTGTGATACAAACAAGGATAGAGCTCATTTCCACCATGGGTTCGGTATAAGGCTGACTTGTTACAGTCACCGCAACGCACAAAATAGACTTTCTCTTGGCTCGACATAAAGTCTCGAAATTGGTCGAGATGGTTCCACATAATGGACTTGTCCTGATCAATCACATCACGATAGCCAGGGACTTTCAGAAGAGGAAGAAGATGCTTCGTCTCTAGTTGTTGTGCGACGTTCAAATGATCTGATTCCAAGGTGTTTTGTCGAATCTGAGTTATAGTCGCGAACACTGCCTCCGGTTCAATAACAGCGCTGGCGACTCTCATAAACTTCTCCTTCGCTATAGCAGCAAGGTCTAACAGTAGATACTGGTTACTGGTCAGGGTTTTTCCATGTTCGGCGTGTATTACAATGCATACCTTTTGCGCCGTCTTCGCGACCTCGAGTTGGAGTTGCCAGTTGCCGTCTTCGTCGGTCTGACTTTGTCCAGAGTATATGTATCGCAGTACATACTCGACTGCATCAGGATCGTCTTCCTTCAATTCTACCACTTTCGTGTTGCCTTCCTAAGACTCATCAACTTGATAGGTCCAGCTACAAGTCCGCTATGCCACTCACGGCAAAGTGGCTTCCAGGGCCGCAGAGCTTTTTGAAGTAGTCAGACTTGGTGCACAAGACCAGTTTGTGGCAATGCACAGTCCTGCCACTGAATTGTATAGTGACATCGGAGTATTCTGGCTCGTTGTACAGCGCCAGCGTTGAGAGCGACATCTTTGTCGATAATTGCGGTGTGTCCGTAGGAGGTAGTGCGTAGCATCTATATTCAAACAGGCGCTGAAGGATCCGACATGTTTTGCCAAGCTGTGCTTTGATTGGCTATATTCAATCTTATCATCACGTGATCCCCAGCCCCTTCACGTAGATATACCTGTACTACCTCCTAGATGATACGCCGCTCCGCTATGTCCGGATACATTGGCACTAAGGTAACTATCCTTTATGCATTGAAACCAGACGCATCTGTTGCCGCAGGCTTTGCATTCGGCGCAATGCAGCAACTATGAGCAGGAATCCTAATGCCTCCGCGAGGTACGGCACAGGGCTTTATGCCCTCGATCTTTCTCTGGCGAGCGTGACTGCAGACGCTTCCGACACCCGGTCGGTACAACAATAGATATACTGCTAGCTGAGCGTCGTGCCGATTCTGGCGTTGGCATGACGAAAGGACTAACTAAGTTGTTGTCTGGCACGAGACCGGGCTCTGGCGTCTCTGTCGACGCCACTGTATTCAGGCCTCGATCCCGCAATATGTCAACGTGAGGTGTACAAGGATGACGCCTTGGTTCCGCATCAGCTGGAGATGTTGCAATTACTTGCTGATCTGTAGCATTTGGCCCACATCCACGTGAAATAACATGATAGCCGATGTTCTCGGCGACTACCTCTGGTTGTAGCTCTGACAGGTCAATCCTTGTTAAGCATCGCCCATACGGTGCGATTTCAAGACCTGCCCGTGAGCGCCAGGGTTTGACATGCTCGGGCGAGTCGAGGTTCGCCCAGAGCTGATGCAAGCTTGTTCCGTGGTCTGGTGCTTGGCCAATACCGAACGTGACACTGTTCGTCTCAAACTCTTGTTGAGGATTCCTCTCGAAGTGGCTAAGCATTGCGGCAGCCACTCGGACATTGGAAATCTCTCGAGCAGCGTTACCGAGGGTCCGGCGCTCCAGTTCGCCATCTCTGACTTGCCCTTCTACGCGCTGCAGTTTTTCGATGGGGTCTGCAAACTTAATCTCCAACTCTGAGAGCATCTTCTTATGCCCTTCCAGTTGGTGCGCTAGGATTTCACGATGATCCATCAGGTCTTCGCACTCGATCTCGAGTGTGCGCAGCTCTGTCCTGATCAGGTCGTGTTGATCGCGAGTCTGGCGCAATTCACCTGCTGCGGCGTACTTGTGGTCCTGGAGGCCTTGGATGGTCTTGTAGAGCTCTTGGAACATGACGTCTTTTGTTGGGAAACCGTCGCTTCGAAAATTCCACTTGCTCATCTCGGCAATCTGCTTCTTGACAGTGGCCTGCTGAGTGGCACACGATTGTGAGAGCTTCTCCTTTTCGGCGACAGCGACCTCTAACCCCTCGGTCAGTTGACGGAGATTAGCCTTCAGTGCGCTGTTCTCTTCTGAAAGTAACTTGCACCGGAGTGCCTTTGAAGTCTTATCGCTCAGAAGTTGAGCCATCGCCTTGTCTTTGGCACCGATTGTATGTTCCAAGGTGGATGTTAGAGAGTGTAGCTGTTTAATCGTCTGTTCAGATTTGGAAAGACTGTTCTTGGTGGTGGCTAGTTCTCTAGAGGCGAAATCCGCTTTTTTCAGAGCCGAGCTCGTCTCGTTTTCGAGGCGACGGAGTGTTGCGCTATGTGTGGTGTTCTCCTTTTTCAAATTCTTGCTCGCATCTTGCGCCAGCTTCAGCCTGGTGAGCAGTTGGTTGTGCTCGCGCTGGAGAGCGTCATGCTGAGCCCGAGCATCTTTGACTTTGGCGACCTGGTCGGTCAGATAACTGTTCCGGTTTCGCAAGTCGTCGATGTGGGCAGCGGCCCTGTTGCCGAAGTCTCGGAGTAAGGATGCGAAATCCATGCCACCTTCGGTATCCGCCATGATATGGCCTTCTATAACAGATGCTGGTGCCCTGGTGGTGCGTCCGGAGACACTTGTTATGTTTTGTCAGAGTGTAGAGCTGCAATTGATGAAGAGTTATAAGATCTTGATCATCAACGATCCCATCCGCTTCACTCTACCTGCTCACGTCACTGCAGATGCATCGACAAACGAATCTTGCAGCACGTCCCAGCGACGTTCGCACCTACCACTTCCGTTTTGACGATGGGCGTTGATTGCATGGCGGCCACGACCGTCGGCACGGCCGACTGCATGGCTGCCAGCGGCACCCATCCATCTTCCACGGTCCACCTATTCCCATGCTCATGCCCATTCCAATAACCTACATGTGAGCCACTCTACTGCAACGAGCGTGAAGTTCCAAGCTCTTCCAGTCGTCGTCAACCTCGATGCTGCGCCGCGCTCGACGTCCATGTTCAGCGGATGCATGGTACTTGCTGATATTCGCTCGCTCTGGAGTTCTTTCCGGAGCTCTTGATCACGGTGACGACGACAACTAAGAGTGGGTGTGGTGACGGGGCTGGGTCGAATGGAGGTAGGTGGTAGGTGGTAGGGTGGAAGGCAGACGAAGGAACGGTAAGGTATGTTGGTAGAAAGTACCTACTGTAGGTAGAAAGTAGAATGATGCCGACTTCCGATCGGCAGTGCCAAGCAAGCAGATAAGATAAGGTAAGCACCGATGCTACCTCCTAAGCAGAATGAGCAGATCAGGGTCGAATGGAAATGCACCACTGTCCAGTGTCCACTGTCCACTGTCCACCAACTTGCAACTAAAGTGACGTTGCCAAGAGACGAAGCTTTGGCTTAGAGTAGCTTATCGTAAGCTACCGTCAGGAACGCCTTCCTCTTCCAGCTTGGTCTCCTACCTCTGACCATCATGGCGTTACAGTAAGGTAGGATTTCCCATTACACCCGTCGCATCTGGTCGCCTCGCATGACCTATTTGAGCCAAATGTGCAAGAAACCGGTGTGGACGGCATCGTGGACGATGTACTGTACAAAAACATCGTTGGCGGGCTCCACTGCCTCTGCCCTCCTCTCCCTCTCCCTCTCCCTTCTCCTTCTCCCTCTCCTTCACCTGCTTCCTCCTCCTCTGCTTCTCCCTCCCCATCCCCCTCTTCCTCTCCCTCTTTCTCGCAATGGCATCCCTCCTCCTGGGAGCCTCCTCGCTCTTGGCCGTATTGACTGCTCCAGCCGCGAACGCGCAGTTCGTGACTCCTCCCACCGATCTTACAGATTCGAAAGGCTATTTGGACATTCCTGTACGATTCAAAGAAGTGCCAGAGGGCATCTGTGAGCTCACTCCAGGCGTCAAGAGTTATTCGGGCTATGTCGATGTGTTCGAAGACCAGCACGTCTTTTTTTGGTTCTTCGAAAGCCGGCAAAAAGATCCGGAAAATGCTCCTCTAACAGTGTGGATTAATGGTGGACCTGGCTCCTCCTCGATGATCGGGCTTTTTCAAGAACTGGGCCCATGTGGCGTGGATGCGAATGGGGATGTTTACAACAACCCCTACGCTTGGAAGTAAGCATGCCGGAATGCAGATGGGAATGGCCACGCTGACTGGCAGCAGCAATGCTTCAAACATGCTCTTCATCGATCACCCTGCTCAGGTGGGCTTCAGCTATTCGACCCCGATTCCGGGATATCAGACATCTTCCGACATTATTCAACTGCCCAGCGCAGAATGCCCAGACTATGCTGCAGGCACCTGTGGAACCTACAGCTATCCGAACCAGACGGACACTGCCAACTCCACAATCAATGCCGCTCCTAGCATGTGGAGAACGCTTCAGGGGTTCATGGGCGCATTTCCTCAGTATTCCAGGAACGAGTTCAACTTTGCTACAGAGAGTTACGGAGGCCACTATGCTCCCATTTTCAACTCCTACATCGAGTCTCAGAATGCTCTCATCAAGGACGAAAAACTGCCGGGAGCACACCACATCGATCTTACTACTGTGCTGATAGGAAATGGTACGTTTATCGAATTCGACGTGTCGTCCACTACAAAGTGCCGGCTAACCTCTGGATTCCAACATTAGGTTGGTATGATCCATTGACGCAGTACGAAGCCTACTACAACTACTCGGTATACCCTGGGAACACATACGATTATGATCCATACAATCAGTCCATCAAGGATCAAGTGTACAACTCGATGTATGGAACGGGGAACTGCTACGACCAGACTGTTGATTGCAATACGAGAGGAATCAATGAGGTGAGTACTACCAGCTGTGCTCTACCGCGCTACTTGTACTGAGTTGTATTCAGATTTGCACTGCGGCAGACAACTTTTGTGCCACGGAAGTTGAGTTTGTCTTGGACTCAGTCACTGGCCGAGACGAATACGACATTCGCGAACTCACACCTGATCCATTCCCATATGCATTCTACGTCGACTACCTGAACACTCCCAAAGTTCAGCAGGCCATTGGTGCCTATGTCAACTTCAGTGAATCAAACTCTGCAGTCAGCAACGCCTTTGGTAGTACTGGGGACGACGACAGGGAGGAAGGCACAATCGAAGCAGTCCGCAAATTGGTCAACAATGGGATTTACGTTGTCCAGTATTATGGAGATGCGGATTACAACTGCAACTGGCTAGGTGGTCAAGCGGTCTCGAAATTGATCGATGCGCCCGGGTTCACGTCTGCTGGATACGAGAACTTCACAACCTCGGATGGAATCGTACACGGTCAGGTCAAGCAGTCCAATAACTTTGCATTCGTGCGAGTCTATGAATCTGGGCACGAGGTGCCATTCTACCAGCCTGTCCTATCACTTGAGATGTTTGAGCGGGCGATCGATGGCAAGGATATTGCAAGCGGCACAGAGAGCTGCTTCGAAGCGTACAAGACAGTGGGCACAGCTGAGAGCACATACCGAGAGGGCAACAGAACGGTACAGTTCACCGTACTGCCCATCGATTCGACATACAATACTACGACAGACGCCCCCAACTTTGTCAATGGCACCAGCAGTGCTATTTCAGCTAGAAGGTCAGTAAACATGAAGAGAACAGGTTCCAGAAAGAGGGCTTTTAAGCCCTCGTTTCAGAGCAGGAATCAAAGGAGGTGAACAGTCACACTCAGGACTTGATATGGCAGTCTATATGTACAGCATAGCATGAGAATGAGCATGAGCATGAGCATGAGCATGAGCATGAGCATGAACTGGACGGCCCGGGCTCTTCTCGGAGGGTAATGTGAACATAGGTACATATATGTAAGTACAGGTATTGAGCAGAACGGTCGTGTATCTGTCGTCAGCATCTCAACTACTGCTGCCTGTAGATACGTCTTGGGAGTTGTGCCGCACGATACTCCTTGCTGGTCTTGTGGGCTATTTCAATCAGGAAACAACTGTGTGGTATAGATTGTGCCCTCATTAGATGCAGTAGTTCATAGTTGAATGTAAGAGAAGCTAATATCAAGTTTCAGGTACATGTGTAAATAACTCCGGCGTAAATAATTGCCAGGTGAAGTGTCGAAGATAGGGAGAATGACGTGAATGTTAGCGGCCCTGGACTCGAACTAGGGCAAGGTAGGTGCCTTGAGGTATGGGCCACCCTCTGCAGCAAGCAGCACACGATACCTTATCATCAGACAATACTACAAAGACACCACCTCATCTGGCAATCGACTTCTCTTCCTCTTCTTGCCATGTTCTGCTTACGGTCGTTTGCGCCGATTGTAATCTTCCTGTGAGCTAATGAAGCCTCGTCACATAATGCGTGCATACCAGGTAGCTGACCATCACCAGGCTGAACGCATCTCCCATCTACACAGTCGCCTTCCTCTCCGCCTACTTCTACCTCCAGCGACCATGCGTCTACTGCAGCATCCTGCTATTTGTCCTCGTCTTCTCCATCTTCGACTTCAGCGCAGACTGGTTTGAGCCGCGATGGAACATGAGCACGAGCGCACTCTCGCAAACGGCGGCCGCATACTTGAGCGGCAACGCCACGCTCACCGAAGTCATCATGCAAACTACCAGCTTGGCTGTATCTGCGATCAATGGAACAGGCGGCTCCGTCGCGAGTGCTGCCGCGAGTAGCGTGAGACGGAAGCTGGGAGACAATGCGACTTCTGCCGCCGTGACGAGCATACCACAGGGATTGAACGCCTTCGAGTGGTTGAGGACAATTTTGGATAAGAAGCAGTTGAGGATACAGTGCTTGGGCGTGGTGGTCCGAATATGACCTGCGCGCATGCTACGTTTGCTGACGAGGGTTACGAGGCGGCATTTACAGGATATGAGCGCGGGCAGGGCATGGTTGGAGTTTATGAGCATTTCCTTGGGGGCAACGAAAATTGGCTTGACCACGCAGGGAATGGTCGAGCCAACAGAGCGAGCAGATGGCACGGTCACTAGTCTTATCCCTTTGGCAGAGGCGTGGCACAGTAGTATACACAGCACATGAGCAGCAGAACTCCCATCATCATCATCATGCAATGCTTACCTAAGCTCCTCGCGAAATTCGGTTCCCTATGTTGTTCGCTTCTCACGTGGTGGCGCGACAAGCTACCTCCTAGGAGGTAGATCGACGGTAAGGTCAGGTACCTTACGGAGGTACATGTACTGTGTACATTCCATGCGTGACCGTATACGGCGTATAGCTTCCCTTGACACACATCACCGCACCACCATCAACCACGACTCGCTGGATCTGGGAGCAGGGTATCTATAGGAGGTAGATGGCAGATACCTACATGTTACCTACATGACACCTAGTCACATGCACGCTTGGTCTCGGCTTACTACAGGCACTGGTGGGGCAGCAGCAGCAGCAGCATTGAGATCATCCCACTTCGTGCACCCACCACCATACAGGTACAACCCGATCTTTACTACCTTCCCATTCCGTACATCGCCGCGGAGCTATACCTCAAACACCACCTTACAGACGGAGAGCGCGCCAACAATACGAGGACGGGGTTCACTCCACACTGCTAGAGCTGCTAGAAATACAACTGCTCTGCTTCCTGCGGTCATTCGAAACTGCTCCAGTCACGCCTCCAGTGCCCTCGTCAGAATGGCCTCCGATCGAGATGTTCTTTCGGACGATGTGAAGCCATCCAACTACGCAATATCGCTGAATAATCTGAGCGCTGGCGAGCCATGGACATATCAAGGCAAGGTCGACATCGAGCTAGAGGTCAAGAAGCCCACCAAGTCCATCACATTGAACACGTTCGAGCTCAAAGTACACTCTGCGGAGTTTGTGTCCGATTCCGGAAAGCATTCATCTGCGGTCAAGGCGTCCAACATCTCTTACGACAATAAGAACCAGAGATGTACTTTCACATTCGATCAAGAGCTGCCGCAATCGCCAAAGTCGGTGCTTTCCATTGCGTTTGAGGGCATTATGAACAACCACATGGCAGGCTTCTACAGGTCAAAGTATAAGCCTGCTGTAGAAGCAGCCAAGGGTGTGGCTCGAGATGCCGAGAACCATTACATGTTCAGCACCCAGTTTGAGTCGAGCGACGCTCGTCGCGCATTTCCTTGCTTCGATGAGCCGAATCTCAAAGCCACGTTCGACTTCGAGATCGAGATCCCGGAGGACCTGGTGGCGTTATCAAATATGCAAGAGAAAGCAACCAAGAAGAGCAAGGATGGGTACAAAATTGTCAGCTTTGACAGAACGCCAGTCATGTCAACGTATCTTTTGGCATGGGCCTTTGGCGATTTCGAATACGTCGAAGACTTCACCCGGCGGAAGTACAACGGAAAGAGCCTACCCGTGAGGGTTTATACCACCAAGGGCTTGAAGCAACAAGGTCAACTGGCTCTGGAGAGCGCACACCAGATTGTCGACTACTTTTCAGAGGTAAAACAACGCATTATGTGTATTGCTGCCTAAGCTGACCTTTGGTACAGATCTTTGATATCGATTATCCTCTACCCAAGGTCGATTTGCTTGCGGTCCATGAATTCGTAAGTCACTCACTTCCGAAGTTCCAGCACTGATTGGTGACTGATCTCCATCAGCCGATCATATGTCTTCCATCTCATGGCTTTGCGAAGAATCTTGCTAATCGAAGTTTCTAGTCACACGGGGCCATGGAGAACTGGGGCCTCATTACATACCGAACGACTGCCGTCCTATTCGACGAGTACGCATCGGACCAGAAGTACCGCAACCGAGTCGTCTACGTTGTTGCCCACGAGCTTGCTCACCAATGGTTCGGCAACCTCGTCACTATGGATTGGTGGAACGAGTTGTGGCTCAACGAGGGCTTCGCCACCTGGGTTGGTTGGTACGCAGTTGATCACCTGCATCCCGACTGGGATGTTTGGGGCCAGTTCGTTACGGACAGCATGCAGATGGCTTTCCAGCTCGACAGTCTCAGGACGAGTCATCCTATCGAAGTTCCTGTCAGGAACGCTCTGGAGGTCGACCAAATCTTCGATCACATAAGTTACTTGAAGGGCAGTTCCGTCATCCGCATGCTGGCCTCACACCTCGGTGTGAAGACTTTCCTCAAGGGTGTTTCAGATTACCTGAAGGCCAACACCTACTCGAACGCAACTACCAATGATCTGTGGTCGGCACTGAGCAAAGCCTCTGGCCAGGATGTGAACGAGTTCATGGACCCATGGATCCGCAAGATTGGGTTTCCAGTGGTGACAGTAGCCGAAGAGCCAGGCCAGATCAGCGTAGAGCAATCCCGATTCCTCTCGGCTGGCGATGTGAAGCCAGAAGAAGACGGTACGACCTGGTGGATTCCACTTGGGCTCAAGACTGGACCACAGGCTACAGAGGCGCAACGTGAAGCACTGACTACCAGGAAGGACACATACCGCGACATTGACACGAGTTTCTACAAGGTCAACAGCGATCAGACTGGCTTCTATCGCACGAACCTACCTCCGCCACGCCTGGTCGAACTGTCGAAGCACCTCGATAAGCTTTCGGTGCAGGATAAGATCGGACTCGTGGGAGATGCCGCCGCGTTGGCTGTTGCTGGCCAGGGTACCACATCAGCTGTGCTTTCTTTCTTGGAGGGTTTCTCCACGGAGACGAACTATCTTGTGTGGAGTGAAGTTCTGACCAGTCTCGGCAAGATAAGACGCATCTTCTCGTCTGACGCAGAAGTGTCGCAGGCGTTGCGAGAATACACACTCCGGCTCGTTACTCCTGCGGCTGATAAGATTGGATGGACCTTTTCTCCGAGCGACGACTACCTCACAGGTCAACTGCGTGCTCTTCTCCTCAGTACAGCTGGCCTCGTCGGGCACGAGCAGGTTGTAGCAGAGGCGCAAAGACAGTTCCAAGCATTCCTTGATGGAGACGCGAAGGCCATCCACCCATCCCTCCGAGCTGCTGTGTACAAGATCTCCATCAAGAACGGCGGCGAGGCGGCATACAAGGCAGTTCAGAAGGAATTCCTGACGACCAAGTCGATTGATGGGCGGGAGATCACGCTGCAAGCCATGGGCCAAGTCCAGTCACAAGAACTCGCAAACGACTATTTAAAGTTTGCCTTTGGCGGGAACGTGCCGATCCAGGACCTGCATTCGGTCGGCGCATCGCTCGGAAACAATTCGAAGGTCCGCGAGACTGTCTGGCAGTACATCAAAGCAGAGTGGCCTGCAATTCGCGAGAAGCTCGGTGGGAACATGGTCGTGCTCGAGCGTTTCCTGCGCACGAGTCTGCAGAAGTTCGCGGATGCCGGGGTCGAGAGAGACATCACCACTTTCTTCAGCGACAAGGACACCACTGGCTACGATCGTGGACTGGCTGTTGTTGCGGACACAATCATCGGGAACGCGAGATACAGAGAGCGAGATGTCGAGAATACCCGCGAGTGGCTGAAGGCACATGGCTACGCAAAGTAGACAGTCGGCTGCTCCAGGGCTGTTCATACGTGGCAGGGCAGAAGTGTACAACTACCTTAGGTACATGTACATAGCAACAGGTAACTGTACGGCTCAACGTCGTCGTCGATGTGCATGAGGCTCCCGTCGTTGCCAGGTTCGCGTCCGCCTACCTATTGAGTGAATGAACGTCGTTGTGTGAATGGTGATTGCCCGGTCGACACTCGCACTTTCTCATTTCTAACTCGTCCACTTCCACTTCCACCTTCCACCTTCCACCTTCCACCTTCTACCTCCTACCTTCTACCTTCTACCTTCCTCCCACAACATCCGCACCCACACCTATCGTCCTTCCTTCGCCCACCTCGCCGTCAGAGTTCCTCTTTCACGGCCTCAACATCTTCGATCGAGTCCGCGATTGACGGTCACCATCCACCTATTACAGCTGCACATCGCCTGTAAGAAGACATACTAGCAGACAACGCCTCAGCAGCTTCTCTCCCGTCGACATCCAAGTCGCCTTCACTGCTGCGTCCGGACATTGAGCAGCACCCAATAAGAACAGCAGATACGCCGCCATGGAGTGGACTGGCTCGCCGCAGCAGAAAATGTCATCTTCCTTCACCGTGTTCGACGAGAATACTCACAACAACAACTACCAGCAGGTTCGTGTGACTTCACGCGACTGTGCATATGGGTTGGCTGACGTTGGCGTACCTACAGAGTGGTTTCCCGCGCACGGCCGCTGCCATGAATTTGCCCTTGACAACATCCCGATTTGCGAACCGTGCTCCACCACCTCAGGTACCTTCCTTCCTCCTCTTTCTCCTTCCTTCCTCCTCCTTCTTTCCTCCTCCTTCCAAGCTCCAACACTTCCCACCACCACGAAAATCTCTTCCTTGCACCCACCACGAAAATCTCTTCCTTTCACCCACCACTGACTGCACTTCACAGCGTTTCGGCAACATGGTTCAGAACAACGACGACGGAGAAGATCTCATGGCAGCCATCATGGCTAAGATCAGACTGCGAGAGGCTGACGGCGCTCAGGTTCGCGCCACCTCTCCAACTGGCACCGATCCCTACAGTGGCAGCACAGCTCCCGCCAGCCACAGCGCCGACGAGGACCTAACTGCTCACGAGGTGTACCGTCTCCAGCGTGAACTTGATCGCACCAAAGAACGCATGGCGCAGATGAACCTCCAGCTGGACCAGTCTCGCCTGGCCCAACACACCATGCAAGAAGCCATCGGCTCTCCCTTCCCTCACGCACGGCGACTTGCCGCAAACATTCCAGTCCCCGGTTTGCTGTCGGCTGGCAACCAGTTCTCGCAGCCAAACGACTTCAGTCGCACCTCGAGACCTTTTGAGCGCAGCGGATACAGCAACCCGTCGCACTCGTGAGTATTGCCCACAGGGATTTCGCCTGCGCACGTGACTGACACAGACCAGCTTCGATGGCCTGTCGAGCTTCTCGCGCAGTCACTCGGGATACGGTATTCGCAATGGATACACGCCACCCATCACCCCAATGCCGTACGCACCTTCGGGCTACATGCCATCCACTCACGCCACCCCACAGCAGCGTCCCGTTGGTACGAGACTGTCTCCAACAGCTACGGAGTTTGGCGTCGGTTGTGGCCAGTGGCCAAGCCAGCCCGAGCATCAAGGCACAAGCTATCTCAACGGTGCCGAGCCACTCAATTATCGCCGTCTCCTGGAACGCAACATGAGTTGCAACTGGAAGTACATTGTCGATAAGATCGTCCGCAACAATGACCAGCAGGCGTCAATCTTCTTGCAGCAGAAGCTCAAAGTTGGCATGTCTGAGGCCAAGTTCGAGATCGTACAGGCTATCATCGAGCAAGCCTACCCTCTCATGATCAATCGCTTTGGCAATTTCTTGGTACAGCGCTGCTTTGAGCACGGCACTCCTGAGCAAATCATTCAGATTGCCCAAGCTATCCGCGGCAATACTCTCAATCTCAGCATGGATGCTTTCGGATGTCATGTTGTGCAGAAGGCTTTCGACTGTGTGCCCGAGGAGTACAAGGCAATCATGGTGCACGAGCTACTGCGCCGCATCCCAGAGACTGTCATTCACCGCTACGCCTGTCACGTTTGGCAGAAGCTGTTCGAGCTCCGCTGGAGCGACTCGCCACCACAAATCATGAAGTATGTCAACGAAGCTCTTCGCGGTATGTGGCACGAGGTGGCTCTCGGCGAGACTGGCAGTCTTGTCGTCCAGAACATCTTCGAGAACTGCCTCGAGGAAGACAAGCGTCCTTGCATCAACGAGGTCCTTGCGAGCATCGATGTCGTCGCCCACGGCCAGTTCGGTAACTGGTGCATTCAGCACATTTGCGAGCACGGCTCCATCATTGACCGTACTCGTGCCATTGACCATGTCATACGCTTTGCTGGCGAATATAGCATGGATCAGTTCGCCTCCAAGGTCGTCGAGAAGTGCCTCAAGATCGGTGGCAAGGAATTCCTCGACCGCTACCTTGAGCGCATTTGCGAGGCCCGACCAGATCGTCCACGCATGCCGCTCATCGACATCTCGGGTGATCAATTCGGCAACTATCTCATCCAGTACATCCTCACCAACGTCGACCCCCAGCGTCGCGAAGATGTTGCCGTCCAGATCCGCAAGCACATGGTCTCTCTACGTGGCTCCAAGTATGGCTCCCGCGTTGCCATGCTATGCTGCAACCCTGCGGTCGCCACGCGTCCAGGTCCACCAGCAGGTCTTCCAATGGGACGCGGCAATGGACCCTTCGGCCACGGCAGCTTCAATCCGGATATGTCACGCTCTTTCCCGGCTGAACGTGCTTATGTTGGCCGTGGTGGTTATGGCGGATTCCGCTAGACTACCTCACATCTGTTGCCATTTGCGGAGAGATACGGCCTTCGCCTCGCCACAGATTCCCTCGAGGATTTGCTGCCATACGATCGCACATCTATGCGGCCACACAGGCTGACTTGGTCTGCTTGCCGTCTACACCCGAGCTACTGTTGGGACGTCTCATCCTTTTGCTGCCCTTGGATTGGTATCATGGCCAACACGGTCGCTACCATCGATACCTATGTTGGCAAATGTGCTACCAGGCAGTAAGTGTTGCCGGCCAGGCTTGCACACTACCCCTATATCTTAGCCATTGAATGTTTGGCAATGTTTCACGCTGTTTCGAAGAAAGGAGGATATCGAGGTTGCTTGCAGATGGGAAGGGTGTCGATACGTGTCGATATTGTACGCTCGCATGCAAAGGTGCCCAGAATGTAATAATAGTGCCTCGATGAGTTGAAAATAATGCGATTTGTACTGCTTTAGATGGCACGCCTCTTCTGCCATCACTCTAAATTCGCTCGACGTGACGGCTGACCGACGCATGTGCCTTGCAGCGGTGCGGTCGTAATGGGCACCTCAGGCGAGCAGTCTGCTGATCCCAGTCGTGATTTGCTGCGTTGCTGGGCTCATCTTGTATGTCGGAGTCGTGCCCTTGCCAGCAGAGCTTCTATGCATTCATTCCCCCTTCACCCACTTTGAACAACGCCAACACCCACTGCAGACGCCAAGATTTGAACTGCACCACCATTGACCATGCCCCCCGACTCTCGATATTGTTCGCGCTGACATATCCAATGTGTGGCAGTCAAACTGTCAGATCAGGAGTAGGGGAGGTACATGTATGGGGGAAGCACAGAAGAGGCCGAGATCCATACCAAGATGGGACATTTTCACGCCTATACCCTTTTAAGAAATTGGCCTTGCTTCTTTTGACCATCTCAAGCATCCCCATGCCTCTCCGACTTTGCTTTTCTTCCGTCCTGCACGCATATCTTTTCTCAACATCACCTTATTGGCTGGGTTGAAGCATCACAGACAATCGATGAGGCGCGATGTATACCTCCATCCCACCCAGCAGAATTTGTTATGCTGTAGCCTGGCTTCTCCTAGCCAACTGGCCGCCTGAACCTCCAGCTCCCTTGATCATCTCAATCCCATGTCTCGGACATGCGTAAAAAAGGTCCGAATGCAACTTCTCGAATGGCCCGCGTTGTCATTACTGTGTACGATGCCAGAGAGCAAGCAAAGCAAAGGCAGACGGTGCAATTTGAAGGAGATGGCACGTGGGAGCATGGAGGTGAGGTAAATAATCATGGGCGTCTCCACGCGGAGGCGAGACTAGACCGACTAGCTACTCGCGGAGGGTGTATCGGGAATGGCCGGGCAAGTTAGGAATGGACGGACAGGCACGGATATCGAGGATGAGGGGCAGCGGCGTGTTGAAGGTGAAGAACCGCGATGGGCGATCCGACGTCGGGCGGTCGTGGACATTGTTAGCAGCGGCATGTAGTACATATATAACAACCGGGAACATGCAAACTACTCGTCGAGACCCACGCACGAGCGAGAAAGCAACAGAGGGACAACTTCGGACAGCAGCAAGCAGTGCTTTGGATACACGCCCAGCCCAGCCCGGTTCAGGTCAGCGTCACCCTCTCACACCACCGTCACCTCCCGTACACATACTGACTAAGGTGGGGTAGCTTCCACTCGAACATTTTCTCAACAGACACAAGCCCACCCAGACTTCCACACCACATCAACACGTAAGTCCCGTCCCAGTCAGCCTTGCCTCGCCTCGCCTTCATCCACCCCATCCGCCGCATCATCAGCGCCATCTGACTCTCGCCAGCTACCCTCCCTTCACAACACCACCTCGAAACACCAGCAAAGCAGCCAAAATGGTCACCAAGGTTCGTTCGGGGAGAAGATGCGGAACAGTGGAATTGCTGGTCAAGATGTGGAACCACATGCTCATCATACACCCATAACAGTGCGGTATCAACGGCTTCGGCAGAATTGGACGTATCGTCTTCCGCAATGCGTAAGTGCACGACCAGATGCCAGTGACGGCCACTTGAGCCCAGGGCACAGTGAGTGCTGACCCAAGTACAGCATCCAGCACGGTGAAGTCGAGGTCGTTGCCGTCAACGACCCTTTCATTGAGCCACACTACGCTGTAGGTCATTGGAATCCCCTTGAGCGCGAGCGCCAGGCTGACCCTCTGCACAGGCGTACATGCTGAAGTACGACTCCACACACGGAATCTTCGATGGCAAGATCGAGGTGGATGGCTCCGAGGGCCTCATTGTCAACGGCAAGAAGATCAAGTTCTACATGGAGCGAGACCCAGCTGCCATTCCATGGGGAACCGCCGGTGTCGACTACGTCGTCGAGTCTACTGGTGTCTTCACCACCACCGAAAAGGCATCTGCACACATCAAGGGTGGTGCAAAGAAGGTCGTCATCTCTGCACCTTCTGCTGATGCCCCAATGTTCGTCATGGGTGTGAACAACAAGGAGTACAAGTCCGACATTCCTGTCATCTCGAACGCTTCATGCACAACCAACTGCCTGGCTCCTCTCGCCAAGGTCATTCACAGCGAGTTCACCATGATTGAGGGTCTCATGACCACCATCCACTCGTACACTGCCACCCAGAAGACCGTCGACGGCCCATCCGGCAAGGACTGGCGTGGAGGCCGTACTGCGGCCCAGAACATCATCCCATCGTCGACTGGTGCCGCCAAGGCCGTCGGCAAGGTCATTCCAGACCTCAACGGCAAGCTTACTGGCATGTCCATGCGTGTCCCAACCGCCAACGTCTCTGTTGTCGACTTGACCTGCCGCATTGAGAAGGGCGCCACCTACGACGAGATCATTGCTGCGTTGAGGAAGGCTTCCGAGGGCGAGCTCAAGGGTAAGATCCAGTTTCTGCTCACTACAGAGCGATGTGCATCTTCCCAGAATAACCTACTAACTCGAATTTCTCCCCTTAGGTGTTCTCGCTGTCACCGACGACGACGTCGTCTCCAGCGATCTCAACGGCAACATGCACAGCTCTATCGTCGATGTCAAGGCCGGTATCTCCCTCAACAAGAACTTCGTCAAGCTTGTCTCCTGGTACGACAACGAGTGGGGTTACTCCCGCCGTGTCATTGACCTTTTGGCATACATTGCCAAGGTTGATGGCAACGCTTAAGCGATGTCTTTCCGCAGAAAACCACATACCAAAAGCACCAGCAATGCCTACAGAGCAAATCAGCAGAGAGTGTAGTACGCGAGGATCAATGGACCTGCGGAATCACCAAGAGCTATGCAGTGCATGACATGACTATAGCTAGCAGAAAGCGAGCTAGACGATTATGATATCATAACAAAGGTACAGACATGTTTTACCAGACCAGTGCATGTTTAAGGTACCGTGCAACCATGTAGTGATACCTTACGTGAGAATCAGGTGCAGTGCCGCAGTCCTCAAATCCGCTGAACCGCATCTAGATCTGTCGCTCCCACTCCGCACCGCTGGTACGAGAATGACGTCTGTATATCCACCAAAAGATCCGTACAGTCGGCAAGTCATGCATGCAGAACACGTGGAATATAGTAGGGAACGAGCAGCGGTACCGTCTGTGGTGATCCTCATCACCAAGCCTCTGGTATCTTCTAGGCTTGAAAGCCTGCTGAAGATGACACGACGACTGGGCCTGGCTAGTGATACCCGCTCTGATACAATATAATCCATTACCATCGCGACTGCATTCACTGCTGGGACGAGCATGGGGTATTATCATACCGGTTCCCGGGTCCGCGACCACAAGAGATCCGCCGCCGCAATCTTCGCCATGTGGCCAGCGTTGAAAGTCATTAATAAGTAAAAGACTCAACTCATCTGCTTCCAATCATTGGCTTGCTCCCAGGCATATCCCACACGATACACCGTTTCTTCCGCCCACCATTTCCCCACAATCTGCATCCCCACGGGCAACTTGACATGCTCGTTCCCCGCAGCAGGACCCTCCAAGGGCGATAATCTCCCTATGGGCATCGCCAGTGCTGGATGACCCGATTGATTGAATTGGCACGTATTACTCACCAACCCGACTTGCTTCTTGATCTGTTCGAGAGGAGTCGCACCCGGTTCACAATGCGAAGTTGCCACATAGGGCAGTGTGGGCGTGAGTAAGACATCATATTCTTGCAATGCCACATCATACGCATCACGCAGTTTCCGCGAGAGATTGGTCGCTTTGCCATGAAGCGACGGATACGTCATTTCTGCATATGCCCCATTGAGATGGATGTTCTTGGACGAGACGTACATTGCTTGATCCCAGCGTTCTGGGGAATTCTTCAATGCTTCGCTGAATAGCGCGTGCAGTTCGTGCATCATGTGGCCTCGGCGTCCGTTGTAATTATTGTGCATTTTGTTGAAATGGCCGCCGGGTTTGGATATTGCGGTCCAGATTTGGGGTCCGAGGCTGTGCATGGGTATCGACACTTGGGAGACTTGGGCTCCTAGTGCACGAAACTTTTCTGCTGCATGCAAGAAACATTGTTGGACTCGGGGGTCGAGGAGGGGGTTGTTCATCACAGACTCGGATATTATGCCAATTTTCATGCCGGATAAGCTTTGATTCGCAGCAACATCATCATCGTCGGGGAGAGCCTTGGGGAGAAGAAGAAGATTCTGATAGTAGCGGGGAATCGTAAGGGGGGAAGGTGCCGCGAAACTTCGATCGTCTATATTATCCGAACCTGCGATCGCTTGGAGCAACATGGCATTGTCGAGAATAGACCTAGACATGGGACCCAAATGATCATTCGTAGCCTCGTTGCTGGCGCAACCCGTGTATGGAATCAAACCAAATGTAGGTTTCAATCCCACAATTCCGCAATTCGTCGCGGGGATTCGTACACTCCCGCCCTGATCTGCTCCAATACTCATATCCACTTCTCCTGACGCCACGAGCGCTCCACTCCCCGAACTACTCCCTCCACTGCTATATCCTTTCGCGTGGGGATTTTCCACGGCTCCCGATGCAGCGCTATGGCTGGTTGCTGAGTGGCAGAGGTTCTCGCAGACTGCTTTGCCGAGAATGTGGCCGCCTGCTTCGAGGACGCGGGTCGTGACTGTGGCGTCTAGATTCGGTACGTGGCCTTGGACAAATTCGGTTCCCATGAGCATCGGAACGTCTTTGACTGCGATCATGTCCTTGAGTGCAATGGTTTTTCCCGCGAGAATGCCATTGTTGGGTTGCGTGTCTTTGATACTGCATCGCCAGGCCCACGCGTTGAGAGCATTCTCCGAGGTATTATTATTATTATCATTATTGCCTGGCTGGTACACTTTGGTTCGGGGAAATCGGACGAGGTCAACGGCAGGTATGTAATCTATTAATCCAATCCACTCATCAGTCAGTTGATGTTTTCTCATATGTGCCCAGGGACTGGAATGGAACTAACTTACCGTCCATTGCCATGATCTCCTGGCATCCCTCATCGAACACAGCAAGCAGTTTGGTATAATCCTCCTTTTCCTCGTCTTTGATCCGTACACCCAGTCTATTGCATACTTCATCCAGCACCGCCGTCGTAATGGTCGTCCCAGCCTTGGGATCTACGGACAACACAGACATGATGGACAGCCAGCTTCACTCTAGTCTGCGTGTAGATGGGATATGCGGCGGCTGATTTGACTCTTTCAACTTTTTCTTGCATGTGCTGTGCTCGAGCAATGGCATGTCCAGATCCATGACATTCCTACTCCTCCTGGCCGACATGGCGGCGTTGGAGCTCTTATCGGCTCGCCTATGGCTGCCTGCAATATAGGCCAAGTGCAGTACATGTACCTATCAAGGGAAGTGATGCAACGTTTTGTCGCTGTGAGTTGCCTGAGGAACCAACTTGGACGCTGGAGCTCTCCCTAGCCAAGACACGCTGGTCCGAGCTCTTCTTCTCTCGATAGGCGGTCCCCTTCCCATTAACCTCTCACCACAGCAAGCTACTGTAGTACGCGGCATCTTGCCCGACTCCGGACAATCTCTCTCTCGATAGGCCTTCTCATATTCAGAATGCTCTCGGACGCAGGTAGATATGCAGAGCATTATAGGTACATAATATTATGAATCCATCCCATACAATTCCATCTCAAAAGATTTCCTTCCATTTTTCACCCGATTGATCGATCTACAGAGAAATAAAATAAAAAATATCAAGAAAACCATGGTCACCAACATCCAATCGCAATACCAACTCCCTCGAGATTTCCAAGGCTTCGGCGCCGCCTCCCACGACTGCAAATGGCCCAACGGCGCTCGCATCGCCGTCTCCTTCGTCCTCAACTACGAAGAAGGCGGCGAGCGTAGTATCCTCGAGGGAGACGCACACAGCGAGCCCTACCTCTGGGAAAAAGGCAGTTCGGGAGGTCACCGAGAAGGCGCACGCTACCTCAACGCCGAACAAGACTTTGAGTACGGATCTCGCGTCGGAGTGTGGCGTTTAATGCGTCTGTTTGCGGAATTTGATTGGAAAATTACCGTGTATGCGGTGGCGAGGGCGATGCAGTTGAATCCGGAGTTTGGGAAATATTGTGTGCAAACGGGACATGAAATTGCGAATCATGGGATGCGATGGTTGGATTTTCATGAATTGGATCCCGAACAGGATAAACACTATGTCAAGGATTCGCAACGCTTGTTGTATGAAGTCACGGGCGAGTTTCCTGTCGGCGTGTATTTTGGAAGGTCTACTGCGAACACGCCGGGAAGATTGGCGGAAGACTTCAAGGAGATGCACAAGGAACTTGGCACGCCCAAGCTGCTGTATAGCTCCGAGTGCTATAATGATGATGTGCCGTATTGGGTCGATTTACCGTATGAGGAGGATTTGCCAGACGAGGAAAAGGAAGGTATGCTGCTCGTGGTAAGTGTCGACTACTCCCGCATGAGTAAACTCCCCCCCAAAGATTCCATGACTGTGTCCATCTCTCTCCCTCCCTCCCTCCCTCCCTCCCTCTCCCTCTCTGACGCCAAGATACAAAACACACAACAAACACTACACTATTCGCTAAAAGAAAAGTATTGAAAAACAAAAAAACAGCCTTACAACTACGATTGCAATGACGGCAAATTCCACATGGCGCCAGGCTTCACCTCCAGCGCCGGCCAACTCTACGAGCAGTACTTGAAATCGACCTTCGACATGCTCTATCGCGAAGGAGGCAAAATGATGAATATTCCCTTGCACTCACGCATCACAGGGAAAGCGGGCAGAGCAGAGGCGTTGCGAAATTTTATGCGCTATATTTCGGACAAGGAGGGCGTCTGGGTGACGACTAGGCGGTCGATTGCGAATCATTATCGGGCGACGTTTCCGTATAAGCCGGGTTCCCGAGCAGGTGGTGGCGCGTGAGCGGAAGATAAGAGGAGGTATAGGATGATCGCGGCTAGAGTGAGGGTGCTTCTTCTCTGTACATATCGTGGCACTACGGCTCGTGGGACAGTGGTCGTCGGATCAACTTGCTTCCCTGTTCATCTCTCTATACTCGGGCCTGTGCCGGATCTACACTCGTTCTACAGTTAACGCAAGGGAAGAGAGTACAGTTGCATCAGATGTGCGTTTCATCCAGTCTATGTTCACAAGTGGTACAACACACGATACGGCGAGCCGCGTCTCCCCTGAGTCTGGGCCTACTCGTCCTTGCCCTTGGGCGGTGATTGCACGAGACCCTTTCCTTTGTAATCCTCGCCGCCAATAAAAGTGATTGGCTCGATTTTGTTTTCCTGCAAAGAGAATCATGTCATCAGCACTTGACTCGGTGTTTCTGCGTCTCCAAAGCTAACGTGGAGCTCAATTCACGCATGTCCGGTATGCTTACCTTGAAGTACTCGTTCGAGGCCTCCTGCCATTCCTTGTTCAAAGTACTTGGCTTTCCACGTGCAAAGTGTCGAGAGAAGCCAAAGATGGCAGCAGCAGCGAGGACACCGACGACAGTGTAGGCAAAAACCTTTGTGTTCTCGCCAGGAGGAGTCTGCGCACGAGGTCCGTGTGGTCCGAAAGCGATCCAGTATGCTGCACATTGCCCCGTCAGTCATCTGTCTGTATGCCCATCTGATCCCCCGGTCCAATGCCCGTGGCAGCCATATACCGCGGATCTTGCTGTGCCGACCTTTTCCCCAGTGCTATTCCAACCACCAGCACTTGTACGTCTAGCTGCAATATACGCGCCGGCAGAGCCAGCATGAGTTGTATTAGAAGAGGATCACATACCGGCCTTCTTTTCCTGTACCGTGAGCTCATTCCAGTCCACCTTCATACGGTCTCGCAGCGCCATCCAGAGATCGGCCTGCTCTTGTGGTGGCATGGCCTCCCATCGCTTCTCAATGTTGGCCAAAGTCGGGTTAGAAATAGCGTGCGCACATCGCACTTGCTGGAGGGTGTGATTGCGCGCGGAGGACAGACTGGTCAGGGATTGACGGAGAAGAGGTGTTGTTCGGAGCATTGCGGCGGCGGATGACGGGGCGGAGCGCGGGAGCGAGTCGACGAGAGGGAGAGTGTCTTCCAGGGGTGGTGGCTGTACCCAGGGGCGTGTGGGAGGTTGGTGGGTGTGCTATCGTCGAGCAGACGTGCAGTTGGGTTGAGTGCTGATGATCGAGGTTCAACTTTCATCGCAGCGCAGCCGAGATGCTGCTCAATGGCTTGGCAGATTTAGCAGCTCGGGCTCCGGCTCTTTCCGCCTCGTCGTCGACGAGTGACGTGCAAGGCATTTTACCAATACATGTCATGAGTCGAGGTAGTGACCACCTAACTACTGTATGCTGTCTCAGACTCGTCACGACATCTCCTTCACTACCTACATGGACACGCCAAGAATGATATCGCGAGCCAGAAAGGGAATGTGATGGATCTACATGTGCTGGAGCAGACAGGCCTCTGGAACGATACGTCCAATCGCACCATCACTGGCTCATCAAAGCACGAGACAGATCGGGACATGTCTGGTGGCCTGGGCAATGGGGACAATGCGCTGCGAAAGACACCTTTCGAGGCATGAGTCCGAATCGGCTGCTTGGAGTCGAAAGCAAGCAAGCGGGAGCATGGAAGAGCTTCTGTCCAGCGTCTACAATCGTTGGCCATGTTGCCCCGCCACGACTCGCACCCAGTTCCCCGTCAGCTCCAAACTACTCGCTTTCAAGACCACGAAGATCGAACGCACGCAACTGAGATGCACGGACACTCTGGACCATTGGAACGGGGCGGCGCCGGGTGACGCAACTGAGTTCTGATATATCTCATATATAAGTATATATATATGGCGGTCCACAAGAGCGACAAGACTATCTCCACATTCGCCATGAGACGACATCTGAAGTGCAGCTTGATAGATCTGGAATCTGGAAGCTAGCGGTGTTCAATTATGGCACCCAGCAATCAAACACCCCGAGTACGCCACTCATACCATCCTCCTTTAGGATCTCCCTATAAGGAGAACCATGAACCGGCACTCATTCAATGAGATATCTCCAGTTCGCACGATGGTCGGCCGCTTCGGGTCTATGTCTGAGTTGAGAATGCCTGTAATGTTAAGGTTCAGGGGAGCATCGGGTTGGCAGACATGGATGTCAGGACATGAAACAGAAGCCCTGTGAACCGTAGACCAACATCGAACTCTCAGGAGTACGTTCGGGATCCAGCCCTGGGAAGTTATGCATGCCTCTGCCGCCGGCGGGCTCTCTCCGCTGAGCCTACTCTTTGCAAACGATTATGGCTACCCTGTGCCTCGTCCCTCATGCCGTCTCTGAGCTGCAGATCTGGACGGAACCATCATCAGCGCGATCTCGCAAGTTAGTACCTGGGGTATGCAATCTCACCGCGTCAACCTGCCCTCTGGCCCCCAAGGACACAGCAAGGCATGTGCATCACATTTTCGCAGTTTCCGAGACCGTAGCAGAATGGTGCGACTTCGACTCTGATGGACGCAACTCTTTAAGTGGTACAAAGTGCTAAATTGGACCATCAGCCCAGTTCCTCAGTTGTGACCCGAGAGCTTTTGCCGCGTACCTCCGTATCAGTGCTCTTTCCGACATCCTGAGAAATGGCGATGGTGCCTGTCTCGCTGCTTAGTGTCCTACTCAAATCGCTCGGCTGCAGAGACCTCATCCAAAAAGACGTACGACCAGATAATTGGGTCGTGCTGACGCCAGTGGCAGAGGCCGAGCCTTGCGTGCTTCCTATCAATCTCGGCGAGAAGCGACGCTGCTGGGGTGTTAGCTATCCTTCTGCAATTTCGTCTGTTCGTCGGTTCTCAATAGGATAGGGCGACTCACGATCACCTGGCGAATCGCGGGCATGCAAGCGCACACGATCGAAAGCTGGAGTTCCAGCTTGGACTAGACGTCTGTTAGATCCATTTCGAAGTTTGGCTCTATCCAGTGGTGAAAGACTTACCCAGAGTCCTGGTTCGACTCTAACATAAGTGAAGTTGCCGTTCTTTCCATAGCCAACAATGGCACGCAGACGCAGGATACTAGTGATGGTGACAAAGAAACCCATTCCGAACATGAGCATCACCAGGAGCTTCTTCCGGGTATTGAGATTCATCTTCCATAGCTGGGCTATTGGTAGCCCAAGTACCAGGAAGTCGAGAAAGATGTTGATGATGGCACTGTTGCACGTGTCAATTGCCACCGCCAGGACGAATCATGTGGAGTGAACATACGCAGACCAGACTATGGGATTGATGGGCAGGCACGTTCCCTCGTGCTCTCCATCCCACTGAGTCCTATCAAATGTCAGCAATCTCTCAGCGATCCCGTTGTGCAACTCATCTGCTTACCAGGTGTACGACATTGGCCGACATTGGCACATCACCACAATGAAGTAGCAGATGACGTACATCACGTTCATCCCAATTACGATATAGGTGATTTGCCGGAATTTATCAGAGGAGAAGAAGCGCAAGTAGGTTAACAGGAGTGAAATCTTCACCAGTCCGAGTCCGAACACGTAGATGATTTCGTCCGCCCACATCAACTAAGAGGCAACAAGATCAGCTAGCACCACGCAATGCTCGCGAGAGCCCACCTACCTTTACCATAGGGCTGAGGTTCCGAAAGGGAACTGTCCAGACATCTCTTCCGCTGCCCCGGTGGTCAGCATGATAGCGGCATGCAATGACGGGATTCAACTTACTATCCAAGCCGTGTCACTGGAAGATTTTGTTAGCATGATGCTGTTGAAAAGACCATGGAACTTGATACGCACATGGCACTGAGATGATGCTAAACCCGATCACGAAGAGCAGGGAGATGGTTACCGCAGCGTCGTCCCACCACAGCTCATGCGAGATCACTGGATCGCCTCCGATCTGTATGTGTATCTTGGAAATCATCCGGACACCCCACGCCACAATAGCAAAGATGACACCTCCTACGCCAGAGCCATAGGCCAGGTCAGACTTATCGCGGATCGGTTGTTCGCAGATGGTGTCTGAGATGTTCTTCGTGGCTGGAGACTATGTCAGTATACCCGTTATCAGATTCCGGCAAGGTAGGACTGACAGAGGGTCTGCTTGACTGTGCAGCTGCCCGCCATGCACATGGCCACTTCACCAGATATGGTGGTATTGCTGCAGATGCAAGGCGTGTCATCGAATGAGCAGGGCGAAGCCGCGACTGCTTCTTCAATGCAGACCAACTTGAGTAGTAGTTAGAGATGCTGTCGACACGCAATGCCTGATACGTCGTCCATACGCACCCCGCACTTTGGCATGGTTGCCAATAACTTGAGAGCAGCCGCCTTCTTTGCCTGTGGATCGACCAATTCCTGCGAGGCAGATCCATCACCAGCAGCAAGAGCCTCTGCATATCGGATTGTGAGCTCTGATGGAGTCGCTGCCGATAGCATGACTCCACCCAGCAAGCCGATCAAAGTCCAAAAGGGCCGCATCGTGCACGTCTGCGCGGTTCCACAGACGTCGTAAGGTCAATCAACGTGGTATCGGTCTTAGAGGAGGCGTTGGGTGCGAGGTGGACAGAATGGACCAGGCAGTCAACAGGAAGAGGCGTCACAGATGGCGTCGTGGAGGATGTAATACGATGGGCGGGGGTAGGAGAAGGATGGCTGTTTTTGTGTCTCAGGAGCAGCAGCAACATATGGTTGCCATTGATGAGATAGAGGAGAGGCTGTAGCTCTCTTGGCTTTCAACAATGATGAGCATGTTGAGAAACCCGGCACAAGTGGGACGAACATGTTGTCTAGCCCCCTGGAAAGCTCCCCATGCTGGACAGTGGACACTGTGATAAAGCCGTCGATGCTCAGTTATACTGGTACGAAACCTTATACTTCTCTCTCTCTCACACTCTCCCTCTCTCTTACACGCACACACACACACTAAGAGATCGACAGTGAGCACAATTCCACCCCAACATCCTATGCAATCTGCTAGTAGAGGGATCCTTGCGATTCAAAAAGGCGATGTCGGCAAAAAAGTGAAACTTATTCTTTGGTGCTTGGGAGCCTGAGGGTTCATTGGCAGCCTAGCAGAACAAGAAAGCAAGCGGCTGCGGGGGCCACATCCTTGGGCCGCAGCTACCGGCCTACTGGAAATAGTACGTATAAGTGTACGTATAGTTCGTAGTGATTACTAGAGACTCGAGAAAGTGGAGAGAGAGAGCCCAACAAGAATATCACAACAAACATGGCATGCCAGGCATGGTGGTAGGGTGCCTTTACAACAACTTCGCAAGGCAATCATGGTCCCCCTATTTAATGATTACCTTATGATTATTAATACCGACATTGACTCTCCGTATCAAACCTACACTCTCGCTGCTGTCAAAGTCTTTTCTCTTGCCCGTCGTTTCTTGCTTTCTTTCTTTCCCTCTTTCTCCAAGCCGGCAAACACTTCGGAAAAACAGCTTCTTCGATCCGCGATACGCTCGTTCGTAATGATCGCCGCCGCAGTCTTTATCATATCCACACACACACACACACACACCAAGAAGACTTGGCCACTGTCGTCTGGGATATCTAGTATTAGGACAGTCGCTTGCATGTGACAGGAAGTTGAAGAAAGAAGAAGAATAGGCGATCCCAGCAAGGATTCCAATGTGTGCCGCCAAGTGCATAATCAAAGAAAAGCTAAAATAGGGCGCTCAATCGCTCAACTTGGCGGGCTCCGTCAGGAACAGCCGAGATGGAGTTCGTTGCCTCATTTTTTTTTATTCCAGCGATAAGACTAAGAGGGAATTAAGTGAGTGATGAACGACGTGATTGTTCGATTCGCAATCCCATATCTTCGCCGGCCGATAACAACAACAATAAACAAACTAACGAACGAACGAACGAACCAACAGATAAACAAACAGGTACATGTCCGATCGTAATGCATAGCTCTCCAAACCCTCTTCCGGGAAAAGGGTGATTACCTATTCGGAGGTAGGTAAGGAGAGAAAGAGGAGATCCGAGAAGGAGACTTTTTTTATTTCGGCTCTCATCGCGGACCTGGCAGTGCAAAGATCTCGCCAAGCAATGTACACTTGTACAGACAGACACAGTACTACAGTCCCTAGTAGTGAATAAAAATCCCCTTTCCATCTTTCCCTTTCCCCCCCAATTCCCCGCCCTGCGAACTGTGCACCCGAAAATTCAATTCCGACCCCCATTCACACACACACATACACACACACACACACACACACACACACAGAAAACACCCCCAAGGATCAAGCATCTCACTCACAAGGATCTCCCTAGAAACCCAACCCACAGAGCAAATCACCTCCCCCCCCCCTCCAAAAAAAAACAACAGACATGGACCGGCCTGGTTTTTCTTTTTTGTGCGGCGGAAGGAGTTTCCCCGAAAAACGAAGTGAACCACTCGCAAAGGTTGAAATTGTAAAGAAACCCACATACACATACCTCCTACATTGTATACGCATACGCACACACACGCACGCGCACGCGCACACACAGACAGACAGATGGACGGACAAGGGGAGTTAGGGACAACCCTGGGTCCTTGTCCTTTCTTCTCCCCCCCCCCCACCCATATCCATGGTCTCTCCTCTCTTTCTCTCTCTCAAGGTACGAATTCCGTTTGGTCCGAGTTACTGCCCCCCTAGCCCCCCCCCCCCCCCTCTCCAGGGGAACTCACTTTCACTGTCTACTGTCTACTGTTTCCACTATCTCTAGTACTACATCGTGCAGTAGCAGGCAGTTATGCAAAAGGGGGGTGGAAAGAGAAAAAAAAAAGTGTATGTGTGTGCATTGCCGACTTTCTCGCATTATTTTCCCTTCCCTAGCAAGGGGCGTCTTGGTCTTGGGAAGGGCCATGGCATGGCCACGCAGGGCATGGCATGCATGCATCATCATCGTTTCAATTCAACTTTCTTATTTTTTTTTTATACTTTTCCGCACGCTCTCTCTTCATCGCAGGGGGATGCCTAGCTAGTTTGGTAAGTTTGTACATATGTACCGTAGTTGCTTTATTAGGCTTTTTGGTTGGCTTGCTTACCTCGGGTTCTCGAGGCGATGTGATGATCATGGATGGGATGGGTTGGGATGGGTAATTGAATTTGAATTGAATGCTTGAATGCTTGAATTGATTCAATGAATGAATGATTTGGTTTTTTTCTCCTTTGATCTACTGTATCTCACTCACTTCATACACTCTTTTGTTATTGCTATTGTTATTGTTATTGATGTTGTTGTTGCATCATCACTAAATGGGGTAGGACAACAAAAACCGAAACCAAACCAAAAAAAACAACATGTTGTTACTACCGTCCACTCGTTTTTCCAGTCGCATTCTTTCGACCGTTTTGAGTCTTCTCGTCACATCAACCTTCTTTTGCCAACCTGGACTTGCTTTTCCCGACTTGGCCGGTCTGGTGAAGGAGAGACGGGGAGCGTCGCATGCGCATCATCTGCATCATGATGCTGTACCGATTGACAAGAGGGAGGCGGCGGGAGGAGGAGGAGCAGGAGAAGAAGAAGCAGCAGCAGCAGCGGCACGCGAACTGTATGCGCGACAATTGGGTGCGCTCACGGGACTTTTGGGGTCGACGGTTTCGGAACTTGGTGGGTGAAATTGCTATATGCTGTCTCTCTCTCTGTTGCGAGACAGAGATGCGACGTATCTGCGCATTTGGCAAGGCATTGCTGATGGAAACTCTCTCTTGTCTCTTAGGTACCACCAATGGCCTCAACGACTTGGGATTAGGAAGTTTAGTAGGCCCCATGGGGACGTTTCCTCTCGACACGTTTGAAAAATACCCTTGGGAACCGCCTGGACCAAGTACGTAACAAGACCAAACCAACCAACCAACAAACAACACACCCTCATCGCGTAGAGTGTACAGTGTGAAGATAGGGTACTGATACTCCCACTCCACCAGATGACCAAAGAGGACCTTGTCCCGCCGTCAACGCCATGGCAAACCATCACATCATCTCGCACACGGGCGTCGTGTCGACGTGGGAACTCCTTCGAGGCGCTGTGAATACTTTTAATTTGGGCTTTGATATGGCTTTGTTGACGGTTATTGCTGCTACGCTTTCTGGTGGTGATCCTGTGACGTGGACGTTGTCTATCGGTGGACCTGATCCTAGAGTCGAAGCTCCTCTGGGTGGTTTGTTGGGACTTTTGGGTGAGTTGTTTTTTTCTTTTCCTTTTTCTATTCTCTCTCTCTCCATCTCTCTTATGCTTTTCGGAAAATGAAAAGAAGGAAAGAAGAAAAAAAAAGTCGCTGATCCAATAGCGAAAATACAGGCCAACCTCAAGGCCTCGAACATACCCACAACCTCATCGAAGTCGACTCCTCCATGACTCGCAACGACATCTACGACACGGGAGACGCCTGGACCATGAACATCGACCTCTTCCGCCAATTCTACAACTCGGTCCCCGAAGGCGAACTCTTCACGCACGAAGCCATCGTCTCAGCCTCCTGCCTCCGATGGCACCAAACCGTCGCCTCGAGCCCCAACTTCTACTACGGCGCCGGAACAGGATATTTCCGCAATTTCGCCCAAATGGCATTGCTGTTATGGGGAAACCATTCCGATGGCACTCTCGACGGCCAATTGACGCATGAAATCGTCTACAGTCTCTACGGCGTCACCAGCGACCCGGAGCCCTTTACCTATCGCTTCGGCCACGAACGGATCCCCGATAATTGGTATCGCAGACCCGAACCCTTTGACATAGCAGGTCATCTCCAAGAATTACTGCAGTGGTTCGGCTGGTGTCCCGCGCTCGCCAGCATCGGAGGAAATCTCGGCCAAGTCAACACTTTTACACCTGTCGACGGCGACGATTTGGCGTCGGGGATTGGGAATGCGTCGAAATTGTTGGAGGGGAATAATTTCTTTTGCTTTATTTTGGAATTGCTCAAAGCGGGTTCGCCGTCGTTTACGAATGAAGTTTATTCTTCGTTGTTTGGCATTATTGGCGATTTGGGTTGTCCGCAGGCTGATGCGTTGGCGGGTGGTGCTGCTGCTGATGCTCCCGAGTATGTGTCTGATATGAAGAGTAAATATCCGGGAGCACAGGTTGGGTCGGCGTTTTAAGAGCAATTTTAATTTTTCTTTTTTTTTTGGAATGAGGATTCATCCATTCTCTTTTCATCTTCACAGCGCGGGTGCTTTGGAGGGAGAGGAGGGAAGGGAAGAGAAGAGAACTGCTCGCGAGCAACTCCAAGCAAGACCTTTTCTCTCATTCTGCTCTTTCACTTCAAATTAGAGTTTCTTGATCTTGAGCTGTATCAGTGAGTGATTCTCTAAGCGTACGCAAGCAGGCAGGCAGGTGGGCGGGCGGGCGTCTCGCGAGTAGGCAAAAAGCCGAATGGATACCTTATATCGGCATCTTCTTGAGATATGATGAAAGCAAATATACAACTTCTTCCACTTTTCTCGTACTTTTTTGGGATAAATTGTTATGAATCAAGAGATCAAGTCCTGCTCCAGAAAAATACGATGTTTTTTTTAAAAACATATGAGGTGTAGAGAGAGGCAAAAGTGCTCGGAATGATGAGGTAGGTAGGCTGACACCAATTCTTCGTTGTTTGAGCGTGGTGCTCGGAATGTGGCATAAAAGCACATACCGAATGCGGTGTCGCCGTGTCGGTGTGGATTGTTTCTACGCAGTCTATTGCAGTTATGTGGATTATCACTAAGGTATACGGGACTGTGCAGAATAGCAGTATCTGTATGCTACTTCTGACTCTTCGCTGTGTCTTGTTATACCAAACCTGCTATGGATTATAGGTGAGTGCCAAGGTTATGCTGTATACCTAATACGCACCATTGAAAAAGGGATTGTCCTAGCATTAGCGCAATACCTACAGGCTACTGCCTACAGTAGCAACTCGGCCAACTCCTCCTGCTGCTTTTGTTTTTAAGATTTTCTACGTGCAGCGGGTATTAACGACCATTCGAAATGTCCTGAGTCGTGGCCAGTTACACAACTGAACTTACTCCGCTCCATTTCTACGGTACGAGTCATGACAGCTACTTCAACCTCGGTCGGCTCTGTTTGTTGCATCTCAACCATAAAATTAATCAATAATCGCGACACCGCCAGTCCGCGTATGTGCATAAGTATAAATGGAGCCTCCCCTGACTCCCAAACTTCTGGTCCTCATTCCTCAATCCTCACTGCTCATACGAGATATCACTTTTAGGGATATGAGATAATAAGACGAAAACAGACTTGTTCAAAACTTTCCTTGTTCTTCATTTTCTACCACCTACCTTATCCCTGCTAATTGTTTTCCTGGCCCTGGCTAGGAAAGGAGCTACGCTTCGGGTCCGCATACTCGACCAATTTAAGTTCGGGCGGTCCATCTCATGTGAGAGAGAAGGAAAAAAAAAATTGATGGCGACTGCGAGTCTACTACATGTCTGGTTACGAGTGTCGACAGGAAGCACATGAGTGCTTGCACGCCTACTGAAACTGCTCAGCACAATGACGGGTCAGGACTCAATCACTAGCAGAAAGGGCTCCAACAATCGACCTAGTAGTGCCACTGCTTCGACTTCCAGTGCCCGACCTGCGCTTCAAGAGATTCCAAAGAACCCTGCCAAGTCGAATGCGAAAAAGAGGAGGATGCAAAGTTCCTGTAGAATACCGACTGCACCACGCGCGCTCATGCAGCCGGCATCCCACCCTTTGCCTGTATCTCTTCCTGCTTTGGATGCGAGCGACAGCGAGGAAGCACGAACGGGCAAAAAACGGAAGTGGGAAGATGAGGGCTCGGAACAATATGATTTTGGCCGGTCAATCAACGAAGTGCTGCGCGGCATGCAAGCAGCCGACAGAATGGCCAAAATGGAGCGAAGACGCGACCAACAGATTCGTGACTTCCAGTATGCCGTGGAAGAGCTGAGGCAGAGAAATGAAGAATTGCAGGCGAAGATGAGAGAATCGGAAGCGGAGATGGATGCCTACCGTGTCGATCTGCTCAAGGAAAGAGAGGAGACGACAGCCCTCGTACAAACAAGAAAGAAGACTCATATACGTCTGCTGAATGAATGGAGAGCTTACATGATTCGTTACAACAAGCTACTCGCGGAAAATGCGGAAAATGAAGTCACAGAATCGAGACAGCTCGAAACTCAGCGAGCTCTGGAAGCGAAGCTGCAGAAAAGCCAGGATCAGCTCAAGCAGCTGGAGTCGACGTCGCGAGCGGCAGAGACGAACTTGACGCTCCAAAACGAAAAACTCCAGACGCTCGTATCCGAGCTGGAACTCAAGAATGCCACGGCGCAGGCTAGGATAGATGAACAGGCTCAAGCCCGAGCTGCTATAGATGTTGAGCGGGAAACCGAGCGACAAGCCTCTTCGACGCGTGAAACGATGTTGATGAGACGAATCGATGAACTCATTAGGACCACCAAGAGCATGAGGGCCAATATCGCCAAAGAATGCAATACAGAGGATAGAGAAGCGGCACAAATGTCTCTCAAGGAAGATTACGAGCTACGCTTGCGGAAAGTAAAGGAGAGCGCGGATGAGCGCGTCAAGAAACTCCAAGAAGAGTTTCGAGAGATTTTGTCGTGCAGGACAGATCACACGCGAACCAATGCCGAGCCTGCTGGAAAGGGGTCAGATATACAGGTGGAAGCATCCCAACAGGAGCAGGATCCTCAGCTGAGCGCGGCACCTCGAGGCCCAGCCAAGTGGAAGCATAAACAACACACGACGAGCGACAAGAACGCCGATCGACTGCAGCTGCTGCACACCAAAGAGACGGAAATCACATCGCTGCAACGCGTAAACAAAAATCTCACGCTGCAAGTATCTGCAGCCTCGAAGCAAATTGCCGCCTATAGTGATCTCGCCCTCCGCAAAGACTTGCACATTGAGCAACAAATCCATACCTTGGCCGACCGCGACCTCGCGATACGGCATCTCCGATCCAGAAATATTGCCATGAAATGGCACATATCCGCCATCAAATCCCAACGAGCTGCAGCCCTCACCTCCCAGTCTACGACTCAATCCGAGTGCGAGACGCAATTTCGGGAAATAGAACGTTTACGAACGCTTCTGGAGACGAGTGAACTTGCTCAAATTCAAGCCGAGACTGCACAAGCTGCTCAAGATGTAGCGATGCGACAGCTCCGGTCTATAAATATTGCGATGAAATGGTATTTGGCAGCGATTAAATTCCAACGAGTTGCTGCTGCGGAGGCGGAGCGAGAATTACCTTTGGCTGTAGAGGATGAGATGCATACCCTACGTTCGACGAGTACGACTAGTACTACTCCTCCCCCTCCTTCAGCACCACTACTACTATCATCATCATCAACAACACAAACCGCCCCTCCAAAATCTCCTCCTCCAACAACCCCCAACGAACTCGCTGCGCAGAAAAATTCTTCTACGTGTCAAGACCATGAAAAGTGCGCTGTGGAGAAGAAATGGTTGGATGAGAGATATCATGAAACGTGGATTTCGAATCGGGGGTTGGTGGAGATGGTGGAGAAATTGCGGGCTGAGATGGCGGGGATGAGGACGACTTGTGGTTGTTGGAAGTAGTAGGACGAGGAAGAGGAGGGAGGGGAGGATTCATATGGGTATGCTGCATACCTTATGTATAAAAATTACTGTGCCTAGGTGGCTGGCTGGCTGGCTGGCTGGCTGGTCTTACTATCATTCACTAAAGGGTGACTTTGTCGTTAAAAGATAGAAAGGTAGACGAAGAAGAACTAACAGATGAATGAAATACACGACGAATAAATGAATCAATAGGTAGTGAGTACCTCCCTCATATTTCTTCCCTTCCCTTCCTTATCCCAACCTACCTACCTACCTCTACCTACATAGGTACCAGGTATACACATACAATGACCCTTCTACCCGTCTACCCTACAAAAACGACCTCAACATCCCCGTCCCATCATGACAACCCACATATTCAAAAAACTGCTGTTCAGGCTTCAACACCATGACCTCATGAAACAATCTCAACGACACCTGATTCTGCAACTCGGCCGCATAAGACAAAAATCTCGCAAAAATGTCCAAGTGTGTACGATGTTGTTTACTCCAGCCTTCGAGAGATGTGAGATCGTCAAAGTAGGCGAGGCCGAATGTTCGGTCTGTTGTTGTTGTTGTTGTTGTTGTTGTTGTCGTACATGTAGTTGTAGTTGTAGTGGTGGTGGTGTTGTTATGAGGGGTTGTTATTGATGATGATGGATTTTTAAGAGTACAAGTCATGAATCGATTACTGATACAACCGACTTCGGATCCGTGGTCGCGGAGAAATGTCATGCCTTTGGTGAGTACGGGATGCATGGTGTCGAGGTAGAGGCTTCTTTCGTGAGGGGTGGTGTTGGACCAGTCTTGGCCGCTGCGGATCATGGCGAGGTTGGGACGACCGGGGATGTGGATGCGTTGGCTTCGGGTGTCGACGATTTTCTGCTTCTTGTCCGCGAGTTCGGGAGAGGAGGAAGAGTTGTTGTTGTTGGGGAAGGCCTTTTCTCCGATCAGAGGGTCGGTTTGAGCGGCGGCCATGCGGTCTCTCATGGATCCCCCTGGATGGAAGGAGCAGTCAGCACACAAATTATTTTCTTTCTCCTTGGTGAGGGGATTTCTCTCCCAATGTGCTCGAGTGAGTGAGAAAGAGGAATCAACGACAGGACAGAAGCCACCCATCTGACTTACAGTAGACATGCTGCTGCATCTCTCCCGAGACACCCACGCGCATATTCGCAGCTCCCTCGGGGACAGCGTTATCCGAAAAGACCGTCTCGAAGCGATCCATCGACGGCAAGAAGACTTCCAGAAACCAACCACGATCGGGAGTGACTTGCAAATCTGCCCACCACTTTGCAAACCCACTGTCTAATCTCCAACGATCGTAGTCGGCCTTGTTTTGCCAGTAGGGAATTACGACTTCGTTTTGGAACCCGCGATTATCGGTGACTGCAGCTGCTTCCCAGTACTTCGGTCTGGAGCTCTCGGGCGAGTTTGCCACAAAATCGACCAGTTTCTGATAATCCGTTCCTTGAGGGTCGATGGGAGTCTCGTGCTGAACGCCGATAATGGCCATGACCAGATCTTTCGCTTCTTTGGGAAATCGTGCGGTATACGCTGGAAAAGGTGGCATGTAATTCGCGGGCGTCTTGGCGGGAATTGTACGCGTGGTTTGGAGATGAATGGGAATGGCATTCTCCAGCACCCGTGTCTCTGCCATTGTTATTTTTTTTTTTCTCTGCTTTGCTTTACTTCACTTCAAATTGCTTCACTTCGCTTTGTTTACTTCACTTTGCCTCTGGCTGCACGGATGAAGGGATACCGCAGCGCTAGGGCTCGCCTTTGATCGTCTGTCCATTCTTATTAGCATTGCCGCGGCTCCCATTCGTTCAGGATAGCGGAAGATGTTCCGAGCCCTAAACAGTGCGAGGCAGTCGACTCGGCAGCGCCGGTAAAGTCAGTCTGGCGGTCGAGCAGCGGTGCAGTGGTGGCAAAGATATGCCATTGGAAGCGGCGGCGGTGGTTACGGTCATTTTATCGACAGTCGACTCGGCAGTCCACGCTCTTATCTACCCAATGACAACGGTATACCACGGCTTGAACCCTAGATGATTAGCGTTCCATGTGCACTGGCGCGTGGCGAGGCCGAAGACCTGGGAATAACGAGGGAAATATGCCTTTTCGAGGCACAAGTGAGGTCTCGGTCCGGGGCTCTTATCATCCTTTGCCCCACCACAGACGGAATTCCGACCGCACCAAAGTTGGGGCATGCTGGAACATCATCTCGTTGTACAGGGGTTGAGACAATGGCCTCCATCCACATATAGTCGCATGTGCGCTGAAGACACTGCTGGACACGATCACGCAGTGGACTTCAAAGTTCCGCAACGGCTTCCAGACGCTCAACCAATTTTTGAAATTTCCAATCACCCATACAGCATTTCTACCAATGGGCTCCACAACACCGGCCACTGTCCGCGTTGCGGTATGACCATGATCTCGTCATCAGAGAGAGAGGGTGCTTTCCGCTGATGAATGAACAAGGTCACGCAACACGAGCCAGTCTGGCTAGACCTTCAAGCCACAATCGATAAGACAGTCGAGATCATCAAGGAGGCAGCGGCAGAAGGTGCAAAGCTGGTGACATTCCCAGAATGTTGGGTGCCCGGCTACCCAGCGTGGGTAAGAAATGTGACCCCATCAAGAGGACGATAGGCTATTGCTCACTGCTGACTCTTCGCCCTAAAGATCTGGAGCCGACCGGTGGACTTTGACCTGGGCGTGAAGTATGTCCAGAATTGTCTGAAGGTCCAAAGTCCAGAGATGCAGCGCATTCGTGATGCCGCCGCCGAGAGTCAGATTAACGTAGCCTTGGGCTTCTCGGAGCGAGATGGAGATTCCCTATATATTGCACAAGCCTTAATCGACGAATCTGGCGAGTTGAAGATGACCAGACGAAAGATGAAACCCACCCATATGGAAAGGACAGTCTTCGGTGTAAGTCTCCGGCCGCGGCAAAGCCATGTCCAGTATCTCCGCTAACCTTCGATCATTCACAGGACGCAACGGGAGGAAGCTCCTGCTTGTCGAAAGTTGTTGACATTCCGGAAGTCGGGCGAGTAGGAGGACTCTCGTGCTGGGAGCACATTCAGCCGCTACTCAAGTACTACACATTCGCCCAGAATGAGCAAATCCATGTCGGAGCCTGGCCACCTCTTGACGGCTTCATTGAGGGCAGCCCAGGCTTCTACAGCATGTCGATCGAGGGCTGCCGGAATGCATCGCAAGCGTATGCTATAGAATCACAAGCATTCGTGATTCACTGCACCACCGTCTTGACCGAAGCAGGCATTCAAGCTATGCAGACAGCTGGAGCTCCGATTATGGGACACTCAATCCAGGGAAGCTCTTGTGTGATCGGTCCAGACGGTCGTATCTTGAGCAAGATGGACAACCCCAACGAGAAGCTCATCATTGCCGATCTGGATCTCAATCTGATCACCAAGACGAAGACCTTTGCCGATGCTTCTGGTCATTACTCCAGGCCGGATTTGATGTGGCTTGGTGTTGACGAGAAGACCAAACTCGTGATACGCGACGCATGAGGCGTGTAGGGGTGGAATATCATAGCTGCGATCAGGCTACCAGCTGTGTGCATAGGTAGCGGGTCCGTCACATGTATTTACCGTTCTCTCTCTTTTCTCGCTACGAACCGTATGAGACGCCGTGATGCGATCGGGGTTCTCTTTCAATAATACCATGTACTCAGGAGTGCCTTCAGTTCTTGTGCGCGTGAACACTGCTATTCCCGACTCTGTCGATGTTGAAGTTGCAACTGATATTTGTTGCAGACAGAAGAGGTTGCTTCCCAAACGCTTATCCCAGCGACGATCATCACGTCCCGATGATTACCCGACTCTGCTCCGTCACGATAGCGACCACGCTGGTCATATTGAGTTCTAAGCCACTGTAAAATAGAAGAAGAAGTACGAAGCGCAAAGCTGGTGGCCGTGAGCGACCGCCTGACTGTAATTACAGCGTGTAATGCGTTCATGGCACATGTAACTCGTTCGTGGTACACGTTATATAAAGGAGAGCAGATGCATTCCCATCGTTCGCCCATGCAATAATACAATGCAGCAGAACTCAAGCACAAACACTTCCTTTAGACGATTAGATTTTGTACACGATCCCTCCACTCAACATGATCTTGTTGCGTCTGTTGAGGTCTTCTAGTGCCTTCTGCGCCTCGTCATCCTCGAAGCGAGCCTCACCACTCCTTAATCGGGCGTTGACTGCAGCAATCAACGGCTCGACATCTGCAGCATCATTTGCGAATAGAGGTCCATCAATGAGCTGACCAAGAGCAGTTTGAAACGCCTGCACACGCTGAGCGGAAATTGGTGCCGTGGTTGTTTCTTCCTCCTCGTCTTCCTCTTCTTGCGTCTGCTGGGACTCATCTTGGAGCAGCTGAGATGCAGGCAATGATGATGCCATACTCGCCTGAGAATTGGTCGCGCCATTCGTCTGTGTGGTATGTCCTGTGCGGCGCGGAGTGGACGTGTACAAGTCTTCCTCGCCTTCCTCCTCTGCACCACCGTGCGCGGCTGCACTGCCATTTGTGCCGTTTGTACTTCTTGTGCTCCGCCCTGCAGTACGTGTGCGTGTTGACCCGCTGGCTCTCGGGCGAAGATTCGTGGCATCATCATCGTCGCTGCTGTCGGAGTCGTCCGTTGACATGGCATCTGGGTCTGGGGATCGTCTGGCACGCTTCCGTCGCTTGCGCTCGTCCTCCACAACTTCTTTGAACAAAGCAAACCGTAAAATGCTCTCTGCCACCTCGGCATCCTTCTCTTCAACTCTGTTCGAAAGTCGTGACTTTGCATGAGCAGTAGCCAAACGAATCAGCGTTTCCAATGTACGCGCAGTCATAGGTGAAGTTTTGCGCTGGTTGCCCTCCATCTCATCGTTCCGAAGCGCGCTATAAGTGGCGACAATGTGATCCGCAGCTCCCTTGGTCAAGATGGGCTTGATACGTGACTTGGCGTACTGAATGTACTTCTTGATGAAAGGAATACTCAAAACTTCACGTCGTTGGTTCGCACCGCGACCTCGCGTGATCGTCACGCCACTGTGTACCATTGCATCGAACTTTTCGTAGGGCGTGGTGGTCTTGTTTGTCGTATCGCCTTCTTCTTCAAGACCAACGCCCAGTGTCTGGGTCTGCTGCTCGCGTACTGGAGCGCCTTCCTCCGTTCCAGGTTGACGATATCGGTGCATACGCAGAACGTGCTCAGAAATCTGGCGATCACGAACATCTTCTATGTCATCAGTGACTACGAAGAGCAGATCAAATCGCGAGAGCAAGGAGTCCGGCAGAGCAATGTTCTTGTGTGGGTCCTTATGCGTATCGTATTGGCCGTAGATGGGATTGGCTGCCGCAATGACTGAGCATCGGGCGTTGAGTGAGGTATGAATGCCTGCCTTTGCAATTGTGACAGTTTGCTGCTCCATAACCTCGTGAATGGCGACACGGTCGACATCGGACATCTTGTCGAATTCGTCGATACAGACCACACCACGATCGCCAAGCACCATCGCACCAGCTTCGAGACGGCGCTCCCCAGTCTCTTTGTCAGACGTAACCGCTGCTGTGAGACCGACACCAGATGACCCGCGACCGGTTGTAGCAATCGCCAGAGGAGCAGTGTTCAGCACGAACCGGAGCAGCTGAGATTTCGCAGTTGAAGGATCGCCAACCATGAGTATGTTGATGTCACCACGGAGATGAGTTCCATTATCCAGATTCTTCTCCATGCCACCCAGGAGCATGAGCAAAATTGCCTTCTTGATATGATCGTGGCCATAGATACTGGGTGCTAGTGACTGCGAGAGCAGATCGAACAACCTTCGCCCTTTCGCAATCTTATTGATGTTCCTGATGTCGCCATCTGTGATGACCTGCTGCGCAATTCCACCTCCCGACTTCGATGACAGCAAAATCACATTGTTCGCCAGGATGAGCGTCTTGAACGTGGAACTGCCCTGGCCAGCGTTACGATTGCCCAAAGATCGGTAGATGCCGACTAATTGTATTCTGTCGCCGGGTTTTACTCTGTCCACCATATCATCGTCCATGATCACGTCCACTCCACGAGGCAGCTGCCCAGCAGGCGCCCTCTCTGGCATCTCTTGAATCGAAATGGTCTGGTGATCTCTGTATGTGCAGTACCCGTATTCTGTAACCAGCGGATTTCCCTCGCCATCTTCTGTAGGGTAGACACTCGTGCTTGCAGCTCCATTGGCAGTCATTGTCTGATCTCGGTATTCGCGGAAATGAAAAGTCGACTTCCTCTCGTTCCAGTGCACGCTCTTGATGACCTTGGGCCGCACAAGCGAGCATTTTGTGACGATGCCCTCTAGAGATACCATGTGGTTCAGGTAGTGCGACGATAGCGTGCGCGGGTTGCAGGCGTACTCTCCAAAACTGCCCACATAGGCGCAGTAGTACATAGCCTCTTCATCTACCTGCTGCGTTGCTCGATTGCGTAGGGTCTGCACGATGTTGAAGAGCGCGCGATCGAAGGCTTGTGACCAGTCAAACGGCTGGTTCAGGAGGCCATCTGCGATTTCTCTGTTATGTTGTCGAATTTCATCAATGCTGACTGTGAGTCGTCGTAGCCCGCGGTTGAGCATCAACAAGATGTCTGCCTGATAACTCCGCGCTCTCTGGTCCTCTGCTGCAAGTCAGCGCGTGCACAGAGTGCTTCGTCGACTTCCTTCTTACGCGGATCGAGGAACTCCTCTGCAGCTCGTATGCGATCGCGAACCGCCTCATCGCGGAGCTGTATTCCATCCATAATAGGCGAGTGCTTTGGAAAGAGCGGCGAAGAGTGTACGATACGTCGCCGGTGTGTGATGTGGGTGTGTATATGTGTGTGGGGTGGTGTTCGAAGAAATGCGAGCGCGGCATACAGTAGTAGAACGCGAAACGCGCCAAACACACGTCGCAGCGCGTCAAAGTGCAGGCTGCATTACGGTACATAAGTCCTCCCGAGCGCACTTGTGCCTCCTAGAATACATGGAGGTACTTCTTAATACCATGCCACATCATTTCACTATTGCTTCCGTGCCTCATAATTACCACTGTCACTTTCACCGAACGTATTTAGGGAATTGACAACGCAAGATCCAGTTTTCATTCATTACCTGTTAGAAGGACTGGAAATGCTTGGCAGAGCTAGAGGCCTCGGTAGTGTAGAACTGAGTTCCTCTCCGCTCCCTCCTCCTCTTCCTCCTTGCCTCCCTCTCTCACCCTCCAGCAAAGACGGTAAGAGGCACGAGAAGATGCAGTACGAGATTGAGGTCGAAAACGATACGACTGAAATTATCTCAAATGACCATACAGGGCCACGAAGCATCCACTCCCGAAAAAGAAGCCCTCCCAAACGCCTTCCATCATTACCTGGTATATTTTCGTTCTCTCTCTCTTAAAGACCACCACAAGCATCTCGTAGTCATAACGTGCATGTCAAGTCATTCTGATGCAACCACTCCAGCTCCGAACGGATACCTTCTTGGATCTCTGCCCTGCGAATTGCTCTCAACCTATCCTTCTCCGCCTGCTGAGGATCGACAGATTTGTTGTTTTTATTGGGAAGTGAAGCAAAAACCCCAGTTCGTTGACTATAGGCACTCGAAGCCCTGCTGCTGAGCTGGCGCCTGGAGAGCTTATCAGTCTGGGGCTCGTAGTCCGAGAAGGTGGAGAGGATAACGTACGCCGCGTGACCGTAGACGAGGCCGAGAGGAACGGCTGCAATGCTACCCAAAACAACGAAACCACGGACTGCGGACATTCTGTGGCTGTTGTCTATTCGGTTGGGGGGCTTATTGACTGGTGCTGCTGCTGCTGCTGCTGATGGGCCGGTGTTGCTTTGTGTTCAGATAGTAGAAATGTACACTGGGTCGGCTTGTCTGTAGTGCTTTCTCGACGATGCTGCAGTAGTAGTCGAGGCGGGAGTAGTAGTGCTGATTGGTATTGATTGCTGCTGGTCGAGGTGTTGAAGGTGCAATAGTAGATGTTTTTCTGCTTTGGATCATGATCACGGATTGGAAGATTGCAAGCTGGTTGTTATATGATTGAGAGTGGTGGTATGATATCAGACGACACGTTAACATATGCATATCGTGCTGTATATGAGCTGCAGCTCAATGTCAACCCTTTGTCACGCTGGCACGCAAGATGTCACGGTAGCGCTGTACCCGGAAAGCGATGTCAGGAGAGCTGGTGAACGTATGGTGTGATCTCCTGTCCATTCCCGCACAGTCTCTTGGGTGGAGAGATCGCCCACTCACCTGTGAAGGCTGCAATCGGCAGTGTCCGATGAGTATTCGGAGCTGAAGCCGGTGTGTGGCGTGATGTGTCGGGCAACCTGTCTCCAGACTCTTGAAGGACTCATCCCTCGGGTCGCACCTGGTGTCCTTCATCGTACGTTGTTCGTGGAGGCTCAACTATCACGGCATTGGTGGGCGGCAGTACGTGCTGAAGCAATATTTTGTGCACTCATGCTTTAGGTAGCCTACATTCCACGTCTAACTCAGCCACTGCAACTGCGAAGCTCAGAAAATGTGCAGGACGCTTCATTTTGGATGAAGTAGGTAAATGTTGCGGTGCGCGATGGCCTCGGATCGGTCCCGACTGACATATGATACCTAGTCCACAATGGCTTCTAGGCCAACGAAAGAGTCTTATGCTCTCGTTCCAGACTACTAGATCTGTCCATGGAGACACTCGTCACATGATCTACTTCTTCATCACTCGTGAGGAGCCACTCAAGCTGTACTCGGGAGAATTCGATGCGCAACGAGCGGAGATACTCAGCAGGTCCATGGCAAAGGAGAGGAGGTTGTGTATGGGATAAGTTGATAAGCAGCTTCGCTTTCGAGGATCCCCAGCCTTTCTGGCTGTTGGCGAAGCTCGCGGTACCGGCATTCAGCCTGCTCCATCCCCAAGGAAACACTGGCAAAGAGTTGACAGGTCACAGCAGCTCTCAACGTCACAGCGCACCTTAGTGCATCCGCGTGGGCGCATCTGCACCCGGGCTAGGCCGTGATACAGATTGAAGACCATGTCTGGCATGTCAATTGATGCACTGGTCACAGCATGCATCCCCATGTTATCCGCATCGGACAAAAGCTCGTCAGCAGCATAGTCTTATGCAGAGCGTTCGGAAAGTGGTCAGTTGTGCAGGAGCGCGCAGCTCACATACCTCATGTAGCCGCTGGTATAAGAAGCACGCCGAATGTCAAGCAATGCACGAGAATCTCTGGGCGCACTTCAAGCCTATTGCCGAGAATCCTTCCCTCTTGTTGGCACAGTGAGGTTTGAAAGATGGGCCAAATATGACGGACATACTTGTTTGTTCCGAATTCGTGAGAGAATGGAAGGCAATTCATCGAAGAGTCATCGTTGTGTGATATTACCTACCTTACCTTATTATTGTCCAAGATAACACTACTTCCTAGTGCTTCTCTTCCTCCGCGGCAGCTCAGGACGAAATGCCAATCGGACGAGTCGGGCCGTCAGACCGGCGGGACGCCGAACAAGAGATTCCGACTTTCCGTGTGGGAGAGTGGAGGGGAAGGGAAGGGCAACAAATACATGTGTACCTGAATCATGCCTCGGTGAAAGGGCCGACAGGAAGGCTTCCTGCTCGCCTCTGGCCAAAATGAAGGTGGTAATGGTATAGTAGGTAGGTATATTGTGCTTACTTGCCTCAGGCAATAAGGTATCAGGGTACAATGATTATCTACCTGGTATACAATATCTACATGTACCTGCACCTTAGGTAGGGTACACACTGGTACAGATACACGACAGACCAAGCATTACCCAGCAGACGAGCTCTCAGCCAGGCCAAGCCAGGTACCCTTGCCCCAACTTGCCTGCCCTCGCGTCCTCGACGCATGACGACGTAAACACAACCACACATCCACACAACCTGCGCCCACGGCCAGCCGAACTGCGCTTGGCAACGCCAAAGAGGAGGCAAACGCTTGGACAAACCTTCGCTAACGTCTTGGATTCTTGTCTTAGGTACTTCAACCACTGTACCTCTCTCTCTCTCACACACACCCACCACCCATCTCGCGCCCGCCCGCCCGCCCGCCAACTCATATACCGTCTACGAGACCACCCACAACCCCACACCCACATACACGATTGGGACCGGCGACTGGGCGGAACCACCGAGCTGTATGCATTCGAAGGCCACCCACCACTCACTCCATCGACGCGCCGCCGCCGAGTCCTACGATTCCCGTCTGCTCTTCTGGCCGACGTGACGAAGCATTGATAGGCGTTCGGTTGGCACACATATACACACTGCTCTCGACAGAGAGCACACCTAGAGTTTGCAATGGCATGGGACCAACTCTCCATCAACAAGCCGCATCTGGTGTACATCATCCTGGGCGGCTTCACTAGTCTGTTCATGTTATGCTCGTCGGTGATCAAAGAGCGATTGTACATCGGCGAGGCGACAGTGGCCACCATCTGCGGCATCATCTTTGGCCCGCACGCTGCGAACTTGATCAACCCATTCACCTGGGGCAACACCGATCAGATCACCCTGGAATTCTCCCGCATTGTCCTGGTGGTACAATGTTTCGCCGTGGGTGTCGAGCTGCCCAAGGCTTACATGGAACGCCATTGGCGATCCGTCACCTTCTTGCTCATTCCAGTCATGACTTTTGGCTGGCTCGTCACCAGTCTGTTCATCTGGGGACTCTTGCATCAACACTTGAGCTGGCTTGAAAGTTTGGCCGTCGCTGCCTGCGTTACCGCGACGGATCCTGTCCTTGCTTCTTCAGTCGTTGGAAAAGGCAAGTTTGCAAAGCGTGTCCCCAAGCATATCCGAGACCTGCTGTCTGCAGAATCGGGGTGCAACGATGGAATGGCGTTTCCCTTCATTTACCTGGCCTTGTACATCATCAAGTACCGACCTAATGCAGGAGAGGTCTTCTATCACTGGTTCTGTTACACCATTCTTTACGAGTGTATCTTTGGTGCCTTCTATGGTGTGTGTGTAGGCTACATAGCGAGACGCGCCATTCGAGCTGCCCACGAGAGGGACATCATTGACCGAGAGTCTTTTCTGGTCTTCTACTTCGTTCTGGCTCTCTTCTGCGCTGGATCTGGCTCTCTGCTTGGCTTGGACGACTTGCTCGTTGGCTTTGCGTGTGGAGTCGGGTTTAGTAATGATGGGTGGTTCACCGAAAAGACAGAGGAGTCGCACGTGTCTAACGTGATCGATTTGCTGATCAATCTGGCCTTCTTCGTGTACTTTGGCACTATCATTCCGTGGGAGCAGTATAACTCGGGCAATCTGGGGCTGGATGTCTGGAAATTAATCGTCATTGCGTTGCTGGTTCTGTTCTTCCGGCGCATTCCCATCATGATGGCACTCAAGCCCATCATACCAGACATCAAGACCTGGCGCGAAGCGCTCTTTGCTGGACATTTCGGACCCATTGGTGTCGGCGCCATTTTCGTGGCAATCTTGGCACGTGCCGAGCTTGAAACGGACTCCACAACACCTTTGGCGACTCTCCCTCCAGAGACGACTGAAGAGTACAACGTCATTTACCTCATTTGGCCAATTACGACCTTCCTCGTGGTGACCTCTATCGTTGTGCATGGCTCGTCCATTGCGGTGTTCACGCTCGGCAAGCACATCAACACTCTGACTCTGACAATGTCATATACACAAGGCAACGAGCAAGGGCCCTCCTGGATGGAACGTTTACCGCGAATTCAGTCTCGATCAAAGAGTTCCATGTCTGCTGCATCGCTCGACGAGCAGACAGGCGCTGGTGGGCTACCAATCGCTGCCCCCGGCACCTTCTTGAGGCGGCAGAAGGAGGAAGACAACCCGAGCCGGGCCTCTTCACGCCATCGTTCCCGCAGAAGCAAGAACTGGGAGAACGGTTGCGGACCTGGTGGTCCTATCAGTCAATCTGCAATTGCCCCTGTGTCAAGACGCGAGCAAGAACACAATGACTGGAGAGCGAGTGACTCCGATACTCTTGCTTTGAAGAGTGATCCGCCTTCAGCATCAGATGAGAAGGACGGCAATGCCTCTCAGGACGAGGATGGCCCGGGTGAGATCTTTGAGGAAGGGAAAGACACGGTATACGAAGACAAGGAAGGCAATGTTCTTGCTGTAGAGAAGAGCAAAGAGGAGCAAGGTTCGCCAAATCGAGGGAGAAAGGAAGAGCGCGAAGGTCGACGTCTGATGCATAAGGAGCACGCTGATGCAAATCATGGCGTGGCGCCCACAAAGGACGACCCCGCTACCGATCCCGGACATGAGGCTGTGCGTGAGGCGAAGACGGTGGAAGAAAAGCTCGAGAGACCTGGCAAAGGCTGGCGTGGTGGTCTGAACAAGTTGAACTCCATGACGGGCGACGCGATGCGTCGCCGTCGCGAGGAGAGACCGCCAAAATCTGAGCAATCAAAAGAGCCTCGCGGTCCAGCACGTGCATACCAGTATGGCAATACCATCATTGTCGAAGACGAAGACGGTGAAGTCATCAAGAAATACGACATTCCGGCACCTGAGCGCAAGGGAAGCTACACCGCGGATCCAGGACAGTCCAGACATCGTATTGGTCAGATGGGCAAGATGCTCGGCCTTGGCGGTAAGGACGGCAAGGGCGAGTCGGGAGCTGCTGGGCCTTCCTCCAGTGTTGATGCTCCATCCGGCGGCAATAAACAGAACGACGACGAGCGCCTTCGATTCACGATCACACAGGGTGGTCGGCGGATGAGCAAAGCCGAATTCATTGACAAGATTCGGCAGATGGACCCCAAGAGCCGTGTCGAGGCGGTGGAAGACAGTAACGCACCGGAAGCCGTCAAGCGTGAAGCACGCATCGACGCCCGCGAGCAAGCACAAGCACAAGCTTCTCGAGATCGAGCGGTGTCTGATCCCAAGCGCCATCGTAACGCCATACCTGTGGTGAATGAGAATCCAGAAGCCGAGAAAGAGGCAGGCGTTGCTAAACTTGCACGGACCGTCACTGAAGAATCGGATGAGGGTGATGTGCACCTGGTCGACTCTGGAGGCCAAGAAGTACCCTTCCACGATGTAACGTATAACTTGAGATCTCGCCAAGCCGATCAGGGCGAGACAGCTGCCGAGCGTCGGCGTAGGGTCGCGCTTGAACAGCAAACAGCGGAGGATTCCGACTCTGAGGACGACGGTACAGATCGCGTGCCTCCTGCCAGACGGCCCGTGCCAGTAACCGGTGCAAGCTCAATTTCACCTCATGGCCGAAACGTGAGCGACGCTGGTGAAACCGCTGCCGAGCGCAGACGTAGAGAAGGAGCGCTAGGTATCAGCCGTGAGGAGAGCGACAGTGAAGAGGAGGAAGAGGTGACGGAGGCTCCTCAGCCTCGCGGCATTCGTTTTGCGGATCAACCAGAGGCACCTTCGAGACCAGCAGAAGGTAGCAGTAGTACTTCTCGTCCTCGGCAGAGCGCTCTTCGGTGGGGAAAGAATGTTGGGAGGTAATACATGATTGCACGAAGACATGAGACTGTTGTGATCCACGAATCTTGCTTGCTGCATGGTACATTTACCTGTGCATATGGCTTTGGAGATTTGCCTGAATGAGGTGTTAGGGACATAGAACGATGTACATAGGGTATTATTGACGACCAACCATACCACATCATGCTTTCTTCCGGGCACTGATTTCACGTGCACCACTTCCCATCAATGAGAAAGAAGATCAAATAGATCGTGAAACTTTTTCCTGCACGTCCGCAAATTCTCGAGCAAACAACCTTGATGACTGTGCACATCACTACCACCAACCACAATAAACCTTTTCAACTTCTCCTCGATACAATCATCCATTCGCCTCCTCCTCTCTCCTTCTGCTCCTCCTGCTGCTGCTGTCATACCAAGATCCCCAATCGGTATTCCAATTTCAAACTCCCCATGCGCACCCCCTGTAATCACCACACTCCAATTCACATTCATCCTCACCGTCACTCGAGCCTTGTTATGATGATGATGATGATATCGCTCTTCCCCTACTCCGACCTCCTCCCTCTTCGATGATGATGATGATGAACATGATGCAACAGCAGCAGCAACATCAAAAACCACATCCCCAAACCTCCTCACGACCCTCCCGACCATTTCCGGCGTAGCTCTCTCCCACCACGTATACCACGTGCCCACCAGAATTTCGACTCGGGGAGATTTCCCCACTGACCACTGTAGCCAAATTCGCAGCACGGCGGTTGCAGCGGTTGCAGCAGGAGCGTTGTGGGGACAGAGACTGGGTTTGCCGCGGATGAGTTGGATGTAAGGGCCGAGAAGGGGGATGGTGAGGTGCAGGGTGGTGGTGGAGGTGAGAGTGGAGAGGGCTTCGGAGCGGATTTGGTGGGAGAGGAGGAGGATGGAGAGGGTGTTGGTTGGGAGGGGAGGTTGGAGGAGGGATTTTCTTTTTTGACATGGGAGGTTGGAGGATGCTCCTGCTCCTGCTCCTCCTCCTCCTCCTCCTCCTCCTCCTCCTCCTCCTCCTCCTCCGGTGTAGGTTAGTCGGATTTCTCCGTTTAGTTGGGCGAGGACGAGCTCGTAGATCTGTAGACGAAGCTCGAGGGGCAATTTGAGGAGGTGATTCGGACAGCTGGTTAAGCTCATTGTCGTCTGGGATGTTCTTTATTGGCGATGATCGTTGTGGTTCGGTGGACGAAGAGGAGGAAACCTAAACTGGGGGGACGTGAAGTATACTTGGAGCCCATATCTGGCACTCGGACACCGAAGACATCTAGAATCCCAACCTCGAAGTCCTCTATAGGTGAAAGGGCACTCTACTCACCGGAACCCGCTGTTGTCCTGTATTCCGCGACGAAGGCGTCCTACATCGGATCGTCTTCGGTCCGAAGTACATCGACGACTACCCGTCTGGCACATGTCCATCTTGGTGTTGTCCGTTTCAAGACGCTCCGTTTTCTGTCATGATCTTGGAGTCACTTACCTCAGTTGTAGTTCGGCGCCTCGAAAACGTTGATGAAACGCATCCAAGGCTGAAATCGAGGCCAGTAAGTTCTGAGTGGGATTATAGTCTAGGCTTCAATTTCATGAAACAACTCGCATATCTCCAGCAGGAGAAGAGGCAGGCAGCGGATCCACATCCTGTATCGATATACGCAAATCCAGGGAGGCATTATGTAGGTAGATAGCGCCTGTTGCTAGCTTCGAAAGCTGGTTGGCGAGAGATACATTCAAGTGCGACAATGATTCGTGACATTGTATTCGTCACGTTGGCAGAGAGCACAGATGCCTGGAAACCGGCTTTAGGGGTAGCATAGAACACATGCACAGTCTTGAATTGGTACTTGAATGTGTACTGGGGCAGACAAGCCGAGAGCGAAGTCGTGCATTACCAGCCTGAGAGTTGGACGGGCAGGCTTTTGAGCGACGTCAATTCCCTGACCACGATACAGTTTCGCGTTGATCTTTTGTTTGGCGGTGTCGATTCGAGATTGTTCTTCGGTGTGACTGCGTGAGTCCTGCAGGCGGAGTGATGTACCTCCTAGATCGTTGGACCGAGATCACATTTAACGAGAAGTGAAATGGTGGCGAGGGCTGGACCACGTGGCTGTGATTTGATACTGAGGGAGTGAGGTTTACCTGTCATCGACGCAGGAGTATTGATCATGCAGTCCCATTTGAAAAACACTCAAGGTGAAAGCAGCACCCAGTAGATACGTACCGCACTGTTATGCAACCGCAATCCCGATTCATATATAACGCGACGCTGCTCCCATGCCATGATCCATATCAATCAGTGGGAATACCTCACGCCTCCATGCACACTGATGCTCCGCGCTATCACCATATTATTCAAAATGTCTGGGTGTCGTTGCACTGTCGTCGAGAATGCTGCGCCGGGACTAGAAGGATAGCCCGGAAAACAGCGCGCGGATTATCCCACACCACAAACAAACAAAAGCATCAGAAACAGCACAAAACATGTCGGTAGTAGCCAAGTCGGGACACGGTCTCGAGTAACCATCACATCCAGCTCACCAACCAGCTTGTTGCATCTTTCGAACAGTTGCTGGGCAACATCTACGATGTCCTGCTTTTGCTCTCCTGTCAAGAGTGTTTCGGCTTCTGCAAGGCGAGTCTTGAAAAGAGCCTTGATATCTTCACCGTCCTGATCGCCATCGAAGGAAAGAAAGGAAAATCCATGGAATTCTGGCGCCGGGCCCTCCTCTACCACGTCGACGTCGGTCAAGGGGCGTTGTGTCCAGAACTCAGCTCCACCATTCGCCAACTGCTGCCGTATCCATCGCCCACCCGCAAAAGTAGCCATGTAGAAGACCCACGCATAAGCCATCAATACATGTGGTTGGCTTCGCAAGCGAGTACGCATATCCCTCAGCCAGTAATCCCCTAAGTCAGGTGTGCGGTATATGTTTGGCCCAGCAACAGCGCGTAAGTGTTTCAGGTCGTTCTCTAGTCGGGTTGCCCTTGCCAGACCATGCGGCCGGAGATCTGCGAGCCACTTCTGCACGCCATCACTGGGGCTTGCTGCATGTCGGATAAGCAGGTCCCATTCCGACTCAAAGAAGAAGAAAATCCTCGCAAATGGAACAATGCCTCTGGCGAACAGAAGAGGACCCTGTTGGTTCGGAGGTAGCGCGAGTGGAAGGCGCTGCATCAGCAGGCGGTTGAGCTCGGTGTGTTGGATCCGACATGCGCTGTTGATACGGGCTCCCACGGTGGTGGCGGAGGGCGGCGAGGGAGAGGGCGGCGGCGGGGGGAGTAGAGCGGCGGGAGGGAGAGGCGATGCCATGTCAAGGCGGTGGAGAGGGTGCAGGGCGAGACGAAGCTGAGGCAGCGGCGGCGGCAGCGAAAGGGCGACAGAGCGAAGTCATGATGGATAGAAGTATGTTTGCTGCTGGCAACATTACCTGTAGGTACCTCCTACCTGACGATAGAGGCGCGGGTGACTGCTCTCTGGTGCCAGTGGTGAGTGATCACAGTCTGCTACTTCCCCATCGTGACTAGTGACGAGTGACTACCTTCTTTAGTGTCTGCAGGTGCTCGTTGAGGCCAGGTATAAAAAGATCGTGGCGTAAACTGTGGCGCGTTGTCTGGCCAACGGACTGATACACGCGAGCTAGAGTCAATGGCGGCTTCGAATAACAGAACCTACATGTCACTAATGTAGTTCTAACCAACGCATCTTCCCACACCAGCTCGCTGACATCTCGGAGACCACGACGACATCCCTCCTCTGCCACCCTGTCCGCATACAGTCTCAATATCACACACCCACTCACGCACGCACACAAACACCGTCGTCGCCGAACGGAGCAGCGCAGCCTGGTCGACACGGTCGCGAAAAGTGCTTCGGCAGCGCGCACCCAAACATTCCACCATTCCATTCCTTTGATGCCGTTCCGATAAGATAGTAGCTCGCAACGGCGGAGCCCACACTTTGTGCAATGGATACCTCGTACTTGTCGCAGCAGGTCACCACTATCATTGAGCGTCTGCATGGCTTCTTCGACGACATTGGAGTGGCCAGTCATGAGCGCGACTCCCGCGAATCAGAGGTACAGTCAGCACACTAGGTGCCGCTAGGTCAGATGCAATCCTGAACTGATATCTTCCAGCTCTTCTCCGCCCTCTCGGAAACACTGCACAGCCAGTTGAACCTCGTCGCAAAGGAAAAGCATGACCTTACCGAAGAGGCACAGCGCCTCATCAAGACGATCCGGCAGATGGAGCGATCCCTAGACGACACCCGACCCAAGGACGACTACGAGGCGGAGAATGACGGACTCAAGATCACATTTCCACTGCTGAACTGCATTGAGCGACTCAAGCAGAAGCACCACACCATGGCGAAGCTGCACCGCGAGCGCTATGAACAAGTCAAGAAATTGGTGGACGCCCTCGAGTCGTATGCTTCACATCTCGAGCCGTCTTTCGTGAAGATCAAGCTGCCGCCCACGGCACCCAAAGCCGAGATACCTCCTTCGTTCGATCTCTCCCCAACCTACGTGACGAAGCTGGATAACGAGTTCACTCGTGTCTACGACGAGTACAACAAGCGTGTGGCGCAAGTCGCCCAATATGGCGACGACATCATCAACCTGTATTCCGAGCTCGGTGTGCCACAGGCTCAAATTGACAGCCAAATCGTGCAGTTTGCTCGTAATTCACCAGAGCAACTGGGCCTGCACAAGGAAGACTTGCAGCGTCTGGGGAGCAAGCGCGATAAGCTCATCAGCGAGAAGCAACAACGTGAAAAGAAGCTGAAAGACTTGCGCGCCGCTGTGGACGGACTGTGGGAGCGTCTGGGGGTGGACGAGAGCGAACGCAAGCAGTTCCTGGCGAGCAACCGCGGAGTAGGCATTCGACAGATCAATGAATTCGAGGATGAGCTTGCCAGACTGAACGAGCTCAAACGACAGAACTTGCACATATTTGTCGAGGATGCAAGGTTTAAGCTTCAGGCGCTGTGGGACGGCTTGTACTTCTCCGAGGAGGAGATGCTGGACTTTGCGCCTGCCTTTTCCGATGTGTACTCGGATGCGCTCTTGTCGGCTCACGAACAGGAAATTGCGCGACTAGAAAATCTCAAGGAACAGCGTGCGCCCATTTTGGCCGCAGTAGACAGGCACCGAAGTCTCATACAGGATCGCGAAGATCTGGAGAAGAGTAGTCAGGATGCATCTCGACTGATGTCGAAGGGCGCCAAGGGAGAGAAGCGTGATCCTGGAAAGTTGTTACGTGAAGAAAAGCAGCGGAAGCGCATCACGAAAGAGTTGCCCAAAGTGGAAGCAGACCTCCGGAAGACATTGGAAGACTGGGAAGACGAGTATGGCCGTCCTTTCTGTGTCCATGGCCAACGATACCTGGACGAGCTGGAGGCAACACAGGCGAGAGCTCCCCCGCCACGCAGCAAGACCCCAAATGCTCTTTCCGGTACCCGAGATGCGCCCAAGAGCGCTGGACGAGATAGCAGACCAAATTTGGCACAGAGTAAAAGTGCAGGTACCCTGCGAGGCGGCAATCCGACACGAAGCAAGACACCCACTGCTCATTCCAATCGCAACCCATTGGCCGCCTCGACAATAGGCCACTCCGGTATCAGTGCTTCAATGCTTGGCGCATCTGTAGCAGGCTTTGGATCTGTCCGTGGAAGTCCATCAAAGATCCCTGGGGCTTCTGGCTCACGACTCCCTATGGGAATCCTGCCCAATGGCAGCAACTCGCCCGAACGCCGCGAGAGGAGCAACATGACAGCGAGTCATGAGACGGACTTGAATCGCACATTGCGTGGCAATATGGGTCCTCCCCGTGTACCTCCGCCCAAGATGAAGGACATCTTCGTACCGCCCACCCCGACGCCTATTGGCAGTAACAAGGAGAACGGCCTGGACCTGGAGCGATCGGGGAGTGTGCTTCGTCATCTGGAGACAGAGGATCCCTACGATGACCGACGATATCAGAACAACCATTACTCCAGCATGCACTCGTTGTCATCTCATGGGTCTCGTGGCCATGCGCATAGCCGATCTGTCGACTCGTTCGCTTCATCAACGTCTCGACCAATGAGTAGGCAGGAGTATCCACTGGCACCGCCTATTTCTCGTCAAAGCAGTAATACGTCTTCCATTATGAGCGGATCTCAGGTTAGCGGCAGCGAGAATTGGGAAACCTATGACAGTACTTCGGAGAATGACGAATCTGATGCGAAGGAGGCATACTATGCCAAAGTCAAGCATCAGCAAAATCAGATGCGGCAAACGATCAAGAGACCTGGGACAGCTTCTGGTCAGCTGGGCGGCATCAAGCGCATACGGGAACAGCCCATAGCTGAAGAAGGACGGGACGGTAGCGAAGCAGGATGGACAGATGATGGCAGTGTCGGTGAGACTTATTGATCTCGTGTGTCCCGGTAGTAGGCTGGCTGTTTTGAACACGAATCGCGAGATTCACAGGATTGCATGGCGTTGGCAGGCGCAAATTTTGGAAGACAACGGTACCAAGATGGGGGGCAAGGCGTGACGGTCTTCTGCTTCTTCTTTGGCTTGTTGCGACTATGGAGTAATAGGAGGAGCCTTGACGCGAACCATGAGCCCCTTCCCCTCCTTCCAAACGATAGCTGTGCGGGCTGACCCTTTTCTTTTCCTTTTATGAGACAACGTGTCCTTGACGGCTGGGACGGACTCTGTACACCTATTTTCTGGAGACAACGAGGGTATGAATTATAGTAGATATCTTTACAAATGTGCACTTTTCGATTCTCCCTCTCTCTCCCTCCTCTTTCTCGTGTGCACGTCAATGAGGTGGAGTATGAAGGCTTTGCACTACTAGTACTACCTGTCTACCTTGGTGCATGCAAATTATTTCCAAAACCAACCCACTTCTTGACGTAGCCAGTGGGTACATACACCATGTATCTATATCTAGTATGTACCTGAGGTAGTAGTAGTAGTCTTTCTCGCTCGTATAACCAGGGGTGCTTTTTTCTTTTTTTTTTTCTTTTTCTTTTTTTTTTCTTCAGATGAAAGATGAAAGATGGAGACCATCTGAGGTCCACTACCTCCCCTCCTAGTTTCATGAAGCAGACAAGTACCTTACCTACCTAAGATAAGCGGTCGGGCGATCATCGATGAGATGGCTAGCTATGTATGTATATACCCAGTCGTTGTCATTGTCATCATTATGATCATCGATCTTTTATTCCGATGTATATGTTCCGATGTATGTATGTAAAATCGCGGTATGAGGCCGCTTGGTTCCCGAGGAGTAGCCTATCTTTTTGTATCTTTTTGTATCTTTCTTCTGAACTACATGTACCTACCTACGGGTAGGTACATAGCTGTGTGTTTGATGATGATGATGATGATGAGCATGCGAACACCTACCTGCATACATAAGGTATCTCCATTTGCTAAGGTACATGTACCTCCTAGCTCAGTTGCGTGAATTACTAGCTATGTACCTATACCTGTAGACTGTAATTCGGAATTCCCCACGGCCAGAACTGCATAAAAGTAAGACCTACAAGGTAATCAACAACTTGTACGAGTACAGCTACCTTACCTACCTTACCTTACCCTCCTAGGGACGTACAGTACCTACCTAAGGTAGTACCTAGCATATACCTGAGGAACGTGACATCCTATTCAACAACCTCCTACTACATGAGTACATATACATACATACATGTAAACTCTGTAGACGAGAACAAAAAAACTTAAAAAGGTTCAAAGAAGCATAGAGTTGCCTATTCCGTCCGTCTCTGCTTCCCTTCCCTTTCCTTCCCTTTATTCCTTCTTTCCGGAGGTCCTGACGGGTTTGATTCCGCTGTGACTGGACTTGACTATACGAGAATGTTAGGGGTGTGGTTCTACATATCGTGTAAATTCCGCCCGACCGTTATCTTATTCCTGCAAGAAGAGGTACCTAACTTAAGGTAGGAAAGGATCAGGCCTGTATAAAGATTTATTGAAGATAGATGATGATGATGATGATGGCTAAAGAAAGAAAGAAAAAAAATTGACAAAAAGAAAAAATCGCTGCCCTAGATGGATGGATGGATGGATGCCAGGTCTGTAACATACCTCCAGGTAAGGTAGATACACGACATTACACCGTACTGAACCCGGTATGTACATGTATACGGTGTTGTTGCTGGCGGCGACCCCCACACACAGAGAATCTGCAGAAAAAAAGATGATACAAACTTTTTTTGTTCTTTTTCGCCGCAGCAGTGCCTTTTGAATATTTTTCTCTTTTCGGCTCGTGTGATGTTCATACTTACCTGGTACCGACCTGGTAGCTGATCATCAGCGTATTTGAGGTACCTTACCTAGTATGTAGAATACGTGTACGTGTACGTGTACGTACGTGTCTATTACAGGACAGATCGTCTCTAACGTTATACAATCTGTCTGTCTGTCTGTCTGTCTGTCTGCACATACAAAAGGCCAACAGCGGTCTATAAAAACGCAACAAGGATTCAAGTGTCGTGCGTTGCGTAGCCGCAGTAGCATGTTTTACTTAGCTACTATTTCTGACCAGCTTGCTTGCTCATCATACTGATGCTGGTGCTGATGATGATGATGTCGACAATGAAAATCTTCCGGGCGCGTGATACTGTAATGATCTCCGACCGGGGGTGGGAGAGGAGGGTGCTGTGCTAGCGGAAAATGGCAAGGTATGTAGATCAAAGTGCCTGGTGGTTGGTGGTGGTGGTGCTCTCACTCCATCTTGGGCGTCAAGGCGTAGGCGTAGTGTAGGCGTAGGCCCGTCGGATGATCTCCCTGCCAGTTTTCTGGGCATGAGGATTTTTTAATTATTGTGAAGCAGGCAGGTAGGCAGGCGGATGAAGCGGTCAAATGAATGCTCGGGCAACAACAGAAATTGAAAGGCAATGGACCATGACCTGGGAGGTGGTGCGGATTGCGGATGCGGATGGCGGAGAGCGATTCCTCTCTGTCTCTACATGTACTGGTACATGTACATGACCTACCAGTGGAATGACGCACCTGGCACACTGCTGGTGTGCTTCCCCGTCCCGAGGAAGAGATTTTGCACGTTGACGCGACATTTTCACGCTGCGTGGGCAGTGGGCACCTCTGAAAAATAGACATACCCTGTGTCCCAGAAAATGGCTCCAAGTCAGAGTAATCAGTGAATATGACAGAGTCCTCGTAGAGTCATTGCATGTGACAGTCACACAGTGTCACACAGTCACCGTGACAGCATGGTCAGAGAACGTCAACCCCTACAGGCACCAAGGCATCCCTACTAGCTCTACTTTGGACACAGTAGTGAACTGTACAGTAGCCTGTAGGAGGTAAGGTCGTGTATGTAGGCATGCCACGTTGGAGTCCTGCAATGACACTGACCTGACGTATTTCCTGCCCTTCTCGTACACCGCACGCCTAAGGTAAGGTACCTTATCTATGATGGACTGTTTGACCTTTATGATTGTCATGATTGATGGTGTGCGTGTGAGACTGGCAAGGCGGAGGATTCATCGAGAACGCGGCGGCGGCTCCACCTGGCCTGGGTCGGACTTGAGCGATTTGCACCGCCAACCAGCTTCCACAACCCCACTGCCACTGCGCTCCCATCTGAAAATCCGTGTCCACCTTCCTGTACTCCAGTGGTGGCCGTCTGGGGTTGCAGAGACAATCTACTGTTAGGCTGTTTGTTAGCTCCCGGCTGCATCTCGTTGGGTCGATTGCCCGATAAGGCTTGAAAAAAATTCCAGCAGCGCCAGTGGAGGTAACAGTCAGTATGTACCTACTGTAGGAGTACGTACGAGCTGTGTGCATGGTCCTCGTCTCCACCAGACCAGATCATCCAGATGATTGCCTCTGCGAGTCTACTTCCTACGCGAACTGACGGGACGGACGCTCGCTCTTTTCTCTGCGAAGCGTCGGCCTCGAAAAGGTCAGCGACGCCCGTCATCGGTGCTCATCTCTCGCTCTCTGAGACTCCCGTCTCGCTCTCTCTGTCTTTTTGTCAGTGACTCAGCCTCTGCTGCGCTGCAGGCTTGCTGCACGCATGCAAGGCTGAGAGGAAAGCTCCGCGCCGCGCCGCGCCTCGCGTCGCCTCGCCACCAAATCACCAGTGGCCGTCGCGCAGGCACAACATTCTCGTATAGGCTACAGGGCAGGCGGGCAGAAAGTCAGCATGGCAATGGCAGCGCTAGAATCATCGAACACGTCTAGAGAAAAGGTCGCTTACCGGGTCGGCAGGAGCCGATGAGCCTCTCTAGGAAGGTGATCTTGCCGTCGGCGGCGCGGAGAGAATCTGGTCTGCAAGACTGCAACTCTGTTGTTTTAGTGCCGTTGCCGGGGTCTGGTTGCCTGGATGGGGATTGCAGAGCCTGAAGTGGGAGTAACTATTACTGTACAGTGCCCAGACGACAGCGACAAGGTCGTCCACGCCACGCCAACCAGCCAGTCCCTGCCACGGGGCGGGAAGGGCAGACGCAGGGCAATGTTATTAATATGAAAGAGAGCCAAGAGGACGGGCTGGCAGTAGCCAGTAGGCAGCGACAGAAAGCAAAGCAAAGCAACGTGTCGCGTGTACAGTACCCGAACTTAACACTAGGAGGTAATAAAAGTGACTAAGGTAGGAGGTAGCGGAGGTAGGCAGTCACCAAAACCCGGACTAGGAGCAGAGACGAGGTAATGTACCTAGGAAGTAAGGTAGTTCAACAAAGCAGCTGATGAGAGTTTGGCTTGACTCTCCTTATCGCGTGTACCATTCCCTTCCTAGCAACCAACCACGGCCCTCCCACGCCTCACCTTGTTATCTGTCTCTCTGTCTCTGTCCCTGCACTGCGCTCATCACCTGTCCTCGCCTCCCAACGCTGAGTCGCTGAGTCGCTGACGATACGCTCCTCTCTCACTCGCGTCCTGCATGTGCTATACAACACTACATACACTACACTACACTACACTACCTACTGCCTGCCTGCCGCCTACACTATTCGTCCCATGTTCTCTGCTTCTGCCACCCTCTCCCGTACACATCCACATCGCAGCACTCCACTTCTACTACTACCACCACCATCACCACTCCCTCTAGTTCTACTGTACACACCGCGGCCGCTCTACGGCCCCGGCGCGACCGCATCGACTGCCCAGCGTATATTGACCTGATGGTCCCCGACGTCTTCATTGGATCTTCGTTCGACGCTATTACTAAACACCCGGCCGTAGACATTAAATCCAATTCTCTGGAGCCCGGCACCTCACCAAGCTCGACGTGGGCCGCAGACCGAACGCTTGAACGCTCGCGCCCGTCGCGGATAGCCCATAAGACTCGTGCTGGTGCCTTTCCCTTGCTTGGAAGAAACCACACACCCTGGTTAGGGTAGGGTACGCGCATGCCATGCTGGTGCCGAGCTCATTCAAATACAGCTCGGCTGCCATGGACACCCCGAGCCAGAGAGGTCCACGACCACCCGTCCTCAAACTGCCATACCGTGAAAGACAGCACTCGCCCCCACCGAGATCAGTCTCGTCGAGGCCGACCACCGAACCTGTCAGCATCCCGTCGCCGAAAGTGACCAATGTTGCTCAGTCAGGACGGACCCGATCAGGATCGCACTACACTATCATGTCTGCCGAGCGGAGCGCATCTGTCAACATTGCTCGTAGAGAACCTTCAGCCTATGGCCCCAATGGCCTGCCACCCGCCGTGGCCACACTGCTCGCCGTCACAGCCATACCACCACGTCGACCGAATCGCTATCGGACGAAGCCTGGTAGCCATCGCCGCATATCTATAGAAGAGTTGATTAATGACTGGAAGAGTGACGATACTTTCAAACAGAGTGTGGGCAGTCCTGGCAGTGTGGCTCTGAACACACTCTTAGAGGACGACGATGATATGGGGCCGGAGAGTCACGATGCTACGGAGCCAGGCTACCTGAACGCTCGATCTGCGTCCAGCGACTCGATGCCATCTCTGGATTCTGATAGTCAGTCCGTACTGTCCATCGGCAGCGTTTCGACACCAGGGTCGTTGCGCAGTCGCCAGTCTTTCAGCACTCTCAGGAAGGACAAGTCACGATCACTTGCTGCCTCGCAAGACTGTGCCTTTGATCATCCTTTGATCACTCGTGTCGATGACGACGATCATGACGAGCTGCTCTTCTCCATGCCGAAACACACTCTCGCCACGAAGAAGTCCAAGACGTCGTTCAAGTCGAACCTGACTGCCTCATTGCAAACGCTGAAAGAGGCAGCCGTGAACTCCATCTCTTCGCTTCGTCGGACCGGCTCGATGCCATCCCTATCGAGAGCGGCTGCGTCGCCCATGGATGACATGCTGTGGTCTCACCCTTTTCTGTTCCCACGGTTTAGTTCTGAGACGCGACCCGCTTACGACGGGACACCCACTCCCGCTCAGCGCCGCTATTTGAACCCCATGCCACTCACCTTCGAGGAGCAAGAAGCACCCTTCCAGGAAGCTCTGCATGCACCATTCCTAGCAGAAGCAGTCGACCAAGCACCTACCATACAATTGCAGACGTATAACCGTGGCCGCAAGAGACCCAGCCCCAAAAGGTCGGCACCAAGCCCCGGCTCTGAGGCCGGCAGGGCTCTGCTTGGCCAAGTTGCTGGCCGACAACGGGATGTGAGAGAAAACTCCAACTTTCTCCGCGTAGTCGTCCTGGAGATGAATATGCGACGTGAAGGCAAAATCGAGCAGGGCAAAGCCAAAATCTGGCTACCGCCGCGCCAGTCCAGTGCAAGCCCCGTCCAGCAAGGTCGCGTGCCTCAGCGCTGGGTGGGAGAGAGTGCCTGATGTTGGGTTCATCTCTTGATTTTGATTTTCCATTTATTTTTATTGTTTTTTTGGGGCATGTCTGTTGAATACCTAGTGGCGCTGAGCGCGCACAGCTGATATCCATGGTGAAGCGTTTTTAGCGTAACGCATTATGAACTGAAACGGTGGACAACATAACATATTGATAGGTATCGAGGGAAATGGGGACTAGAAGAAGAAGAAGAGAGAAAGAAAGGAAGAAGAAATGGGACAATGGGTACCTAGAGGAAGGATGAAGAGCTTCACAGCTGGCTTTCACCATTTTTGTTTGGATCTTTTTTGGATAGTACCATGCATGGCATGAAAGACGACGTAACCAAGATTCAAGAATCTCAAATGATGATGACTATCAGACAAGAACTCGAGGAGAAATGTGTCGTCGACGTTATATATAATCTGTGTTGTGATGGTGATGTGCAGTACAGGTATGTATAAGGTAAAAGTACATGTAGGTCAAGGTCAGGTCGTGAATCATGCCATACGTGCGCGATATTGCGAAAATGCCTCAAAACATCATTTCCCCCCAGGCGCTGACTACAGGTACATACCTTACTTGCTGAAAAAGAGGGGGTGAGTGATGGTCACCAGTCACCACACCTCACCTCACCGACATCGACACCGACACCGACACGTTACATGCACTTTGCCTTCTGTATCGTCTCCTGTATCTGTATCGTCTCCCATACGTAGTTTCAACTTTCCCGTCCCCCAGTTTTTGAGTTTCTATACCTTGATGTACCTTCTTACCTTCTAACGTTTACCTCCTCAAGTCACGCACGACTATACATACCTTAATGTACCTACCTGTATCCAGGAGGTATGGATGTTGATCATCAGTTTCTACATCTCCTACCTACTGTGCTACCTACAGTACCTACCTACCTATCTACCTGACCTTAAATTTACCTGTACTCTGCATGATGATCGACCATCACTAGATACTGACTGACTGACTCTACCAACTGTATACGATGTTAAAAAGGTAAGGTGAGGTAGTAATTGAATCTTTCGTCTCATCTCATTCGTTCGTGATTTCGTGATTCGGTTTTGGGGTGTATATGAGTGATTTTTCTTTTTCTTTTTTCTTTTTTCTTTTTTCTTGTGGTTGTCCGGGCTGTTGAGAGGAGGGTGAGTGAGGAGTGTACTGAGGTGAGTGAGTGAGTTGGGTGAGTGAGTGATGTTGATGTTTTGGTGACCTTTTTTTGCCTATAGGGCTCATTCGTCATATTCTACTACTCTGCGTTTGGTTTCTCTTCACCGCTCCAAGGTGAGCTTGTTTCGTCTCTCCTCTGGTATCATTCTACTCGCTCATTGGAGTCTTCCTCTCGTCATCCCCCTCCTTCTTCTTCTCTAGTCGCCGCTGCACCCACTATGCTATGCCTCTGGTATGAAGTCATGCTGATTGGAGGCCTGGACGATCGAGGCGCCGAGCCATCCTGTGGCTGTCGTCGTTGTTGCTTCGGCTATCTGAACATTGTGACCATCCTGTCATCGATGAGGCTACGATGTGTCGCACTCATTCTTCCGAGACTGATGAATCTATGGCCCCTCCAAAAAGCAGTCACACCTCTTACACTCATCGCCAGGAAGGGACGGGATTCCCTCTCGACCGATATTCAGTCTGAACATACTCTTGACGATGTGGAGGAATGCTGGTCTTTCCAGACAGCGCTGATCCTCGTAGGATGAAGAATCATGCCAAGAGACTGATAGACTCGTGACAATGTCTTTTCATAATGGCGTGTCAACACTGGCCAGCACATCCTCGATGACATCTTCCACAGTCACACCATTAAGCATCTCCTTCACGGCCTGTGGATCGCTTCCCCACAGTAAGCTCTTCTCATTCTGTGGAGTAGCCAAGACAATCCGATGCGGATAGATCTTCCGCGCTGCCAACGTGATGAGTGAGGGTGGCACGTAGTCAAGGCCGTGCAGTGGTGCCAGGGCCAAAGCCAGTAATCGCAGCTGCCGCGTACTGGCAGCAGTCACGCCACTCTTGACGTATCGACTGTTGCGCATGAATACGGCTACGTTGTGCAGATACTGCGCAATTTCGGCACTCATTTCCACTTTGCTCATCAACTCGGAGAGATGTTTGATCTCCTCGGGCGAAAAGGCAGCATCGGAAATGGCCAACTTGCCCAAGCGGCTTTGCCGATGGGGCACAGTATCTTCGGGACTGTGGTAATGTGACATGCAGAAGGAGTCGTTTAGATGCCTGGTCAACCTGGCATTAGGCTCTGACAGGACCGTGATAAATAGTAGATCCTTGGGGGCGACATGCATAGCTGATCGTGTGAAGATGCGACCCGATCTGAGCAGCTCCAATGCCTGCACTTGCACACTTTCGCTCGCAGCGTCGAGTCCGGTAGCGATGATTACGTCCGCGATCCGTCTGTCCTCGAAGTTGGCAATGGTGCTTCCGAATCGGCCGCCACCAGGGCTGGCTTGACGCACTGGCTCGAAGTTGACCATAAGGGTAGGGCGGGCCGATGTGTAGTCAAGATCAAGGGCATCCTGGAGGTCTTCTTGGTTGTTATTGTCAACAAGTAAGCCTTGGTTGAAGTCATCGACGGTAGTGTCGGCAGAGCACTCGACGACTGCCGGATGCCGGCCGAGGAGATCGATGCATGTTAGTCGCAGTTGTTCTTGCAGGTCGGCGACAGTGTGTGCAGCGGTGGAGAAGATGCAGTGAACTTCTGCAATTGTCGAGACCAGTATGGCCAGTTCCACATCGTCCAGTTCTTCGACGCGTGCCAGGATGGAGGAAGCCATCTTGTCCCGAAGACTAGATGTAAGTGCACTTCTGCCAGTACATGTCTTGATCAGAGTCTGTCTGCGTTTGGGTAGTCGTGCTCAGGTATGGCCGAGAGTGCGAGTAGCACCTAGTAGTACTCCAGTTTCATGGAGATGAAGATGGACACGGACCAAGCGCGTGCTTCCTTCGCGTCACTGGAGATACCTCCCTTAGTAACCTGGAAGCTCAGGTACATCATCATACCATGCACCAGCCAACAAACAGACAACAAACACGTCCGTCTTGACAGTGTTGCCCTAGTCGCCTTCTCCCCTCGCGACAGACAGTATCACTCGCCGTAACATGTCTGACATCGCCGCATGATGAGTGAAGTCGAGAAAAAGGCAACCTTCGGGTGGGAGCGCATTGGCGACAGGTTCTATCGCAAGACTGAGCTGTACCGCGACATCTTTGATCCCGACCTCGAGCTCGAGAACTTCACCGTCACCGGCGCTCCCTTCAGTGGTGCTGTAGGTAAGCACCCACTCATGCGAGCGCTGCGCTGACCCGACCTGACCTGACCTGACCGCCGACAGCCCTGCGCCGAGATACCACCAAGGCCTCCACCTTCCGCGGTCCGCACTCCGCCAAACCGACTATCGACATTCACAGTTGCGCTGGCAAGCTGATCCGCCAGATTCAGTGGGATCGAGGGAATATTGTATGTCTCGGCTGGTCGGAGGATGAGAAGCTGCTGGTGGTCACGGACGACGGCGCCGTGCGCGTCTACTCGGATCTACAGGCCGACTTCACGCCCTTCAGCTTGGGACACGGGGCGGAAGACCATGGCGTGCTGGCGTGCAGGTTCTGGTCCAGCGGCTTCGTCGCACTGCTCGGGAATAACAACCTGGTGGTAGTTGCACGTTACGATGAGCCACGACCACAGCTACTTGCCTCTGCGCCCGCTGGCGATGTCATATCTTGGACGGTTATCGCACCCGAGTACACGTCCTCGAGATCTGTCGAAGTACTGCTTGCGGTAGACCAGACAGTTTACGTGGTAGATGCGGTAGAGTGCGAGGACCGGGGCCTCCAAGCTGGACCTTTCCGTCATATCGCAGTGTCGCCCAACGGCAAGTTTGTTGCCCTATATACAGACGACGGCAAGGTCTGGGTCATCAGCAGTGACTTTCAAGACCGCTTCAGTGAGTACGAGTCGAAAGCGAGGACGCCTCCAAAAGACTTGCAATGGTGTGGCAACAACGCAGTAGTGCTGGCGTGGGAAGATGAAATCCATCTTGTTGGGCCAAACGGTTCCGCCCACAGATGGGAATACGATTCATGGGTCCATCTTCTCCCGGATGTCGATGGCATACGGATCATGACCAGCGACGTGTGCGAATTCTTGCAGAAGGTGCCTGACGCCACAGAAGAGGTCTTCAAAATCGGCTCCGATGCTCCACCTGCTGTGCTGCTCGACGCCATCGTGCAACTGGATCACAAGTCACCCAAGGCGGACGACAACATTCAGTTGATCAGACCGAATCTAGACGAAGCCGTAGATGTCTGCGTGCGTGCTGCAGGGCACGAATTCAATGTCTATTGGCAGAAGCAACTGCTCAAAGCCGCGTCTTTCGGTAAATCTGTGCTAGATCTATACAACAGTGATGATTTTGTGGATATGACAGAGGCTCTGCGCGTACTGCACGCGGTGAGAGCTCACGAGATTGGTCTACCGCTGTCATACGAGCAGTACGTCCGTCTCACTCCAGAGAAACTTGTGCAAAGACTGGTCAACCGCTACGAGTATCTGCTGGCGTTGAAAGTATCAGAGTATTTGCACCTGCCGGTGGACAGCATCTACGTGCACTGGGCGCGCCAGAAGGTCCGTAGCTCAAGCACCGACGAGGACAGCATATGTGCCGAAATCGTGCGCAAGCTGAATGGCAAGCGTGGCATCTCGTTCGAGGAAGTCGCTCGAGCAGCATACGATGAAGGCAGAGGGAAGCTGGCAACAGAGCTACTAGAGTATGAACCCAGAGCCGGCAAGCAGGTCCCGCTCCTGCTCGACGTCGGCGAGGAGTCCATCGCGCTCGATAAGGCAATCGAAAGCGGCGACACAGATCTCGTCTTCTACGTGCTGTTGAATTTGAAGAAGAAGATACCCCTTTCGAGCTTCTTTCGCACCATCAGTAGTCGGCCGGTAGCCACTGCGATCGTGGAAGCATCAGCCATTGATCAGGACGTGGAGCTTCTCAAAGACTTGTATTACCAGGACGACCGACGACTCGATGGTGCAAACTTGCTCGTGTCAGAAGCACTTGTTGCCAGTGATGTTCATCCGGCGAATGACAAGCTCAAGATGGCCTCGAAGCTGCTGCGTGACAGCAAAGAGTTTGCACCACAAGTCACGGCTATTGAGGAAGCGCAGAAGTTGTTGAGGTTCCAAGAGACATTTCAGAAAGAGCTGAACGAAAGCTACATTGGGCTGTCGGTGAACCAAACGATAAGCAAGCTCATCAGGCAAGGGAATATCAAACGCTCACTAAAGGTGCAATCGGAATTCAAGGTCAGCGACAAGACGTACTGGTGGATCAGATTACGGGCACTCGTCAGCAGAAGAGACTGGAGAGAGCTCGAAGAGATCATGAAGCAGCGGAAGAGCCCTATTGGCTGGGAGGTGAGTGTGGTGGCTCTCTCTCCGTGCTTATTTCTATGCTAACATCACGTGCTATAGCCATTCTTCAACGAGATATTGGGAGCTGGAAACCCGAAGGTGGCCTCCGCCGTCATTCCCAAATGCACGTCGCTGACTACGGCCGAACGCATCGAAATGTGGGTCAAGTGCGGTATGGTGAACAAGGCAGGCGAAGAAGCGCTCAAAGTCAAAGACCGTGCTGCGCTTGAGGAACTTCGGAGCAAAGCGAATGGACAGCAAATGCTCGATATTGACCGGATGATTGCTCAGCTGTCGAGAGGACGGTAGGACGAAGAACTGATGACACCACCCGATATGACTACATGACGGCATGTCCATTTTGACGCATCCCAACGCGATCCACATCGAGCCGCGCTGAGACAAGCTTGCTCTGTTGGAATCGGTGTTGGAGAGGGTGCAGTGGTCACCTTGGTGAGGCTGCTGAGATGTAGCAATGTTGATGCACGGCGGAATCAACGTCTTGTTTGGTGTCTACCGTAGAAGCGACTATGGACACTGCACTGTATATACCTCAGGTACCTTGCCTTACTTTTCAACAAATGCACATGTATCCACTGTGATCCACGTGACCTTGACTATACCTTAGACATGGGCCCATTTTCAAATACGGGAGACACCTATTTCAGTTGGAAGCCTCCCTTGTATGTTCAAGGTAGGATAGGTCTTCTAGGAAGTAGCGGGCCAGAACGCGGTAGGGAGGGCCCTTATATAGAGCAGAACCTGAAGGACAACACTCTCGTTATCATTGGTCTTTTCCTGTCATCATCATGTCGCAGCCAACAACCAACGAAGAAGAAAAGATGAAGAAGATGAATCAGAATCAGAATCAGAATAATTAATTAATTAATTTGATAGTGTGATAGTGATAATGGGATGAGCAGCCATGAGTCGCGTGTTTCCGGAACAGCTTCAACGGCGTGTGTGCACTGTGCGGTGTAGTGCGGTGCGGTGTGTGTGATGGAAACAGAAACGGGGGGTAAAATAATTCGGGCAGATTTTTTCCCTTTGGCGTGTCTCATCCGTGGATATGAGCCGATGGGGAATGAGAAAAAGAGAAAAAAAGTCTCTTTTTCTTCTTCGTGACTTTTGTCTTATTTTGCCACTTATTATTAAAAGGAATTTTTTTGGGGGGGTTTTGAATAAGCTGCTCATTTCTTGATTCGTACTGATGAAATAAGGGTACACTCACTCAAGTCTCACTGTACATGTGTGATTAGGGCTGTGGCGAGAAGGTACCTGGTCGCCTTTTTTGATGTTCATCATTTTAAACCTGTAGTGTCATTGTGCGACGTTGGACTGTATACATGTAGGTGGTGTTGTTTCGTCGTGCTGCTGCTCTCGCCACTCTCGTGTGATAGATTGATTGCCTTATTTCATTTCAACCTGGGTAAGAAGGAGGAGAGAGAGAGACAGACAGGCAGACAGGCAGGAGCATTGGCAGACATGAGATCCAAGTACAGGTACAGGTAGTCAGAACAGGCTGGGATACGGGAGAAGGTGTATACACTCCCTCCTTTCTTCCCTGCTGCCTTTTTCTGCATCAAATCAAATCACAGCAATTATAATCATCAACACCGAACAGAAATCACACCAAAAACGAACCATCCCCATCCCGATTACTCGCCGCCTACTCTCACGTGCACATGAGACTTTTGGTGGTGCAGATCTCTCTCCATCTCCAGCAACGTGCAACTGCTCACAACTGCTGCCTGCATCCTTTCCAACGGCCGCGTGCATTTGAGTTTGCTTTGCTTTTTTTTTCTGCTTTAGGCTGCTTTGCTTTGCGCTGCGCCGGAAGTAGAAGGGGGAGAGAAGTTCGAGGAGGTATTACATGTAATTGTAGCAGCAGCAGCAGCAGCAGCAGCATCGGCAGCGGCAGCATTTCTCTTTGCGCCAAGCTGGACGGGAACAACGAGAAGTAGTGGCGCTTTGCTTTGCTTCGCTGGGCCGGCTCCGTCAATCGTCTTTGGACTTTGCTATCTGCCTGACCTGATCTTTGCTGCTCCTGCCACCGCCCGCAGAGGACTCCTCACCCACCACCACCACCACCACTACCTCCTCCTCACTCACCCCATCACCGCCATCACCACCACCACCACCAATTCACCAACTCTCCATCGGCACCCGACACGCGACTGCATCCATCCCCTTCAGTCACACCCGGGCACGCAAGCTCGCGGTGTTGTACCACCACTCGGCGTGTCGTGTGGTGTTGCTGTGCTGTACTGTGCTGCTCTGCTCTGCTCAAGCGAGTCTGACGCAGCGGAGAACGGGACAAAGGAGACCAAGACGAAACAAGTCCAAATCGCCCTGCATCCACCATCATCCTCGACGCACTCTATTCACCGACTCGGCCCATCACTCCGTCCTCATTCCCGTCCTCGTCGTTCGACTTCCTCTTTCTTTCCCTTCTTCCCCTTCTGCTCGGGCTCACCACCGCCAGCGACAAACCGGCACACCCTCACCGAAGCGCTTCTAGCCATCCACCCGTGAGACACACCCACCTGGCCATCGGCATCTCCCGCCTGTCGCCGCCCGAAGCGCCATCTGTTTGCTGCCTGCATCCCTTCTACCCTCCTTGGCTGGCTGGCTGGCGAGCTGGCCTGCACCGAGTCTGTCACCTTCGCCATCTCGAATCCATCGCGAGCGGACCTGGACCACAATCGGCGTGAGGAGAGTGGCGTGGTTCGGGAGACGCAAACATGCGTGAGGTCAATTTCAGCATCCCGAGTGCAAACAAGGCCTCGGTCGGCATCACCACTGCTCTCTATGACCGCCGCGCGCTGGACTGCACCTCCACCCTGCCACTGATCAACTCTCTCAACAATCTCGCCTATCTGACCACCTCCTCCGGTCGCATTCGGGACATTCTCACCGTCGATGGCGGCATCGAGCGCCTGGTATGCATTCTGAAGGAAGGACGGAGCAAGGACATGATGGAGATGTGGAAGTGGAATCTCGCCTTTCAATGCATCGTCAATATTGGCGTGAGGGGCTCCGAGGCAGTGCGAACCCGCGTAGTCGAGGCTGACATGGTCCCTGTTATTGCGACGATACTGGACAACTACTTCCAGGTCGTGGAGAAGAGTCGCGAAAGACTGGAGCTGGAGAGTAAGAAGAAGTGCCCCTTTGGATCCTCGCGAAACTTCTCGCGCTCCTCCTCCAACAGGGTAGAGACACAGGAGCACCGAAGTGGGAGGAGTAGTAGACGGCATGCACCACCACCCATCTCGATACCCGAGCCGAGCGAGTCGCCTGAAGACGAGCCCACCAGCGAGGTGACTCCTACTGTACACACTGCGAACCTGTCCCTGAGTTCGCCGCCCGGGAGGACAGTATTTCCTCGTCAGCACCCACAGAACAGGTCAAATGGCGGCAGGGTACAATTCACCTCGCCCACTGCGACTACGAACAGACAGCCAGAACCGCCCGTGTCCTCATTGACGCTGCAGAGTAATGACTTTGTGCGGCCAGTGCGCTATGTCGACAGACTACCTTCCATGATTGCAGCAATACAGGCAGAGCTGAGTTCGCAGCCCCAGTCACCAACTACGCCTGGCCCTCCAGCACAACAGCCAGAGAGCAGCCAGCCTCGACGACGTCCTTCCATCCGCCATCAACTTTCCATGTCCGGATCCGATGACGATGGGCAGATCGAAGACGCTGTCGATGAGCGGTCAACCGGGACAGAATTAGAGCCCATGATCGGCATCACCGGTACAGACCTGGCGATGGAAGACATTCGAGCCGACATGGGGCCACAGAACACTGGTGTCGCTCTCACTGATCTCGCTGATGTGAGCAGTGCGGACGATGATACTTTCCATATTCCACAGCCATCCAACGATGGCAGCCATACCACACCAACTCAGGGTCAAACCAATCTAGCACAAGCGCAAGTGCCGCCACCAGGTACCATTAATGTGACTTCCCCGACACTCCAACAGCCTCCTGCCTGGTACCCACAGCGAGGACTGCCCCTGGACCGATCTGCGCCGGCCAGCATATTGGCCGCCATGCCACGAGATGAAGACGTACTCATGTCACTGCAGCTGCTTGCGTACGTCTCGAAATATTGCAACTTACGGTCATACTTTCAGCAATCACACCTGGTGCCTCGGTTGAAAATCGATCGGGAGTTGAAGATGTTGGATCCGGACTACAACCCTGCGACGCACTCTCTCCCCACACAAGATGAGCTCGAAGACGAATGGGACAACGAGTTTGTGAAGAAAGACGGCGAGAAGCCATACAACATCTTTCCACTGATTGAGAAGTTTACCGCCAAATCGTCCTCGTCGCGGCATACTCCAGTCCCGTCATCACCACAACAAGGCGACATGCAGTACTGGGCCGGCGTCGTCATGCGCAATCTATGCCGCAAAGACGACAGCAAAGGAGGCATCAGGCAGTGCGCATACTGGCAGTGTGGGAAGTGGGAAGAGTTCACTCGCCAATTCGCAAAGTGCCGTCGATGTCGACGGACCAAGTACTGCAGTAAAGAGTGCCAAAAGGGCGCTTGGGGCAGTCATCGCTTCTGGTGTGTTGCGGTAGAAGACAGCAGAGAAGGTGAAGGAGAGCATCGACATCGTTCTCATCGCCACCATCACCACCACGGACACTAAGCTGCTGGTTGGACCTGGGATCGACTATTGTGGTTCGTATCCGAGGTCTGCTCAAGCGCTGTTCCGACACTCTGGTCTTCCACAAAAGCATGGGCATGGCGCTTTCCAACGCGTTCCGAGCATTACTATCGCAGCTATAATCTGCATCCAACTACGAAATGACTACTTTACTGTAATTGCTTCTTCCGCATCATCATGCCCATTAAGAGCGACATGGGAAGCATGGGAGGAGAGCCCCCACATCCGAAAGAGATACCATTATGAGTTTACTAGCTGTTTCTGCTGTTTTTGCCATGGTTTTTATGGAGCATATTTATTGATGAATGAAATGGGAAGGGGAATCACGTTCGAGCATGTGATGTGAACCCAAGATTGCAGTATTGCTATAGGTACATGTAGTTACGGTACCTATTCATACCTACCTACCTTTAACACGCCGTGTCTCTTATTCGATTCACTGCCTGACTGTGGCTGACCATAAACGACAATTCCCATCAACTCACATTGCCCGCTGCCGTCCCGCTTACTCAATCGCGCGCCGGAAGCCGACTGCAGACATGCGAACGTCTTGCAGATGACACGGCTTATGTGGTACCTACATAGTCTAAGGTACCACCTTATCATTGCCCTTTGAGATTTCGCCATATACAGGTACCTACTCACTCACATTCTGTTTTGTATGTGCTAGGTAGGTATTGATTAGCTCTTCTACTGATGATGACATGAAATTATGAATCAGGTGTGATTCTCTTTCTCCGTGTTGTCTACCTTATGTTCTCTACGTAGAGCCTGTTTGTCTGGCTGCCAAGGTAGTAGGTAGGTAGGTAGATAGGTAGGCAGGTCGGTCTTTGACTACCTACCTAGCCTTGATAAAATAGACCACCGCCCCCTCCCTCCCCCCCCCCTCTCTCTCTCTCCCTCCCTCTCTCCCTCCCTATTCGACAGACAAACAGGTAAGTAGATGCTGACTGTCAAATTGTGAACCGTTATTGAGATGGAGATGGAGATAGAGATTGAGATTGAGATTGAGGGACTTGAGATTGGTAAAATACTCTGCTTTGGCAAGTGGCATTTTGGATTAGGTGGAAGTCGGGAGCGGTAGGTAGGTAGCATAGATACCCTCCATGACATTGGTATACTCAAGGTGTTCACTCCTCTCATAACGTGGCACTGGGTCCAGACCTGATGCATTCATTTCCTACCTTCTACAGTCACATGTCAAGTTTCGGGGAACGGTACGCTGTGATTTTGCTATGATTCCATTTTCTATCAACACGAAAGGGCAAACGCAACACGCGTTGGGTCAAGCATATGACGTGCCATCATGAATTGCCCAAGCTATTCGTGGTGCTGCCTCTTTCCACCTCTCCCAGCGTCAACCCATCAGCGCCGTTATGTATGCGCAGAAGCAATGCTACCCATAATGCCGTTCAGGTAGCATGGCCAAAGGAGTCTCGACAATCTTTGTCTGAGTGAAGGTGTGTATGTTGAAGTCCATGATGAGTTGTCGATGTCAAAAGGGGGGAGGGGCCAGGTGTTGTTGTTGGGGGTATCAGTGAAGAAGGGTCATGTAGTGTGGCTTGCGTGGGGCTGACGGTGTTGAGGGACGGGTGGGTGTCGCATCGCACAAACTGCTTCTGTGCAGTGCTGGTTCGATACTGGCTCGCGCGCGCATGTCGAAAACGGGGTGGCGCAGTCGTTGACGCCACCGGCAGTCGTCTTGAGGTACATACTGCCGTGGGCGCCTAATGCTGCTGACTTACCTTGAGTCCTGGAAGCTGGACCGCTGCCACGAGATAATATGCTCTTCTGCTTATCTCGATTCATGGTTGGGCTGGACGTTGCCATGGATGTGCATTCACAATGCATCTTTACATGTCCATGCTTTCTCCATCGCCACCATTGGCAAAGTTGAAGTTTTGCTGTTGCTGCTGAGCGCCGAAGCCAAATTGTCCATCCTGGCCTTGAGCAGGTGCAAGTTCGTTGACCTCTGCATCACCCTCCTCGTCAGAGAAGTACTTCTCAATGATGTTGTAGGCCTTCATGTAGATCTCTTCGTTGCTGTTGTTTTGGCAGTCGTGGATCTTTTCCATGCCTCCACAGTCTTCAATGAACAGAGCATACTTGTTGACTGGCGGCTCAGCACTACCATCTTGGGCTTCTTTGTCCATGTCGCCAACCTTGAGGATGTTCTCGAGGCCGTCGAGAGCGACTTGTATGATCTTGTTGTCAGGGCAGTTCAGCAAATCGCACAGAGGACGGATAGCTCCTTGCTGAACAAGGAAACGAATTTGGTCTGGCTTCTGAAGACCGCCGCTGGTTGCATTGCTGATGGCCCAGCAAGCTTCTTTGCGGGTCTTGAAGTCGCCGTGGCTCAGGAGATGGATGAGTGGTGGCATGATGTTGGCGTCGATGACGGCTTGGATCTGTGTGCTGTTGCCAGCTGTGATGTTGGAGATAGTCCAGCATGCCTCCTTACGAATGCCGTCCTTGGTACTGCTCAGGAGGGACAACAGAGCTCCGAGGGCGCCGCAGTTGATGATAAGCTGGGTCTGCACGTCATCTCCGGTCACGATGTTGCCAACCGAGCGAAGAGCAGGAGTCTGAACCGAAGTAGATGCATGCATGAGCAACTCTACCAACCGACGTGGAATATTGGCCTCGATCACCGCCTGAATCTTGTCATTCGAGCCGTCACTCAAATAGGAAATAGCCCAGCATGCATCGATGAGAACCTCATCGTCGAGAGAATACACCAGCTTGGCAAGCACCGGCAGCGCTGGAGCAATCGTATTCCAGTCCGGTTGAGGTGTCTTGCCCCGACAGAAGTTGCTGAGGGTCCAGGTGGCATTGCGGAGCATGCTCAGCTTGCGGCTATCACCCAGAAGGCGTACAAGCGGCGCCAGAGCGCCCTGAGCAAGCACAAAGTCCCTGCACGCTGGACTGTCTCCTGCAATGTTTCCGAGAGCCCACACAGCCTGTTCCCGCACATCCGGCTCGGGACTGCTGAGAAGCTCAACGAAGATAGGCACTGCTCCATGTTCAATGACAACCTGTGTCTGCTGCGCCGAGCCTGAAGCGATGTTGGTCAGCGCCCAGGCTGCCTCGAATTGCACGAGTGTGTGTGGTGAGCGGAGGAATTCGACGAATCTGGGAACGACGTTGTTCTCAATGACTCGCTCGATTGGAGGATTGCGCTCCTTGCTGAGAAGCTTTCTGAATTTGGTGGTGGCTGCAATCTGATCCTCGATCTTGTCGGAAAACACGCCCCGAACCATTTGTGGGAGCTCCTCGTCCAACTACATGATCAGTCAGTAAGGCGGCACTGGTTTGAGATGCTTCGTATGCACGAACCTGATTCTCGTTCGTGGCACCCTCATCGTCGCTGTCTGGGGCAGCGCCCAACGAAGCACCCAGCCGCTCGGAGCCAGCGTTGATTCCCCGTCGCTTTGCAAGGTTCTCCTCGCGCTTCTGCTTGCGGATCTCGACCTGCTGCTCTTCACGGCGACGGCGAAGCTCGTCAGGCTTGAATGTGCTCTTCGCCTTGAAGTTGTTGCGGCGGTGCTCGGGTATGTAGCGTTCCGCCATGTTTGCTAAGAGCTACGTGTGATGGTGCACGACGTGGTGTGTGGAGGCAATGGTGCGTCGTGGATGGAATGCGATGTCGTCGCCAACGGAGCCGAGATCTTCGGTACGGTGGAAGCTGATGTGATGGTCTGGCTCTATCGCAGAAGCCGCAGACAAGAAGAGGGTGGCGTGATGTGGTAACGCAGCGATGAGAGCGTCGAGGTGGTGGTGGTAGTCGAAAGGAAAACAGCCCTGTCTGTCCCGCACGTCTGTGCTCGCTCGTCGCCGCAAGAAGTCGTGGCACAAAGGTAAGCCGCTGAGTGTGGAAGCACGTCCTCCTTTGTACACCTCATGTACTAATAACAACAGTGAAAAGCCGTTCACGCTCCCACCTTACCTGGAATCACTAGTGCTTCGGAATAGGTAGGTGCAAACACCCTCTCTGGCAAGCGGTGAGTGAAGTGCTCCATGCCACAACACCGACGCAGTTGCTCGACACTTTCACATGCAACAGAGATTGATTAGGTAGCCTTCCTTGGGCCCTTTCTCCAGAGCGGCGCGTGTGCTTCACCACGGACAAGCTGGCAACCACTTCCTACCACTAGTGACTTCTGCAGAGCCAGATTTTGCGATTCTCGCCTGGCTCAGATCACCTCCCAACCCGCCTAACATGTTCATAGACCTCGAGAGCCGCTGGCGGAATTGGTCGCGCACCCAAAGGCACATTCATTGAAGCACAAGCTCGCCCATACGCGTTGCACGCGGTTCTTTTAAACAATTGTCGCGCTTCTGTTATCACAACATCACCCTCCTGCTGAGGCACCATATCCCAAGATGGCAACGCCACCCAAGGGTTTCATAGACCTTGCGTCTGCGTACAAAACACCCGATCAGACCTTTGTCAACATCATTGGCGTTGTTGTCGACCTCATGCAGCCGATGCTGACAAAGACTGGCCAGCATACCATCAGCTTTCGGCTCCTGGACTACAGACTTTCTATGGCAGCTGAAGGTGCGCAAGGACTCACGTGTAGATCCTTCATTGATGATCCCGAACATCTGCCCAAAGTGCGAAACATCGGGGACGTCGTACTCTTTCGCAACATCAAAATGATGACGTTTGATTATTCGCGAGTAGCTGTGACCAACTGGACAACGGGCTGCATTGTCTTTCCTGGAGCCGCCATTCCGGACAAAAGTTTTGCCATTGCATACGTGAACAATCAGAAGCTTGAACGCTTAGGCATACCAAAGGATGTCGACAACTTCAACTTGCAAGAGCAAGATTATGTTATCCGCATCAAGGAAGACATGAAGCCTCGAGTGAACCAATCGCTTGGCAAGATGGCAACCCGCCCTCTGCCTCAGGACAGCACTACGGAAGTCTCTGCTGCCAAACGTGCGAGGACTTCGGGTGGACCATACGGGTTTGGGCCCAAATTCAGCCTGATCGAAGATCTTCGAGATTGGCAATTTGCAGACTTGGTAGGCTTCGTAGTGAAGTGCTATCCTGCGCAATACGGGGGCTGCGATCTTTATATCTCAGACTACACTGCGAATGAGGCACTGCGACCTTATGCGGCACCAGAACAAGAAGGAGAAATTTCTCGTGAGCGTGATGGAGACGCGTTCGGCTACAGCGAAGTTGCGATGAAGAACTGGCCGGGCCCGTATGGTCATCTCGTCATGAAGATTAACGTCAAACCACCACATGCTGCATTCGCTGCCAACAACGTGAAAGAAGGAAACATTGTTCATTTGAGGAATGTCAAGAGGAGGATATCGCCCATTGGTGGGTTTCTCGAAGGCGACATGTGGCCAGACAATAGAGATCCCGATCAGATCAAAATCCGCTTAGTTCGAGATACTTCGGGGCCCGACTGTCAGTCCATGATCAAGAGGAAGGAGAAGTACTGGGTGACGCGCGATACTCGGCTTCTTCAGAATGCCCCAGTGCAAGCAGGTGTGCCACAGAAGAAATCCAAGACCGCTAAGAAAAGGGAGAAGGAGATGGAGAAGAAGGAGAGGAGAGAGAAGGCAAAGGCAAAGGCGACCAGGACTGAGGATCACAATCAGCATATTCGGTGCATGCACGAAGAAGGACTATCAGTGATGAAAGTGAAGGACATCATTGACGAAGAGAATAGATGGCATGCCAATGAAACCCCGGAAGGACTGCGGTATCCCTTGCCATTCATCAATGCAAGGTACTGTGCGAACGTCCGTGTCGTTGACTACCAACCCACGGCGCTCGAAGACTTCGCAGTGCTCGACACAGGTGGCGATAGCGGCTCCCATCCTGATTTGTGGACTCTCGAGGGATCTCCCAAGTACGAGTGGGCGTTCTCCCTCTTGCTTGAGGATGCGTCCAGTTCGAGAGAGTCAGCAGAAGAGAATCGTGTATGGGTACATGTGCAGCACGATGAGGCACAATTCCTACTCGGCGATGTGCCTGACCCAGACGACCTGCGGCACAGACCTGGATTGCTGAGACAGCTCAAAGAGAAACTATTCATTCTGTGGGGCAATCTCGAGGAGAAGGGCGAGGGAGATGCGCTCAGCAACAAAGCTTTTCGGTGCTGCATTGAAGAGTATGGCATTGAGATGGACGAAGATATCTCCAGCGGGCATAGCGGTGCTGGAAGCTGTAAGCGCTGGCTGCGCATGCACAGAATGTTTGGGGTTACGATTTCTTAGGTAGCGTGCAGTTCACCTTTAGATCCCGTTCACGCAGTCACGTGCGATCGTCTAGAGGCGTGACACGGGCGCGTGTGACTGGAAGTTAGGTCTATCCATGCTCGTGCTTTCTAAATTGCAGGGCTGGTGCATGCAGTGGCGGTGGCCTTTACTCCGTCACATTCGACTCGTCAACATACCTCCTACGACAACGAGGACGCCGTCGTGAAATTCCAATGATCAGACCGAGCAAGCATGGATCTCACCATGCACCCATCATTCACCTGTCACATTGCCATTGTGCTATGATACATTCGACGGATACTGTAACTTTGTCCAAGACAACGTGTTGTAATGTCTGCGCCACTTCATGGACCAGGGCGCGGAGGTCGATCGGAGGAAAGCCACAACCGAATCGTCGTGTTGGGCCAGGGATGTTCGATCGTCTGTGCATGTCCATGTTTAGCCTTCTCTTGTTGCTTGGGTCAATTTCCCCGGCGGAGATCGCTCAGGCTCATGTGGTGGTTGTCAAGGGTGACCTGCTCGCCGTGCCAATGCCGCGGTCAAGCTCAGCAAAGAAGCTCTGGCAGGTCCTGGTCTGGACTTCGTCACAGTCATCATCATGGAACGAGGTCCGCCATACTTCGCTTGTATCGACTGTACCTAGGCACAGCGTCTGATGAGAGGGCGACTGAACGGAAAGGGAGGGCTGGGCAAAGTCTGTGTAAATTGGACATGGAAGGGATTGCGATCTGCCGTCGATGATTACGTCACCATGTTCGTGGACTGCACATCTCATGTCTGCCAGGAGGAGGACATGCTGGCCCTGGCGTTCGTACGCGAGGAAAATCAAGGCAGACGAGTCCTTGCGTGTCTATGGCGGCAGTAATGTGCTGTAATCCTGAAAGAGGAGAAATGGACACCTTGAACTGGAAGACCTGCGTGCCAGGCTGTGTGTCGTCATTGTTTGTCGTGATTCCCTCAGCAATGAATCTCAGCTCCCAGTCCCGTCACGAACTGGGAAGCATGGACCCGCGCGTGTCAACGCCTTCCCTACGCCTGCGCCTGTTCTGTTCCTTCCCACAACCCGCCAATACTACCTCCTCTCGCGCGTCTCCCTCGCTCTCTCTCCCTCACTCTTTCCCCTTCCTCTCTCTCCCTTCCTTCCAGCCCACACTTCCCACACAATTGACGCTTGCGCGCGCTGCATAATTCTCGAGATACCCCTTCAGCTTGCGCATTCCAGTACTCTGCATCACTTCAGTCAGCATCCCAGCCTGCTGCAAACAGCGCGAGTGCAACAACAAAGACACGCGAAACGACTCTTCACGAACACCACCACCTTCGAGCATAGCCCAGCTATCAGAATAACGACAACACAACCGCCATCATGACCTCGAAATCGGTCAACGTGCCCACCGACCCCAAGGTGAAGGAGAAGGACATCAACGCCAAGCTCCAGCTCTATGGAATCTACTCAGGTATGTGCGCTCGACTCGACGAGTGGGTGCTGGGAGCGCCGCTGACTTTTTATCTCTCTAGCTTTCGCTAAGGGCAAGGCTCCCACGAACCAGCAGATTGATGTTGCGATGAACTCGGCGCTTTCGTGGAAGGCGCTGCAATCCCCACCCACAAAGCTTTCGCAGGACGGTCAGGTACTCGTCCATGATCTCCGTGATGTGATCGAGAAGGCAAAGCTTCTGCTTTTGACCAAGAACGAGGGCGATCTCATCCAGGATTTCATTTGGCAGACACAAGGCATCGGTGCTGGCAATGCCTCAACACCAGGTGCTCCAATCGACAAGGAGACTGCACAACAGCACGGCCAGCAGGCCCTCGAGGGTCTGCGTACTCTGGGCCAACTCATCATCACCAATGGCCAGTTCCGCAAGCTACGTATGTTGTTAATGTTCGAGTCCTTGTCGTCATGCGCATGATGTGCTGACATGATTGCAGTGAGCGACTCCGTTGTGCTGTTCCGTGACATGGCCGGCGATGCCGCACAGAACGCAGCATCTGCCATTAACCCAGATGAGCAGCGTCTCAACCAGATCGATGAGCCAGCCGAAGATAACACCTGGCATGAGGCTCCGGATCTCAGCACGGGTAATATCAAGAACCAGGTCAAGTCCGCCATGCCAATGAGCAAGTCAGAGGCAAAGGGCCATGTCAAGGATGTCGCAGGTGATGCCACTCAGGCTGCACACCCAGCTGGCTCTCGCGATCCCGCTGATGCTGCAGATCTCGCCCGCCAAGAGCAGCAGACTGGCGTCCAGACTGGTATCGATGGCAAGCAAGGTGCCAAGGTCGCCGCAGACCGTACTCAACAGAAAGCCCAGAAGACATGGGATGAGATGGACGAGAACGACAAGCAGCAGGTTCGCGAATACCGTCAGAAGACCAAGGAATACTTCCAGAAGAAGGTGCCAAAGGAGCGTCGCGAGCAGACCATTTACCGCCTGAAGAAGATGATTGTGGAGATTCAGGGTCACCAGGACTGTGAGTTTTCCTCGCTGCCAGTGCCGTCTCCAAAGATGGTGTTCCCTTGATCACTGTCCATGATCCTCGTCAAGGGAACGGTAGCACATCCACTGACAATAAATCACAGATCAACAAGCAGTTGACACGCTCCTCCGCTTGGCCGAGGAATACACTGGCCACACTAAGGATGTGGCGGCTCAAACGACGGGAGCCGTGAAAGGTGCCCATAGCCAGGATACCCTGAAAACCGCGGAAGCTAACCTCAGAGTGCGTATTTGATTAGATTTTGCTCACAGTCATCAGCATATGCTGATTTCATTAAAGACCCTTTTGGAGCGATTCGCCAACAACACCTCGTTCGATGACCTCTTCGATTCCATCAACCAGATCTACCGAGACGCCGACAAGGACCCTGAACTCAAGGGCTTCTTCCGAAAACTCGATGCATTCATCCGCCGCTGCCTCAAGGAGCAAGGCTACATTCTCCAGGACGAGTCGAATGAGGAGTGGAACAAGCTATACGGTATGCCACTTCATCTCCGTGTCGTGACCGCATGGGCTCAACTAACCATCTTTTCTCAGACCACGGTGACTTCCTCCTCCGCGATCGCTACCGCGACCACACCAACCGTGTCGCCGACGAGACCAAGTTCTTGGCTGGTCAATTCGAGGAGGACCGCCAGAACAAGGAGTTCGCAGCTTCGATGGAGAAGTTGTTCAAGGATCTGGGCAATGACTCTGAGGGCAAGGCGGAGTTCAAGCCACATTTGATCAAAGATCTCACCGAGGTCATCATTCCTGGCTTCTTCGAGAACGTCCGCTACGTTCCAATCCCACGCATCGAGGTTTCTGACCCACAGATTGATGCTATTGTGGAGAACCTGGTCCTCGAGGGCGACAATCTGGCTCCAAACATGTTCGAGTTCGGTTCTGATAACTACTGGCGCTGGGGCCGCAAGGGCTTCCAATCGAAGAACAAGAACAAGGTCATGCTCGCAGTCTCAGGTATCCAAATGGACCTCAAGGACGTCGCCTACTACGTCAAGAAGAAGCAAGGCTTTCCTTCCATCACCGACAAGGGATTGCTGGATATCTTCCTTGGTGGCACTGGCCTCAGCTTCAAGGTGGCCATGGAGACCGCCGACAAGAAGGATCGCAGCCACTTCTTCAAGATCAACACCATCAATGTTGATGTGAAGAATGTGAACATCAAGGTCAAGCAGTCTAACCACAAGTTACTGTTCAGTCTGTTCAAACCAGTCCTTCTCAAGGTCCTGCGACCAGTGATCCAGAAGGTGATTGAAAAGCAAGTCCGGGACAGCGTTGGCAAGCTTGATGCGTTCTTGTATCAGGTGAAGCAAGAAGTTGACCGCGCTACGGAAGAGGCGAAGAACAACCCGGACCCAGAACATCTCCAGAGTATCTACCAGAAGTATTTCAATGCCTTCCAGGCGCAGATGCAGAAAGGTCAAAAGAAGAAGGAGGCCGCCAAGGAGAAAACCAAGGACACGAACGTGAATGTGGCTATGACCCAGAACGATTCGATCTTCAAGAACATCTCCCTTCCAGGTGGCATCTCTACCAAGGCTACCGAGTACCAGCAGCTTGCCGCTAAGGGCGAAAAGTGGGAGAGCCCAGTCTTCAGCATTGGCACGGCTAGCCCAACTAAGAGTTTGCCCCCTGCTGGTAAGGTTACCCGCAAACCCCACAACGTCACTCAGAGTGGTCTGAGAGGTCCCTCTTCTGGCGCACAGCAGAGCAGTACTTCCGGCGGCCTATCATCGGGTAATCTGACCCAGAACACCGGAGTCCCAAACACCTACGGCTCCCAGAGCACAGGAGTCCAGGACACGTACGGTTCTAGCAGTGCAGAAGGTCGCCAGATTGGCGGCACCGCACCCTACACAGACTCGATGAATGGTGGTGCTTCGCGCATCGGCGAGAACAAGTCGGTCACGGGCCAGCCAAATCTTTCTTTCAGCAACCAGGTTGATGGCGCATTCCAGCCCACTCGTCAAATCTAAAGGAGGATGTGCGCGTTCATTACGCCAGTGCCTTGTCGTACCAGTCGGCTTGATACTGGAAAATGCCATGGCTGCCGTTTGGTGTTGGCGATGAGATACCCAATTCGTTTTGCTGTTGCGACTGCTGCGTTCCGAAAAACAATTGATCAGTACCAGTGCCACTCAGTTAATCATACTGCTCGCGTTGGGCTTTAGTTGTCGTTTTAGTCAAGTCATTTGCAATACAACACACGAGGGAGTGATGTTCTGTCTACCATTTCCACTTACTGCACGCTGAAACGTACCCAATTGTGCGCAATACATGTAATCAGACCATCCGGTCCTCTTCAGAAGACCTCCTCGGTCACCCTTCTGCCATACCAATTTCCAAGCTCATCCTCTTTCTCGAGATCGTCATCATCGCCATCATTGGCACCGGTGAAGTAGCCGGTCAATTTCATATTATCATTTTCTTCGGCGTCATCGGCCTCTGGCCAATCGACTCGGCAAGGAGCGCCTCTGACTTCGAGTAACTCCTTGGCCGTACCCCAACTGAAGCGACATTCATTCCCCCAACCAAAGACCGGATCCATGTTATTCTTGAGCCAATTCGCACAACGTACATCACTGGGATATCCAGATCCCCATGCCATTGTTGTTGTTGTTGTTTTCACCTCGGCAGAATCGTTTCTTCTTCTTCTTTCTTCTTCTTCCGCAGATTTCATATACAACACCTCCAACGCCGCATCCCTCGTCACTTTCGCACACACCGACGCCGCCGACACACACGGAAATAAACTATCTGCCTTTTTCGCCACGGTAATTTTCACCGCGGGGAAAATTTTCTCGAGTTTCGCTTGATAGATTTCGGGTTTTCCGATCGTGTCAATGTATATATGTTGGATATTAATTTTGAGGTCGTAGAGAATTTGGTGGATGAGAGTTATGGTGGCTTCGATGGCTTGGTTGTTGAGATTGGATATTTGGGGGGTGGCGTTGATGGCTCCGCTGGTGGAGGTAAAGGGGGTGTGGGTGGGACGGAGCATGCTGGAGGAAATATCTTGGGCGGAAAGGGAACGGATGGCCCAGCCGCAGTGGGTGTAGAGAGGGGTTTCGGGGGAGCAGATTTGTTGCATGAGGTGGGAGCGGAAAGTTGGAGTGAGGAGTTTGGAGTCGTTGAATTTGTAGGTTTGCGTGAGGAGGGTGTGGTGGAAGGTGGTGGGGAGGTAGAAGAGGCCGTAGACCATGGGACCTGGATGATGTTTTTTTTTCTGTTCTTAGCTGTTTGTTGAGGAAAAAGTGTGAAAAAAAATCACATCATACCAAGAACGGGACCTCGACCGGCTTCATCGATTCCCAAGACACATTCGGTAGTCATGTCTTCTCGGATGGCTTGGGGGATTGCAGAGTGGTGGGTATAACTTTCTCCCGCCAGCACTTTGTCGTGATGGATTGAAGGGGCGATGAAGACTTCTGCGGGAGGCGTTTCTTGGAGCACGTCGGGAGTGTGGTCGGGCTGATCTTCTTCCATGGTTTCGTTCATTGTGGGCGGGGACGGTATGGGGAAGCTGTTGTCGTGGTGGTGGTAGTAGTGGTGGTGGTGATAGCTGCAAGTTTCGTGTTTGGGAGACGCGTTTTCTATAGCGGGAAGACGCGACGCGCTAGAAGTTAGAGTACGGCAGACTAGGTAGAAGCACGGGACACTGGTGCTAGAAGGTAGGAGGTACGGAAGACGAGAACCAAGCGAGCGGGTCAGCAGATCAGCCAAGCTGCCAAGATCAACAGGAGAAAGCCAGGCGGGAGAAAGCCGGCACCGGGAGGGGGATAGAAGGACGATGACCGATGACCGAGGGGTGACGGGGGCCTCGGTATGAGCGCATGTGTTTTTCATCACAAGCACCCGACCTAGCACTCTTCCATACATGTAGGTTGCTGCCCTACAGTCCAGTGGCATACAGGTACCTTGGACATATGAAGTAGCCCTATTGCTCGAGGTCTACTCTTCCCCTCTCCTCCCTCTCTCCTTGCATCGCCCACCGCGAGCAAATCGGCCATTATGTCGCAGAAGGTGAGCCCGTGACGGTGTGCGAGCAGCAGCAGTTGTTGTTCATGTTGATATCAGAGTACTGTGGATCCACATCGGCTAAGACACGCGAACAGGAAAGTGCAGCGCAGCAGACGACGGCCGAGCAGCAAAGTGACAATGTCGCACACGCTCTGGCCGGCGCCGGTGGAGGCCTCCTCTCCATGGCATTGACGTTAGTTTCCGCGCCAGTAGTCCGACTGGCTGAATAGAGCCAGCAGAGGCAGAGGCAGAGGCAGAGACAGTACTGAGACCAAGGCACAGATATCCTCTCATCACCCTCTCCACGCGAGCGCAGGTCGAGAAGAAAAAGGCTTCGACCGGCACCCTGGATGCAGCCAAGCGCATCATTGACCGCGAGGGCGTCGTGGGTCTGTACGCGGGTCTGGACAGTGCGCTCTTTGGCATTACCGTCACGAACTTTGTCTACTACTATTGGTATGAGTTCTCGCGTGCCTTCTTCCAGAGGTCCACGGGGAAGAAACAGCTCTCCACTCTCGAGTCCATGGCTGCGGGAGCGCTCGCCGGCTCGGCCACCGTTCTCCTCACCAACCCCATCTGGGTCATCAACACACGCATGACGGCTCGTAAAAACGAGTCCACCGAAACCCTCCCTCTCCAGGAGGGCGAGAAGCGACAAGTCAACACCGCCCAACCCGGCACCATTTCCACTCTCCTCAAGATCATCCGTGAAGATGGCTTCTTCCGTCTCTTCGCCGGTGTCCTGCCAGCACTGATCCTCGTCATGAACCCCATCTTGCAGTACACGATTTTCGAGCAACTGAAGCAGGCACTCGAGAAGAGAAGGAAAGTGGGACCTACAGACTCTTTCGTGCTGGGTGCCTTGGGCAAGTTGGCTGCCACGAGCATCACTTATCCATACATCACCGTCAAGTCGAGGGCCCATGTGGCGAGTAAGGATGCGAAGAAACAGGGCATGATTGCGACATTGAAGCAGATTTACCACGAGGAGGGAACCGCTGGTCTGTATGGGGGTGAGTTCATGTCTGGTGGTAGCCGATGATTCGGGGATGCGCGACTGTACTGACGAGTGTACTTGTGTGTGTAGGTATTGGACCCAAGGTCACACAATCTGTTCTTACGGCAGCGTTCTTGTTCGCTTTCAAGGATGCGCTGTATGATATGACGATCAAAGCTCGTCGCAGCGTCGCTGCAAAGAGGGCGTAATGAAGTGCAGCAGTTGATGGTTTTACGGCAGCAAGCTTCACACGTGCACTGTAGTGTCTTGGGTGCAAAGAACCAAGGGCTGGCCGTGACCACGATGATGCCTACAGTAGTCGTTGAATACGAGTGGATTCGGGCAGGCCTACCGCCTGTCGGGGTTCTGGACGGCGATTTTTATTGCGGGAGGAGTCTTGGGCCCTTAACTTAGGGCGCAAGGCACCGGCCGGCATCCTAAACCATGTGAAAAGTCAGCACTCGGAACAGGGGGATTAGGATCGCGAAACTTCACTACCTCGTAGTAGTAATTGTAGAAATCCACCTTACTCGAACTGTGAACAATGACAATTTTAACAAGTCCACGATGGACGAGTTCAGACCCCCTCTCCGCCATTCGGCAAGATGCTATAGCAACGGAAGGATGGATACTGCATAACTGCAACGTGAACGGTCAAATCACGTTGACCCAAATGGGGAGAGCAAGCGAGGAAGGATTTGAAGATTTCAGTGGCTAGCGATAACTAGTTTTTCCGCCTTGCTCCATCCGGAAGGTGGAGCGTGTTTAGACGACTTGTGAGTGGCCGAATCCGGCGTGAAATTGGGGTCTTATTCCTTCTAGAACTATAAAACCAACAGAGTGTGACATCCATGCATCAGGCATCTTCTTCTTTAGGGCAGGGCCTAGGGTAGGTAAAGTCGGTACATGACTACAAGTACAGGTAGGGTACGGGTAGATACCTCCTAGAAGGAATGGAAGGATGAGAAGAAAAAAAATAATAATTATCATAAGCCAACGGTGCTGCCGTCTTTTTTCTTTTGGTTTTTCTTCATCGTCTAACTCTTGTGCTACCATATTTTTGCTTACCTACTACTGCAGTGATAGTCGTGTTACACACACACGGTTGAAGCATTGTCTATCTATCTGTCTATCAGTCGCTATCGAGATACCAGCCTTCTGTTTTGAGACGCAGTGGAACAGAAGAGAACAGAACAAGAGCTTTTTCAGACATATTTTCTTTCTCGCCACCTACTCACCTACTCAATCAATCAATACACCATGGCGACCACAACAACAACAACAACTCTTCACAATGTGGACTTGCGAAACCACCATCTCGAAAAAGACCCTTGCATCATCAATACCGTCTCATTTCACTCCGACGACAACTCTTCTTCGGATGTAGACGACGAATCACAATTGCAAAAACACCACCACGAAAAACCCAAATCGGAACACTACGAACTCATTACCCATCATCATCACGATCATGATTACCACCCTCTCCGCACACAAATCACCTCTCAAACCCACGATTTTATCCTCACCCACTGGTCCTTTTCCTCTTCTTCTTTTTCAGCTTCTTCTTCAGCAACCTCATATCTCAAAACCGACCTCCCCGGTCTCGCAAGCAAAATTTTCCCCTCTGCTCTCGACGACCGTATACATCTTCTCGCGAGATTATTTTCTGTGGTGTTTTTATTGGGCGAGGAAATTGATGCGATTGTACGTTGCGATTATCATGAAAATGAAAACGATGATGAAAGGGATGAGAGGGATGATGAAGAAAGGGATGAAAGGGAGGGGGTAAGAAAGGAAATTATACAATTTTTGAAAGGAGCTTTTAATGGAGTGGATGGAAGAAGGAGAAATCTTGATCGAGAGGAAGAAGAATGCGAAGAAGAAGAAGAATTCCCTCTCGTCTGGATGTTAAATCACGTCTTGGATGAAATGGCCAGTCATGCATATTTGCTCGTCATGGGGGAAGTCCAAGAGGCGATTTGGAGATTTTTGGGGATTGCGGGGAGTCAAAGGAGGGGAGAAAAGAATGATGATGATGATGATGATGCATTGTTGAGATTTCGAGCAAAATTTGTGGATGCGGGAATGTGGTTGCCTTTGTATCGGTTTGCTACGGGCGGGATGGTGGATGAGGAGGAGTTTGGGTTTGGTGGGGAGGAGATGGTGGAGTGGAGTGGAGTGGTGGGAGGGGGATCTTGAAGATTTGATTGATTTTTTTTGTTTTTGAGCGCTTGAGCGTTGGAGTGGGTGTTGATGGACCATGTGATCGATCTCATATCATGGTCTGCTACAATATTATAATCGCTTTATTCTTTCTTTCTTCTGCTATATGATAATACCTAGTATTGGCAAAGTAGAAATTTACATTTATCACTTGATAGATACTGTTTTCTATTTCGATTTCTCCTGTCGTTCGTTTCGATTTCCTCCTGCCTAGGTAGGTATGTATTCCGCTGCTGCTGCTGCTGCCGCCGCCGCCGTGACCATATCCATCGCAGCAATCGCACTATATCTCGGTGCAAAAAGCCCACATCGAGAATTGACTTCCGCAGAGTTAATAACCGTAATCCCCGAGCTCAGTATCGAACCACGCGTCCCAAGAACTGCCATATCCAAACTACCCGGCAGAGTGGAATTGTCATTGAAGTAGATACCACCTGCAACTTCCATCGCCCCCGTGGGACCGATCCCTCGTGCTGCACCCAACACCTGACTCGCCGAGCCGGTGCCCACGGGATTCCAACCCGGCCCACCAGCAGGATTCTTTGCAAATCTCGCCCATGCGCCCTGAATGGTCTTGAGGAGGGCATACTGTTGCGTGGTCTCATTGATTGGCAAATATGATCCAAACACGAGAGGGATTTCACTCGAGTGATAGGCACCCAAAGCTTGAATTCCCGCTACGGGTTGGACGTTGGAGAACGAGGCATTGTAATAGTATTGCCAGGTGGGAATCCCGGCCGCTGCAGAGGCGTTGGCCCACAGTCCGGCGGGGCATTGAAAGAGGTATTCGGTGTAGATTTGCGAGAGCTGATCGTATGGCGTCGGGCCGGAGTCGAAGCCGCTCAGAGGATAGGCGGCGGCAATGGCATCGATGGCGGCGCTGTTGTTGGCTGTGATTTGTTCGAGAAATGGTCGGGAATCATTCTGGCCGATCTGGAACACTCGGCCTTCTTGCGCGTTCGATCCGCCGAGGACGGGTATGCTGGGGATGAGCCCTTGTGCGCGTCTTTCGGCTGCATTGACGAAGAAGGTTCTGTTGTCGAATACTGGGCTGAACTCCAGACCCTGCTGTTCATTGATGGATTTGATAGTCGTCGCGTTTGCTGCGCGAATACAGGTCAAGTTGCTGCTATAGCTCGTCGAGCAATTCAACGCTGCAGCGAGTTGACCCCATCGTTCGTAGGTCAAAGGGCGCGGCTGCGACCTGAACGAGGTTTGGCCACTTTGTAGGATCGCTCCACGGAATGGAACGGTGTCTCCCTTGTTATATGATGTCAATAGAGCATCCACACTCCAGCCGCCAGCAGACTCGCCGAAGATGGTGACTTTGTCCGGTGAGCCACCAAATGCTACCAGTTGTCAGCTTCCACTCCCAATGCGAAAACGGAATGAGTCCGGACCGACCTGCGATGTTGCGCTGAACCCAGTCAAGACCTGCTCGTTGGTCCAAGAAGCCAAGGTTCTGTTCGGTGATGGGGAGTTCGGGGGACGTGGCAAAACCTAGAGAGCGTGCTCATTAGCAGTGTCCTGCCCTGGCACATATCTTCTTCGTAGCTTACCAAAGACATTCGTCCTGTAATTAACCGTGACGACAATGACATCCTCGTAAGCCGCGAGCGTGCTACCATCATAGTACTGTTGGCCTGCAGTCCCCAGCTGCAATCCTCCGCCATAAATCCTGCAGAACACACAAAATTCAGAGATGAGCAGCTGACTTATTATTTCCGAGATGGCAAGACTGTTGACGGGAAAAGTATTACTTACCAGAATAGCACTGCACGTCCATCGCAGGGCGCTGGAGAACTTGGGGCGTATACATTCAAGTACAAGCAGTCTTCACTCTCCTCTGGAGCAGGGCCCCCAGGATTGTTGAACACGGCTTTGGTTATCTCTGCGACAGGCGCTGGTCCTGAGAATTGCTGGATACACGCGGGCTTGAACGCGGTGGCATTGATCGTCTGTCCTGATGACTGTATGGACTCGGGAGGTGCAAATCTCGTGGGTGGACTCTTTGCAAAGGGAATGCCCAAGTACTGATTCACTGCTGCTGTCGCTGCTGGCATTGAAGTAGTCGTTCCTTGCACAGTCCCAATATCGATCGTTGCAGTGGGGCCTCCCCCGTTGTAGCATGATGTGCTTGGACTCTCTGGTGTCGACGAAGGGTTTGGTGGGTTCGAGGCTGTGTAAGCTGTGTTCTGCTCGCAATAATCGATCTTCCCGTCCTTACAGCAGGTTCCAGCTGCAGTCGGCATCCATGCTATGCTACCCGAGTGGCACTGACCAAAATAGCCCTCGCCGTTGCATAGAATCGCACCATTCTCACTACAGGTGCTGGTCCCCGTTCGGGCGTTCAAGTGACCTGCAGCACATGCAGTGGTGAGCAGCACCATCCATATACAGTATCTTGCGCTCATTTTGTCCGTTTTCCTGCCACATTCACGGAAGAAGAAGAAGAGGAGGAGGAGGAGGAGGAGGAGGAAGAAGAAGATAGCGGGGGCCAAGTATTAAGCAGACCACACTTCCCCATACCGGAGGGCTATGACTGCATGTTTAACAACAGGCGGCCAAGCCTCTGACTACGTAGCTCTGCAGTCCTGTCTACTATGACAACTTGGCTGTGGTGGCTTGCCCGCTTCGCACTTTCGAGCAACCGCGGGTATACCACATCGTGATCTTGGCAATTTCAGTTGCGTGTAAGAGATTCTGTTGTCAGTCGATACGAGGTTCAGCCATAGCTTCTTCGACCACATTGCTGCATTGCGTGCATTGACCATCACATCGACCATAACAACCTTAGAAACACCTCCGCGCGAACGCTTGAGCGGCTCTCCTGGGTAGCAGAAGAAGTGGAACACCCAAAGGCTTGGGTAGCAGAAGAAGCGGAACACCTATAGGCTTGGCGATCACTTTGGGTGTTCCTATAGGTGTTCCGCTTCTTCTGCTACCGGTACCCAGGAGCGGCTGTTACACGTGGTGGTGTCAATGTGGTGAATGAGGTGGTGTGTGGTGTGGAGGTCCGAGGTACATTTGAAGAATGCGGGGGTTTCGGCGCGGGCCGGACCGCAAGGCGGGGATGGCCGATGGCGAGTGCTTCTACCTCCCATCTCCTACCTCCTACCTCCTACCTCGATGTCCTCGGTTGCCACCTGCATCCTTGGGGCTGGTGCTGTTATGTGTGCTTGGACAGTGGGTATCGTGAGTCCTCGCAGTTGATGCATTCAGGGACTTGCTGCGCGAAACACTCTATATTCTGTACGCCGTGCAGTGTGCTGGCATTTGACACTGCCCCCGTCAGCGCAGCATTTGAGCAAATCCGGTATGGAAAGGGGGCCTTGACGTGCATACAGGTCAGGCATGGAGAGCTGTCTCCCAGTGGAAAACTGATGCACGCAGTTGCAGGACGAAATTCTTGGAGTGCTTGACATTGGTTCCGGACTCACGAGCTCCGCGGAGCGCTGTTGAACAGCCTCGGGGGGCTCCGCGGACAGGTTGAAATACAGGACGCAGTACCTCCTAATTGCCATTGCCGTTCTCCCTCTTGACAGGGGATGCTTCGTATTGCCATATGAGCCTCGGGAGCGCAACCTTCCTGGAAGGGAAAGTGGTAGTAGTCCCCTCGGCGTAGAGTCGTATGAGGTGAAGATGGCGTCGACAAACTGCCTATGTCGCCGTAGTCGCGTGATGACTACTGGGAATCGAAGCAGTACGGGGTGACAGGAGCTTAAAAAGGGAGAGGGAGAGATAGAGCGAAACGAGGGGAGCTATCAAAGCCCAAGTCGCATTTTGACTTTTGAAGGAGTCTTTTGATAGCTGCCCTTTGTGGAATGCTCATGGCGATCGCATGGAGGGCAGGAGGAAATGGGATAGGTATGACCTCCTATCTCATAGGTACTGTAGGAGGTAAGGTGCTGTATGAAATGGTCCATGCTACGCGACGTCGCTACGAGGTGCTGAGCGGCCGGCGCTTTTGTAAGTCTTGTACCACGGCAGGTATTCTCTTCCCACCCACCACATCTGGTCACACATGGCGTCCTCGTTCTGCACTCGCACTGGACGGCGTGTCCACTGAGTGCGACCGCTCGGCGCCCGCCATGATGCAATCAATCACAATCATGGAACGAACGAGAAGGGCTAGGAGGTACCTCCTAGATATAGAGGGGGGAGAGCGTCGGAGATCGGAGCAATGTACTACCTTACCTAGTTTGTGTTTGTGGCTGCTTCGGCTATGTCCGCTCCTTGGCAGTGGTCCCGCCTGCCAATCATGAACTGAGCTTCCGTTCTTCTTTCTTTCGCACCTCCACGCCATACCAAGCCATACCAAGCCATGCTTCACTTCAGCCCTTCCACCTCACGGGATTGGTCCGCCGACATCATTGCTCGCCTTATAGCGTACCTGACTACTGCCCGCCATCAATTTCCACCTTTCACATCACCTCCAATATGCACCTTCTCGCTAAAGTCACAGACGGCCCACCGCGCAAGAACAGACCAGACTAGAGGTACCGTACTCTTTAGGGACAACCGCGGCGTGTGACGTGCCAAACGCGATGCCATCGTGCCAGCGTGTTGCACAGCATCTTGTTGCCCAGGACTCATCACTCATGACGACTGGCCTTCTTGTGTGCAGGATCCACACATATTGCTAGTCGGACTCGGCGCATTTGTGCCTGTCTCAGAATAATTATCAGCAGCATTTCATCAGCATCAGACGAGCCGCGCCACATGCTCCAGCGCCACGGGTGCATCGTGGCACACTGCGCTGGAGTGGCACATCGCACCCACAAGAGACACGCCTGTCCAATCAGCTTCTACGCGCCACACTAGCCCATAGATTGCCACCTTCTGTGACCAGGATGCCAGGCCGGTGACAGATGCATGGACGACAAAGGCTGAGCCGATGGACGCAACTGCAGTAGTGTGCAGATGATAAGCTACCACAAGACTTGATAAGACTAGAGGACAAGATGACTTCAAGTCTCTCGGCAGAGCTTGTCCTTCATCAAGCACGCTAATCCGGGGCGAGTCGATCTTCCGTCACAGCTGAACCACTCAGACTGTAGGAGGTAGACCTCGCCAACGTCTGGGCAGCGGCAGCGCTTCCACTCGTGGCACTGCCAGCCCTTCACTGACATTGTTCGCAGACAATCCGAGTGACACCCACACAGATCCACTTGAGCGAGGGACGCCTTCCTGCCCGCTCATTCGTGCACCTCGACTGTAATGACCCTTTTGCGCCGTCTCCATACGGCAGTCTCATGGCCTTCCCGAAACACCTCCGACCTTCGCAAGTCGTCATTTTAACCAATCTAGGCTCACATGGCCGACGTTACAGTGCTAGCCAGTTGGCTAGCATTCAACTGGCTAGTATTCTGCTTGCCTCTGCCGCTTCTTAGCACGAAAAGATGCCTTTGTTCAGCTGTATGCCCGCCTGCATGCAGCATATGATCAACCTGCCCAATTTGGAAGGTATTGTCCCCCTGCCAGCCAAACTTTCGTGGTAGGACATGCGTTTGAGGGACGACATACCAAGCCTTTCGAGGAGTACTGCCGTGCGGACAACCACAGAGACCGCATGACTGGCCACTCTTGTTGATTGCTTGCGGGCTGTACGGTCGATCAGGCTGACTGCTGAGCTCCACTCGCGACAGCCTTTGTACACTGCTGTCCGAAGCAGACATATAAAACATGTCTCCTGCGTTGTAAGTGCACTCATCAGCTCAATCAGCCTCTACAGCATTCTACCACCTAGGCGACGCACTCATTCGATCCCCATTTAAGATGCACTACGCATTTGTGTCGGCTGCCCTGGCCGCATCCGCAACCCTTACGCTCGCAGCTCCAGCAGCAGAAGTTGCCAACCGCAAGTCGTTCCAGATTACACAAGTCCCAAGAGGAAAGGTTTTCAAGAATGGAGCTCAACAGATGATGAAGGCGTACAACAAGTATGCCAAGGTGGGCGCTGTTGCACCGGACCATGTGCAAGCAGCGGCTGCCGCAGTCCAGAGCGGCAGTGTCACCGCTGCTCCCGAGCAGTACGACCAAGCCTACCTCTCTCCAGTCAGTGTGGGCGGCAAGACACTCCAGCTCGACTTCGACACCGGGTCTGCTGATCGTACGTCAACAGCATTTATTGACACTCAGGAACGTTTACTAACATTTCTCCAGTCTGGGTGTTCTCCACGCTTATGCCAAGCAGCGAACAGTCCGGTCACGCTATCTACAACCCAAGCACCTCTGGCCGGAAGCTATCTGGACAGACGTGGGACATTAGCTACGGTGATGGCTCCGGCGCAAGTGGTACCGTCTACGCCGATAAGGTCGTCGTTGGCGGTGTGACCGCCACCTCCCAGGCAGTCGAGGCTGCTACTTCAGTGTCTGCAGCATTCACGCAGGACCAGGACAACGATGGACTCTTGGGCCTTGCCTTCTCTAGCATCAACACTGTTAGTCCCAACCAGCAGACTACTTTCTTTGATACCGTCAAGAGCAGTCTAGCAAAGAAGCTCTTTGCTGTCGACCTCAAGGCTGGCAAAGCAGGCACGTACGACTTCGGCTATATCGACTCCTCCAAATACACCGGCAGCATCACATATACCGCAGTCGATACCTCTCAAGGATTTTGGCAGTTCACTGCTGGCGGCTACAGCACTGGTTCGGGTTCTACGAGCGGAAACATTGGTGACTCCATCATGGACACGGGAACCTCGCTCCTCTACCTTCCATCGAACGTCGTCTCTTCCTACTACTCACACGTCTCGGGCTCCAGGCTCGACAACTCCCAGGGTGGATATACCTTCCCCTGCCGCAACACTCTGCCAGACTTCAACGTCTCCATCGGTGGCAAGGTGTTCACAGTTCCTGGCTCCTACATCAACTATGCTCCCATCGACAGCTCGGGCAGCACTTGCTTTGGTGGTATTCAGCCCAATGATGGAATTGGTTTCACCATCTTCGGAGATGTGTTCATGAAGGCTACCTACGTCGTGTTCGACCAGACGACTTCTTCTCCACGCCTGGGCATAGCTGCGCAGAGCTAGATCATGTGATCATTTAAGAGCGTATATTTCGTCCTTTATTACTCGACCAGATAGATGTCCATTTATATTCAGCAATATTTCCTTGTGCCTGCCTACTCACTAATACCAGAAAAACGTCATTCTGTTCACCACCAGCCTCTTCAGTGCTGCTGCTCCACAGCTCTCCAGCCATTACGGAGTAATGATTTCCCAAAAATCACACTGCTCAGCACCACAGCGGTGCCCGCGAGCGCCACACCGGTCCACCACGCACATCGAATGCCCCACAACGTGGCTTCTCTCGTGGCCTGATGCTTGTTGACGTGCACTTCGACTGTCCCTGCAATCCCCAGACAGATGCTGATGGGGTAGCTGACCATGGCGTACACTAATGACGAGGCGAGACCTTGATGATGATGATGATGATGGTGGCGGTGATGATCATCCGGTGAAGTGATATTTGATGAAGAAGAAGAGGAGGAAGAGGACGAAGGAGGGGGAGAGAGCAGGAGAGTTCCTGCTGCGAGACTCATTGCCATTCCTAGGAAAAAGCAAGAAAAGAAAAAGAAGAATTAGCAAATGAAGTACCAAACGACGGCTACCTAAGGTTTCAAAAGAAAAACTCACCAAAAGGCATCGTCAATACTGCAAGAAACATTTGCGCCCAATACGTCTGCTTGCTGGGTTGTGTGGCCGTCATAATTTCTCCCACAAAGAAGGCCACCATGGACAAGAAGAGCGTAAACTGCACTGAAGTGTGGCGTAGCAAAAAGATGGTGGCTCCCGCAGCGAGCAGTCCGGCAAACATGAGAGGAATAAATTGCGCAGTAGTGCCCAATGCGCTAAAGTGTCGAATGTCGTCGAGGAATTTGAACGAGTAGAATGTCCAGATTCCGGCTGATCCCCAGCCTAAACCGACGACGATGAGGCTGCATAGGGCTTTGAGTTCGATGGGGAAGATGGGAGAGAGCGCGCGCGCTTCGACCCAGATGAAGGCGATGAGGGAAATGATGCCGATGATGAGGAGTAAGTAGACTCGCGGCGTGCTCCAGCCGAAAAGAGGAGCGAGATTCCATGCGACGCTGACGAGTACCAGACCGAAAATTCCAAGCAACGAACCTGCCAGATCCCATCCAGGCCGATCATCGTCTCTGGTGCGGGAAAATTGTACGTCGTGAGCGAGGGCTCGGGGAATGATGAGGATGGAGAGCGCGGATAAAGTCCATGCGGCGAGGGCATAACTCCAGAACGCCCAAGGCCACCAGGCGACTTCTGCAAACAAACTTGCAAAGAGTCCTCCCAAGACGAATCCCCACGGTGCAATGACACTGTAGAGCGCAATGACCACATTTTTCTTCCAGCCCGGTGGATACGCGCGTTCGAGGAGTGCGAGAGCATTTGGGACCAATAATGCAGCACCTATCCCTTGAAAAGCTCGACAGATGTTGAAGAAGGCTGGACTGTGAATGTAGGCGGAAAACCCGGCAAAGGCAGACCAGGATGCGAGAAAGGAGTAGCCAAAGACGAAAATTCGTTTGTGCCCGAGAATGTCTCCCATGCGGCCGCAGATGAGGAGAAATGTGCCGAAGGTCAGGGCGTACGCTGTGGCGAACCAGGCGGGACTGCTGGGGTGGGAGACTTGCAAGTCTTGAGCAATGTATTGCATGGGAGCGATGGCTTGACCGAGACCTGCGAATGACATGAATTGCGCGAGGATGATGACGAGGACGAAGGTGATTTCGTGGTAGATGGAGATGTTCGGCGGGAGACACGCTGAAGGAACGGAAGATGGATCTGACGAGAGTGCTCTCGACGATCCCGAGTACTCGTTCGTGTTGTTGTCGTTGTTGCTGTTGCTGTTTCTGTTGCTGTTGTTGCTGTTGTTGCTGTTGTCGTGATCATGATGTTCCACTTTCTCCGAAACAAAAACCAAATGCGGAAACGACGGTCTCCGAAGTTCTTCATTCTTGTTATTATTATGATTCTGCTGCTGCAGCACCAAGGGGGGTACAGGTATTGAGGTGAACATTTCCTCTCCGTCGTCGTTGCCATCTCCCATCAGAGAATCTACTCTCGAATGCAAAGAAATATGTCTCGATCGATATGCCACGGGCATCGTGACATGTTCGGGTCGATCGTCGCTTTCGAGTTGTGAGTAGCCTCGAACTCGCATCATTGGACGAGTGCTGTCATTGCTGTATCGTGTGCTAAATCTTGAATTCATTTTTTCTTTTTCTTTGGGGATAATTGAGGAGGAGGAGGGGGAGGAGGAGGAGGAGGCGGAGGAGCAGGAGGATGGGTAGGTATGATTGCAGGTTGATTGATGATTGTGAAAAAAAGAAAAAGGCCATGAGGACGGTCTTTTTTTGATGTGTTTACTCTTCAGCGTTGCCATCTTGTTGCGGTCGCGACGGCCGTTTTTATCGTCCACCGGCAGAGGATGTATGTACTCCCCGAATCCGCAGCGTCATCATTTTAGTTCGTTTTCATCGTATGAGAGTGAGAAAAGACAGTGACAATCTATGAAATTCTGCATTTTTTTTTTTTTCTCTCATGTCACTTGTAGTGTGTATCCTATATGTCGGGCTGTGGGACGTAAAAGAAAGGATATACGATATTGTGTATTCATGTTTTTTCCTACCAAGACCAGTCGATGATGTTGGAAGAAAGAGGGATGAACGCCAAGAGGAATAGACACGCTAGCATCAATATGATCTAGCGCAAGGTGTAATGTAAATGCATGGAACATAAATTCCACAAAATAAAGAAATACATGTAGCTCCGCACAATACAGCTTCGTGACGATGAATGCCTTTTCTATATATATCTCACTCCTTTTTCACAACACCGCATTGATAACCTGCTCAAGCATTCGTGCCCTCGCTCTCTGTACTTCCCCCCTCGCCACATTGGATGCAAATTCCATCGCTTTACACCTCGCCTTCCAATCGATATTATCCTCGCTAGGCCGATATTGTTGCGCAGCAGATTGCGCAATTTCTCGCATACTATCTTCCACCCAGCCGCGCTTGTCCAATTTATATATGGCTTCAATGCCCTTTCTCAACATCATGTCGTGCGTACTTTCTCCCGTCACTTCATGGGAGGCTGCTGCTGGTCCTGTAGCCAAAGATAAACCTTTCATTTCAAAGGATCCCACGCAGCCTCCCATGCTGGTGTGCCACTGTACGTCGAAGACTTCTCTTGTGTCGTTAGTCATGCTGTCGTCGTTTACTATTTCTTCGTATCCTTCGTTATCTGCTCGGAACCGGGTTACTGAGATGCGCTTGCCATGTCCTGCGGTAGAGTGGAACGGGACATCGGTGTGGTCGCCTACTCCGAGCCATGTGGCTGCATTGAGTCGCGCGACATCATCTTTCGACGCCAAGCCGCTCCTGGGCACGTGGAGTCGATCGAGCATCGAGTCGGCCAAGCGCTTGGCTTCTTCGCCACTCAGGCGTTGTCGTCTCCCGTGGACTTCTGCGCGGAGCAAATCGCTCGTCAGAACGCGCTTCAGTGCCTCGAATGGGAAGCTCGGTATGCTTCTGCTATCATCAGTCGCGCCCTGTGCGAGTCGTTGTGTAGCAACCTGCATGCCAGGTGCGCCTTGGGCCGGAAGAGCGCGGCTGGGATCGTCCGAATCACTTCTCGTCTCCAGTTCTCTGGCTTCGCCATTGACCTGCAAGGCTGGTGGGGTCGCGAGGCGCACAGGTGCTCCAGTATGCGGTGGGACCTGCAGAGAGAGTCGCCCTGGTCTCCCTTCGGCTTGCGACTGAAAGTCCATGGCCACAGTGCGTGGTGAGGACTGCCCAGAACTCGAAGGTCTGCCATCTACCGCTGATGTGGATGTCGGGACCTGGCTTTTCATTTTCGTGTTGTTCGGATCAACTGGGAACGAGCTGAATGGTCCATCTTGAGCATTGCGACTTGCCGGAGGTCGCCCTCGAGGCTTCGCTCCAGGCGTTTGAGATGAAGGCCAAGCGCTAGATACTGCAGGGCCATGTTTCCTTCGCTTCCGAGACGATGGCGTGATAGCAGACTTCGGTTCGCCGTCGAATGCTGCGTCGATGTGCGCAGACATGGAGTTGGGTACTGCACTCATGGGGTGCGGCGTGCTTGGCGTCTGCGAACGGCCGAGCTGCCAGCGCAAGTTGGAGGGAGCCGTGGTGGACATGGCGGAAGCTGGAGTTCGCCCTGTCCATGGTGCAAAGCTTTGCGGTGTCACTGCCGATGCGACTGCCCACGGATCATGATGGCCATCGGGATGCGCGCTATATGCAACTGCAGAGTATGGATCTGTCCTTTCCGGTAGTCTCTGCTGTTGCTTGACTATCGAGTCTTGTGTACCTTGATCACTTGCCTCGTTTTCCGAATTCCTTCGCCGCCCTCGTTTTGGTCTAAAAGATGGATCTAGTGCTCTGATAGCCAAGTCGTCCTCCGCCATGACTCCGTCTCTGCCGTTGGTGGGATACGGGTCATCTGGCAGTGGCAATTCGGTAAAATATACATGGTGCTTCCCAAGAAGATACTCGAAAAATGCATCAATATGCATGGCCCTCATCCATCGTTTCAGCCGGACAGTGAACTGCTGCACTTTCTGCGTTGACTGTCCCTTTTGAACGTTGGGAGCTTCCACGCCCAGATCGAGTGCGAGCTGATTCCAGGTTTTGATCTCCTTGCACTCGAGCTTTCGTATCAGCTGGAACAAATGCCAGGTATTGAAGTCTTTGCCATCACTCTTGGGCGGGTTCTCGAAGTTGGACTTGAGCGTAGATGTGTCTGTGCCCAGAGGAAAGTTGGGACAACAGTAGAGGATGAAGTCGGCAAAGGAATTCGTCAAGGTTTCAGCGGTCACATCCCTCGAGGGCAAGACTCGGTCAGTAGGCTTGAAGTTCGACGTTTGACCTCTTCCTGGTGAGGGAGGCTGCATTGAAGCCACGAAGGTGTCGGAGGAGCTTCTGGCATGCAGATGCTGCTGGTTCTGCTGGTGAGGAGCTGGCGAGATGCTTGGATCTATACCATAGACGGCAGTGGCATAGGTTGGCTGTCCGAAGGCCGACATGCCAGGACTAGCAGAGACATGGTATTGCTGTTCAGCGCCCGCGCCGTTTCCATGTTGCCTGTACATGTTCTGTATATCGTTCTCTCAGCGCAGCGCAGTGCAGTGCAGCTCAGCGACACTCCGCTCCGCTCAGCTCGACGCTCCGAGGAGGACTCGGTAGCACGCGGGTCCAGCCCGGGAGGCGAAGTGAAGATGGAGTAGAAGCTGGTGTAAATAGGTAAGGTCGGAGGTACTAGTAACCTCACTGTACCCTCATGGGACCAAAGGCTGGATAAATACGATGGTTAAAGCGAGGTCAAGTTGCTGTAACAGGTCAATTAGTGAGAATGAAAGAGGGAGAAAAGGATGCTAAAGTGAGAAGAGTCCCGGGTCTCTGACTAGTTCTCGTTCTATTTTCTGCTCGTCTCGCCTAGTTCGGACTGGGCCTAGCACTGTCGTATACACAGCATAAATATCTGCATAAGAAAAGCTAGTGTGGTATTAGCGGCTACCGCGTCACGCGCGTGGGACAGGGAATCTTAGGTTTCACGATGAAGGATAGGTACATCATACTAGCCCCGACAACATCTTCACCAGCCTACACCACCAGTCCCGGCGTTCGCGATGGGTAAAGGTCAGTTGTTTGTGTATCTACATCTGCATTGCGAAGCTCCATACTGACAGTGTGTACTCATACGTAGGCACCGACAAGCTGTACGTATGTTTCGATGCGACAGCACCATACACCTAATCGATTGACACGGCCTGCACATACTGACCATAACGTCCAGATCACCCACTCGGAATGGTCCAGTGAGGATGCTTTTGGTGCGAGCGCTGGCGCCAATGCACGACGCGCCGCAAACGCTGGAGCTGCCGCCAACTTCAAGCGACTGCCCTTCAACTTCTGCGCCGTCTCGTTACAGCCCTTCGAGCACCCCGTCTGCACCGCCGATGGCACCATCTTCGACCTCACCAACATTCTTCCCTGGCTGAAGAAGCATGGAACCAACCCCGTCAACGGACAGCCTCTCAAAAGCGCCGAGCTGATCAAGCTGAACTTTGCAAAGAACGAGGAGGGCGAGTATGTCGATCCCGTCACCTTCAAGGTCGTCACAGACAATACACATCTGGTCGCGATCAAGTCGACCGGCAACGTCTTCAGCTACGACACTGTGCAGCGGCTGAACATCAAGGCAAAGAACTGGAGGGATCTACTCAGTGATGAGGAATTCAAGAGAAGCGACATCATTACGCTACAGGATCCCCAGAACCTCGAGTCGCGCAATTTGAGCGACTTCAAGTATCTGCAAGAAGGTCAGAGTGCACTCACAGCCGAGCAAGAGGCGGAACGCAGTGCAGGCGTGAATGATAAGAACTTGGGAAGCGCAGCGAAGATTCTCAAGGCTAGAGAAGCTGTCGCAAAGGCCAGAGCCGAGCGAGATAAGAAGGCCGAGCGATCCACCGAGTCCCAGGCACTGGCGAATGCGCGCAAGGCACACGCAGAAGTTGCAAAGTCTTCTTCCATCCATAAGCCGGTGCCTTATAATGCAGCGAGGTACACGAATGGCGCGGCTGCTGCCGCCTTTACGAGCACAGGAATGACTCCACAAACCGATTCCTCGCGTGCCATTCTGACCGACGAAGAGTACATGCTCAAGCCGAAACGAGTGAAGAATAAAGGTTATGTGCGGATGACGACTAATCTGGGCTCGATGAATATCGAGCTGTATCCGGAGTTCGCGCCGAAAGCAGTATGGAACTTCATTCAACTTTCAATACGCGGCTACTACAACGGCATCAACTTTCACAGGAATAGTAAGTGCAGAACTTATGTGATAGGACATGTCTGCGTGGCCGTGGTCGGTATACTAACACCATCGCAGTCCAGCGCTTCATGATTCAAGGAGGCGATCCGACGGGCACAGGGCGAGGAGGTTCCAGTTGCTGGGGCAAGACGTTCTCCGACGAATTAGAGGGACCGCTGAAGCACGATGGACGCGGAGTGCTAAGCATGGCAAACAAGGGAAAAGACACCAACACCAGCCAATTTTTCATACTTTATCGACAAGCGCCCCATCTCAACCTCAAGCATACCATCTTTGGAAGGGTTATAGAGGGGCTGGAAACGCTTGATCGATTGGAGAGTGTTGAGGTTGACGAGGGGAACAGGCCATCTCAGGAGTGTACCATACAGGACATGGCCGTCCTGATTGATCCGTTTGAAGACTTTTTGAAGCAGCGCGATGAGAACGAAGCAGCCGAGGCACGGAAAGAACGGCTGCGAAAGGAAGGCGGCGCAGAAGACGAACGGACTACGTGGACGGGAAAGCGCATACGGGATGGCAAAGCCGATGACGCTGGAGGCGAGACTGGCGTAGGGAAATATCTCAAGACAGCCAGTGCGACACGGACGGAGGAGGACGAGGTGGTGGGAGAATGGGAGGAGCCTGAGATGCCACCCCCGAAGAAAGTCAAGAAGGGCGGCGGATTTGGCGACTTCAGCTCGTGGTAGTGATGTAGTTTTCTGGGCGTTACTTGAGGCAGTTCATGCTGCCATAACAAAAAGTGCCAAAGCCACAAGCTCAAAGGGGACTCGCTCGCTTTTATGAAAAATCCGCTCAATTGAGTTCTATCTCCAGCATATACTCCATGTAGCACTTCGGTTTGGGGGGTATCTTTTCTCCAGTAGTCTCTGTCCGTGCGCCATCATATGCTTTCTCTCTTTCCCCTTCTCTCTTTCTCTCTGTCATCTTCTCCTTCTACCTCCTCCTCCTCCTGAATCACTCGCTCACTCACTCAACCTTCAAAGCACTCCTCGTATTTCTTGCTGTGCCTGCTATCGGCATGTTGCTCCAGAGCCGGTCTCTTCGCGGTGCTCTGAAAGTCCTGAAAGCAGACTTTGCACTTGATCGTCTTGGCTGCGGCGTTCTGTATTGGTACCATTATACCATCCAGTCAGTCAGTCAGTGCCTTCGCCCATGTATTTCGTCGAGGGATTGTCTTCTTCTTCTTCTTCTTTTCTCTTGATTACGTACGGCTTTTAGTTGCGAGCCTTTGGTCGAGGTGTCCTTTGCGTTGCGCTCACGCTTTTGCTGTGCTTTCGCTCCGTTGCCCATTTTGAGAGAGATTTGTGTGTGGGTGAGTGCGTAGGGATGGTGTGAGGGTGACTGGTTGCGTCTTGGGAGCAAGTGAGATTGGCTGCGGCGGGAGTTTTGTTGGGAGAGAGCCAAAGATTGTTCGAGGCACTTCAATAGTTCGAGACACGTGATTTGCTCTGTCACATGATAGTCTAGAGCTACCTTACGTAAGTGATCGCTCGCCTCGGACGCTCACTTTGACACCATGTCTACCTCCGTACCTCTACCTCCTATCACAACAACAACAACATCGACCAATGACCCGTGACTCACACTCTCGTTGCTACCAACCAGTGAGACTGTACAAGCTAAGCGAGACACGAAAGTTCTATCCAATCGCTTCGTCTCGGCCGACAAACAGAGCAAATTTCGCCACTCTCCTCCTGCTCGCCACTGTGGCGTAAAACCAGATCAAGTCTACTTTCACGATGAGCACACGCGGCATGTGTCTACCTATTCTGCCAGCTACTTCTCCTACCTTCTATGCCTTTCACCTGCTTTCTTCATCCTTCCACGCTCGTGCAAATCATGGTTCGCGTGGCTGACGAAACAGCATACGTGCTATATCGTTGCCTGCCAGCTTGCCTGTCGGCCGGGGTGGTCGTCCTACGTGGTAAGTGTGTATAAGAGTGTGCCTCTCCGGTTCTTCAAACCTCTCATTTTCTCTCCCATCCACATCACAATCGTCATGCCTTCAGTCCACTACTACAACCAGACTGGTCCCTTTTGGGACTTTGTCGCCAATCTTGAGCAACAAGGCGCCAGCCGTGGTGCCGAAGCATCCGACAACGAGAACGAGCATGAACATGAGAGATCAAATCCATGGCTTCAAGACTGGGTAGGCTTCCCTTGGGGGCCTATGGCTCACCATGGCAGACACCAACGCGGACCACCACCACCACACCACCATCACCACGGTCATCCCTCTCCACCAAGTCCGCCCGCTCCACCAGCAGAAGGTGAGGCTGGATCATCTGAAACCAAGGATCCCACGCAGCCCTTCTCCGATTCTGAGAGCGAAAGCCAAGCACATCACGGACGACACAATCACGACCACCATGGTGCAGGCGCACGAGGCGGTCGATGCGGAGGCGGCCGTGGTCATGGCCGACCACGAGGATTTAGCGGTCGCGGCGGCCGACGAGGAACCCACGGTGGCACGTTCGGTCCCTTTGGTCCAATAGCCGGAATCTTCCATGAGCAACTCTTCGGCAATGACAACAAGAAAGAGAACAAAGCCGCCAAATCCGGAGACTTCACCCCGGAAGTTGACGTCTTCGACACCACCGACTCCTTTGTCATCCACACTAGTCTTCCCGGAGCCAAAAAGGAAGACGTCGCAGTCAACTGGGACGCCGAGAAATCCGAGCTCAGCATCGCGGGAGTCATGTATCGCCCCGGCGACGAAGAACTCTTGAAGACTTTGGCTTTAGACGAGAGAAAAGTCGGAGCCTTCGATCGCAAAGTCCGATTGGGAAGCAGAGCAAACCCGGCACAGGTGGATGTCGATGGTATCACAGCGAGATTGGAGGATGGTGTGTTGAGAGTGGAGGTGCCGAAGTTGGATGCGGGATATGTGGAAATTAAGAAGGTGGATATTGAGTAGGCAAAAAAGGGCTGGCTGGGGTAGTTTGGCTACCTGTAGGGCAAGATTGATAATCAGAAGAGGGGCATCGGGAATGAAAGACACAAGATAATGAAAAATTCCAGTAACGATTTAATGAACAATTTTTCCAGGTACGCAAGAGTCTTGATCTGTTTTTCTTTCATTTTTATGAAACCCTTTCTCTTCCCGTCTTCCCAGATGCGTGCGTGCGTGCGTAATCGGCCAACATTCCGTCCTACCAGCCGCGGTACTGGACAGATCTTATCATCTTCTCTACGATACATGAATGTATTTACTAATAACAACATAAAGATATAGAAGTACGCCGATTAGATAGCTAATAAGCAAAATATCGAAGAGAGAAGCAATTGAGTACAAGTAAGTACAAGCAAATACCTAAGAAGGCTAGCGTGTTATTTTCCCGGTTCGTTCATTCCTCTTTCCTAGCCCTTCCTTGCACACACACACACACACATTTCTCTCTAAATCTCAACCTGCAAAAACCTATACCAACCAAGGGATTCGAAATACCTTAGACTATATATCTCATTCCCAGATTGAAACAAGAAGACCAACTATAGACTCCAGTGTTCACAACGACAACGACAGCAGACAGCAGTCAGCAACAAGAAGTATCCAACAGCAAGGACTCAGAACCAGCCAGCCCGCACCGCCCAGTCACTCAGTATTCGACGTTTGCAGCCAGCCGAGGAGAGAGAGAGACGGAATGAAAAGAGATGGACAGGGCGGGGCGGGGGAGAACAAAGCGATGCTTTATGACCATCTACGAGACTTCAATTTTTTTTCCCCTTGTTCATTGCCTTTCCGAAAGCAGAGAGAGACAGAGAGAGAATCCGGCCTGTTGCGTACTGAAGCAGAGTGAGGGAGGTCGGTAGGTATACAAGATCTCTTTTCTTATTTTTCCCCCTTTTTTGGGGCCAAGATTTACCTAGTCCCCAAACTAATCTGATGGTGAACGAAGTGGGAGGAGACGGTCTCTCTCTCTTCCTCTCGCTCTCTCTATCACAATAATCATCATGCTTGCAAGCAAGTGTGTATACAATGGCCGAATGCGGAAAAAAGTCCTCGATCAATGAGCGTACGAATAAAGATTCGATGCGCTGCTTGCACAAAGAACGACGACCATGGCCGCTTCCGGCGAAGAAGAAGAAGAAGACGCCGTGGTATAAAGAGGGAGTTGTATAAATGTGGTTCATTTGGTCGTTTCCTCATTATTTTCCCTTGCAAGAAGAGCTTGCGTGCGTAAGCAATTTTCTACAACAAGATATTATTATCCACCTGACGACGACGACAAAGACGACATGGCCAGCACAGGAGGCAAAAAGAGGGCGACGTCGGAAGAGTCGAAGAGTCCTCGTCCTAGTAAAACGTCCAAGTCACCAGGGAGGGATGCGGCGTCAACGCCCCACCTGCTGAAGCTCAAGGGCATGATGCAAAAGGACGGGAAAGATCATCGACGAATCCAGCCGGAGAGTAATTTGACCGGCCTCACAAGCCAATTTCCCGACATCGGTTACCCATACTCCAAAGGTCTCGTTAATGAGGACACGAATTGCTATCGCAATGCGGTACTCCAGGGTTTGTTCCACATACCAGCGTTCTATCGTTACATGGGAAAACTCCACCAAGACTGCCCAATCAAGTCAACGCGTTGTTTCGTATGTCGCCTCCAGTACTTGTGTTGGTACTATTGGAACACCACAGGGACATGGAAGGGGTCGGAAGATCACGGTCTGTTCTGCGTCTCGGAAACATTATGCAGGTCAATCCATCGATCCATGGAGCTAGACGCCAATGCTCCCGTCAACCTGATCTCTCTCAGAGAGGGAATCCAAGACGGTGCGCAGTGCGATGCGCGAGAGATGCTGGAGTACATCATCGCGGACCAGATTCTAGCCAAACTGGGACCACCGGACTTCGTGACTTACAACGACATGTTCCAGCTGATGCTGAAGACATCGTGGACGTGCCAGGACTGCGGCAGGACCTCCGATACTATCGCGCCTTGCCCCGAGATCGGCATCTTGCTTCCCATGGCCATAGCAGGCATGCAAGATGACCGTTCGCTCGACTGGTGCCTGCAACCGTACTTCGCTTTTCAGAGGCGCACTCACTGCGCAGACCTAAACTGTCATCATGCGTCCCGAATTCGCGATCCAAACCCGTCTGGTCCCGAGCGAAACGTCACGAGCACCATTTTACAGGCGCCGGAGATTTTGTTTATCCATTTCCTTCGCTTTGATCAAGTTTGGAATGCGAGGAGGCATAGGATGGACGAGAAAAAAGTATTCTACCGCATCAAATTCCCGGAACAGCTCGATCTGAGTCAGTTCGGTGCGGCGGGTGTGTCGGGTCAGGGGCTGAAGTATCGTCTGGATGCGGTGGTGGCTCACGGCGGAAGAACGATCACGAGGGGCCACTACATCGCCGCGTGTCGCACGCACCCGAATGACCCGTTGGGCGACAAATTCCAGGTCATCGACGACGACAACAGCATCGCTAGTCCGCGGGGTGGAGGCATTGAGGACGCGCGCCGGCCCCTGTCTGCCAACAACCAGGAGTTTGAGCCGCAGATGTTGATGTATAGCAAAATACATGTAGCGGACGGGGAATAGGAGGAGTGAGGAAGACACGCGTGACGACCCTGACGAGTACCTTGGGCAAATGTACCTTTTATACACATACATGTAACCTTACCTTAGATTATTAAACTTATAGACAGTCTCTCATTCTCAGCGGGATATCTTTTTTTTTTTCATAAATTGGTACGGTAATCTCCTTAGACCTACCTGTACCTAATCAACATGCACCACTTGACCTCCCTCAGCCATGGCCACTTTAGTCTTGCGAGTAGATGCCTTGCGAGGATTCGGCGCCTCGAAAATCTGCTTGAGTTCTTCCAACGTTTTCCCTGCCGTTTCGACAAAGAACTGCAAGTGAGAAAAAAAGAAAGTATTAGCATGAGTATCATTTCTTGGAACCCAGTTTGTTGTTCTCATTGTTCGTAGTAATGGCAATAGTGTTCTTGTAAACAGACCGAGCCGAAGCCCCAAAAACAGAAAAAAAAAGAAAAAACAACTTACAAAGTAAATAATCACCAACTCGACACAGATCCATCCAATATAGACGAGATATAATTTCCAACCAATTTTCTCAATTCCGACGCTGATGCCGTATGTATTGACGACCATGGCGACGTTGAGGAACAGGAAATTTAAACCGCTGCCTTTGGCTCGAGTGCGGTTTTCGAGACATTCGACTGCGTAGAGGGTTTGGAGGGGGGTCCAGCCCTGTGGAATGGAAGCACCAAGTTAGTCAGGCGTTCGTTTAGTATGGAATTAGGGATGGAAAAAGGGGAAAAAGAAGGGTCTCGCAGTCCACATGGTCTGTTGTTGTTGTTGTCTGCTGAGGTAACTCACCCAAGCGAAAAAGATGCCAAACAGGTAAATGCTGACAATGGTACCATAGGACAAGTTGGGCTTAGTCTCCGATGCAGCAGTAAATGCCGTGAGCAGAATGTACGCAAAAAGCCCTCCTCCCAATCCAGCCATGAGCATGACGCGTCTCCCGAGTTTGTCGAGTAAAGTCGCACCGTAGAGAGCACCGAGGAAGCTAAAGATGGGATTGATAGCGTTGATCAACAATTGCGTGCTAGGGTTCGTGATTCCTGCAGCCTTGACCATTTGAGGCATGAAGTAATTCACGACATTGTTTCCGGACCATTGTCCGAAAAATGCCATGGCGATGACCATGTATAGTCGGTATCGTGCTGCTTTGGTGTTGAAGAGCTCTCGGAATTCCCACCATGGGTTGTCGTTGCGCGTCGCAGACATGTCTTCGACGATTTCGTTGATTTGGAGGGATACGAGCGGTGATTGTGGGTCGCCTTCGCCGTGATACTTGGCTAGGACTGCGATGGCGTCTTCTCTTCGATCGTGCCTGTGACTTTGTTAGCAAATTGTGATTCGGGCGACAAAATGTGCACTCACATCACCAGCCAACGTGGCGTTTCTGGGAAAAAGAGCACAAAGCACATCACCACAGCGGGAATTCCGCATTGGACAAGAGTTGGTAGTCGCCATGCCCACGACGACTGTCGCATGTGTAGCTCCGTTCCATATGTCGTCCAACCTGCGAGGATGTTGCCGAGCCACCTACATTCGTCATTCACATGTCGTCAGCATATGGCTCCCTCTGAAAGACGACTCTCTCTTCTACCATGGAACTCGTACCAAAAGTTGTTGTACATGCCAGCCATAGTTCCACGATAAGCTGGGTGAGCAAGCTCGACCGTATAAGCAGGACCCGCAGCAGAGGCAATGCTAGCGCCGAATCCCAGAACGAAGCGACCTCCGATGAACTGGCCTTGACTATTTGCTGATGTCTGAACAGCAGTACCGACCAGTACGAGAGCACAGCCCACGAAGATGCACATTCTCCGACCATAGCCATCTGCGAGAAAGCCACAGAAGGGGAATGCAGCGATCTGTCCCAAGTTGTAAATGATGAAGATGATTCCAGTTGCTGATCCTGCGCCACTCAATCCAAATGTCCGCTGATAGCTCGGCATCGCATTGATCGCGCCCATCAGGGAGCTGTCGAAGCCGTTCATGGTGGACACGAGATATCCAATGCCCATGATCATATACAGTTGAATCATGCCGCGACCCCATGCTTGCGGCTTCTGGGCTTCGACAGCAGCCGCCAAAGCGACCGATGCCACAGCGGCCTCCTTGACTGCGGGCCCCTTCTGGAGATCATCATCGACATCAGTGACATGATGTGCCATGGCAGCGCCTGTCTTGTCGTAGTCGCCGGAACTCATGGCCGTGATCAGGTCCGAAACAACTGGCCGCTGCTGGTGAAGGGAGAAAGAGAGCAACAAAACGTTGCGGAGTCCGACCAGGCAGTAGTAGTTCTATACAAATACCGGGAACCCATCCACCTATATTGTATCTCGCAGGGTAGGCCAGTCCAGGGTCCCGCATGTTCGCCACGGATTCTCCAGGTCCTCCACACTCGGTTGGTCTGGGGTGACAAGGTGCATCGATTCCTATTTCGGCGCTTGGCTGCAACGGCGATGAACGAGCCGAAATGTGCCCGATATTTTCTGACACGATCTGTGGTGAGATGGGAAATGCGGCATGGCTCACCGTAACAGCTGCTGCCGGGTCGTCTTCTCATGGCATCTGCAATGCTCGTGCTTCATTCTTCAAAACGTCACGCTAATCACAGACTCGTGGCATGATGATGGTTGAGCGCCGCGGCACCGCGAAGATGGGTCTTGCAGCAGCTCTGCTTGCTAGTTCCGCTAGGCGCGTCGTCTCCCACCGAGACACCGAGTGAACGCCGCCACATGCCTGCCATGCATCTCCCGGAGGATCATGCACCGGATTGAGGAGTACTTGCGGAGAGAGCCTGTGGAGAAGGCTTGGGCGTCTGGAAATCTTGATCTTCCCAAGCGAGGGGCTGTATATAACCGGCACAGGTCTTGGTTTGTGCCTTGCGCCTGGGAGAGGTAAGCATACCTGGTACAGTGGTACCTACGCACTCGGAGTCAGCCGAGCATTGCAGAGGCAGCAGAGCGAAGGTGAGGTCTCTCGAGTGGTGGAGAAAACAAAATCCGGCTAAAAGAAGGCGGCTCAAGCACATCGCCAAGACGTTGCACTTTGCCAAGACATTGATCACTCTTGACTCCGCACTTGACCTGCAAAGGGAGTTGGGCCCGGCGGGATTGTCGGGATGTGGAGGATGCGAGTTCGGGAATAGATATGCCTCGGACTGAGAAAAGTACCAATGTCTCTCTCTCTCTCTTGTGATATGTCGTGGTACAGTAGGTACATCATGCTGCTAGAATACCCAACGCAAGTGCTATTAGTGCTATACATCATGTGCCTCACGCTGTGCTGTCATCCAAGGGTATAGTGAAATCCAACGCCTACGCTAACCTTTCCATGAGGCATTCATCTCACGCCAGGAATGCTGTGGTCTTCGCGTGATTCAAGTTGCCTCGTCGTCTTTGTTTCCGTCGTTAACAAGTCTGACCTCGTCCGCCTGGCTGGCAAGCCTCTCAATTTCCACCTGTATGGCAAGGACCCAGTGGTCTCGCTCTGCTCGGCTGCGAGCTTTAAACACCACATTGCGACCCGTCGTCCCCAGTTTGCTGACTCTGGTCAGCTTGGTCTTCACCTTTCGGTCGTCATCGGCTTGTTGCTGCTCCTTTCGTTGATCGTCAACCGTGGAAGAGCTCTTGAACCACGATTTGCTGTTAGCATGCCAAATGACAAACGTGGTCATGGCATCCTCGTCCGTACTCGTCCAGCCGTCTTCCAGATAGACGCGTGGCAAGGCATGATGTCCAGGTGTGTTGGAGTCAAAAGTCTGATTTTGGTAAAGTAAATCGCTCTCAGTAAGCAAGCCAGAGTAAAGGTAACAGCCCTTCAGGTTGATGGAGGCGATACGGTCGTGGTGAATGTGCTGTAGCTTCTTGCCAGAGCGCGATCGCAAGGTATCCTGGAAAATCAAGAGATGGCCATGCGAGAGAATAACTTGGTCGCGAATGAATGTAGTATGCTTTCGCGGCTTGCGAAAGAGGACCCCTGATAGATGTACGGTGCGACACCCGGAGATGCCGCACATGTTGTACAGCGTAGGAGAGGCAAACGATTTTCCGACTTCCCATTTATGTGCAAATTGTCCTACAAGAGCTTCAGCGCGCTCGTCGATGCCCAGCTCTCGCAAATTCTGCTCGCGAGTGGACTTGTAGAGGTTCATGTCAGCCTTCTTGCGCGCAGTCCAGTAAGCAACAAGTTGGCGCATGCGCTTGAGCCATTCATCGCGAGTCACTTTATTGAAAGCTTGTAGGCGAATCACCAGGCCATTCTTCATCACAAGCTCAAATATGCGATCTTCGTCAATCTCAGTGGCAGTACCATCGTCCTGTCGCACAGAGGTGTCGGGCACCTGCACGTGGAAGTCGACATCATCCCCTGATTCGACATTCTCATCTGCGGGTGTGGCACCATCGACAAAGTTGCGCACTCTATGCACATTGCACATGTCAATGAAGCCATCGGCAGCCTGCAGCATCTCGACATTGCGTTCAGCCTCAGCGGCAGCTGCATCGTCCCGATCCCGGACTTCCATCGGTGAAATGATACCTTCACTGTTCAGCCACGCAATATTGTTGTCCTGCAATGGATAAGGTTCGACATCGTATGTCAGTGGCACTTGAGCCGAAATTTGCTGAATCGATGGCACACCACCATCAGCAGCGGTTTGCGCAGGAAGTCTGGGAGGTGGCGGAGGCTTTGCTTTCGCCGGTTTCATGAAAAGCAGATACTGGCTCTGCGTCGTGAAATATAGGCGTTTGAACAGCATCTTTCCGAGCTTTTGATCCTTACCCTGTTGCGAAGTCAACCGAATCAAGAAGCCCTCAATCGGTGTCGGTTCTTCCAAGGCAGGTCCAGTTGTTTGCGTAATCAACTTGGGATAGTGATGTTTGGGCCGAAGTTCCAAATCGTGGGTGCGCTGCATCGCGATAGTACCGTACATCCTCTGCTCGACGGCACCATGTAGCCATTCCAAACGATCGTAGCGCTTCCATGCGAGCCCTATGCGGTTGTCTTGGGCCCAGACTTTTAGCACATCCTGCCATTCCGAGTTCTCTTTCAGCATTTCCATGCATCGTGTCACGATAGCAGCCGCAGCGCCCTTTTCCTCGTTCACAGCTCTAGCTAATGCTTCGTCGTCACCTGCTTCAGCTTCTGCGAAGGTGCTTGATGTCTCGATGGCCCGGAATGGGTCCTCGAGACGCAGGCACACACTCAAATCGGGAATATTCACTTGCAATGTATCGGCTCTCTTATGGCCAAGCACACTCCGGATAAAGGTATACCACTCTACAGCCGTGGCGGTGGAAGCTGCTCGCAAATAGTATATCGTCGTTCGTAAGCCATCTCTGGTCCAGAGACACAAAGTCTTGTCGAGAGCAGAGTACAAGTTCACGCGCACTTTGCTGTTACCCAGCAGAATCTGGACCTTTGCCTTCTTCTTGACCTTCTTGTCCTCTGATACCGTGATGACTCGCGTCTGGTACAGCTGGAGCACAGCTTTGGCATCTTCTTCCTCATGGCTTCGGCAGACAACCATGAACTCGCGCCATTTGTCGAGACTTTTGGTGACTACGCCCTGGCTGATCTTTTCGTCGTAATCTTCACGCAGAGACTGTTGCGTGATGTCGGTGCGGACAAGCATCTTGTCGACCTTCATCATCTCGCCGTCCTTGACCTTGCGATGCCGAAATGTGCCCTTCGCTGCCAAACGCGAGGCACGTGCCCGCAGCTGAAGTCTGGCAGAATCTGTGAAGCGCACTTTGGGCACGAGCACCTTGTCGGCCACTCTCCCCAGCCGAGGTGCGTTGCCTTCTCCCTGAAGTATACCTGGTGGTACTCGTGTCTCACCACTTGGCTGGTCATTGGCCGCATTGTTCCGTTGTTCGAAGGCCTCGACAATCGATCTGTTCTGACTATGAAGCAGGCTGGTCGTGCTCGCGGGTCCATCGGCGTCGGCGCCATATGCAGATACGTCTGACAGCCTAGTGGTCTCGCCAGACGACAGGACATTGCCGTGGACGTCACGCCTGCCTGCAGCTGCATCATCTGCGTCGAGAGCGACGAGAGAATGCGCTGCGGTAAAGGTCGCCCGCCGCTTGCCTCCTCCACGCCCTACGAGCTCCTTGTACCATTGTTTCCGATGGCTCTTCAGCCATCCTTCGGGAATGGGTCCGATGAAGGCTCGGCGCGTTGTTTGGTGGAGGTGGTCGGGCGTGGCATGCTCCAGGCGGCGGGCAGTGTGGGAATCGGGGGGAAGGTCGCTGTGTCGATTCATCGCATCGTCGTCGTCGTCGTCCTCGTGCGTCTGCCTCCTCTCATCCCGTCTCGTCAACAAGTAATTGCATCGAACATGACTTCTCGTCAAGACCAGGGCAGCTCAGGAGGAACATGTCTCTGTTTACAAGATGAGGACGAGGAAGTCGCGTGGCTGTGCCTACACGGCAACGTTGCAATGGACGACATGCCTACCGTAACTTAACGCTCTCAGGCTTCTCAGCTGGAGGAGTTGCCTTGGGCTTGGCTGGACGACATCAGTGACCTATAGAACAAGACAATTTGACCTGATATTTAAAAACACATCACAGTCGGTATCTCCTAATCAAGCCGAGTCCCTCGAAACTCTCGCCACGACTGGTCCAATATGGATGCTGGGCCGTGAACCAAGAGATGCCCGTTTCGACGCGTTCTCACGCAATGTCGACGATCCTGGTGGCGTCGTTCGGCAATCCGATTCCGAATGCCATATCTACGAGGTAAGGTCCTACTTGTTGTCGATCATCCGCCGTCCATGAGCATCTCCTCCAGCAGACTCATCGAGGACATTGTTGTCCGTCGCATTTTCATGCCGGTCACGTCTCCTTTGTCTGTATTCCCGTAATGTTATCGAGACGAGTGGCAACGAGTCTGGCTCGCGGGGGGCGTTGCTTTTCCTCCTCTGCGTCGTATCGCGCAGATTTCACGCACGCTGTAATCGGCGCAGGAGCCGTGGGTCTGGCGATTGCGAGAAGGCTGCAGCAGATTGATGGCGCACAGGTGGTGCTCATCGAGAAGCATGGGATCGTTGGCAGTGAGACCAGTAGTCGGAATTCTGAGGTAGGTCATGTTTGTTTATACCTCATGTTCACACCATGAGGGAATCATATACTAACATCTGCTACTAGGTCATCCACGCTGGCTTGTATTACGGTCCCGATTCTCTGAAAACGAAGCTATGTATACAGGGCAAGGAAATGGTGTATGATCTTTGTAGGAAGAATGACATTGCCCACATGAACTGTGGCAAATGGATCGTCGCCCAGACTGATGAGCAAATGGGCGAATGCCAGAAGGTCTACGATTTTGCCAAGTCAATAGGAGTGCCCATTCGATATGTTCCACGAGATGAAGCCAAGAATCGTGAACCTGAAGTTCGAGCGGAAGCTGGTGTCCTCGAAAGTCCTACCACAGGCATCGTGGACTCCCATGGCTTCATGCAATATCTCCAAGGTGATTTCGAGAACGAAGGCGGGACCCTCGCTCTCCACAGCCCTGTCACACGAGTACAGGCTCCCTCAGCCGACCATCCGGAGTGGAAGATCTGGACCGGAGCAGGCACAACACCACCTTCACCCTCTTCTCCCACACCACAAGTTCCCGAACAGAATGCAGAAGACAGCGACACAAGCATCACGGCCGAAACTGTCATCAATTCAGCAGGGCTCTATGCCTGTGCCATCAACAACATGATTCTTCCCCCCTCACGCCATCGAAAGCCTTTTTACGCCAAGGGTTCATACTTCACATACAGCAAATCCTACCCCAAACCCTCCACCTTAGTCTACCCCGCACCAACACCAGGGCTCGGAGGACTGGGAACACATCTCACATTGGACATGGCGGGCCAGATCCGTTTTGGCCCCGATGTTGAATGGGTCGAGTCACCTACGGATCTTGCACCTTCACAAAGCACCGAGCGCTACCAGGCCGCCATTGAAGAGATTCAGTCCTTCATGCCCAATGTGGATGTCGATGCCATCTCGCTCGGATATGCTGGTATTAGACCCAAACTGGGCAAACTTGGAGCTGTGGCTTCGCCGGACGGGAAAGGTTTCCAGGACTTTTACATTGTGAAGGAAGAAGGCGTGGATGGGTTTGTGAATTTGCTGGGGATTGAGAGTCCGGGATTGACGAGCTCATTGGCGATCGCTGAGGAGGTGTATCGATTACTTTATAGGTAGTCAGGTAGTAATAACAGTGGTGGTGGTGGTGGCGTGGTCGTTGAGCATGGACATTGGTAAAGACAATCGACAGTAAAGAATTACTAGGTACTTTTCCGAGGACCAAAAACGCCTACCTACCGTACCTACCTATGTATATATGAATATGGTATGGTACATAGGTAGCTCGTCTAAAATTCTTCGGCTGTATAACCCTTCCTTCATCGAGCATCAAGCTCGGAGCCCAGCCAGATAAACGACAGATACAGTAATCAAACACGAGTCTTTTTCTTTCAAGACAACCGATCCTTGCTAAACCTACCAGACCTAGTACAGACAGATACCGAACCGATCTCCATCTCAAGACGACGACTCATACGCATCGACTCGACTCTACCAGTCTGTCTACTAGTGTCCCAGGTTATTCCCAGCCGCGGGTCAAATTCCGCTCAGACACGAACTTCACCGGGCTTCATCACCTTCCCGCTATCAGTAGCCTTGCACCATGAAATAGCCGTTGCGGATACCAAAGTTTGAATGGATCTTCAGACCAATGGTATAATGGTACATGCAATATACTAGGTAAATGGCTGTTTTACCGCCCCCTTCCCCTTCCCATGTGTAGTAAGATGTACATAAGGTACAGTAGGTTGTGATCGGATGCGCGATAAGAGAAAATCCTACCAGCCTTCTAGCCTCGAGGCGGATTGCCGGATTTTATTAGGTAGGTAGCGATAACAACCTGTCTGTCGTGCTGTAGGTACATATGAGAGAGAGAGATATATATATATGTCTGATGATGATGATGATGATGATTGCAGCCTAGGTACCTACTGCGCCAGAGCTGCAGGAATGAATACGCCTTTGTGCACATCTGTTTAACTACCTCCACTTCCTACGACTACTGAGAGTGTCTGGAACTGCCTTATATATACCCCAACTAGACCTTCTCTCTTTCGCTACTACCTACCTACCTACCTAGGGATGATGGCTGTACCGTTGTCCCTCACGGAACATCTCAACAGGCTGGTTCCATTGCATCTCCTCGTCCCAGCCATCATCATCGTCATTACCTTATTGGCAGCCGGCGCTTTGGTGAACAGCTCCGCGATCAAGGACATTTACGAGCCGAAAGAAAAGCCCATCATTACAGTCGAAGAGGTGAGTGAGATTTCACATCCAATCGCAAAACAACAACAATAGGAGGGCTGATAGAGAGTCATGTCCAGCTATGGCACTATCCCGTCAAAGGCCTGGGCGGAATCAAACTCGACAAAGCCACCATCGGTCGTCAAGGCTTCGAACACGATCGCACCTTCGTCCTCGTCAAAGTCCACCGCGATGAGAAAACGGGAGAAGTTGCCGTTCTCGAACCGATGTACAGTGGATTCAATTTGCACATGGTGCTCTTCCAATGCATCATCGAAGACCGAGAGAAAGGTCCCGAACATGCTTCAATCACAATCACTCGCGTGGGACCCGAGAATCCCAATCCGACACAATTGACCTACACGGGCCATTCGGAGCATCAAATTCGCTTTCCTCTGCAACCAGACATGAAGACACTGGTCAAGACGAATATGGATATGCACGGCAGTGCATGTGAAGTCTTTGACATGGGCTCCGAGATTTCCGCCTGGCTTTCCAAATATGTCCAGCACGAGACGAAGCTCTTCTACATTGGCTCGAATGCTCGAGTGGTGTTGGGATCAGGAGCCCCCAACAGCCCCGAAGCCATCGAGAAGCGATCACCGGCTTCCGCATTAATTCGCAAAATTCTCCCCAAGCCGCTCGTGACTCCCACCGAAACTATCACGTTTCAAGATATTGGGCAATACCTCGTCGTGACCCGAGAATCCAACGCCGACATCTCCTCCCGCCTCGACGGGAGCACGGAAATGGATATTCACAAATTCCGACCCAACATCATTGTCTCGGGCGCACCTGCCGCGTTTGATGAGGATTTTTGGTCGCAGCTCGTGTTTCCCCACAATATCCACATGGACTTTGGCGGGACGTGTTGGAGGTGTCAGGCGATTACTGTCGATACCAAGACGGGAAAGAAAGCCGAAGGTCCCGAGGGAGAGGTGTGGAAACGCTTGAATCAGTATCGGAGAGTGGACAAGGGGTGGAAATACGGGCCGGTGTTTGGGAAATATAGTTATACCAGCTTGAAGGATTGTGGAAAGACGATACAGGTCGGCGATCAGGCGGTTTTGACGAAGAGGGTTAAGGAACAACCAATTTTCGGTGAGTTGTTCTTCTTCTTCTTCTTCTTCTTCTTCTTCTTCTTCTTCTTCTTCTTCTTCTTAATGTTGTTGTCCTGAAGACGTCAGCTGATCGGTGTTGTGATGCAGATTGGCCACTCCCCAAGGCAGTTGTCGCTGCCTTTTCGTAAACAGTGTCAGACGAGGTGAAAGTGGACGGGAATGGTTGGACGCAGAGAGTATGCGTGCATTACAATGGATCCAGTAGGAGGTAGTGATTGCGCAAAGTGGTGGCACCAAATCTCTCCTCCCACATGCCCCCAGTTTCCCGTCGCCTGTTCTGGGAGTTCTCCCATACCTGAACATCAATGTCCTGACCCTTTGCGAATATTTCCCATGGCTGCAATCCTCCCTCCTGACCGTCACTCGCATGCTTTGTGGCGGAAGTGCCACAGAATTTGAGCTGGCAGTGCAATTACCAACCTACGCATCGCTATCGTTTCCCCCGCCGTCTTCATCCTCCTCCGCGTCCTCCGGAGTCGTCATGTCGAGTCCGAGGCGAACACGAACTGGGTGACCAAGAGGCCACTGAATGTAAGTCAGCCCAGACATGTCTCTCAGCCATTCATGTATCGTTCTTCCGGTGTAAAGACTGTCGAAAGCAATCTCACAAAGTTTCTCCGCTTTGGCCTTGTTCGCAGCGTTGGTGCCCTCTGGGACAAAGCGCACTACTGATGTTCCATTATGGATACCTCGCACACGCCACCGGTAGGGTCCTTGGGATGGCTGACGAATCATAATCTTCCGGATTCGACACGAAGGGGACAAGCTTGTGGACAGCTGTGACAGGAACTGTGCCCAGCAGTCTTGAGCTATGCTATCTGGTCGAGGGTTGTCCAAACATATCCTGTGGAGGCTGAAGGACTGGAGATCGAACTTTGCCAGAGTGCGCACCAAGTCTGCGGTGGTCACCATGGTCTTGCCAAGCTCCAAACTGGTCAAGAAAGGGAGATGGACTGGAGGCGTGGGTGAGTCAGTGAGTGGCGCACTCTTTGCGGCAACAGAAATGGGACGACCGAGCCAATCTACGATACGCCAACCCCTCTGATGACGAGTCCTCGGACGACGAGGATGATCAGCGTGATTAATGTAGGGAAGAAAGTTCAGTCGAAGGGACTGCAATTGCGTTGTGCGATGCAAGAATAGGCGGAGGGGTGTGTCTTCGACGTCCACACACGCAAACGATGGATTATCATCTGTGTCTGATATCTCATCGGTCGGAATGTCAAGCATGAGTGTCTTCAGGTCTGCAAGGACTGCACTGATGGATGTGTTCCGAGGCAGAAGGAATGATCTATTTGTCACACAGTCAGGAATCATTTCCGATATGATTTGCAACGCTTCTCTTCGGGCTTGCCGCCTGTAGTGTTTGCGCGCAAGTAACACCATAGACTCACTCTGGCTGCAGCTTTGAACTCTTTTTGGTGAATACTTCGATATTGCTAGGCCGGGCATTGGCCTGAGTCAAGGCTGAGAGGAGCATCGGGAACAACAGTGCATGCGGTCTACGATCCACGACATAATTTTCCGAGAACAGCGACCAGCCCCAAGAGCGCCATTTAGCATAAGGGCCATCTCGAATACGTCCATATCCGTCGTAGTCTCTGAGGCCGACGGTTTTCAAATTTGGTAGGTTTGAAAAGACCTCAGCAAGCATGTCCCGCGCAAGACCGGTTTGCAACAGCACGTCCCGGTTGACATAACCATTCTTGGTCCGGCTGCACCTGATTTCTGGCGTAAGCGAGAAATGACTTGAATCAATGAGAACTTCGCGCAGTCTTGAAGCTAGGCCCGGGTGTCTGGAGATGCCGACTAGCGCCTCGAGGCTCTCGTGTTCTATCAAGAATTGGCGCTTGGTGAAGAACTCGCGGGCAAAGTCCACGAAGAGCTTCATCTCGATTTCCTTACACGATCGTCGCAGAGCGCCCAATTCTGGCGTAGTCAGGAAGGAAGCGACTCTGACCAGTATCTCTGGTGGCAGATTGGCGAGTTGCCAGTGAGACGGCGGCAGTGGTGTAATGGAAGCCATATGGATGCGGGAGGCTTGTTTTGCTTCTGGTTTTGCTTCTGGGTTTGTTCTGGTTTTGTTCTGGTTTGGTTCTGATTTTTGTTGTTATTTTGTTGATGTTGTGGAGGCTGATGAGTTGATGGACTTGACTTGACCTATGTAGAAAGTAGTTCTAGGCAGAAGGCGCGCTAGCCATCTAGTCGCGCAAATCTCGCGCGTCTCATTGGCTGGTGCCTGATGGTGGAGGCACAGTGCGCAACTCCCTTCCTTCCTTTACTGGAACTGCGACTACAATTTTTTCATTTTTTCATTTTTCATTTTTCATTTTTCATTCTTCTCCCTCCATTTCTCTTCTTCCTTCTTCCTTTCCTGTTGTCCTTGCGTCGATCCTACCCTCATCCCTCTCATCATCATGACACCGGCGCGGCGTCAACGCAAGCGCCCAGCATCCCCTCAGGCAGATCAGCCAAAAAAGAAGAAAGCAGAGCATCCACTCGAGTCGAACAGCGACAACGACAACGACATCAAAGTCGTGAAGCCGAAGAAAGAATCGGGCAAGTCTAAGGGCAAAGCCAGTTCCAAGTCGGAAGCACCAGCCGATGGTGAAGCGAATGGAAACTTCCAGCAACAGAAGAAAGCTGCTGGGAGCGCACAGTACGCGAAAATCGACCGACTGATCGTGCCCGTTGATGAGACATGTCTATTCAATGGTCATGTCTACGTTGATGGTAGCACTGGTATAATATACGTGCGTGTACTGTCTCCCTGCCTACGAGCTTCTAGTAACATCGAAAAAGGATGCTTCTTTGAACCAGACAGTGGCTTCTGCCAATAATAACAAGTTCTATCGTATTCAGCTTCTCACTAATGGCAGAGGCCGCTACCAGACCTGGTAATATGTTCCTGCACATAACATTTTCCATGTCTGAAAGCAGTCGCTGACTGACACCCAGGACCCGCTGGGGCCGAGTTGGGGAGAACGGCCAAAGTGCGCTGCTCGGGGATGGAAGCTTCGACGACGCGCTCATGCACTACGAGAAGAAATTCAAGGCCAAGGCTGGTCTCGCATGGAACGATCGCGGTGGCAAACCGAAATCTGGAAAATATGTCTTTATCGAACGAAACTACGAGCCAGAGTCATCAGGAGGAGAAGAAGAAGAAGAGGAAGAAGAAGAAAAAGAGGAGGAAGGGGAGGAGGAGGACGGTGGCGAAGATCTACAAGCTTCGAAAGGCGAGGAAAGCCGGTCGCGCAGTGCGTCGCCGAGCAAGAGCAGCTTGCCTCCGCCGGTCAAGTCGCTTATGGAACTCATTTTCAACCAGAAATATATCGAGGGGACCATGGCCGACATGAACTACGACGCTGCTAAACTACCACTCGGCAAGCTTAGCAAAGCGACCATCACGCGCGGTTACCAGGCTTTGAAGGATCTTGCTGCACTCTTCAATGACATGACACTGGCCCAATCCGAATACGGGGACACGTATGCTAATGTTGTGGAGACATTGTCCAATCAGTACTACAGCTACATTCCGCATGCTTTTGGCCGGAATCGCCCTCCTGTCATCTATGAACATGAGCGTCTCAAGAAGGAAGTGGAGTTGCTTCAATCTTTGACTGATCTCAAGGATTCGGACAGTATTCTCAAGTCTGCGAAGGCCCGTGGAGCTGTGCATCCATTGGACGTCCGGTACAACGGACTTGGCATGCGAGAGATGTCCGCAGTGGACAAGCACACTGCTGAATTCCAGAACATCTCCGACTACCTCATCAACACGAAAGGCTTTACCCACAGTCATAGCTACGAAGTCATTGACATTTTTCGCATCGAGCGAAATGGCGAAAGTGAGCGATTTGAACAGTTCACCAAGACCAGCAACAGCCGCAGACTTTTGTGGCACGGAAGCCGTGCGACCAATTTTGGAGGCATCCTCAGCCAAGGCCTTCGAATTGCACCTCCCGAAGCCCCCGTGTCGGGTTGGATGTTTGGCAAGGGCGTGTACCTCGCTGGTAAGGCTGTTGCTTTCATCGTACTCAAATGAAGCTGATTCCGTGTTGCTAGATATGAGCTCAAAGAGCGCAAACTACTGCTATGCAGGAAGTAGTGGCGGGCACGCCATCCTCCTGCTGTGCGAGGCTGAACTCGGCACGCCACTGTATGAGCTCACGCAGGCCTCATACACCGCAGGGGAGGAAGCAAATGAGCAAGGCTCTCTCTCAACGCTCGGCGCAGGACAAACAGGTCCGCTCGCCTGGAAGGACGCCGCCTGCGTCCACCCTTCCCTCGCTGGAGTTAAGATGGTAAGCTTCGTTTGAGCAAGTCTATGGTCACTCAAATTGACACTCATATCAGCCCGACACGACCATCCCGGTTGGACAGACAGGCTATCCAGGCGCAAGCCTTCAGTACAACGAGTACATTTGCTACGATGTCTCTCAAATCCGCCTTCGGTACTTGCTTAGAGTGAAGATGTGATTTGACTTGACTCCCACGAGGAGCTTCACACGCAAAGATGCTCATCAGAGCCCAAAATTGCGCAGAAATCGTCGCCCGCCTGGCGCCGATTAGCTACAGATGAACAACAGGCGAAGTATCAGCTCCAATACAGTGCTATTTCATGAACAGATTCGATGATTATTAGATATGTAGACACAATTCACGACTCGATCTCCATATCTTTCCAGTCGGAGCCTCAAATCGCAGCAGCGATGCATGTTACATGTACGGCTACAATGAATGTCCTCTGCCCAAGTTCTGGCACGGGCATCGCAGTGAGATTTCCATTCAAGTATATTAGAAGCTGTAACGGACCCAGTATATGCTTGCGATCTGTACCGTGGTTCCAAATAGCGTCTGCTTGAGTGGGCGTCCCATTCCCATACGATCCAACCCCCCTTTCCCCCAAAACAAAAATCTTTCCGACGCTGTCTGTTTACCACCAATAAGTTGTAACAAATCCCCCCATGCTTCTTTTTTTTCTTTTTTTTCTTCTTCCTCTTTTTGTTTTTCAAAACTCCCTCTGTAAAACCCCCTTCAAAACCCCACTATCCCTCTCCAACCTCTCAATCCTCTCCTGACTCTTCCTCACTTTCCCCAACAACCACGTAACGCGCCCCAACAATTCCGGCGGCTGCCTCGACAACGCCGACAACAATCGTAATTCCTGCTCACATTTCTCGACGGTCGAATTCTCACTCGCAATCGCATCTCCCATCCATAACAATTCAAATTTCGCTCGCAAAACTTCATCGGCGACTAATTGTTGAAATGCGGGGCGATAGACGGGTTTGCCGGGTAAAATGCGATAGGGACGACCGTGCTGGGATTGGATGGAGATGAGTTCGGCTTGTTCGAGGGCTGCGAGCGATTTTTCTCCGCTTCCTCCAGAGGAGGACTTGAAGGGGTCGGATAAGAGGAGTTCATTGTATCGTAGACCTTCTTCGTGATGGGCTAGTTCTCGAACTAGAGTCCATGCTTGCGAGGAGGTCCATTGGCGACTGTCGTTGCTGCTGCTGTTGCCACCTTGTAAAAGAAGATACATTTTTAAAATTTCCGAGGCGGATTGATCGATGATTTCTTGGACGGCTTTGCTGGGCGTTTCGCCGGCTTTGATGCGGCGGGCGAAGAATTCCAAATCGGTCAGGCGACCGCCGAGTTGGCCAATGACGGTGTCGAGTTCGCGGAGATCTTGACGTTGTTGCGAGGGGGTGAGTGGGCGAATTTCTGTATCATCATCATCATCTTCTCCTTCTTTCCTGTGACCGGTTTTGTTGTTGCCGGTGATGGGTCCGGGCTCGGCGCCAAAGTCGAGGTGTTGAATGACATAGCGCTTGGCGATTTCAGGGGAACAATCTCCGAGAGAAATCTGTCGAAAGACTCGGTCGGGCAGAGCTTTGGAGAGGGACTTGCTAAAGGAGACGTCGTTGGTTAGGAAGATGACATGAGCAATGTTGGAGGTGGTCAATGAGGCTGCCCACTCCGCCAGCTGATCGTACACCATGGCTGCTCCGGGCTCCGAATTCTTGTGCAACCAATTCTCAATGACCACGACAGGTCTTCTCTCCGGGTGGCTATCCAAGTATTCATCGTCGGAAAGCTTGGCGTCTTTGTCGTCCTTTTTGCGTCCATCGAGGGCGATACTTTTCAGTGCTGCTGTCGTCTTGCCCCAGATCTTGATCAGCTGATTCTCCAATGTTTCGGAAAAGCCAGCTTTCGATCCCGTCATGCCTTGTGCCGCTAAATCGATGAGACCACTGATATTGTTGATCCAGCTGAAGACGGGCCGATAGCCCACTTGATCCGCAGCTGCAGCAATCGTAGAGGCATCTCCACGAGCTTCCTGGAGAGGCTTACAATCCAGAGTGAGCACCTGGTGCGCTTCTCGCTTGTGACGCAAAGCATGTTCCAACACGAGCTCCCTCTTTCCACTACCCCGGGGTCCTTGCACGACGATGAACGTCTCGGAAGATTCCATCAGCCATGCTTGGATCTGCTGAATCTCATTCTGCCGGTTCTCCCACACCACAGTCATGCCTCCATCGTCGAGGCCTCTCTCTCGACCAAGAGATTTGACCTTTTGGACCAAGTCTTCGCTCTGCTTGATTAACCACGCAAAAACAAAGTTGTCTTCCAGATGGAAAGCTCGCGTGATATGCGCCTTGATGGCGATCGTGCGAATCGGGTCAAATATGACGGCAGAGATACCAGCAATGAGTGCCACGAGCAACGGAATCACGATGCGAGGATGATTCACCAGCCAGTCCTTAATCCAGCCTCCACGTTGTTTCTTCTCGTAGGTCAGGCGCAGCAGTGTGCCACTCTTACCGCCGCCTTCGGAGTCATTGACCAAGTATCCGTGCATGCAGTTCTTTGCCATGATGGCTTTTCGGTAGTTCGCAAAGTCCAGGTAGGCATATTTAGGCAGCACTTTGGAGTCGGAAGGCTGGACAACGATATCCTGCGAGGTGTGAGTGGGTGTCTAATCTAATACGTCTGATGAGCGGTCATTCCCATTCAAACTCACCGAGAGCTTGCCATACGGTCGAAAGAAACTATATCTAATGTCGCAAATCGAAGATCAGCAAGTGTCTCTAGGAACATGCATGTTTTCCAAAGGGGTATGTCTCCCAGCTCGTCGCCATGGCGGGCTCAAGTTGTTGGGAGAAAGAAAATCCAACAAGACCGCAGAATGCCTTCCTTCGCGCTATGTCTGACTCTACTTACAGCTGCTCCTGACTCAACTCCGCCACCTCAGCACCAGGCTCCGTGGGGAGAAACTCCACGCGCAGTCTCGTCGAAGGCTGACGAGCCAAATCTTCCACCCACGGTTTCCCCAATACGCGACCAGCCTGCACCGTCATGAACGGATTCCACCAGGGCCGCGCCGAATGCTCATCAAGATACTTTTGCACCGCTTCAGAGATGACTTTCGAATCACTAGTACCGTCATGGCTGAATTTCAAAAACGCCGCACCTTCGCTATAGCGAGGCAAAACTTCCACCACCTCCGCTGTGCCGCCCACATGTGCCTCTTGCAAAGCTTTTTGAAAAGCATTCGCAGGATTAATTACGCCGTAGGAGGTGCGAGACGCGAGAATTTTGGGTGTCTTGTAGCCCGCAGGAATGGCGGCCGCCAGACGGAAGAGCCACTGTAAGTTGGTGGGTAAGATGGAATTGAAGAATAAAATGCCTTGCTGCGAGTTGGTCGTGATGTGGCCGGTGTTGTTGTCGCCAGCGTCTCCTGCCAAGGACCGTCGGGATGATAATGATAATGATAATGATATCCTTGAGGCCGACGACGGGTTGTTGACCCTGGGGCGAAGGGCGGCCGCTGCTCGAGTGAGCGGGCCTCGCGAGGTCATCATCATATCGCGCAATGGCTGGGCGTTTCAGCCTGGGAAATATACAGATATGACATGTTGGCGCGAGACAGCGAGTGTTGGTGATGGAGAACGACGCGTTCGTGTTGTGCCCGAACAGGGTCGAGGTTGAGCAATGACGTCTGTGGTATGGATCCACAATTTCTTGGCACGATATTATAACTTCAGGGATGATAGGGTTACCTACATGTTCTGAGGATCTCAACCTCGACAACAACTATAACCACAAATTCGAGCTCGTACGACACCGAATCTGCAGAGGAGTTCTTCGTATCAGGTTTTCCTCTTTACAAGAAGAAGAAGAATTCCTTCCCCCTTGCTTCGCTCGACAAAAGAAAAATGATAATAGGAAAAATAAGAGAAAGCATCAGCTCCAGCTGAGCATCAGAAGAGTACGTATATTATACACGTGATGTTACTGTACTGTGCGTCAAGCGCCTGATGATGTTACAAAGCTTTTCGCAAAACAGCGAAAGTAGTGCTTCCTCACGATATTTCTACAAAACCACCGGCAAGCGGAGCTTCCCATGTGATCATCTCGGGCAAAAAAGCACAATACCACCATTTCCCGGCAGCCCAGCCTCCACTCCATATGCCATTCACCTCTTCGCCTTCACCGTGTCTCACCGCAATTCCCACTCGCTCCATCCAACCCAATATCATTTCGATTTCCCACTGCCATAGTTTGTGGCTGTGTGCCAGCTGCATCGTGATCGCACGCATACCGGAGCGAAACACGATGAGGTGCAAGACGGATCGGAAGCACATGTCCCAGATATCGTCAATCAGGTTGCCGTGAATGTCGACCCAGAACGGGATTCGGGGTCCAGGCTCACCTTCGATCGTGGGTGGCACCAACGGGATCGGTATACCAGCGGTGAGTTCATGCTCATGCTGGTACGCCGACGTCTTGGTGTAGACAAGATCGTACTTTAGCTGGCTCTGGTCGGCTTTCTTGGTCTGGTAACTATTACCCGAGTATCCCCATGGCGATAGTCGAGGTGCAGGCGCATCAAAGTTCCATTTGATTTCGGGAAACACGGGAGCAATGGTCACCATGCCACTGGCCACCAGATTCGTCAGAATCGTGTAATCTTGGTCGGATGTGATGGGCGTGAGGACCAGCTCATCGGCTTGCCGGAAGTAGTCGTTGATGTTGGTCCACGATTCCGCCAGGGCACACAAATAGCGATGTTCGTCTGTATCTCTCGTGGCGGGCCACCTTCGGAACTGTACCAGGACTTCGTGATGAATCTGAAAGTTACGACCGGGCAATTGTCTACCTCTCTTGTCCTGGAGGAACATCTTGGCCTCCATCATCTCGCTAGAGACTCGTTTGAGGACCTTGTTTCCAAGAACGCTGATCTTCTCAGCTGCAGACTTGGCGACATACTTGTGCTGCTTTGTCATGGCCACTGCTCGCACCCACGATTTGGCCAGTAACAGCTCATTGTTCGTGTCCTCACAGGGCTTGACTTCGCCTGGCAGGACTTCGCCATGCGTCAAGCGCTGCGCTATGTGCCTTCGATTCTGGTCGGTAATTGTCGTATAGTAATCGTCCCTGTTCAACTCGAAAACTGGGTTTCGTATGCTGACGGTGAATTTCTCCTCAAGCAGGGCTTTGGTCGCTGGAAGATCGGGAACATCCGGTCGATCGTCTACCGTCACAGACATCTTCATGGGAACGGTCTTCATCACCCACTCGTGAAGCGCCGGCCAGTCTGTCTCATGGGAAGCTTGCAGATTCACAATCGGCAATTCATCCCGCTCATACGCTTTCAAAAAGAGCGGTCGAATAGCATCGCGAATACGCTCCACATCGCCTCTTCGGCTGCGACGATAATGTTCCCATCGACGGCGCAAAAAATCGCCTTCGTAACGGTAGCTCAGAGCATGCGCAATCACATTCCAGCTCAGCTTGTCCTGGCTGAGTCCACCAGCAATAGCACTCACCAAGGCAATAGCGACAACAAGGCGATTAACGTCCTTGAAGCCTTGGGCAGCCTGGCGATCTCTGGTTGTGAACGCTCTCCTGACCCCGCGCACTCCAGGGCCCTTCAACTTGGGCATTTTGCCGCTCGCTTGTTCGTCTACAAATTCCGAGGCCGCACCAGGCAGAAATTCATTGTCCGATTCGCGAACAGCCTCGTCATCGACGATCTGCTTCTTCTTTCGTGAGGTATACTTGCGTCTCGTCTTTGGAAGTTCTGGCTCGGGTTCTGGCTCCGGACTCATGTCTACGGAACTTTGCCTCGCCGCCGCCTCATAGACGGAGGCATCCTCGTCCTCGTCAAGCACCGCGGAGATTGGGCCATGCTGAGATGATTCTACCCCGTTCAACTGCTCCTGGGAGATGTTGAATGTGACCATTGTCGAGCCTGCTCGGGAATCAAGTGCAGGCGCCCCAACGTTATCACGTGGCACTTCGGTTGTTGCATCGAATGCTTGCTGTTGAATCTGCTGGATGTGAGCAATGGCTTGTGCTGTCTCCTTCTGGTACTCCTCCCGGGACAGAGTTCCAGGTGCAGCTCGCCAATGGGCCACCTGATGTGCCATGCCACGCCCACTAGTGCCGAATGTACCGTTGCTCGGTGTGAAGTTTTGAGCTGGAGACATGAGATGAGCTGCAGTGACCTGGCGAAGGCGCTTCTCATCTTCCCACCATCTTCGGCGGATCGGGGCGGCCGCAGGACCACGAATCGACCCAAGAGGCCTTCTCGTCTGGCGCACCGGCTTCATCGATTTCGCCTCAGGCCCAGATTTCTCGAAGCGGACGCCTTTCGCCATCGGAGCTTCGGCTTCTGCTTCGCGTAGCTCCGGGGCGACACCATGGTCGTACCCCTGAATTGCAAGCTGCTGGTCGCCAGAGCATGCGCCCAGTGTGGCTGCGAAGGGACTTTGGCGAATTTGCGGTGTTCGCTCTATTTGTGGCAGAGGTGCCAACGGAAGAAGCTCGCCTGTGACTGGATCACGCTTTCGGCGCCTACGCTTCTGTTTCTCATGGACAGTCGTGCCTAGTATTTCCGCTCGCACGTTGGCGAGATCAGTAGCAACCTGTGGTTCCCTTGAAGCAGTCTCCTCTCTCTCTTTGCGTTGCCTGTCTGTCCGCTTCTGCCAGGACTTGCTCTTCGCCTCAGCATTCAGCTCCTGCATGTGCTGTCGCAGCGCCTGTGCGTTCGCGAAGCCTTTGCTCTGAGCATCTTGATCAGCCTTCGCCGCAGCGATTGCAGTTTGCTGGACTATCAACACCGGGTCCTGCGGGTACTCCTGAGCACGAGGCTTTGACGGCGTAGGATCGCCAATCTTGGGCTTTCGACCCCTTTTATTGGAGCTTGCTGATTCCCGCAGCTCATCATCAATATCGACCTCCATAGGGAGGTATTGCAATGGATACGACTTCATCATCTGCTTCCGCAATTGTGTCACAATTTCGTCATCGGCCTTGACTGAAGGTTCCGCAAGTATTTGTTTCGTGATGACGGAGCTGCTTTTTGACTTGAATGCGAATTTGAATCTTTTGAGCTTCTTCTCTGACATGAGCTGCTCAACTGCCCGCTCAACAGAATGCCTATCGGGCATCCGGTCGTAGAGCTTCTTCCACGATGTTGCGAGAACGTACCACATCTCTGTGTCCCCAGGAAACACGCCACCACATTGCTGCACAGCGGACAGCATGATCTCGTGGCGCTTGATCTGAGTGCTCCCACCAAGTTTCGAGCCGCCTGTCTTCTTTGTTGTTGATAGGGGCTTGACAGCGCGAGCAAGCGGCACCTCGGATATCGAACCATTAGCTTGCTCGGAGACGCAAATGCCCATGTCATCTTCCCCTCCACGTCGGATCGGTTCATCTTCTACTTCGTCAGGGTGCTGAACTTGGATATCAGCGTGATAGTTCTCTATGAGCCCGTTCTCGTCCTGCTTGTTCCGCGCCCCAGGCACTTCCGCCGACATCGCCGACTCCTGTGGTCTTTCCTGGATGCCCCTGTCAGGGGTCTCATAAGGACGGACTATCATAAGGGGGGAGACTTTCGAAACAGGAGTTGTCATGCGCGGTAGTGAAGCGGCATGCCGCGCCAGCGACAGGGCATTCCGGGGCGTTTGCGCTGTTTTAACGGGGACATTGAGCTCGTCGGCGGTAGGTCGCGAGGTAGGTCTGAATGGCTGTGGCATCACAGCCTGCTCCAGCGCTTGCTGTAGACTAAGCCGGTCGGAAGGACTGGGAGTAGTCGCGTTTCGAGGACCGACAGGAGGCCGTGGTCCTGTCCAATCTTCCTCGTCAGTTTCACTGTCATCAGAAGACTCATCGTCCGCGACAGGCTCAGATTGTGCAGCATTGACAGATGTAATGCCCGTACGTGTCGGTGCTGCTGCAGTGCTCCCTACAACACGTCGTTGCTCGACCGACAATTCTAGTGGCCGCCTAGACTCTGCAAGCGAGACCGGATCTGGTGTCTTAGTAAGTTTGGAATGGTTCGCCACAGCCCGGGTACGTGACCGAAAACCGATGGTTTGTTCCAGATCAGCTAAGATTTCCAGGTCTCTCTTCGATTTCCGTCCTGGCTTCGCAGATAGAAGCTTATGCTGTTGCTGTGGAGTGGCTCTCTCTTCGACTGGGTACTTCGCGAGGTAGAAGGAGGCTGTATCTGCAGATTTGTTCTTAGATAGGGGTTGATCTGCATCGGCATCTTGTGATTTAGGTTTGGGTTGGGATGTAGTATGCACTGCCTGGGACTGTTGTTCTGATGGATTCGCAGGCAGAGGTGCTGACGAACTTTGTGGCACCAGTTCGAGAGTTTCGTCCAAAGCCTTATCGACTGCCTCGGAAGTCATTGCGTTTGGTCGCGAGGCAAGAGTCTGCTCGTTAGCGAATCCAGTATCCGGAGTCCCCTCGGGTTCAATAGGGACACCTGCGCTACCCACAGCTCCGTTGAGGACAGAGTCGCGTGCCATAGCAGCGGTATCAAATATAGACAGCCCACCTAGAGATGCGCGAGCACCAGACCTGACCACCTCACTTCTGGCGGAAGAAACATTCATCTGCGCTTGAGAAGGCTGAACTCTGCGCCGCCTCTTGCGAACGGGACTTGCATTCTCGGAGTCAGAATCCTCGAGGATGGAGGCAGAGACCTTCCGCCGAGTTTGGGAGGGACGTGCAATCTCATAATCAGAATCAGAGTCTTCCACGATCTCGGCGGATATATTTTGCCCTTGGTTGGCATGTCTTGCGGTTGCACCGTCAGAAGCAGAATCTTCAACAGTCTCGCCAGCCATCTCAAGATGATTCCCAACTATTGAAGTCCTCTGCCTGCGGGATGGCTCTGACGAAGCGTAGCGAGGGCCATTCTCCTTTCTGTACCACTCCATTTCGTGTAATCTCTCAGACTTGAAAACAGCGATCTTCGCTTTCCGTGGTCTGCCGCGAGTCGGAAAATTCGCAGCTTTTACATTTTTGGCTCCAGGAGGATTGATATACACGCCAGGCTTCTGGCGATCCAGTATCTCCTCATAGAGAGAATTTATTCGAGTAGAGGACAGTTGGTCCACTGGAACAGGAGCCAGCTGTTTTGACACGTCGTCTTCGAGAACGGTTATAATTGAAGCCTCACCTGTGTTTGTACGCTGCTTCTTAGCATTAGCGTTGTTGCCGCTGCTTAGCTTGGCTTCGCCTGCAGTCCTCTTGCGACTTGCGCTAAGCTCTAACCTTACGCGGTTTTCAGCTGTCTTTGTAGCGAACTTCCGGTACTCTGTGTATTCCTCCGGCTTAATCTCACGCGATTTATAACGTGGAATATACTCCGCAGTAGTGACCGGTCTCTGTGTCAGCTTGTTGTCAAATTCTCGAAGTGCATCATGAGCCACTGGAGCTTCAGTGGGCATGACTGGCTGGTCTCGCTCGCCACTGGACCCATTCAGGACTACGCCGGTAGGTGTTAAAGCGAGTGTGAGGAGCCGAGACTCTCCCAACGCGATCGCAGTGCTCCCATCGTCAATCAAGTCTTTCCGAGCTGCAGACGAGTGAGAATGTTGCCATGTGTGCTGCGAGCTTTCTAGCCCCTTCTCAACTGCAAGTGCGGTTGCGAGAGACGATCCAGACGCTTGCTGTGCCTTTTCGGCGGTCGCAGCAAATCTAGCTTTGGTGGGATCTTTCGGGCGTCTCCCAATCTTCTTGCCATTGACATTGAATCCATTAACTGACCGCTGTGCTTTGCCCACGGGTGTGGTGGTGGCTGACTCGGAATTCTCCACACTCTTTCGTTTCCGAGCTGACATGCCTTTCGCACGTTTGGCAATCGGCTTCGAAGGAGGCACTGCAGCTGGGGTCTCTACATCATCATCCACAACAAAGTCGTCAGGCTCCGCATCGTGATCCAACATACGCTCCACCTGGATACCCTTGCGGCCATCAAGCAATGTAGCACGACCATCATGGCCATGCAACGCTTTGGGTGGAATCTTTGGAAAGCCCCAGCGATCGAGGTCCGGTTCCACCTGGGGTGAACCATTCTTTGCTTTTGCACTCGTTTCATCCAGTACAGCAGTCCAGGCAGCTTTGCCAGCGGCCACTGCTTTCTCAAAGTTGAGCAAAGTGCGATATTTGAACTGCGCAGATCGTCCGAAGACGGCTGTGTCTCGGACTACGGTCAGGTGTCGAAGATGCGGCGGCTGAGAATGCTGCCAAACATCTGTCAAGTGGGCGAGAGACTCATCCATCGGTCTTTTCCACAGGGGACCGACTACGGCAGCTTGGAGTTGATTCGAGCTGATCCCACTTTCTCCTGCTTCATCGATCTTGTTGAACAAGATATTGACGAGAGGGAGGTTGGGCGTCCACTGGGGCGGAATACGGTCCACGGTTCGATCGAGGTCGGTGGGATGCTCATGAAAGCCTCCATCGGCATCAGCTTCTGTAGCTTTCTGTCCAAGCGCTCTGAGCTGCTCGGCAGAAGTTGTAACCTCCTCGACAGCACCAACCTCGACCAGATCGTCATCATCGTCAGACCCAATGACTGCATCTATGCCTGCAACCGTATCTTCGCGTTCCTCTTCGTCGTCGCTAGCTGTCATCTTCATGTGGGGATCAGACCGCTCCCACAGTAAGCGATCGTACTGTGTTGGGGGCCGCATCAGCTGCACGGCTCTCGCTCGGCGCCACTTCTGATGCCCGATTGTGTCCATTGCGTTGCCTTGAGCGTCTGCCATCTTTGCGGTGACTCGGCGAATGCACCCACCTTTTTCCAGGCGTCGGATGCATCGAGCAAGAATCTTGCCCTCCCACCTGCCAGGTCTACCCGCCCCAATACCTAGGCCGAGACGGAGATCATGCGTGGCGACGACTCCATTGTTCTCCTGCAGCATGCGCATCATCGTGTTGTACATCCTGTCATAGTGTACAACTGGTCTGAGATTGTGGTTCGCATTCTCCTCCAGGGGGTCCTCGAGGCTCTGAGTTCTTGAAAAGCGCTTCAGCCTCAGCAGACTCGTCTTACCGGTACCACCGACGACGGTCTCTTTTGAGATGTAGCCCTTCTCCTGCAAGCGATCTGTTCTTTTGGGCACTGAACGCTTGTCTTGGCCAGTCAACTTTGTGATGGTAGGCTGCAGGATTCCCATCGAGCCATGTGCAGCAACGATGGAAAGGATGTCGAATTCCAGCGGCGGGATGCGCCTAGAGTCGGGCCCGTGACCAGCGATAGCATGCCAGATCCTGTCTTCAGTCGTGAATACGCGCCGTCCCTTGAGCTGGAGCGCAACCGCAGACGTGGCTGCCTCACGCTCGCTGGGCTGGGCGAGGTTTCCATTTGGTACGGCATCTCGAAGCTCAACATCTGGATGACTACAAAGCCAACCAAGGACCGAAGTCAGCAGGTCATCATCGACGGCCGTCTGCTCGACAGGAGGTGCATCTGCGAAGAGCAAATCTGGTGGCGAGCCCCCTTGTCTCCTGTCGAGAATTTGGTTCTTTTCGTTGTAGAAAGCTCGCACAGCACTTTCCAATCGGGTCGCATCGAACCCTGGGAGTGTGTCAGAAAGATCATCGTCATGTCTTGTGCCTCGTTTTTCTTGTTGGTTTTTTCTGCCATGTAGAAATGTATGTGGCCGACTCGAATTGAGGACTTTGGCAAAGCTGGGGGATTTTTAGGCTCCGTAAGAGGTAGGTAAACTCACCTTGGGAGCCGGACAATGCGACATCATAAAGCAGGCGCTCTATGAGCTCGTCGAAACCCGCCATGGTCGTTGCACATGTTGTTTGAACAAGAGGGCGAAAGGGGTGTGTCTTGGTGTTGGTGTTGGTGCGTGCAGTCGGTAAAGGAAGTGCAAAAGTCGATATGAGTGGAATGAGTGAAGTGGGGGAAGTGCAAAGAATCGAACTCCCGAACAGAATAACACCATTGCTTGGCACTGTCTTTCTTGGCCTGAGGCACCTGCGAGGCAGGCTGAGGCGGTTTCTCATTGGCTGCAAGTGGCATGAGACGTTGATCTGCCTCCTTGGTCGAGGTGAAGCGACGTGACAGCAGATGACTAGAAATAGGAGGTACAAGGGGAACGATTGGAACGACTGAGAAATAGGTAGCGACTGCGCTGGTATAAGTATGTATTTAATGCGCGAACATTCATAACTAGATTGTGCTTCACTATCTTGCTCTCTCTCCTCTGGACCTGCACTACTACATATATCCGCCTCTACATGTATTCCAGGACCTGGATCCTTGATGCAGCCCTCCTCGAAGCTATGAATGTGTTGCAGGTCAGGACGGCCTCCTCATCTTCATCATTGTCAGGTGCACCCAGTCCCGAGCATGCTCATTTTTAGTCTCGATTCTCGTGACACTGCTGTTGGCTCAATGCTTTTTTTCATTTCTGTTCCATGTGACGAAAACGATCCCATCTTCCAGACAGCTCTATTGGCAGGCGTGAAAGAATGAAAGACTTGTCATCGATAAATAACTCTGGACTTCTCCGGTTCATGAAGAATCGGTTGCTGAAACTCTTTCCAAGATGTCAATCTTTGTGATGGCATCGACGGAAGGGCTGGTCGACATGCTCTGGCGTCCGCGGTTCTTTCAGTCGGATTTTACGCTGATACTACTCCTTTCCAGCAACTCGTCGTTGTGAGAAGCGCTTTCGTAGCACTAAGTGGCGTGTATCAGGTGTGATATGTGATTTGTGAAGTGGTCTGTCTTCGATCACTTACCTGGACCGCAACCGTGGAGTTGCATGCAGCCGACGCATGTTGTGCTGCAGAATAGCAGCAACCAAAGGATACCACGAATGCCTGGCTGGTGTGCTGAAGTACGCAGTGTACCTGCGAGATCAATCGTACCGTGCCCTCTTCTCATCACGTCTCCCTTCGCCCTCGTCCCTTCGTTTCCGCTCTCCCAGCGGCGCCGTGTTTGCACCAGTACTATCCTGCATGCTCCCTCGATTGTCATCAGGCTTGAATCGGTCATCCAGCCCATCATACTCTCTCCTCTTCTTCCCAATATCTGTCCCCCACCTGCCCGTATCTTCATTCCTCAAATCTTTGTACTTTGTGCGCCCCTTCTTGCCCAACTTGGTCGCATCTCGAATCTGCATGTACTCGGGCAGCACACTCTTATCACTCGCCTCATCCATAAACTTTCGCCCGGCAAGAGATCTCGTCAAAGCAGCCTTGACCTCTTCGTCCTGCTCCGCCTCGGCGTCGAAGAAAGCACCCTTGTGGAAGTACTTCTGCATGTGTCCCATTTGTCCTCGCCCTTCACGCTCCTCTTCTTGCTGCGCGATCTTCTCCGCGTCTTCCGCAGCCTTCTCCTCTTCTGTCATATTTCGTCTCCGTTCGATTTCTTCTAGGACCTTCTCCTTCTCTATCAATGCATTGCGATCTCGTTGTACGCGCTTCAATTCTCGGAGTTTCCAAGCAGCCTTCTCTGCTTCGGGGTCTAGACCATCGGTGTCATCCACTTCGTCTACCGGTACCTCCTCGTCGTCCCAATTCTTCTTGCCGGCTTTTTTGAGAGCAATCTCACGCTCGATCTGGGCTTGTAGCAGGGCATCTGCCTTTTCCTTTCGCAAGCGCTCATCCTCAGCAGCCTTCTGTTCCTCCGATATGGCGGGCGCTCCCTGCTGCGCCCGTTTCGCTTTGGAGATGAACTTGGGCGCGAGCATGGGTTTCTTGGGCTCGTCATCAGAGCTGCTGTCGTCATCCTCTTCTGAACTGTCATCGCCCTCGTCGTCGCTGCCACTTTCCTCTCCTCCCTCGGACTCTGACGCCGTGACGAAGCCTTCGAGGTCATCTTCGGGCTTCTTCTCTGCAACCTTCGCGACCGGTCGCACTTCGCCTATTGCAAGCTTCTTCGGGAAAGATGTCGCTTTGGGCGCTGGCGCTTTAGGAGCAGGCCGCTGCTGGGCTTCTTCCTCTTCGTCGTCGGATTCATCCTCTGATGGTGGATCATCGGCTACTGCTTTGCCTGAGAAGTATCGCGCAGGCCGCACCGGCTGCTTGGTCATGCGACTGGACGGAGGCGGCATCTTGGGCGATATGTAGCCCAAGTCTAGTCGTAGCTTTCAGGGTGATGTACCTTGAAAGTCAAGGACATAGGTGTAGAGGTAAGGACGAGGATGTGCTAGACTAGAATTGGAGCTAGCATGTGAAGATTGAAATGTGGGGAGACGACGGTCGAATGTTCATCACCTCAAGAAACTTTTGTGCATCCATCGCAAAGCATACCAGCACGTCAACATGCCTCACAAGCACAAGAGGAAGCGCGAGAACGATAAGGAGCAGTATGTCATTGCCTTATTCATATGTCGGTCTGTGACTGTCACTGACCGCGTCGCAGCTATGATCTCCCTCCCTCCAAAATCGCCAAATCTCTGTCCACCTACGAGAAAACGGAAAAAGTCCAACTGAAGCGCGGCGCCTCGAGACCCAAGCCCAAGGTCAACTCCAAGCGAAAGAGCGATGCCACATCCGCCTACACATCCGACGACACGCCCCGCGCCTTTGCCCGAATGATGCACCTCCAACAAGCCGGCAAACGACAGCGAAACGGTCTCGACGATGGCATCAGCAAGAAGCCTCCCAAAAAGAAGACCGCGCCGCGCACCACCACCACTACCACCTCAACCTCCTCTCCGTCCGGCAATATGGAAACCGACGCCGACGACATAGCCGAACAAAAACAAGTCGAAGACACTGCCTCCAAGCTCAAAATCCAACCCGGCGAACGCCTCTCCGACTTCGCCGCCCGCGTCAACCAAGCCCTCCCCTTAAGCGGCATATCCCAAAACCGCAAAAAAGTCCCCGGCGGTGCAAAAGAACGACAAACCAAAACGGAAAAACGTCTACATAAAATGTACGCCGAATGGAGAGAAATGGATCAAAAACGCAAAGCTGCCGAAGAAGAATTTCTCGAACGGCAAGAACAAAAAGATGAAGAATTGCAGAATGAGCTAGGAGGACAAGAGATTCATCTTCCTGCCGGCGCCGAGGGGGGCAAACGATCAGCTAAGCGCAAACAGAAAATGTTGACGGAGTTGACGACGGAAAAAGATGACGAGGATCCGTGGAAGGTGTTAGAGGCCAAGAGGGAGAAACCCAAAGGTTTACATGATGTGGTGCAGGCACCTCCGGAGTTGAAGCCTGTGAGAGAGAAGTTTAAGACGAAAAAGATGAATGGCGCGAAAGTGGATGTGGATAATGTTCCGGGGAAAAGTGGAAGTTTGGCGAGGAGAGAAGAATTGGGGCAGGCGAGGAAAGATGTGATTGAAAGGTATCGAGCCATGATGAAAGGGAAGGGGGGGATATGATGATGATCATGTGTGGCACACACACACACAAGTGCGGTAGACGTGGAATGGCGCAAACACGTTGCAGGAGACAAGGAGCATGAACGTTGCGATTCTATTTTGGCGGCTTGACGATAAGAAGTCGGGCTTCGCAAAGCTTCTATAACAGGGTATCTCTCAGAACGAACAGTCGAAACCACAACAGATATCACAACATTTCTCTTCACCATTTCGGTTTACTACTCATAGGCACGGGTGGTGGCGTGGACCCATTCTCGCCCCCTAAAGCGGCCTGCAGACTCGCCTTCTTGGGTGGTGGCGGGGGTGGTTTCTTTTGAGCAGCAGTGGCAGCCGCAGCAGTAGCAGCAACGCTAGGGCCAGGCGATATCACACCACTCTCTTGCCCAGCTGGAGCAGCGTTGCTCGATCCAGAAGCACCCATTCTCGCAAACCTCTGTTGCAGCTCGCTCAGCTGACCACTGGGAGCTTGGCCTGCTGTGGAAGAAGTCTGGTTCTGCTGTCCAAAACGCGATGCCGCGCCGGAGGCGAATGATGCTGCACTTCGAACTTGTTGCGATGATGGCATGGGAACCTGGTGCTGCTGCTGCGTTTGTTGCTGACTAGATGAACTACCGATGCCGAATCCGGGCACTGAGATGCCTGCGCCGGCTAGTCTACCTGCAGCTCCTTGATTGATGGCTGCAGGATCTTGACCATGTTGTCCCTGTTGCTGCTTTTGATTCATCCACGACGTTGCCGCCTGTACGCCAAATCTTTGCGCAGCCCCAGTCGCTGCAGCCTCGAATCTATTCGATGTGTTTTGCGCAGGAAGGGGAGGCGAATTCAGTGCCTCACCATAGGTTGGAGGCGGAGCGGGCGTGTGTTCATCAGGATATTCATTCTGGCGTGGTGGCAGAAACGGGGCAGGACCACTATTCTGTGCTGATATGGTTCCCGTGGTTTGCCGTGAAGGAGGAGGAGGACTTAGTGCAAGTTGCCTAGGTGGAACACGAGGAGGCAGACTCGGCGGAAGACTCGGACTCGGACTCGCCGCTCCGCTGCTACTACCACCACCTACAGCGAAATGCCTCGGAGGAGCCGCGAAGTGGGCTGTGTTTATGCCTGTAGTATCTTTCTGATAAGGTCCTCGTTCCCTGTTCAATTCCTCTTGTTCTCGCCTCTCCCTCTCCTCTGCTTCCCGCTGCCTTCTCTGCGCATATCCTGTCTCCACCACCGGAGCCCCCAGCCCTCCCTTGTGATCGGTGGGTATACTTGCCAGCGAGTGCGGTATGTTCGCTGATGACACTCCAGCGCCACCGGCAGAGCTTCGACTTGGGACAGCGACGGGATTGATCGGGCGGCCATCTTCGCCATAATGCGACCTCGCTTTCGGCGGAGGACCAAAGGTATCCGGGTCTCGTAGACTGGTCAATGGCGCCGACTGGTGCTCTCGCTGCTCTGCGAAAGGATCCTTCTTCTTGCCTGTTGCGAGGCCTTTGATATCACTTTTCCATGTTTCTTTCTTGATAGCCCTGTCGCCAGCTGGATGCCAGCCGCCTTTGAACATAGCCTTGCCGTCGAACGGCATGACGGGCACATGCAAGCTGATTGGGAGTTGTTGTTGTAGGTTGCGCTTTGATGCAGTGGAGGAGGGGGAAGAAGACGGGAAGAATGATGTACCTTGCCTTACTCGGATTCTGGAAAGGTGACGTATGACGGCTCGGCGTTTAACTCGCCCGTTCTCATGTGAAAGAGCACACAGTCACTGATAATAGGTACACCTGCAGGTATCAGACATATATCTACCCGTACATGATTACTGATAATTACTGCAGCATTCCCTCCAGACTCTCTCCAGTAACCTCCTCGATCTGTCCTATCCATCTCAAGCATTCCCGCTCCACGACTCCCTCCTCGTCCTCCTGCAGTTCGCTGATAAAAGGCAGCATCTCCGGCAGCAAATGCAGCCAGTCAATATGCAATCTCTCCGTCAACGCCCTCTCCGTCTTGATGGCAGCCAGTCGCACTGCACTGTGCTCATGTCTCATGTAGGTCATGATCAGAGCATTCACGGCCTTGTGGTGTTCTTGGCTCGAAACACATGCCGCCAGTTCCGTTATGGCGGGAATGACATGGGCATTGACATCGTACGTGGAGGCTGTACTCAATCGAGATACAAGCGGCTTGAAAATCGTGTCAAAGTGCGCAGGTGATTGCCAAAAGCCGTCCTGATCGTTCGAGAAACTCGAGGTCAGAGTATCGACAACGAGGTTGAATAGCTTCGATTCGGACTCATTTCCTGGCGACAAAGACGTGAGCAAAGAGGCTGCATTCTCAAGCAGGAAGCTGGCGTAGCTGGTGACCAAGCTCTTGAGTTGCTCGAAGAATGCAAGGGAAAAGCTGTAGAGGCTTGTGCAGCGGAGGACAACGCCAGCCCTGTCCGTTTGTGGCAAAGTACTGATCGCCCACTCGCCAAAACGTATGAAGAAGGGTCTGAATGCGGCGTCGTTCAATTTGAGAACAGTTTGCATCGTCGTCTGATTGACGAGATCGAAAAGAGATGTGTGGTCGTCGCCATCGGCGTCTGCAAGCTGGCGTCGCAAGTCAAAAGCAGACAGCAGAATGGTGAACAGTAGTTGAGCATGCTGTGATATTGTAGCCTTGTTGTGATGCTCAACGGCGATGTGCAGAGCCGAAAGGTGAATTCGTGCAGCCTGGATGCCTTCTTCATTGGAAATTTTGACAATCTCGGACCAAGTGCGCTCAATAGCACCGAAGAAGTCGCTGGCTGACACCTTTTTGGCTGCGAGTTGAGTGAACTGCTTGACGGTGTCTGCGTCAGTCTCGGCTGCGAGCACAAGGAGACGATCCAGGTACTTTCCAGATAGCATCCAGGGAACATGATCGAGCACAGCCATGCCAAAGCTGAATCCAGCCACAAGCAGTTCCATCTTTGGCTCATCGCCCTCTCGCACAGTCTCCTGCATGTAGCGAATGACTGTGTCGAAAGTCTTGGGCAAAATCGGTATAATTTCATCTCCGAGCACTTCCACCATGCTGGCTAAGCACAGAATGGACATGCGGCGGAGATCATCGTCCTGCTCGCCCAGAGCTGCATCTCCTGCAATCTCTTGTGCAGCTGACATGACCGACGAACGATCGGTCTTGCCAAACTTGTCCGCGATGCGGTCCATGCAGGTGATGGCCGCGATCCTGGTGGGAATTGGCTGATCCTTTGATATGAAGAGGGCGCAATTCGGTAGCACCTCGATGAAGACCTGTTGTAATGTTGCATCGCCACGTCGTGCCGTCTCCACACGCTGTTCCAGCGACCAGAACACTTGCTGTCTAATCTCGTCGGAGCCGGTCTGCATGAGCATGGCGCTCGACTCGATGAAGTCGCTTGTCGGCATGAGGCCCAGAAGTGCCGTAAGGACATTCGTGGCACTGTCTGACAAATCTTCGTTGTTCTTGAGCTGCAGCCCAAGCTGCATTGTCTTCTCCAGTATGGAAGAGTAGTTACTCTGCAGCGTGGCCGCCGTCGTGCTGCCCTTTTTGAGCTCCCTTGCGAGCTTATTTCGCAGCTCGTGCCGAGACATGATGCTGGCCAAGCCTTCGAGGAGCACCATGGTGGATGCCTTTGCTTCCTCTGCACTCTTTTCGCCGAAGCCGAGAATGACATCGGACAGTGCTCGCTTCGGTTTCAGGGTGTCGAAGACAATACCCAGGTACTGCTTGATCGCGTTGAGCTCAGTAGTGGATGCAAAGTGGCTCATAAGGTCGGAGATGAATGGCAGTACGCTCGTGTCTTCTGGGTATCGCTCCACGAGCATAGCCATGATTGCAAAGAGCGACTCGTCTGGTCCTAGAGTCTGCACCAGATTCCGAAAAAGTCCCGAACGCCGATGCAGTGGAATGTGTTCAAAGGCAGCGGTGAAGCTCAGAAGCAGCTCTGCCGAACCGGTAATCAGATCCCGACCTCTCTTCTTCAGCGACGCCGCGAGTGGCGGTATGATGCGTGCTACGGTCTGATCGGTGACGTGAGCACTGTAGTCGTCTCCTTGTTTCAATATCGTAGAGCTCATGAACGTGAACAGCGGCATGACGCTGTGCAGAACAAGATCTGGAGCCCATGATGCCAAAGCAGACATCAGTAACAAGGCAGACTGGTGCACTTGTGTACTTGATGTGGTTCGGACACAATCGACAATCAGGTCCGCACGAACGACTGAGCGGTCAACATCCTTACCCGAGGCATTCTTGAGACCATTCACCACTGACAGGAGGTTGTTAATCAGCAGGCCTTGGAGATAGACGAGCTCGGAGTCCAGCAATGTTTTGTAGTGCTGGAGCTCGCTCAGAAGGTAGAATAATCCCTTTAACAACTGAGGGTGCTGCTCGGCCTTTGCACCTTCCACAACCTCCAGCACCAAGGTAATCTGACTGATGGCGGCGTTGAGCTTGACCTTGTCAATACTGGCCAGCTTAGAGACGTCAGAGACCCTGCTAGTTCGTTGCTTTTTCGCCGGCGTGGTCTGTCCTTGCAGCTGCGCAACGGTCGGAAGACCTTCAACCATGTGCACTAGTATTTCGGTAGGTAAAGGCAGATCACGCAGCGTTTCCAGCGCTTGAGCCTGCGTCTCCTCCGCCGCGGCCGAATCTCCGTGGCCTAGCGAGACTGTCAAGAGCCAAGATGCAAGCTCAGTCTGCGCACTGAGCTTCATGCTACGCCATATCTGGCGCAGGCGAGCGAACCCATAATGTGCTTGTCCGTCGCCAAAACCACCAGTTGCCAGCTTTTTCAAGAATTGCAGTTCCTCGTCGCTACGATGCGTCACGTTGCTGACCAAGGCCTTGCGCAACTGCACATTATCCTTGAACAAAGACGCGGGAGCGGTCTCATCAAGTGTTTCCTTCACGTATGGTAGGAGGGTTTGTACACGTGTTGTTGGACCTGCGATCTTGCCAACCTTGCCCGAAACATCTAGTAGACAAAGTTTAACAGTCAAGACTGGCGTAACAGGGACGAGAGACACGAGGTACCCGTATATGCTGGCCCGCAATGCTTGCTTCAACTCTTTACGGTCGGTCTTGCCAGGCGAAGTAGTGGCATTGATTGAGTTTGCCAGATGCTGGACGATGTAGCTCTGGTCAACCACACAATCTTCAAGAACCGGTAATAGCGCATCTGTAAGAAATCTGTGCGCATCGGTCGGCGACAGCCACCGCACATTGTCTCCGTGGTTTCCATAAAAGGTAGCCTTGGCCCAAATGCCCATGCTCTTCAGCTGACTGATCTCATACAAGCCATGCAACGCAATACAGGCGGAGGCAGCCGCGCTCCGTACGGCTTTGATGGGGTCGCCGAGCGCAGTGATAATGTATGGAACTAAGGCCTGCATGTCGTGCAGCTTCCCACTTTTTTTGATTTGATCAAGCAGCTCCCGGGTAACCTGTAAGGCCTTGACCCGCACCGAAGCAGAAGCGTCACTCGTCCAAGCACGAGCAAAGAACGTAAGCGTGGTGGGCTGCTTCGTGACCGTACTCCTCGAAAGCGATGGCAGATTGAGATATGTAGCCAAGTCGTGTTTAGAGGGTAGTGCTTTCTGAAATGCCAGGCAATAAGCCTCGAAAGTCGTCTGCTCGTCCCCCACCAGAAACGAAAAGTCCTTGGTCTTGAGCTTGGGCAATTCATCAAATGATATACGGCTGTCAGGAGTGTCGTCATGAGATGTATCGTCGATAAGCATCTGATCGACATCCTCCTCCATTTCACCGGCGTCAGTCAGCCGTAGCGATAGGTCTGCGTCCAATTCGGTCAGATTCACGTTGGCCCTTTGCACGGCCATTTGCAATAATTTAGATCCGCGCTCCTCCGCAGCCGTTTTCGATAGAACAGCTAGCATTTCTTGCCTACCATTAGCATTAGACGCAGCCGCTGGAAGCTTTACAATAGTTCTGATGGCAGTCTCCAGAACGTGTACAGCATACGTTTCGGGCAACAGATCCGTAGCAAGCACATCAGCCATCAACTGGATCGCCAGAGGGTCTTGGTGAGTCTTGATCTGGTCAATAGCGCCCAATGCGAAGCCTGCAAGCAGCTTATCCACCCTGCACTTTGTGCCGATCTGCTCGATGATGGCCAAAGAGTCATCCTGCTTCAACAAAGCGTGGACTGTGCCCCTCGACATGCTCAGCTGCTCCTTCTCTTCTGCGAGCACCGAGAGACAAATCATGCCGTCCTCGACAGTCTGCTCGGTCCAGCCGCCAGCCACAGCCTCCATTAGGGCATTCAGTGCGGTTTCGCTGAGATCTGCTTTGTTGGCCATAATGGTCATAATCATGCAAGAGCCCAGGTAGAGCTCTGGAACACCGTGTATGCTGAGGGCCCCTCGCAACACAGGCAGCACCTTTGTTAGCATATCCTCCTCCTTTTGCTTCCGAACCTCTTTGCGTCCGGATCGCGAGGTGTCGATCATGTTATTCACAGCCTGCGCAGTAACGCTCGCCCAAAAGCCCAGGAGCAGCGGTTGCTGGTGCTTGAGCTTCGCCACGCGCAGCACGTACTGGCTCAAGGCTGCAAAAAATGCGGAGTGATTGCTGGCCGCAGCAACAATGGCATGTCGTGGCGGACTCTGGAGGGACGTGACATATGGATGTAGGAAGCGGAAGTTGGGTGGCAGCTGGGGCGGCAGAATCGAGAGCAGCGTTGGGAAAATGTGCGATGCGTGGTATGGCAGAAAGGTCAACAAGACGGCCTCGGTGGTGTATTCTTGCACTCGGAAGCGACGCACTAGCCACTCCATAGCCTTCATGGCGGGCTTGAGCAGCAGTCGGCCACCCAGCAGTCCCAGGAAGCGTACGATGACGGCGTCCAGCTCTTCATTCTCCGCCGCCGTCATATTGGTGCGGTCCTCGGTCGTGCTCTGGGCGCTGAACAGACTGCGCGCGAACGGACGGAAGCGCGCGTCCAGTTCGCACAGCTCGTCGAAGCCTTCGAGGCATATCTGGTAGATGGTATCGAACTTTTGGGTGGCCGCTTCTCGAGGCGCAAACAGCAGCGACTTGCTGTGGCGGGCCTTTTGGGCCTTGAGGTCGAGTTGGTGTGTGCTGTTGGCAGCGATTGCCGCCAACTGCTGCTGGAGAGCCGTCGCCATTGTGATCTTGCTCTTCCTCTGCCTCTTCCGCTTTCTCTCCTCTTCTCTTTTCTCCTTCGTCTACGCAACGACGAGGTCAGAAAGTGGCCTCGAACTTTTTTTGATCGCTAAATTCGGACCCTGCAGCTCTCTCGTAGCCTAGTGTGCAAAGGTGGTGGTATTCTCCGCCAAGCTCTTCGCCAACGACATCAGACAAGCAAGCTACAGTCTGTTTAAGCGAGGTGAATAGAAGGGACCTTACCTGGATCTATACCACTGCTGGGCACCGGCATCTCCCTCCTCTGGACTCTTCTCCGCCGCGTCGGACACCAGCCAAGTCCCGACGCATCTCGAACAGCATTTCACGGACTGGATATCGATGGAAAAGGCCAATGTGCCCAAGTTCGGCAGCTTCAAACCACCCAAGGCAAAAGCAGTAGACGCCAAGCCTGGACCAGCTTCTCGCAGTGAGAGTTCTACGCGTCGCGAGAGCCGTGAAGAGGCGCGAACTCGCCATGTGAGCACATCTGAGCAGCTTGAGCGCAAGCACCGAGAGCACGCACATGGGCGGCACGGGCAGCACGGGAGTCATGATCGCCCAAGTGAACACCGAGCGCATGAAGTTCGCCACAGAAGTCGTCGCGACCGTAGTCCAGAGCATCGCTCACAGGTCGAGCGAAATGACTTGCCCAGATCAGCTGCAAATTCAGCTCAAGGCATACATCATGCAGACCCATACGATTCAGACCTTTTCGTAGTTGACAGGCGAGGTGATCCGAAGAATGTGGAATACGGTAGCCTCCATCGCTATAGCATCGCTGCATATCGTCGAACTGGCTATGGCCATGTCGTTGGTCTGTCAACGGATGTCAAGATAGATCGCGAGGCAAGTACTGATAAGGAGGTATGTTTGATGAACGTCCGGAAGCGCAACGCAACTACTAGAGCCCCGAGACTACTCACTTCGAAATATGGTCGCAGTCTGAAGACACGCTACCGGCTTATCCTCCCAAAAGGCGAAACATCTCTGGAAGAAGATTCCAACGATTATATCGACCTTCATTCCTCTCGTAAGCGGCAGACGGCGTCACTCCCGCCAGAGGAGACTATCGACTACCGATCGATCGAAGGCAAAGCAAGAGCACAACCAGATGATGAAGATGCCGCTTTCGTCACAGACTCGGATACTGGTGATGTTGATCATGGTCTGGATCAAGCTGCACGACAGCACAGTGCACTGCTATCAAGACAGATCAAGGCAGCCCCAAAAAACCTGAGCCTATGGCTGGCGTTGATCGAGCATCAAGAAACGCTAGTCAAGCCTGGCGAAGAAGTGTCGCATTTTACTTCCTCCGAGAGACGCACCCTCGCCGACCTCCGAATTTCCGTTGCGCGTGAAGCATTAAATGCAATACACAAGGGCGAGCCGGGCTATGAGCAGCTGCTACTTACCATTATCGACGAAGGCAGGTTCATATGGGACAGCAACAAGCGTGCATCAAAGTGGCATGAAGCTCTCACCGAGTGTCCATCCAGTACGCTGCTTTGGACGAGATATTTGGACTTTGCTCAAGACGGCAGTGGCTTCCGCTATGATACATGCAAGGAGGCTTACGTGGAGTGTCTTCGCCTGCTGCGCAAAGCGGTTGATGAAGCTATTGATGAAATGGCCCCGTCGATCGCTTCACTTCAGACATACGTTCTGCTGCGCTACACCAGATTCGTGCGGGAAGCCGGGTACCAGGAATTGTCAACTTCCATCTGGCAAGCAGTCCTAGAGTGGCATTACCACATGCCAAAAGCTTTGCAGACTACTTGCCTTCAGGATCAACTAGCGGCGTTTGAGGACTTTTGGGACAGCGAGTGTCCTCGAGTAGGCGATCAGCATGCCCAAGGCTGGCAGACATACCATGCTGATCGTGACAGCAACGTCCGCGATCCGCATCGACCGTCGTTGGTGGCCTTAGGGGACAAATCATTCGACAAGCGAGTTGCGGCCGAATCTGATTGGAACAGGTCCCTGCCTTTGTCAACCACTGCCGAAGATGATGCCGCAGTCGAAGATCCTTTCCGATACGTCATGTTTTCTGACATTCGTGATGTCCTCGAAGCTTGCCATGACCTCTCACATCTGGACGGGATACTAGTACGCGCAGCGCTCTGCTTTCTTGGATTACCTCCAGTACCTTCTGGGCTGGTTTCCGCAAGCCCTTTATGCAACGCACTCTCATGGTATCGGGATACTCACTTGGCGCATCATCGCCGCAGCTCAATCATAGAAGGGGCCAATGACAATATAGGTCTTGTCATTTCTAGGCACGAAACAGCACAAAGTCTTTTTGAGGATGCTTTTCCTGCTGACCTTCTCGGCGCGGGCGAAATAGTGAGCTTTGTCGCTTGCTTGCTTGAGCGAATCCTGGCGACCAAATTTGACGAGGATCTTGCAGAGTATTATCTTGCATTCAAGTGGCGGTACTTCGGTGCATTGGCGTCAAAAGCTGCGAAGGAGCTTCTTAAAACACACTCCACCAGTCTCCGAATCTACAACACATACGCAGTCATGCTCGTCGCCATTGGGGAAGGCAAAAAAATGCAGAAACCGCTCCAAGTCTGGTCTACTGCCGTGCATATGCGAGCAAACTTGCCAGAGGAGAAACAAGACGACTTTGTTGTCCTATTCCATAGCCGCCTCCTTAGTCTGGCCAAGTTTTCCCCGGATGGCCGTGCGCCTCTCTCCAGCTTGATGATGATCTGCGAACCCAGCGGCGACACTAAAATGCAGCAACTCAGGGTGAGGCGTGAGCTGGAGAGCAGCTTTGACCGCATGCACCTTGCTGGTAGATATGGCCATGCCAGCTTGTACGCTGATCTTCTTGCTTGGCTCGCGTATCTTACATCGGACCATGCAATCGATGCAGCTTTGGCTACTTATGGGAAGTATGCACGCCTGCTGAGTGATCCAGCAGCAGTTGTGAGCTTAGAGCTGCTATTGCAGTACAAGGCGAGGCTTCTCAGTCTTCATATTGCACGTAAAGCATACAAGCCATCGATACTCCGCGATGAACTTGATGGCGATCTTCGCACGTGCCCAAGCAATAGTATTCTCCTCGCTCTACGGTCCTGTCTGGCTGATCAGGATCGCCTCCGCGAATTGGTGAAAGTGCCGATACTAGCACGTACATCACAACCAGACATTGTGCAGTGGTTCGTGAAGCTCGTCCAGGAGGTTCGCCGCGTGGGAGACCAAGCTGCCTCTGGCGCTACGGAAAACAACATTCGAGCTACATTCTCAAACGCGGTGCTGCTGCCTGATAGCCCGATTAAACACGCGCCGGCGCTTTGGATGGTGTGGTTGGAGTGGGAGTTCAGCAGAGTAAGGGTCCTCGAACAGCAATCGAAGACGTCTGCTCTGCAGAGAGTCAAACGCGTTATACTGGATGGCATGAGATATATACCTTGGCACAAAGGCTTCATTCTCCGGGGACTTGAGTGTTTGATAGCAAACGAAGAAACATCGGCCGTCGTTCGGCAGGAACATCGACAGATGTATGACATGCTCGTGGAACGCGGCCTGAGAATCAGGTACGACATCGAGAGCGCTTCCTAACGCCGAAAGGGGCCACGTTCAGAGCGCTTTTGATCACGATTATCACAAGAACAGAGGCCTCACTAGTCCCTCCATCTCGTTCACCCACGTCACGTGCAGCGATACAATACCATTCCTGAGGTGGGCTCCAAAACAGCCACCACAAACCCGCCAGCGTTTACCCTCGCCGCAACAGCTTCGAGCGATCTCTATCCCCCACGTTTCGTATTGCACCATACATCCCTCGCATGATAAGTGATGAGTAGTTACTCCCACGTCGATATAGCCTCAATCTCACCAGTAACCGCTAACACTCTCTATACTCGGGCCCGAATGTGGAAAATCAAGACAATCACAATTTGCAATGCAAGGCCAGCAAAGAAAAGCAACTTAGCAATGCTCATTGGCGATTACTGGGTATTTCAACACACTTGTACGCCTCATGGTGCACCTATGAGGCCTTGCGTATTTGCACGTGAAATGTTCTTCATGCCTCGTAGGCAGTAGGCAGCGGAAAACCTGAGTCCTTCCAGCGCTATATCTCCAAAGTCATATATATTGCCACGAAATCTCCCATGTGGTCACCATAGCAGCTGTCCTCAACACTCTGCGCCGTACCAAGGGCAGCGTTATGGGCGTTGCGAGCCATGACGGAGAGTCCGTTCAGGGAGAGTGTGCGAGATGCGTATGCGTGGGTGTTGCGGATGTTTGTTTGCGATTATGTGTGGTATTAGTGGAGTGGGAATAGTTATTGCCATTTCTTCTGTCAAGGCCTATACGCTTGATCAGGAGCTCGAGAGCGAGCATGTGCTATAGGAGGGAGACGAGAACAAAACGAGGGGGGGAAATGAAATTCGGATAGATAGATAGATAGCAAGTGTTCATTATTATAAACTGGTATCAAGTAAAAAGAAGTACAATGGCAAACGCTATGGAAGCAGTCCACCACGCCTCTGGAAATACGCATCGACTCCCGTCGCCTTTCTGGGGCGGGTCATCATCATCATCTATGGTGGCATTAGACCCCGGCAGTGTGAAGAAAGTCGTATGGCCAGTCTCATTCCCATTGACACCTCCCGGATCGGGCGGCGCCGTCTGGTCTGGCACTCTGCACACCTGCTGTGACGCCGCCTCCGTACACGACTCCAACGACTTCGTGGTGACACCCGCATCGGACGAATTGAAATACGCTTTGACATAGCTGACAGTCATGACGGCGTCTTCTTTCGGAGGCCCCGCGCTCCACCCATCATTCCCGTTGCTCCAATGCGAAACATGAATTTTCCCCGCCGACTGGGGCACATTGTCGGAAATACTCGACAACAACACCGAATTCGCATAAAAGTCTACTCGTCCCGGACGCCAGTCGAATCGATACTCGTTGTACCCCTCCTGAGATCCGAACGCAAGAGTGCGAGTATCGAAATCTGATCCAGAAGCGTAGCCCCGACTGGCGCTTTCAGGAGATTGAATGACGAGATTGATAGTTTTGTTGACATTCTGTTTGGACAAAAACTCCATGTCGATTTCATTGGAATCGTTGAAATAGAAGAAGAAGGCAGCACACGTCCCCGGCACGGACGTCGTTTTCATCCCGATGCGGAAGCTGCCATAGAGCACATCGTCGCGAGAAGACACAATTTCCGCCATCGGGACCATTTCTCCGTCTTCAGGAGAAGAAATGGGCGAAGAAGACGACGACGACGGAAGAAGCGCACTTCGGACCCACAATTGCAGACCTGGATCCTCCGCTCGAATGCCCGGCCCCAGCCAGTCGAACTGCCCGCCATGGACAGGATTGGGCACGACGTTTTCGACTTGACTCGATTTGCCATAGGGTCCGCGTGCGGCTGTCCGTGTCACATTGTAGGCCTGCGGAATCCAGGTGTGGTTCGCATCCGGAGCGAGGTCTTCCAGGTGAAGGAAGTCGGTCTCTACCGCTTCGGTGAAGACGGTGCTGTCGTCGATGGCGTACCCGCATTCACAGTTCGCATGCGCACTTCTTGCCGACAAGAGTAGCATCGGGAGCGCAATGAGGAACATGGTGGATGAAGGTGGAGTCCCGGCTGCCCCAGGAGAGCGGAATGATGGTGGTGGTGGTGGGTAGTGGGAGTGATGGTGGTGGCGGAAGTGGTGGCGGAAAGGGCTTCTTCTCCCGCAAAATCAGAAGAGAGCAGCAAACCACTGGACGGTTTGTTGTTTCCTGGCGCCGCAGATAAATGAGCACGTGAGCAGGAACAAACATCATTCGCTCAGCTCTTCTCCGTTGTTACGTTCCACATGCACGAAATCACGTTGCTGCACATGTCCACTTGCTAGCGGCCGCTGCCGTGGAACAAGTCTTTCTCTGATAGATAGGTAATCGACACGCAACACGTGCAGCAGATGAACACACATCTCCCATACCTCCCTCTGCCGCCCCCTAACCCCCTCCATTCCCTCCCCCCTCTCTCTCGGCGGCACACGACAAACCATCACTGAAATGATCCCCCACGCGTCTACCACGCATGCGAACTGAACTCGACTCACAGCGCACTGTTGAGCAACCACTCTTCTTTTAGCATTGATCGTTACGTTCGTCTTCCCATTTCATGAATTACCATTTCCTTGCCATGGTTCTCTTTCTTTCTCTCTTTCCGCTTGCTCTGCCTGGCCCGGCGGAATCCCTAGCTGGACCATCCGTAGAGCCCAAAAATTAAAGAGTCATGTGCGTGCGGCATGCGGATGTGCTTGTGACATGTCCACGGCTCGGCCCATCTGTAGTCGCTCACGAAAACCAGCCGCTTCTGGGGCTGGGCGGGCTGGAGCATACTTCGCCGGGCTGGAACTGCATAGCGTTTTTCGATTTTTTTGCGGATAGCTTGACTGCCGGGAAGGAGGATGACGCTTCAGAGATGCTGCGCTCCCGGTTCTACAGGAAGCCTGATTCTGATAGCAGCCTGCACATCAAGATTAGCATTGTGTGTGTGTGTGTGTGTGTGAGAGAGAGAGAGAGAGAGAGAAGCGTGAAAGGGGAAAAAAACACCCTGCATGCTTGCTTACCTTGCAATCTTCTCGTCTTCTCGCTCACGAGGCTCCACCTGCAAACTGCGCTCGTACATCTCGTGCACGTCACCCGCGCTCGACATGTTGCGCAGAATGTACTCTTGAAGCTCCGGCACAGGCTGCAGCCCATATGGCACGTTCTGGTACTGCTGGATATCACGAATCACCTCTGCCGTCTTGGCCCGCTTGGCAAAGTTGATGAGTTGTGTCTTCTTGATGATGCCGGGAATGCCGTCCTCAATGAAGGTCAAGTCAGTCAAGTAGATGCCGAAGAACGGGATGCATGGCGGATTCGCCTTGTGCAGAGCCTCGCGGTACTCGTTGAAGTTCTTGGTCGAGCCCATCAATTTCCGCATCGATTCCAAAGACTGCGTCGTGCGCGCATTCACCTGAGACCACGTTCTGTTGAGCCGATGTATAGGCGCCGAGCCCAGAGCGGATATGATAGACGTCAGACACGAAAAGTTGTTCAGTGTGCGGCACTTGTCAGCGATCATGACAAAGTGCTTAATGACCACCACACGGCGCTTGACATCCGCTTGTGTCAATATCATCTGTGCCACCCAGTTGGTAAGTTGATTCGAGTGGAGAATCAGGGCTTTGACGTTCTCAGCGGGGTCAGGATCACCGGGCGCGAGCTTTTTCTGCCAGGTTTTGTTCAAACATTCCGTAGGCTTAATCTTGCCATAAAGCTTCGATTCGATAATCGTCAGCTGTCGTGCAAACTCAAGCGCATCAATGTCGAGGAACTTGAGCTTCTTCATGTTCTTCGGTATGATAGGTTGAGGTGCTTGCGAGTTCAGCGTGAGCACAAGTCGTTTGTTCGATGCATCGTGCCCCCTCATTCGTTGCTCAATGGATGTCATTAATGGTCCGGCACCAGGTGTGCTGGTGGATTGCACCGTGCCTTTCGCAAACTGGTATACGCGTTGCATCAATAGCTGGCTGGTCTCGTCGTTCGGCTCCATCCAGTAGTTGTCGAACCATGACTTCATAATGTTCACCACGCGAAATCGAATCGGCTTCTGTTTCTTATCGATCCAGATTTGAAGGTCCTGATCGGCCACACCGGGTGGAGGTTGTATATTCCATCGCTTCACAAGCAGCTCGAACAACTCCGGCCCAGTGGTAAAGGACCGGTAGGTAAGGAGAAATGTGTTGTTGAAAGGCGAATCCAGACGGTCGTGTCTGGTGAGTTGCTCCACGAGTGCTGTAAGGGTGCCTCCGCGAAGCTGCGGTACGTCTGTTTTTGTATCGTAGGCGATCTCACCTTCGTGATCCAGCTGGAGATAATTGGGCATCTCCTCGGAGTCACGTCCACCACCGGTCGAGACAGACATGTTCTCTGCAGGCATTTCCCCAAAGAAGCGACTAGCCTTGGAGCTTTCGCCTTGTCGCTGAGCATCGCGTATCGGTGTTGAACCCTCGGTGTAGGAGCGTGACTGGCCAACATCGGCGATTGCGGGGCGGAGACCCTTTGAGCTGTGGCGATGATGTTGTTCATACGGCGCGCCACCGTCAGTCAAACGATGGGAATCTTTTTGAGTTGAATCACGCTGGGTTGACTCTGGTTGTTGCCCTTGTGCGGCGGGCATCAATTCCGATAAGAGTTGCAGCGAGAAGTGTATCTGAGACGCGGCGACGTCCAGATCCCTGCCGACAGTTTTCACCCGACCGAGACGCTCTTCCAATGACGGACCTCTGACTTCGGCCCACTCATCGCCCAGAGGGCTCGCTACCGCTTGACACGCCACGATCAGATCTGACGTGGAGTCGTACAATTTCTGTTTGTGTTCGGCGAAATCGTTCAATTGTGGGGATTGCAGCGCAGTGTGTAGTGGAGCCAGATTGATCGACTCAATGGCAGACAGATAGGGTCGACAAACTTCAATCACCCCACTTCCTGTCTTGCAGACAGAATCGCCAATTTGTCGGTGCTTGTGAGGAGTAATCAGCTTGTCGCGAAGGAGGAGGTGCTCGTCGAGCTTCTTGATGCTCGTGTTAATTAGTCGCTTCAAATCCTCCAGACGGTCGAGAAGCGCTTGGTTCAATTCCTCGCGTGGCTCGAGCGCATTGTCCTGCTCGTCATCCATAAAGGACATAGAGGCCAAGGCGTCTTTCCGGTCCAGCCCATTGGTCTGCCAGTTGCCAGCAACCCGGCTTCCAGTAACAAAGCCAGGCGTCAGCCTCGGGATTTCTTCGCCACGTTGTTGTCGCGCGACTTCAACAAAGCCGTAAACGCCATGCAGAACGCCCTCGGCCTCTTGCAAGCACTTGTGGGTAGAATCCGGTGACGGAAAGTCGGCGGCCGCGATGTGAGATGAAAGAACGAGCTTTGAGAACCTTGACATCATCTCTCTGAAATGAGGGTAAAGAGCCTTATTAGTTGAAATAATGGATGGGTTGCCCGAGTGGTTGTCGGTAGTGCCAGATCCCGCAGCCAGGAGCAGACGCAGATGATCGGATATGTCTTCTGCTTTGCGAACGTACTCTGATCGGTCGCCGGCGTTGATGACTTCTCTGTATCGCTGAACGGCTCTGCGCATGTCTTCGACCATAGTAGTCCAAGTCAGTGGAATGGCGTGAGCATCATCAAAGAACCTCCGAGGTAATAACGAGGTGCTCGATGTGTTACCAGGTGCGTTAGCGAAGGAAGTCATGGTGGTACCAATTGGCGGGATACCCTGCTGCATCGCCGAAATCGATGCATTGCTTGCTTCTGTAAGATTGGTGCGAGAACGACTCAGCAGAGAGGTAGCATTCAGCGAATCCATGGACGTTGCAGGTGACACGCCGTCGGACAGATACGAGCGTCTGCGTCGCTGCTGACAGATAATTTGCGTTAGTGAGGTGTCACGCGTACTTCTAGAAGGGTGCAACAACGTGCGAGTGTGTGTTACTTACGCTCGAGGGGTTCGATCCTCGTGTACGAAAAGCGTCTTCCGCTTCTGACTGCGACGCGTAGTCCGTGTCGTCGTCGCCTCCGTAGCCCGATTGATGCAGGAATTCGGCCGGAGGTCGCGTAACGTCAGGAATGTAGATGTTGGTGCGATCGCGTGGTCCCGACTCGTTCGCTGAAGTCGGCGCTTCCAGAGGCAGCTCCATGGTGCTCTCGCCGGTCAAGGTATTGAAGTAGAACAGTCGACCGTCGGGCGTGGCCTGTGGAATCCAAAATGCCGCTTCTTCTTGCGATCTGTTGGCCGCGTCTGGACTCTGTCCGAGCTGTGTCTGCGTCTGATCATCGTAGTCTTCGCCCGACCCGTCCGCATCAGACTCGCCTCTTCCTGGGCGCGCAGTTCCATCATCATATGCTGGCGACGCCACCATGGAGCAGTAATTGCTGGGAAACCATCCTCGCACGCCGTGAATCACACCGTCCCACCACCCACTCTCCAGTTGCGTGATGACTTGTATAATGTCTCCTTGCCGGAAGCTCAAGCTCGTGCGGTCATCGGCCTCATAGTCATACAGCGCCCGCACGTACAACTGGCCTCCCGTGCTCGTGCTGCCCGCTAGTCCGCCGTTCATCGTGCTGTGCAACTTCCTCCCGGCGGTCGCGCCTGCCCTCTCGAAGCGTGTTCACTCCAGTGTTGTAATGTTCCCGCCGCACGTCGGTCCGTCAGCGTTGGGGTGTGTGAGCGGCGACACGGTGGGTATTGGATCCTGGCGGAACAGATGGCTACCGTGGCCTCGTTGTTCTCGGCCGGGCGGTGGTCTCTCGTCTCGTGTGGAGTTGGAGGGAGGTAGATTCGTGTGATGAGCGCGCACTGGAATGGAGGCCGAATGCTCTCCTCGCCCACCCGCTCGCGCCGTCGTCGTGGTTTCGTTGGCGGTCCAGTATGCCGCCCCTTGCTGCTGTGCTGGTTCCGAGGGCTCGTTGTCGCGGGCGCTTTGAGCACAAGCGACCACCAAAAGACCCTTCACGCTTCACGCTCGCGGGGACTTGCACACGCAGCTCAGCACCAGACAGAGTCTCGTGGCCACACGCGATTTGCTGCAGACGTTGCTGGCAGCTGGAACGGCGTTGGTGCAAGCAACTCACCACGCTGTCTGCCGTCTTGATTCGCTGCGTGGAGCCGCCAATGCTTCTCAAAGATCTCCTCACCTCTTCTCGTCGCAACAGGCACGTGACTCCGCAGCATTGATCTGCAGTTGTCCGGAGCGGAAGAGTCCAGAGCAGCGAAAACAAACGAGGACGAGGATGGGCTACGGTAGCTCATACACCGCAGTGAAACATAGTTAGACAGCCAGCTACCTAAAGGAGGGAGAGATAAATGGATGGCATGGTGCTGCTTTTCGGCAGTGCACCACCGCACACCTCGTCCTCGTCGTCTCGCCTCGTCTTGTCTTCTCCTCGCCCCGCAGCTGCAGCCCAACCTCTCGAGACAGACAGCAGAGGCCACAGCAGTTCCCTGATTCGAGAACCGTATTCAGGTTCTCCCTCTCTACTCTCTACTCTCTACATATCAACCATTCCGCACACCCATTGCGCTATGGTACTGTAGTCAAAGGTCCAAGCAAGCTCCCACAGCATCTCAGGTACCGCTCACACACTAGGACTTATCAGCAACATCTCAATGCCCAAAGACCCCGCCGTTCTTGCTTGAGGCCACACAGAGGACAGTCGAACAAATTCAATCCGTCATTGATCTCCCATGTGCGTCTGTAGAAGTCAGGTCCCCCTGGTGCCAGCAGGGATACTTTCATTTCTCGAAACCCGAGTCGAACGTGAGGGCACCTGTGAGATGTGCGCTCTTCTGTGATCAAAGGGCACGCACGCATCCTTTCGTTTGCATGTAGATCACAACTCGGTAGACTTGTCTGCGCTGGGTAAGCCAGATGGGCCCTGAAGGGCTTGCGCATCAGTCCTCTACATCGCAAGCTGCTGCTGCGTGAAGCTGTCTCGGCCTTTCAACCTTGGCAATATGTTGATAACCCTGGGGATCTTCTAGACTCTGTCTCCGTAGACATGGTTAGTGAGACCGGTAAGTGTTATTTGGTGAACCCATTCTGCCGGAATAGAGATAACTACTCCAAACGCACAAGGTATTTGCGGAATTGCGGTCCTACGCAGAATATCCAATCATAATAACTTTCCGTCACCGATAAGCCATCAGAGGAAGTGTGATGGGGGCCTGATCGCCGTCTGTCTTGCAGCTTTGCTATCCTTTCGCCAAGACACACAGCAGATTTTGGCATGCATGAGAAAAACATGTAGGTGTGGAATCTGGTGTCAGAAACACAACATCAGACAGCATCTCCACAAAATCATTCCAAGTGTCCTGACGGATGAAGCGGATCGTACCTTTACACCGGATCGTAGGCCTGACGAGGACGGCCCGCTCCTACAATATTGTTTTGCGCTTGGATACGCGAAGATGCTGTATGATGAGCTACCCAACCTTCCGGCATCTGGCTTCAGTCGCGTCGCGCTAGTCATCAGCGCGTGGAAGGGGAACGATGCCCCCGCCGATGCTATCCCGGTCCCCATAGCTCTCTTCGGGAGTCAAGAAGCCGGACTTCTGCAGTACTAGCCGACGGCATCGGCCTGCAATACACAGCAAGCGACTGCGGCGTTGGATATTGATTGGCCACTGCTATCACAAAGCACCGAAGGTTCTCGGGTATCGCATAGGGAGCACCGAGCCGAACAATAGGAGGTAGTAGACTTTGGTAGAGATGTATCTGTCAGACTGTGTCAGCGTTTCAAACACGTTGCTACGAGATTTTTGGTCAATGCGGTGCCCCTCGTCAGTGTCATGAGGAGCGACGAGTAATGTCAGGTGTTGACAGGGCAGCACTCCTCAACTAATTGTTCTCGTGTAAGCGGCGTGGTGTGCTAGTATATCAGCGACGATACACAAATTGATGTGAGACTTGTTCAAAACACCGTCAATGTTGCTTCACCTGCAGAGCGCATTTTTCATTCTCTATTTTGGGAATATCGGCCGTGCGAGACAGACAAGTTGCGAGTGTAGTGCAGTGTGGAGCAGGTGGGGATAACTACTACTTTGAGGAATCTGGGCCGATTCTGGTAAACCGAAATTGTTAATCAACCAATGACTGCGGGCTTCTTGTTCTGTTGCACTCGTTGTTTGGACAAGATGGGTACGCTGCAGCTTGCAAATCAGGGCCCAGCAGCGATGTGAGTGAGGCTCTACCTACATGTACCTTATAGTAATTGGATCTGATCTGCTCGCTGATATGCAGCAGGGCTGGGTTGGGCTGATAAGATTGATGGAGACTTGTTGATTCACTTGCGAGGGGCAACTCCTGAAAATTTAGTCTGGAAACGTGACCGGTTGCAAACCTGCTGCTTCCGCGAGCCGTCGAGCTCAAATCGACGGGCCGGCGCAGACCGCCACTCGCGAAGTGGGGCCATACTGTTCCCCGTGCGCCAAAGATAACGGCGAGAACCAGCAACAAGGCTCGTGGAATGCAGCGGACACGGTCCAGTGGCAGTGCGCAACCTGTGAGATTACCAGATGGCTCGAAGCCAATCGTGAAAATTGGCCACTTCTTTTACGGTCATAACGTGCAGGGCCCAGCAACTGCGCCACATATCGAAAGAGAAACAACCCAAGTTGGATAGGAGCGGAGTGGCGGTAAGGAGGGGTGGTGCTGAGCCTCAGCGTTTTTTCACGAGAATCACGACTCGTAGTGGTGACTAGCAGTAGCGACGTGAATCAACAGCATGGGTAGATGGTTGCGTGTCAGGCGGTGTAGACCAAGGAAGGATACATACCAGGTAGCAGAGTAGGCAAGTGAGGTATGTATTCGATAGTAACTGCAGCATTGTGGATGTCCGTAGAGCGGTCAAGCAGTCATCACAATAGAACTAGGTACTGTCGAGACGCGTTTAGATGTCCAGCGAAGAACTGGAACAGATGCCAGCCAACACTATTTCGGCCCTGTCCTGTCCTGCCCTGCCCTGCCCTGCCACAATGCTTCCTCGTTGCGAGGAGCAGGTCAGGCTGTATATGATCGCAGCCACGCGAGCGGGACGCGTGGGACGCTGGGAAACTGCTTGGGGAGGCAGTTCTAGGCATGCCGTGCCCGTGATTCTTTTTAGACTCTGGCCGTCGCCGTGGCCGTGTGGCCTGTGGAGTCTTGTGGACGCTGACTGGCGCGTGTCCCGCACGGCGCACGCAAGTGAAGTGCTGTGCTGTCCATCATAATACATGTCGACGGTCATAATAAGGTAATACCCTCGTCCCTAGACGGGTGGGCGGTCGTGATGATGATGCTGCTACTGCTGCTGCTGCTGCTGATGATGATGATGCATGTGTTAGTAGGCGGGCGGGCACGCTAAATGATAGATTGAAAAATGACAGCACGCAGCGTTCGATCCGGAAGAAAGTCCCCCGCTCGCTCGCTCTACGCCGGTGCGCTCTCGGCAGGTTTAGCAGCAGCGTGTGGCTTGCTTGAGTCTGTGTGTTCACAAGTCGTGTGCGCGGTCCATCTCCTTTCTCTCTCCCTCCTTCCCATCCCACCAGCCTCTGTTATCGACCCCTCCTCGAGTCTCATCACCACACTCTCTCTCGCGTCTACCTGTCGCGCACCATCCTTCCCACGTCGTTGGCAGAGAAAGCATCATCGCTCCCAAAGTCGTCGATTGCTTTCAAATCGGCGCGCACCACATGCTCGCTATGCAAGAAACGCATCGAAACATACCACAGCCCATCACGATTTAAAACATCCGAGTCGCTGGCTGCGCCGGGCACCTCTTCAACATCGCAAACGCCCGTCCGCAACCCCAGCGACCATGTCCGCCGTCGCCGGCGCCACCATGCCCGCCGCCTCCGCAGCACCGCCTGCCACGGGTCGCAAGGCTTCAGCAGCAGCAGCAGGAGGAGGAGGAGGAGGGGAGACGAAGGAAAAGGAGAAGCGCTACAAGTGTCAGTTCTGCAATCGCGCCTTTTCGCGTTCAGAACATCGCTCGCGTCATGAACGGTCCCGTAAGTACACTTTTTTGATGGATGGTTGGTGGGGCAGCGCGCGATCGCGAAGAGCTGCACGCGATGAGCAAAGTTGGCGGCGGGGTTGTCGAAACACGCACAGAACTCAAGCTGACGGCACGACCTATCGACAGACACCAAGGAGCGACCTTTCAAGTGTATGAAGTGTCGCAGCACCTTCGTCCGCAGAGACCTGCTCCTGCGCCACGACCGTACCGTCCACGCCAAAGATGGCGGCGTTCCTCTGCAGAGCGAAGGCAACAAGCGCAAGAACAAGGCCGCGACGGCGAATGCAGCCCCGACACAGCAGCCGCAGCCGCAGCAGCAACAACAACAGCAACAGCAACAGCAGCAACAGCAGCAGCAGACCAATGACAATGCGACCAAGAATGCGGAGCTCGATGCTGCCGACTTCGAGCAATTTACCGACAACGCTAACGTGCTCGACGTCGAGCAAGCTGCCATGCTCATGACTAACTTCCAGCAAAAGGCCGCCATGTCAGGACAAGACATCAGTTCCATCACCACAGAGCCACTCCTCTCACCCGTCCACGGTCTTCCAACTATGATGGACACGTCGGCGCCCCCGTATCCAGGCTCCATGACCCTCCCGCAAATGCATGGCTGGGACCAGATGCTGCCCCAGACGATCAGCACAACGCAACTGCCGAAGGCGGCTTCATCAATTGCATCTACCGGCGATGGCTCTCATGACCTCTTGCCATTCTCCAATGCTAATGCGACGTTGGGCGCCTCGAATGCTTCGCTGCCGCCACTCATGGAGCGTTCTGAGAGTCAGCAAGATGGTCTTCCCTCCTTTGGTGGATCTTCCATGATTGGTGGTCTGACTCCAAATGGGCCTCTATCACCATTTCCAGTCATGATGGGTCCAGTCTCGCCTGTAGATTACAGAAGATCCCCCGGCCCGGCTCAGCAATGCACCATGGCGAGGGCACCGCAAATCGAAAGCGAAGACCAGATGAATCTTCTGCTGGAAAACATCCGCCATTGCGACAGCGAGGATGCACTTGTGCATACCTTCCGTCTTCCACTGACGCCTGTGCTTAATCGCTACTTGTCGACCTACTTCAACTTCTTCCATCACCATCTGCCCTTCCTGCACCCGGCATCGTTCAACCCAGCTACTGTACCTGCTCCACTGTTGCTCGCTGTGTTGTCGATAGGTGCACTCTATACATTCGAGCAAGATCAGGCGTACATGTTGCACATTGGCTCGAAAGTTCTCGTGCAGCAGTTCCTACAAAAGAAGGACGATTTCAGCTCGCGAAAGTGCCCTCTTTGGATGATGCAAGCCTCCCTGCTGAATATGAGCTTTGCGAGCTGGAGTGGGGATCCCAAAGGTCTGGAATGGGCATGCTCCATGAAGTCCCTACTTGCCAACATGGTTGCCGGCAACAGGTACGAACTGCACAAGCGTAGCGAAGCGCGGGAAGGGCGACAACCAACCCATGGAGATTGGATCGAGGATGAAGGTTGTAGGCGGACGTATTATGCTGTCTATATTTTCTTCGGCCTGCTGACTCTCACCTACAACCACACCCCGGCTATCAGCTTCAACGAGTTTGACACTCTGGAACTGCCCTCCTCGGAGACGTTATGGAATCTGGACCCGGCGGATAATGAAAGTTGGACCGAAAGTCTGACAGCATCCACAATCATCACCTTCCGAGAAGCGCACGATGCTCTGTTTCAGGGTGAGACTGCACGTTACAGTGCGTTCGCCACGCGGGTGATGATCAATGCGCTTTTCCTCGAAGTGTGGTATCACAAGCGCAGTCCCGAAGCCCTCCAGGACGTGGTGACGGAGTATAAACTACGCCTGGCCCTCGAAACGTGGGAGAAGTCTCTCGAGATCTGCGAGCCCGAGACTGTGGTCGTACAGCTGAGTGCGCCTCACAAAGGTCATCCTCTGATCTTCAACGCGATGGCGATGTACCGGAACACGCGCACCAGGCTGTTGGTCGATCTCAAGGCCATTCAGGAAGCACTTCGTTACCACGATTCGTACGAGGTGGCAGCCGCAATGACTCACGCTCGAGAGAAAGTGAAGCGGAGCCAGGAAATGCTGACAGTAATTCAGTCTTGCTATGATTGCATCGAAGTCGCGGCACTTCAAGGCATCAGATGGGTGGCACGGACTTCTGCAACTAACTGGAGCATTGAACATCCACTCTGCGGGCTGGACCTGATAGTCATCCTGAGCCTGTGGCTATGGCGCGTTGAACACGACGAGGATCCCGCGACGGCGCAGGAGTCGGCCATGTACCAAAAGCTGCGTTCGTTGTTTGATGACGATACCGTCGATGGTTTTGGGCAGAAGCTGAGCTCCACGGTGGCGAGATTATGGGGCAGTATGATCGATGAAGTGGTCGTTTGGGGGTACGTAAATCAGTCTGCCCGTGACGTTTGGAAGTCCTTACACTAACAAATGTGCTATAGCATAACCAAGCTCATGGGCGAATCCTTCAAGCTGCACAGTCAGGCACTCATCGGATATGAGGATGCTGTCATGGCTGAGCAGCATAACGGCAGCATCACGCCTACGGTGTTGGCGCCACACGCGACAGAAGTGACGGCCTACTAGTAATTCACGACTCATTACGACATTTTTTCTTTTCCGGGACTGCACTAATAGAATGATACCACACGCACGCACACGTGGCGGCTGCTCGTTCATCTTCTGTACCAAATGCACATTGTTTGATTCCGGCGTTTTAACTATGGAGGAGGGAATATTGGTACCAGCAACATCTCGGCAGCTATCCGAAGCGACGACTGCTTCCATCCTTTCGGCAAGCGTACACAGACTGGTACAGATCGACTGCTTCACTCACGGGAACGTGTGTACCTCACCACACCCATCTAATACTACTCGAGCAGTGTCACCATGGGACGCACGCTGAGGTGACGCTCTCGAACCGGCTGGTCCGCGTGAAGGGCTGGGATCCTGTTGGTCGGACGAGTGCTGACTGCGACTGCGTCTCTTCACCTTGCTGTTTTGTTCTATACCATGTTCGTTTACAAGCATCCATTTTTTCTTATTATGGTTGGCGTCTCCCCTCGCGCTTTGACAGCGGCGCAGGACGAGGCGGAGTGGGAGAATTGAGGCGCTCGAAAAAAGTTGTATTATATGGATGTATTGAAGGCAATTTCTGGAGTAAATACGGCACCTACCTCACCTTACTTGTACTTGAATCATTTGTATCGTGGTATAGGACATAACAACCTGTGATGTGGCTTTGACCGGGTATGTATCTATCCGGTTATCGATTGATAAGGTAGACCGTAGTGGGGGTCCTCGAAGTGAATTTCCATGTCCCATCATGATGCATTGTACACCCTGTACACGCGTGTGGATATATATCTGGTATGTGTGGAACTCGAGAGAGAGATATATCCTCCTCCTCTCCCCCTCCTTTCATCTCGTTTTTTTTTTCAATCATCATCCCGCAGCAATATATATATCCATATTCCCTCACAACAACAACCACACCAACATCAACAACAATGTCTCCTCCCCCCAATGATCAGAACAAGAAAAAAGACATCACCACCGCATCCGGCCCCCTCAACCTCCTCCGTCCCTTTCTCCTACTCTCCTACTCGGCAATTTACATTTTCCCCACCATCATCCATCTCGTCTGCTCTTTCCAATGGGGGGCATTTTTCTCCTTTGCCGAATTCAAAGAACATTGGTTTTCACGCTTTTGGGCATTTTTTGGTCCCAAATCAAGAGATTTTGCTGCTCCGGTGGTATTGCCGTTGTTGGAGAGGAATGCTACGGGGGTGTGTTTGGATATTGGTGAGTTGTTTTGTTTTTTCTTCTTCTCCTACTATCTTTCTTTTGTTATAGAAAAGAAAGGAAAAAAAGGGGTGAGGAATAGTTGACTGACATCTTACCCATCTGTATGATTTTGCGTAAATTTTCCTAGGCCCAGGAACAGGTCAATGGCTCTCCGTCTTCGGTCGCGCTCATAACCCCACCATCACCAAAATCTACGGCGTCGAGCCGAATCGCGGCATGCACGCTCTATTGCGACAACAAGCCGCAGAGGCGGGTTTGAGCGATGTATATGAAGTCATAGGATGTGGAGCGCAGGAATTGAAGACCCGAGGAGGGATTGCGCCGGGTTCGATTGATACGATTATTACCGTGCAGAGTTTATGTTCGATTCCGACTCCGCAGGTGATTATAAGGGAATTGTATCCGTTGTTGAAACCGGGGGGCAAGTGGTTGATGTATGAGCATGTGAAGACGAAGTATCAGAGTAGTTTTGTGGGGTATTGGCAAAGTAGGTGGTTTCTTTTTTCCTTTACTCTTTTTCATTCTTTTGCTTCACTCTTTTCATGTTGTGTTGTTTATGTTGTCTCTGTTCTTGTCGTCATAAATCGAAAACAAAGAATTTACCTATTAAGTCCTACCTATGCTAACGCTCTTCTCTTTAACCCTCCTTCCAACAGAAGCCATCAATCTCATCTGGCCACACTTCTTCGGAGGCTGCGACATCTGCCGACCAACGGACGAGTGGATCTTGCAAGCGGGCGAGTGGGAAGACGTCAACATCGTGACGGGCGAAGGCGAAGGGCCGTACGACACGATTCCTCATGTGTCTGGATCTTTGACGAAGAAGAGGTTTGAGAAGCTGAATTGAGTGAATGATATGCATGCATGTGAGCCTCGCCTAGAAAAGGATGGGAAGGAACTGGTTTTCTCGATAGATAATTGGGCTCGCGGGAGTCGGGAGGGATTGCAATGTGTCATTGCGTACCTACCTTATATATGAGGACGTCGGGTTGGTTCTTGCGAAATATATATCTATCGTGCTGGGGAGACTGTTGACCTCGACTCCTTGGGCTTTTATGTATGGAAAACATTCCATTATAGACAAAGGGGGTCAGTTCACCATAGGTGGGAAGGTAAGTGAAGTGAACTTGTAAGACCTACCGACCAACTACGGACTTGGCAGAAACGGTTTCCAAGAGCTTGAACTCCTCGCCAAGGTTTCGGCATGGGACGAGATCAATTACGTTCATACGAGGATCTGGTTCCTAGGCCAGCGGTCTTGTTCGGGATCTATGTCGTACTACATAGTTTCGACCATCGGGACGTTCACTCCATATGGCAGGAATATAGTGATCGGAGTCCAGAGCCCTTTCGATCTGGTCTGAACGCTTGCAGGTCAAGAGACCCTGTTCAGCTCTTTCTCTTTCTCTTTCACACACACACACACACACACACACACACACACACACACACATTCAGTCTTCCTTCAGCTCAGAATCCTTCCAGTACTCCTCATAGCTGGCCCGGTATCCCAGAATGAAGCCACCGATCCACCTTCCCAGCACGACGCCCAGCAGCCAACTCGCAGGTCTGACAAGCCAACCAGGCCCAGGAAAAGCCAAAGATGTTTCGGCAGAGTCCAAGAAGATGAGCAATTGGAACAAGCTAGGACTGGCACCTTGCACATAGCAATCGTCCAAGTAGGAGTAGAGGTTGCGGAAGAACCTCTCGCTCACACCCTCTGCTTCGGGTGAGCTCGTGGGCGATCGGGGCAAAACAGGGGCGGAGATCTCCATCGTGCATGGTCCTGCGTGAGTGTCATCTACTCTGAACGTATGACGAGCGCCGGCTGGTACGCGAATCGGCTGCGGGTCAGAGGCAGATATAGTCATGTTTTGACCTTCGAGGGTGAAGATGAAACGGCCTTCTCTGATGTGAAAAAACTCGTCTTGGTACCAGTGCCCTGCTTTGTGTGAGTACTACGCGCTACGATAGAGCCTGCACGGAAGGCTTACAGTGGAGCGGGGGTGTCAGGTAGTTGAGCTTGTCAGGTATTTTCTGCAAGTCAATGGGCCTATGCGTCGTCTGTATCTCGCGGACGGACTTACCGGGCTCAGGAGGAGCCCAGATAGTAGATCGTATACCGTTGTATTGCTTCAGAGGTTTCTGTTCGACAGTTCTTGTCCTCTTGACGTGGAACGCCATGTTGTATTCAGAATTTGGAAGGTGGATATGGGAGGCAGCTGAAGACCTCAGGATGGATGCCTGGTTGGTATCAACTGATGGGTCCTTCAGCTAGAGTAGAGCTGCTCTGAGTGAAGTTTCAGATAGTGTTGTGGGCGACGCAGCGTCGCCGCTGACGGAGCTGGGGAGCCGAAGCTGCAAACTTATAGGCTGGGGCCGAGCGGGGAGGCGTCGACAGGCTTGCGCTGAGCTCAGCTTCTGCTGTGTCATAAGAGGGATCATCGGATTTCGTGTCGTTGGTACATATGTACAGCTGAGCGTAGATGCTTTGCTTTAACCGCCAGACAGGATAATATACAAACCACGCCCCGCATTTTCTCAAAGCGTGTTTCTCAGGCTGCGCCATCGTCTGGGTATCATCACAGGCATTGACCCGATCAATGCGGTTCTCTTCGATCGACCAGCCGTATCCCGCGACAGTGCGGTCTCTCTTCACACAGCGCGAGTGCAGGCTCATCGTATCGTCTCTTACCATTCAGATGGCCTAGCAGCCAATCCGTCACAGACACCACTCGCGCAGTACGGTCCCAGTGCCCGCCTTCTTCAGCGTGCTCGATGGTGTGCTTACTGATGCGGCCTTCCTCGTCAAATTCGAAGATGAAGATGCCGCGAAACTCCTCGGGCTCTTCATCCGCTTGTGAGCCTTGTCGTGTGCCTGCAATGAAGCCCCTAATCTTCTCCACAGGGTCCTTGGCAGCCAATCCCATACCTCGATAAATGCCACCCGTTCCATCACGATGTGTAGTCTTGCCGCATGTTTTCCACTTCACGACCAGCTTCTCTTCACGTTGGGCCAGTGGCACAGCCGTACCTCCGTTCTGTATCATCCTTTCTGCCAGAATCTCGAGCCTCACATTGCCAATCAGCGGCATACGACCCCAGGCTACTGGCGCAGTCCATAACGCAGCAATGTACCCCAGACGGCCAGACACCGTGGGTAGATGTGGATGCGTCGATGGGAAGAGGTGGAGCGTGATGCTTGGTGATAGTGTCTCTGACGGAAGGGGCTCTTTGAGCAAAGTCGGCAATCGTTCGTGCAGTAATCTGACTGTGCGACCCAGCTTGACAGTCCTCTCGTCGGGCGGTTTGTAGTCGGAGGAGGGAGGGAGATCAGACGCTAGGTGTCGCGGCGCAGCACTTGTAAACCAGATGTCTCTGCTCCATGGGTCGACGTCGTTGACGCGGGCGAAGCATCTGCAAGAATTGTTCAAACAGACGTTCGGCTCGGGACAGGGAGTGGCAGCGGTGATGGTGATGGCATGAGCATGGTTGGCGCGCAGGCGAGATGGCAAAAGCGTTCGCAAGAGCTGTAGCCGGTTAGACGTCATCGGTGGTCGATGGAGATGGCCTGGTCCATGGAGTGGTGGTGGTGGCCGGTCACATCACTGCTGGTGACGATGTCGACACGAATGGTATCGTTGGCGCGAGGGTGTAGAAGTACAGGTAAATGGAAGGTAAGATGGGTGGAAAGAGGAAGAAATGGAAGAGAATGGCAGAGCTCGGGATGATTCTGACAGAAGCTGACAAGATCGACAGCAGCTGGAACCTGGGAAGGGAAGCGGCCCGGCGCCCGCGATGCTCCATGACGACAGTAACATTCCTCACCTTACTAAGGCACTACTATATTACCCGTATGGATATTCTACGACCAAGTTGGGTGTATCATGTATTCACGAGTCGAATCACGACCTGTATATCTACTTGAGGTGCCATTGCTCTCCCGCCGCTGTGCAATCTGCCGAATCATATCCTGCTTTCGCTCGTAGACGTGTAGGCTTCGTGTCAACAGATACCGAATGTCACCCTAGCCTAGGTACATGTAGTTCTCTCTCTTCATTCCCTCGCCACCTTTCTTCACCTACGTGTACCTGAATATCCCACCTTCAACCATGACCACCCAGGGCAAGCGAGTCGTCTTCACAGGCGGTAGCGGCAAGGCTGGACGTCATGCCATTCCCGAACTATTGAAGCAAGGCCACAAGGCAAGTCTGCGCCGTTCATATTGAACCCAATATAGTAGTAGGTAGAGAGACTGACCACAGCCAGGTCCTCAATCTGGACTTAGTCGAGTTTCCCGATCCCAGTGCGGGCGTATACACCCTCAAGACAGACCTTACCGATGGCGGCCAGGTCTTCACTGCCCTCACCACGCACTTCGACCCCGCTGGCTATGAGCAAGGTTATCCGGAACCCCCACCAGACGTGGTCATCCATTTCGCCGCCTATGCCCGCAACATGCTCGTTCCAGACAACGAATGCTTCAAGGCCAACGTGATGAGCACATACAACGTATGCTGAACCACACCAACAACTGTCAATGTTTCCCCCTCCCATACTAACCACTCACTTCTCTTAGGTCATCGAAGCGGCCTGCAAACTGGGAGTCAAGAAGATCATCATCGCGAGTTCCGAGACTACCTATGGCGTCTGCTTTGCCGAGGGAGACTACGACTACCACTCCTTCCCTCTCGAAGAAGACTACGACGTCGACCCCATGGACTCGTACGCCTTGTCCAAGATATGTGGCGAAAAGACCGCTCGCACGTTCGCCCGCAGATACGGCGTCGACATCTACGCGTTGCGAATCGGGAACGTCATCGAGCCGCACGAGTATGAGAGAGACTTCCCAACTCACGTGAACAAGCCCGAAACGCGAAAACGCAACGCCTGGAGCTACATTGATGCTCGCGACCTGGGCCAAATCTGCAGTCGCTGTATTGACAAGTCTGGCCTTGGGTTTCAGGTCTGTGGCAGCCACTAGCTAATATTTCTACCACTTCCGGGAAGTCGTGCTGACAAGGTGCAGGTGTTCAATGCGACGAACTCGACCATCACGACCAAGGTCCCCACCGAGCAATTTTTGAAGGAAACGTGTCCCAATGTGAAGATTACGAGGAAGATGGGCGAGTGGGAAGCTCCATTGAGCAACAGGAAGATAATTGAGGTCTTGGGATTCGAGGATGTGCATGACTGGAGAAAGTACTATAAGCCTTCTTAGAGAAGAAGTCGTGTGTGGCAAGGGTCTTGCCCAACCAGCCCTTAGCTAAGGTGCTGCTACCATCGACTACATAGTAATCAATGCATGAAGTCAGCGTGTATATGGTCTGCTTCCATATTGTCTTCCGACCTGAGGTCACGCTCGCACACAAGATGTACGTGATCACAGGATGGGAAAGTGTTCTGGAGGCGATGATAATGATTTCCAAGTCCTCATGGTCCAGCTATAGCTATAGAGAAGGACGTGCCTTATGAATCGTGCCGAGTCACATGATCCTAGCTCCTTGATTTATAGTCGGACAGTCTGGAAGAGATTTGGTGCCACTGCAGGACATGCATGCATCTAGATCTCCAAGTGCGCCTCAGGCGTCCGAGAGCATCTCGAGAGCTTTCCAGGCAGAACAGGCGGTAAATCAGACTCTAGCGAGGATTCCGAGGTGCAAATGCTGAACAAGATCCAGGTCCGGTTTTCTGCTGGCATACTCGACGGGCTGGTAAAGCTGGAGTAATAGGCATGGGCATCGCGCCCACATCGTCGTTATTGGGTACTCGAGAGTCAAGCAAAGTAGCCCATTCGCGCCAATCATAATATCGCATCAGCAGCACGTAAACCCCCAACAGCATTGGGCCATTCCTAGGTAGGTAGGTAGTCTCTCTCCACAGTGTCTCTGTCGCGCTTTCACCCATCATCCTCCATCTCTGAGTCTTCGTCGGCCACGGAAGCGGGTTCTGCTGCGAGCGCACTGAGCGCTTCAGCCTTCTTCGCCTTTGCCTTTCCCTTCTTCTTGAGTTTCTTCTCCCGATTACGGCGAACTCGCTTCTCTCGCTCCCGCAACTCCTTCGCCTCGGCAACTTCTCGTAACGCTTTCGCTGCTGCGGCCTTCTGCCGCTCAGCGATACGAGCTTTCTTGCCCAGACGCGTACGTTTGGTCGCATGGCGGCTGTCTTTGACAAGCTTGGCAAAGAGAGCATCGGAGGCTTTCAACCGGAGTCGCTGCTGTCTCGTGGCTGGTATGTGCAGGACTTTCCAGGGATAGGCCAGACCTGGGCAATATGATGTTGACCGCGCGAGGACATCTTCACCGGAGAGGGCGGCAGCTTCGAAGTTTTGCTGTTGCTCGGGTCCGGGCGCGCTGGTGAAATAGTATCTGCTGTCACGGTCCGGTCTCAGCAATCCTGGCTCCGCATCTGTGAGGTCGGGAGAGTCCAGTCGAACTTTGGCTATGACGGGCGAGGTCGCAGTTTTTCCTGAAGGTGGTGCGAAGAGCTGGAAAGCGAATCCGTCTTCGCCACTGACTTCGATTTGGTCATTGATCGCATCGGGTAGCTCTTCATGGTGGACGAAATCGAATTCTTGTACGTGCTTGATTTGCGCCGCGGGGTCCGGGGAGGATGGACACGGGGATGTCGTGGCCAGTAATTCGCTCCTGCTGATGATACGTTCCATTGAGCCTTCTCGGTTTTTCAGACTACCATTGCAGGTATTGTGGTGGTTATGAGTGAGGTTGATTGGAGTGCGGACTATAGAAGAACCTGGATGGCCCAATCGGGTTACATGCCGTGGGTGCCACGCTATTTGATGACCTGTTGTCTACGGGCAGCCCTTGTTTTTCTTTTCGGTCCACGGGCGGGCAGCTCCCGTCCTGACGGCCCACCGCCCACGGAAGTCATTATGGAACTGAATAACCATATAGGTACCTGTACCTTATATTGGAATTAACAAATCGTGCTTTTCCCTCTCAGCAAGTTCCATTCTGTAACAAGATAAAACATCGTACAAAGCTCGGAGATACCGGCAGACTTACTCGGCCAAGAATCGAGAGAAGCTTCTTTCGAAGTGCAATGTGAATTGAAGCCATAACAGAGAGAGCACATAATATGAAGTGTATTGCCATTATGGTTATTTCCTTGATAACTCGACTCAGATGAGGAGCTGCCCGTTTACGCGGACCGCAACGAGTCGCGCTCCTTGCCAAATCAAGCAGTGTTTTTGAAACTTCCTTCCGTAGACCACACTGTCCAAGGCATAGCGGACACGTCGAGCAGGAGTCCACCAATCCTGGTTCCACTGAGAACAACCACATTACTCTCCAAGGACATCAGATCTCGTGGCTCCTTTCGAGGACGCTCTCCATCAAGTCTCACGATGCTTTCTTGCCTCCCCCTATCCTCTTCGTGTCGTGAGTTTCGAAGCCAAATAGAACCAGACGGTCAGACCTCGTCGACTTTTGCCATTAGGGTACTTGCTTTAGGACACTATCGCCTGAGGATAGCGACCGCTCAGCGCTTGCTCGTAGGTAGGTCTAAAGATAGCGTAGCTGGTGATGATGATCTGAGTGGAAGAACGCCGTATCTTCAGCAGGTGGTAAGATATGTGGTGTGCGTGGGTGTGCGTGCAAAAGTTCCACCTCTTCTGTCTCATTGTCGCGGAGTTCCCCAGGGTGAGGTCTCTTGAACAAGTCTGTAGATCGAGGGCTATCTGTAGTGAAGCAATCAATATCATATCGTTCTCAGCATTGGCACTGGCGGGCCAGCTCAGTTGGACGGAATGAGCTGTCCCTTCGTGCATGTAGCCGATTCATCGTGCCGCCGCATTTGAGCAAACGACACCCACTTGACGGGCCAAACACCGTGCTCGAGGGACTCCAATCGCACTGCTGCTATTGGCGATGTAGAAGAGCTTCAAATTCTTGTAGAGATCTGCCAGCTACTCCCTCCTACCATGTAACAAGCTCCAATTCAGGTGGAGTGAAGTGAAGCGGGCTGGCGTTTCCACTTTTGTTTACAAGCGGGAACGGCTGCTCGCACAGCAAACACCGCGCGCGCACTTCAGCATCGCACTCGAGCATTTTCGACCCGCCCTTGCTACTTCAACAACACACTCGAGCATTTTTGATCCGCACATCCTACTTCTTTACCCACAGCAGAACTGACTAGCTCCCGTGCGGGCCAAGGAGATAGGGAGATGGAGTTCGTGCCTTGGGAGAAATACGGCGTATGTAAGTTCTATGCGTCGCCAGGCGTCGACTGCAGAAATGGAGTCGCCTGCAGATGGGGTCACCCTTCACAGGAAGTGATGACGAGAATCCTTGGCTTCCACAACGTGAGCAAGGCACCAACTTCCGACGGTGAGGAACGGTTCGAGGATGGAACCCGAAATGTGGTCGATAAACACGGAAGTCCAAGTTCTCGGGATCTTGCAGGCAATCATGGCAGTTGGCGGACAGTGGCCAGCTCTGCGACACCACGTCTCATGCTGGAGCAATATCGAGAGACACCAGGCACGGTAAGTGACCCGCTCGAACTTTTGTCATTCGTTTGCTGACGCCAGTTTTTTACAGGAATTTGAATCGATGCCATCGAGTAGTCGCGGAGTTCCCCAAAAGAGCGCGCGTATGCTGCTGCCGTGGAGGCGTCTTGAACATTCGTCACAGGCGATAGCGACTGGCGCAGACAGCCATCGACCGCCATGGGCCTTTGAGCGGCATGCCGATCCTAGTACGGTATCCCTAGGACCACTGGGCCCGACACTCGCTGGTGGTCAGCCTACTCGGCGCGACGGTGAGACATTCAGGACGATGCAAGATGTTGCGCCGTCATCGTTCCAAGCTCCAGCGCCACCAACTATGCCGATTTTCACGGGACCAACTACATACCAGAACTTCGATCCCGCCTCGTCCACGAACGACTTCGTCAATGGCGCGGCCATTTATCGCTTCGTGTGGGGCAATCCTTTGTGCGTAAGATGTGGAAACATGGGCCACCTCCCGAAAGATTGTGGCAGCGAGCCGCTTTCTAAGGCGGAACAAGACTATCTCTTCAAGCTCGTGAAAGCAGAGCAAGTCCGTAGCAAGCAGGAAGCCCTAAAGGCATCTGCACAGCAGCTGGAACCGGATCGATCGAGTCGCGAGCGGTACCTAGAGCCGCGAAGTCTCTGGCGGCGTCCAGCTCTTCTATCTCAAGACCACGAGCCAAGTGATCAATCTTGGTCAGAGTCGAGAGAAGCCAGGTCATCGCCCTACTGGCAGCGCTACCGCGAACAAAGAGAGACCAGTCTGCCCAGCAGTGTCCAGGCCATGGAGATGCCGCCAATCCTCGGAGCCCACCAGCGCGACTTCAACAACGAATTTGGCCATCATGTAGATGGAGATGGAGACTGGAATTTTTCTTTTGCAGCAAGCAGGCCGATGGCACAGGATAGGGGATGGAGGGCGCACGTGGAAAAGCAAGAAAGTATCTCCGGGCCCGGAAAAACCGAAGTGGGTCCTCCGGCGGCCTTGGCTCCGGTCGCGTTCGCGTCGACAAAGTCCATGCACGAACTGCATCCATCTCGCGCCGCACTGGTCGCCCATGCATCGTCCGCAGCACCGCCATTCACAGAGGCATCTTTGCCGCCCGGAAAAGCTGGACTGAACACAATGGGGGCAACTGAGCGCATGTCGAATGGCGAAGCCAAGATTGTCGGACCGCATCCATCGACAATCCGTGTCTCGGCTTCATACATCACGCAAGCCGCTATCGACAAGAGACTGGCGCCCGAGGGGCTCGATGCGCAGGAGAGGAGTCTAGCAGAGGCAAGAGAAGATACCGTCAGGCTGCAGGGGGTTGCCTGGCTGGATAATGTACGCCGTGCCCTGCAACTGCCCGTCAAGACCTTCACCACGGCCGTCGTCTACTACCACAAATTCCGACTTGCCCACCCAAAAGAGGACTATCAGTGGATCGATGCGGCAGCTGCCAGTCTGCTGACGAGCTGCAAGACTGAGGATACTTTGAAAAAGAGCAGGGACATTCTGGCGGCTGCGTACAATTTGAAGCTGCCAAACAACCAGGACCACGTTGCGCCAGATGATCCCATGTTCGAGACACATAGTCGGATGGTCATCGGCATAGAGCGGCTGATCTTGGAGAGCGGTGGCTTCGATTTCAGGAGCAGAGCACCGCATCACACTCTGGTCAAGATTAGCAAGAGCTTGCCGTCGAGCCCGGATGTGAAAGCCGTTTCGGAGCTGGCTTGGACGGTCCTGACGGACTTGCACCGCACTTTTGCACCTCTGAAGCAAACGAGCGCAACGCTAGCCCTGGCAAGTCTAGAGTTGGCTGCACACTTCACAGCTGCGACGTCGGAAGACAACACCTGCATCGTACGCGACAACCTGCAGAAGCTCGACTTGGGCACATGGTATACCACACGCGAAGAAGTCATGGAGACACTGCTGGATGCTCTCGACTTGTACACACACCACACCGCCTCTTCCATCCTCGGCACCAGATACTCTCTCGACGATCTCCTCCGTATCCGCCTTGCTCTGAACAAGGAGTGCTCCGATTCTAACCTGCCACGCTACACTATGGTCCAGCCTCCTCCCTCTCCTGACAATGTCACCGACCCGACCATTACTCTGCGCGTGGCTGATGGCCATCCTACACCAATCTCACCCCCACAGCCAGGGGCACAGGCACCTCAGCCAGTCAATGCATACATCGCCACAAGCCAGCACACTCCACAGACCGACGGCACACTGCGCTTCATGCTCAACCCGCAGCGGGCTACTGAAGAGCGAGTTGAAGTCAACCGCTATTACACCGAAGAATGGGAGGAGTATGAGGAGGAGATCGAAGTACCACTTCCATACGATTCCTCTCGTGAACGTGATAGAGACCGAGATCGAGACCGAGATCGCGATGCATTCTCCAGGCGTGACCGCGATCGTGGTCGAGATAGTAGCCGTCCACAGGACGCCGATGCCCGGCGAAATGTGGACGATCGCACTCACGACAGAAGAAGTGAACGTGACAATGCTCGTGCTGCTGCTGCAACTACAAAAGAGCACAGAGTGGCAAGACAGCAGATGCCGAGCACCATGCTGCAGAGCGTTGTTCGTGCGCCTTCGCCAGCGCCGGAAATCCTGTACCAGCCAGACGCCGAGAAGAACACTCAGCGAGACCATGACAGAGATTTCGACAGAGCCAGAGATCGACCTAGGAGCCGTGACCGGGATCGGAGACACGATGATCGTCGACACGATGACAGGGACAGATACGACTCGAGGAGAGAGCGTGGCAGCCGAGACGACAGAGACCGAAACAGTGGTGGTGGAAGCAGGCGGCACTATGACGACGATCGTAGACGTGAGCGGCGTTGAAGCTGTTCACCTTGTGTGATGATCGACTTGAAGAAATACCTGTTACAGCTGGGAGCTGGATCATACAGGTTGTAGATAATACCGAGCAAATGACTCGAACAGCCTCTGTAGCAGCCTTTGCGACAGGGGCGGTAGCATTTGCGTCGTTCTTTTCGGCTGGCTAGCCTACTGCATTTCGTGGGGAGCGTGGGGAGAAACCTGCGGTGAAAAGCCACCAGGTATCAGATGGTCGGAAAAAAGCTACTAGAGCCCAAGGGGCAATAATGTTTAAATGTTCTCTGGCAAGCTTGACCAGTAGTCGATCAAAGCGCACAGCGAGTGGAGCAAGTCGGAGAATGATTTGCTGTTGGTTCTAAAGCGGAGAATCGAGGTAAAAGAATTACTTGACCTCATAACAGCAGTTTGTTTTTAAGGGGAGGGGTTGATGCCAGATGTAAGTATCAATGCCCAAGTACCTATTCAAGGTACACATTCAGAGCATTTTGGCCGCTATCCTTCTGACACCTCCAAGAGTATCTGGCGGTCTGACCATCTCAAAGCTGAGCTATCTTGGTATCCCGCATAGTTTGCATACACTGCCCGCCCACTCTTTGCCAAACTCACTCAACGTCCGCATCATTCCCATTCTCATCCTCGTCGCCGGAGAGGAGAGGATCCTCGAAATCCTTATCCAGGATACCGTGTGGCACGATCGCGCCACCCTTGGTCATGAGCTTCTTCCACTGGCGCTGGAGGATGATTGGAAGGGCAGTGTGGTCTGCACCACCCTTCGAGACGAGGAGGTTCGCAATCAACGTCCACTTCTGCGCCTGGAAGGAGTCTTCGATCTCGCGCTTAGTCTGGATTAGCAAGGCGTTGTCTTCTTCGTTGAGGATAGCGAAATTGGTCCTACACAATTTTAGTTAGGATGCTCCTCATTTTTCTCCCCAAGGCCGATGCATGTTTTCTCTGCATGTCTGGAAGCGAGAGAAGACACGGACGGGGTTGCTTACTTGATTCTGGCGTATCGGTTTGGCAGAGTGCTCTGGGCTGTAGCCTCGCCCGTCAAGCGCTTCCACTCAGCCTTGATGGGGCCCCAGTCCTTCTTCTCGTCTCTCCAGGAAACCAGCATCCTATCAGCTTCGTCGCATGACTCATAGGTTCTCGGAATCAGGCGTGCAGCCGTGGTCTTGCCCTTGAATTGGCGCTTCTTCTTCTGCTGTGGCGGCAATGTGTCCACCACAGCGTTGGATACGGCGTCGGGTGTGGCGGCCGCCTTCTCTTTGCCCTTACCCTTCGACTTCTGGGCGCCGGGATCGTCACCGGCGGCCTTGCGCTTTTTCCCTGCGCTCTTGCCAGCTCGCTGGACAGGCTTATCGAGACCTGGGCCATCGAAGTGGTTTCTGGTGATGTTGGCAGGCGTCTTTGTGAAGATGCTTTTGTCGCCACCGGAGACGATCGTCATCTCCGAGTTGAACGGATTCTTGCCGCCATCGCTTTGCGCCTCGCCGCTGGGCATGTTGACGGCGCGGTGCTGTCGTTGGTAAAGAGATGGGGTGTCGTTGGTGAAGAGATGGTGTTGTTGGTGAAGAGAGGTGTTGTTGGTGAAGAGAGGTGTTGTTGGTGAAGAGAGGTGTTGTTGGTGAAGAGAGGGTGTTGTTGGTGAGGAGAGGTTGTCGAGGAGATTCTGAGTGAGAGAGGTTTGTGACGACGCCGAGTAAGTTTAAGTGAAATCTGGGGCAATTTGCATATGGCAACGCGTTTTCAGGGGCCCAATGCGGAAAGATCGAGTGAATGATGATGTGGGTCACATGCGTAGATGTGCATAAACCGGTTCTCTACTTTTTGGATTACCTGCGCCGCGACACCGTCGTAAAAGACATACATATTCCATGGACTTAGCTGACAGAGAAATCAACGCGTGAAACAGACTGCCTGCGCCGGTCGATGGGAGTCGAGTGAGGATAGAAAAGGGGGGAAACCACACTTCATGCATCCTGAATATCTGTTGAACACCAGCGCTACTGTTGGGTCTAATTGTCGTCGTGTTGAATCGCGCTGTCCTGCCATTTCTCCCTGCCAACCTGAATCGACGCTCGATTCTTTGGCCGAGCTCCATCACCAGTCGTACTGCTTATGCCTTCTCAAGAATCCTTCTTGTAGGTCTCGTGCCCATACCCTCCCTTTCCCTCATGGCTCTCGTACGTTTTCCCGTCACTGCGCGGCTGGTTTCTCGGCCCCCGCTCTGCGAGATCCTCTTTCAACCAACCCATCACCAATTGGCCCAAGCGACTGTTTCCTTCTTCACCACCATCCGTCTTCGGTACAGTGAAAGTGTCAATTGCGCCCCACTTCTTCACCTTACCGAGAGACATATGAACCAAATGACTTGGCCACTGAGCCAGATTGTCCAGAATATGAGTGGCGTAGACAATAGTGCATTGCCTCGACTCGGTTTCCTGCTTCAAGAACTGCAGAAAGTTGTGTCGAGATAAGAGGTCCAAGTCAACGGTGATTTCATCCAAAAGCAGAACCGTCCAGGGACGGAGTAAGCCCATGCAAAGCTGCACCCTTCTCCGTTCGCCATCCGAAACGGCATGAAGATGCCACGAAAGATCCACATCGAGGATCTTTACGAGCTGATCTCTTCGTTCCGGATAGTGGTCACCGCCCACAGACTTGAGCAGCTCAGGAACAGCAATGTCGCTGCGGACAATGGGATTGAGGACCCATTCCAGGCCCAAGTAGGTCACGCCTTCGAGGCCCGTGGCGAACGGATCGATATCTGCGACATACACCGTATCTGCTGGGGCCATGCGTTTTCCGCTCAGGAGGCGGAGGAGTGTTGTCTTGCCCGCGCCATTTGCTCTGAGGATTTAGCCCCTTGGACAACGAGAGAAGTGTGGGCAATTCGCAAGACTTACCGCCTATGAGAAGACAACGTGCACCGGCAGGGAGGTCGAGTGAGACGTTTTGTAGACCTGCACTTCCATCTGGGAAGAGGTAGGAGAGGTTATTCACCTTGAGAAACAATTAGTCTTCTGTGCTACCGAGTGAACGTGAAGTGGTTTGTCATTTTACCGTAATGGTGGGAGGTTTCTGGTCGGCTTTTTGGACCATTTTGATGTCTCTTGAGTAGTCAATCTGCGTGTGTAGGCGTCAATAACGGAAGAGTCAGTAGGTATAAAAGAAATCGGTCAGGTAGGTTTTGTTGGAAGAGTAAGTGTCATCAAGTAGACTAGTTCAGCCAGCCTGGTGGGGCTACAACGTTTGCAGACTTTTGATACATTCCCACGACAGACAATACCAACACAACGCATGCTATCCCGCGTCGTGCTGAGGTCGCTGTCGCCGTCCAGAATGACGCGTACGCCACCGAAACAGCCGCTCGTAGCTGTGATTGGCGCCACTGGGACTGGCAAATCGCAGGTAGGTCGTCGACCACGGCGCTGCTGTACGTCTGTCGTGCTGCTACTGACCAGAAAGACACACTAACCGCAGTCTCTACGCAGCTGGCCGTCGAGATTGCCAAGCGATACAATGGCGAGATCATCAATGGAGACGCGATGCAGTTGTATGCCGGCCTGCCCATTCTCACCAACAAAATCACGCCCGATGAGCAGGAAGGCATACCGCACCACCTGCTCGGATGTATCGCACTGCACGAGCAGACGTGGGTGGTCGGCACCTTCATCCGCCATGCGCTCAAGACCATAGAGGAGATTCGGGCGCGTGGGAAACTGCCGATTCTGGTGGGCGGCACGCACTACTATACCCAGAGTCTGCTGTTCTACGATCGTCTGGCTGAAGATGAAGAGGAGAGGGAGCAGCGCGAATTCATCGTAGACACGTCTGACAAATGGCCCATCCTGAAAGAGCCTACGGACGTCCTCCTGAAAGAGCTCAATCGAATAGATCCCGTCATGGCAGACCGCTGGCATCCGAACGATAGGCGCAAGATACAGCGTAGTCTCGAGATCTACCTCCAGACGGGCAAGAGAGCATCTGACATATATGCGGAGCAACGAGCGAGGAAAGAGGAAGTGGGTGCAGAGGAAGCTGGAGAGCCGAAGATGCGCTTTCCAGCACTGCTCATATGGGTGCATTGCGAGGCGGCAGTCCTGCGTGAGCGACTCGACAAGCGCGTCGATAAAATGCTAGCGAATGGCTTACTGGACGAGGTGAATACGCTCGACAGATTTGCCCGTGATCAAGAAACACAGGGCACTCGTGTAGACGACGGCAAAGGCATATGGGTCAGCATCGGCTACAGGGAGTTCCGAGACTATGTTCGCAAACTGCACACAAGCGTTGACGAACAGCAAACACTTGAAAAGCTGAAAGCCATAGCCCTGGAGGCCACTCAAGCTTCAACACGACAGTACGCAAAGCGTCAGGTTCGCTGGATTCGCATCAAATTAGTCAATGCACTCATGCAGGCCAACGCTTCGCATCAAATGTACCTCCTCAATGGGTCAGACGTCTCCAGATTTGAGGAGACCGTGGTCGATCCGGCTTTGCAGCTCACAGGGCAGTATCTGCGTGCTGAGGACATGCCGGCGCCATCGACATTATCCACAGTCGCAGCCGAGCAATTGCAGCCTAAACGAGATGACTTGGCTGGCGCACCCGAAGCCTGGGTGAAGCAGTATTGCTCTGTTTGCGACACTACTTCTGTCACGCCAACTCAGTGGCAACAGCATATATCAAGCAAAAGCCACAAGAAGCGCGTCAGCAAAGCCCGGCAAGCCGAGTCGCGTACTGCAGGACTGTATCGCGACCCCAGTGGCAATGAAGCAAAGAGTGACGAAGTACTTCAGTAGAGCTCTCACCGGCTCTTTCAGCGTCAAGGCGTCCACCACGACTGCCATCCTTGACCAGCCGCTAAAATGGATCAGCATCACAGCAACTTGCACAACACTCGAGGGTTGACCGTGACAGAGGCTAGAGCTGACAGGCTCGTGCTATTCCGTTAGGATCTCTGCCACTCGGTCTCGTCTTAGGCCAAAATCGTCCAAGTCCCTAGCCTGAATGGCTGCTCCCTGCTCAGCCCTTCCTTGCAAGGACCGAGACATAGAATGAGGGAACTCCGATATCGTCTGCCCGAATCTCCAGCAATCTCATCCTATCGGGCATTCTGGAATGCGCAATTTTTGGATATCGTCATAGGAACCTGCCCTGGCGTGAACTCAAGCGATGCAATTGAGCTTGGAGTGTATCGTATACATGTCCAACCCAACCTCACCCACAGTCATCTTCTTTCCCGCCCGGCTCTACATGACATCAGCCTACGTCGGGGTTATCTAGGCACCGTACTCTCCATGTCATTCGACTTACTCTATAGAGTATAAACCCGGTCGCCGCCACACAGCTCCGAAGAGCTTTGTGGTAGAACGGCCCGACCTTCCATGAACACGAAGCTAGGTAGGAGGTACCGTACTAACTGACATTTTGGGGGCTGACGTCAAAAAGATGACGCTCTCATGGAGCTACAGCTCAACCCCTGGAGGCTCTCTCTGAATGTTTTGAATGGCTTGATTTGGCAACATCTTGATCGAATTCATCTGCCCTTTGCTTGGCAGTAGGCAATCCGTTTCTACAACAAGACGAAGTTCTTACTACTGTGTCAATCCGAGAGCTAGGGATATAAAGTAGCCGACATTTGTAGATACCAGGTAGATAGTCATCGCCTCTTTGGAGGCATAAAAACCTACCTTGGGTAAATCAGATTATCTACAAGCTCAAGGCGTGAGATGCCTAGCAGGCAGGTAAGCGACTACCTACATTAGGAGATACATAAATACAAAAGGTACTGCCGATGAGATGTCGAAATCATCGGACTGAGACACAAGAGATTTGAAAAAAATTGTCTTGTCTGGTATTACGTTTACTGGCCTTGGCTGCTTCCTCCATGCTGCTTCTACCAACTACCACCACCACCTATGTAGCTACTACGTACACGGCAGGTGAAATAATCCTCGCTCTCTCTCGCTCGCTCTCTCTCGCTCGCTCTCTCTCCAGCGTCGTGCAGGAAAGCTGCCATGCAATGTGTGAAATGCGCACTGTTTTGCGCGACTGCGTACGGCTCAACACCCAAGTTGTAAAAAAAAAGAAAAAGAGCACATCTAGTGCCGTTCTATAAGTCTATGAAGTCGCTCTTCGTCTAGAGAATTGCAAGAGCATGTCGTCCATGGGGAAGATGGTGGCGAAAACCTTGATCTCTTCGCTGCGGGGTGTGATCTGGTGCGTCCAGTTGTATGAAGCGCTCAGCTTGTGCACCATGAGCATCAAATTGAGAATCGCATATGTCTGACCGAGACAGTAATGAGGACCAGTGCCAAACACCAGCCAGTTCTTGCCTTGCTCTTCTGCATTTCCAGTGATCCATCGCTCCGGCACGAACTCATCGGGTTGCTCGTATGCTTCCGGGTCGTGAAGGGACAGCCACGTCGAAGGAATAATCATCGTGCCTTTCTTAGCGACATAATTGCCCTCGGGGATGGGAAAGTCCTTCTTGACTAGATAAGGGACCATGAGGACTGGTGGGCGGTATCGGAGCGTTTCCTTGACTACTGCACGAGTGTAGGTCATGCTCTCGAGCATTTCAAGGCTGATGGGGTCTTCTGCTCGGGGATGTATCCTGTCGGCCTCCTCACGAATCTGTTGGTAGACGTCGGGCCGGTCCGCCACAATCTGCAGCAACCAAGAAGCAGCACTCGACGTCGCGTCTTGCGAAGCGAAGAGGAATGTGAAGACCGTCATGGAGATCTCGATATCGGAGAAGTTGCGGAGGAGCATTGCTGGCTTCTCCTCGGCAGGTACATTTTCGCCGCTGGCAATGCGTGCTCGGTAACGATCAGACTCGATCATTTGTGTGATCCAGCGGTCCATGATGCACTCTGGCTCAGCGCCTTTCTGCTTCATGCGGACTCTGGCCTTGGCAGCGCAGTTGGAGAATGCCTCGAGGACCTTATCGGCGCACTTTTTGCCGTACCATGTCTTGGTGTACGGGAGAATGATGGGGAAGTTGACTAATTCGAGCGCGGCAGTAATCATGTAGTAGTCGTCTGCGATGCGCTTGACCTGCTCGCGGGACATGTAGTGTCCCACAAATGTGCGGCATGATACAGCGCACAGCAGCTCGCGCAGCTGATACACCCACGCCTTGTGCCCACCCGCGGCTGTGCTCTCGCGCAAGAACTCCTCAAAGTATTCGTTGTAGACCTCCTCTTGACCGGGAAGATAGCTCTCCAACGCATTTCGGGTGAACAGTCCATTGAGACCCTTTCGGTACTCCACGTGCTCCTTCCCGTCCAAAAACACCCAGTTATCGGGACGAAGCAGCTTGTGTGCAACGTCCACGACACAGGGCTTGACATACATGGGGCTGTTGAGGACTTTGCGGGCCATGTCGCGAGTCGCAGCGATGACCACGAACTTGTGGAAGACCGAGACGCATGAGAGGGGGCCGGAGACCCATTTCGTGTAGTATTTGCCGAATGTGGGATTTACAGAATCAAGGAATGGCCCAATGAAGGGAATCTTCCAGGAGTCGCCGGCCAGAGGCCCTTTGAGTTGCCAGTATGAGACTGTACGCCAAAAGTCAATTAGCAGAAGCTCCGGGGCGCTTGGTACTCGCGTGTCACCGATGACGCTTGCAGCGTAGCAGAGCGAAGTGGAGTGAGGCGAAGTTGTCGTTGCTGGGGCTGGCGATACATATATGGCGGGAGAGACTTACTCTGATCATAAATGACAGCTGCCAGGAACACTGCCAAAAACACGCCGAACCAGCCCAAGGGCGAGGAGAAGTTGTCGAAGGCCTTGCTCAGGATGCCCGTCTGCGCGGATGCAATGACAGCGTGTACCGAGTCAGGGAGCGCAGTGCTGGTGGCATTGAACGTCTCCATGACGGACGCCATCCTGCCAATGCTGCGCCGCGTGGTGCGGGAGGATGCAAGTCGTAGGAATCAATGTCGTGGTGGTACTGCCGCACTACGACGCGAAAGACGTGACGGGACGAGACGACTTTTGTGTTGTGCCCTTTTCAATGTTCGTTCGTATAGGCTCCGAATGTCGGCGATCCCTCGCTCTTGTATGGTCCTGGGAAAGCTTCGCTTCCTCTTCAGCTCTCTCTCTCTCTCCCTCTCTCTGTCTTTCTGTCTCTTTGTCTTCCGCCGTGACCTCTCCTCCGAATTTCCACCGGACAGACCGAACGCGAGGGTGAAGCGAGTGACAATGGAGCGATAGCAGGCCGGAGAAAGGTAGATTCAAGGTTGAGGGTGACGAAGAAGGAAGAGAAAAGCAGCAGCAACAGCACCACCAGCAGCACCACCAGCCGGGTCGGTATTTTCGAGGGCTAGTGCTACGGTGGTGCAAATTGGACCCTCACCGTTGGATACATAAAATGGTCTGATGTGTGGCAGATCATACGACTACGGAAGCGCGCCGATTGGCCAGCGTCCGTGCCACATCCTCCGACATCTTGCTTCTGAGGCGCAGCTCTGCCACAATCGATCTTTCATGGCGAACTCTATACACTTTCTGCATCAACCGCTCACCTGTTGCTCTCCGGACCATCGTCGGGAGCTTCCAGTACCGTCGACTTGAGCCGCCACCCTTCTTCGGCGCCGTGGAGGCTCTCGTGGCGATGCTGGCATCGTTGCCGGACTCTAAGCGGCATGGCGGCCATGGCCCTCCCTGAGTCCCTGTCATGTATACAACGGAACCAGGAGCATCCACTTTCTCTGTATGCAAGAATGCAGGTACCAGCCCTGCGGACAACGATCCGCAGCGCACAGATCACGTAGAGGACTGCCATTGAGGGCATCTTTAGTCTTGACTTACATTGAATACCTTACAATCAGATCTATGGGAGGCACGCGTCTTGCAAGGTACTCGCGTTGGAGGATACCACGGTGCACAAAAGGCTGAAGATGTCTGCTGTCCCGCTCAAGGCCCAGTACCAGTAGCTCCGGAGCGAGGTGGTCGTGATCAAAAGCCGTAGTCTCCGACACGCGCGGTCTTTCACAAGTATGTACCTCGAAAATATGTAAGACATTCTCTCAACACCGCTAAGATAGCTGGCGACGGCGTTGCGCGCATAATTATCTCCGTCTGACACGAGCAAACGAAAGCCAAGTCCCACTAAATCTCCTCCGACTAGTACCTACGAAGAAAGTGAACCGTGACAGGCAGTCTTGACATCATCTTCGATCAAAATCTCATAATCATCGTCGTCGATGAGTTTTGGCTGCTTCGGAGGAGAGTCACTCTCGGGATCACCTCCTGGACTTGCAGAATACTCATTGACCTAGGAAGTAGGAAGGGTCAACGTCTATACCCAAACGAGGGGATTTGCGGCATGGTTCACACCTCTCGGGCACGCTTTTGTGTCATGGGCTGTAGTGAGGTGCGGCTCAGCTCGAGCTTCGGTAGCGAGGAACTTGTGTAGGTCACAGTCCGTGACATATGTACCATGCCTATGTCTACTAGCATGGTTAACTGGGCGCCAACACCTCGCTGATCTCGGGACTAACAAGTAGAACTGTAATGGAAGACGACATTGGTCGGAAAACCAGCAGGACCTGTTGCAGGAACGAAGTGATAGCGCGAACATCCAGTGACCGGGTCGGTGGTGGCACTTTGGTATCCCCGACACAGAGTGATCACGAGCCGACTAATATCGTGTTCTTGCTGGGACAGTGGCACGCCATTCGAGTTTACTGGCACTCAGGTGAGTAGCATGTCTTTACGCGTACACGACAACGTAGTACCTGGTTGAAGTGTTGCCGATGACACTTCCGATCTGCGATGTCCTTCAAAGCTGCGATGTCCTTCAAAGCTGCCATCGTAGAACTGCATCTCGTCCTCGGCCCGAGATTTTGATGGTGTGTGATCCTCGGACTGGGGACGCAAGACATATTCGATCGCTTGCGTCGGTCCGTCGTCCATCGAGAAGCTCACGCTGACTGTGTCTCCGCCCATCCAGTCGAAGCGCTCCATGATGAAGATGCAGACCACGAAGCAATCCTGTGCGGTGGACGTTGCGTTGGAGCTCCCATCGTGGTGGCATGAGATGCGTTGGCAAAACATCTCGAGTATTCCCGTAGAATCGAACATGGCGGATGGTGAGCGCGGCGACGGTGTCGTGGCAGATAGAGCGGCACGCCCACGTCTGAAGCTGGGCTGGGTTTGTTCTCTGGCAGGCACTCTCTTCGTGCCTTCCAAGGGAGTTCCAGCGCTCCGCACCTTAGGCAGTCGCGAATAACAGCACTTTCCCATGCAATACCTAGGTACCTTAACTGCCTCCTCTTCACCGCAACGCCTCTACATCACCACCTCTCACAGTCCGATCCACTCGTCCCGCATCGAAACCAGCCATTCTCTCGCCCTCTTCTTCACTAAACAGATCTCCACTGCCACTTCTGCTCCCTCTTCGGCTTCCCGAAGCATCGAAGACCGTCTGTCTGCGTGGAATCACCAGCCGCAGTACGAGGTCGCTGATGCGATCTCGCAATCCCTCCGTATGTCGATTGACGGTATCAAGAGGCAGATATTGCGAGTATCGCTCGCGGTAGTTTCTGATGAGCGGTATGATGATATACGAAATGGTACCGTACAGCGCGGCGGCGATGCAAGCGGGCAGAAAGAGGATCTGGTGAGGACATCTATATGTCAGTCTGTATACACAACACCGTATTGCAGGGGGTTATTCGGGCTCGTGATGCAATACCTTTACGACATCTACGATGCCCATGACCGCTGTAGAGCTTGTGATGTTGCTGACAGGTTGGTAGATAGGTTGGGTGTTTGGCAGCCACGAATGTTAAGGTATGGCTCCCTGGAGTCCCTGGTTGCGCAAGCGATTACGTGGCGCAGCTGTCGCGAACCTTAACTAGCGGCAAAAGGTATTTATACTCGAACATTTCCTCTTCTTCTTTTGCTTCTTATGTGGTGGTGCAGGAGATATATACCATTGATCAGAGAACGGGCATACAGCACTACAGTGACTACATCTCACTGCCTGACTATGGTCCAGCCGTTAACTTCCACAAATCTACTGCTCACTACCTCCAATCTGTCCTGCAGCCCACACCAAACGCAGCCCGCAGGACACGAGGCTATTCAGGTGTACCACGTGGGTTCGGGAATCTCACCCAGAAGTTGGTATCGTCCAACCTCACGCTTCTTGTACGCAACCTAACCAACCATCGTTAGCAATGGATCCATTGCATGAGTTCTCATCAAACTTACTGGATCATGCAATGAGTGGGTCCTGATGTCGCGCCAGTATCGATCAAAGCCATATTTCCTACCAGTAGCACGAGCGCCCAGCATCTCAAAGATACCACTCGTGACAGCGAGGCCAGTGTCGGTGGTGACGACTTTGACGTGTGCCACTGTAGCCGCAACCTCGCCACGACGTTGGGCAGTGATGACGGCGCGTCGTGATGACAGTGCATGGTTTCCATTCGTGAGACCATTGCTGTCCGCAGAGACACTCTCTGGCGCCTGGAAGCTCGAGGACGTCGAAATCGTATATGGAGGATTTGGCCCTGCTGCCTTACTCCCTGGGTGTGCATTTGCGAGGTAATGCGGGTTGACTTTGTCTTCAAAACTGTGAGGTTCGCCTGCGACTACAGATCCATACTGGCCCGCTTCGCGATAGAGATTGGCAATCTCAGCGCCAGCGCGATCGGCAAGAGCATCCGCTGCGGCCAGATGCGCACGATATTCACCGTATCTCTCGAGGATATACCACTCGTCGGTAGCTTTGTCTTTATTGTCACCGCCGTAGGGCCACGCACGAGTGCCGTTCCGCGTGTACTGCGTGGCAGCACCGAGCGCACCCTGCGCAATGCCCAAATAGAAGTTGCTGAAGACGAGCTGGATGGTCGGTAACAGCAAGCTCGCAAACGGTATCCCCAGCACTTCGGGGATTGGTCGCTTGGTCGTGGCATCCCAGCCCAGAGCATCTGTCCATGGTACGCGGATATTGTCGATTTTGACGGACCCAGACTCGGTCAGACGAAGTCCGACATTATCCCTGGATCAAAGAAGAAAGAGAAAAGTTGAGATGTCAGTCAGAAAATGTGCGGTGGCTCGTAAACGCGGCAAGTGTTCATTCTTTTCTTTCTTGATTGATGATGGAACGAGAGAGCAGGAGACCCTTCACTTACCAGTTATGCGCGAATTGGATTCCAGGCTGATCGGTCTTGACCAGTGTGAAGATGTGATCTTCCGTGCCATCGAGGACACCTTCAAGAACAGTGAGATCGCTCACCACGCCTGCGAATTCATCAAAAATGAAAACATAGTCAGTAAAAATGAAAAACGAAAGAAAGAAAGAAAAAAGCAGCTTGATGTAGAGAGTAAGTGAAATACCCACCTCCCGTATTAAAATTCTTGCTCCCATGAAACACAATCTCATTTCCGTCGTCTGTAATTTTCAAATCATTGTCACGAGGATTCACCGCACCTCCGACGAAGAAATTGTTCCGAATGATGACCTCTTGGACACTCTCCTGCTGCTCATCAGTGCCGACGACGTTGGCGGTGGTGGACCAGAGGAGATGATAGCCGAGTAACATGCCCAGGGAGCCTGGAGAAGTGAGGTACCGTACCAGGTGGAAGTTATTAGCAGACGTAATGTGAGTGAGTTCTTTCGGGGGTTTCTCTTTCTTCTTTCTTCTTTCTTCTTTCTTCTTTCTTCTTTCTTCTTTCTCTTCTTCTTCTTCTTCTTACTTACCATCTGTCTTAGCGACTTCACGAATAACTTTATAGCCCGTTTCCCAACTCTGTTTGTTTATATCAACTGTTAGCATGGAAAAATGATCTCCCCTCAAGTATACACATCTCTCTCTCTCTCTCTCTCTCTCTCTCTCTCTCTCT